AACAATTTAATTAAACTCCCCCTAAATAAGCATATTACCTTTTAAAACGACCTCTTTAGCCTTAAGATAGCGAACGAAATCGAAGAATAAGAGGTCTCGCTAGTCTTAGAGGGCTTCTAGTAGCACGTCCCTCCTATTAATAGGCACCTAGCATCTCTAAAGTAGGAATAAGACAATCTTATAGCCTAAACAGTTATCTAAGCTTAGCTTTATAGCTATAATAATCTTAGAAAGTAATAGGTTGTTCTTAACACTTAGAAGAATAGAATTAATAGGAGATTATAAAGGGGTACTATTTAACTAGAGAGGCAAAGAGGAAGAGCTATTATATACTATAGCTAATAAGGTTTTATAGAATGCTAGGGTTTAATAGGTAACTGTCTCTTACTAGTAGTTTAGGCCCTACTTCGTCGTAAAGTCTACTAATTTAGCTACACTTCTAATAATAGCATTAAAGTAGGTAATAGTAGTATAACCTATAGCGTTAACAACTAAGGCGCGCTACTTAATAATAGCTACCTATTAAAGATGCTCTCGTCGTATATAGAGTATTACTATACTAGGGGTTAAGGAGGAGGAGAGCTTTAATCTAGAACTATAGTAGTATTGAAGGTTATAACACTACTCCTAAAGCTACTACTAAACCTAGAATCTTAGAATAGTGTCGTAGGTACGCTTTAAGCATTATCTATAGCTTTATGTTCCTCTTATAGAGGTGTAGTCGCTTAGCGCTCTCTAGAAGCTAGCGAGCCTAATTAGCGATGCTAGAGCTTAAATAAGAGCCGTTCTACTTATATAGCTAGTAGCACACTTAGAGTACGTTTTTTGCCTATACTACGAGACCTTAAGAGACTACGATTACTCCTTATCTATACGTCTCTTACTACGTTACGTTTCTATACTCTTACTTAGACGACTAAGTGCGTATAGGTAACTATAAGGCCCTTCTACTTAATAAGTCCTTAACTATATCGATTAAGTTTGTCCTAGACATATGCTAGGTAGTTAGTAGTACTAGTAAGTAGTACTTCTCTAAGCTTATTAACTGATAACTAACTATAAAGCCTTAAGCAAAGGTACTAAAGCTACTATTAGCTAATAAACGCATCTATATCTAGACGCTATAGAAGGTCGTTAAATGCTATAGTAGTCTACATTAACTAGAGGTAGCTACTTAGATAGTCTTAACTAAAATAGGCTAGACTACTTTAACTACATTCTTAGGTCCTTTAGATAGATTCATTCTTACTAATTACGTTTAAGACCGACCTTAAGGATTTATACGAGCCTCTAACTCTATACTTAGTATAATAGTACTTAGTATAGGGTAGTCCTCGTCTCTATAAAGGTTACTAGTAATAGCCCCTAAATCGTCTTTAGTAATTAGTATATTATCTACCTCCTTAAATTAGCTTAGAGGAAGCATTTACTATACTTTTAAAATCCGAGTCTTTTTATAAAGAAGAATAGCTAAGTTACTAAAACGGCTATGTCCTTAAGTAGCGTAGCTAAAACGCTATATAACGGTCTCTAGGTCTTAGTCGATTAGAAAGCTATACTAGATAATAACCTTAACATTATCTAGATCAACGCCTATACTAAGAGATTCTATAGCTATAACGATACGAACTTAGGACTCTAGCTAGGAAAAGGAGGAAAATATGTTTTCCTACTCTATCTTTCTAGTTATAGAATAATACTAACGAGCAGCATTATTAATATTATAGGTAGTAGCTTTAGGGTAATAAAGGGAGAGCTATTATCAGATAATTTTAGTAGCTATTCTTATCTTCTTATAACTATTAATAAAGATAATAGTCTTAGGTATATACTAAAATGCCTAGACGCTATTACCCTTACCTTTAGTAGGCTAGATAATAAATGCTAAGTTAGTAAATTTATTAAGCGACTTAGCTAAAAGTAGAATAAAGTAGTATACGATTTCTAGATAGTCGATTAAAGCCTAGAAACGCTTAACGTCTAGCTTAAAACAATATCCTATCTAGAGCTTATAGAAGCTATTAGTATTAAGCGTCGTAGTATAGGCTAGCTATAGATGTGCACTCTTAGATTGTCTAAGCTAAAGGTAAAGTGCACTAAGCTAAGCATAGTAAGGGCAAAAGTCTTAACCCTAACGACAGACGAGATAGGCCTTATTAACTATAACTAGAACTACGCGCTATACAAAAGATAGAGTATAGAGAATCTCTATTATATTCTTTCTAATAGCTTATTTAGGACTTATTAAGATGTAAGTATATTAGAAGTCTAGAATTTTCTTCTAAATTTGCAGATCTTAATTAGTAGCTAATGCATTAACGAATAGCGGCTAGATACATTAATTTTTAGGATTTTAACTAGACTACTACTAGTTATAGATTGCTAACTTCGGATCTAGCTATTCTATAGTTTAATAAAGGCGTTCTAGGCTCGCTACTTGCTCTTAACTAATCTTATTAAGTAGGATAATTATAAGCAAAATCGTGTTTAGCAGTATAATAGAGACTACCTAGAGAGGGCGACTCTTACCTAGTCTAGTCCTAGCTATAAGTATATAATCTCTCCTTTTAAATATTATTTAATAGATAACTTTAACCTAGATAGGCCTTATAGTTTATCGAAAAATAGTATAAAATATCTTATCGACTAGTTCCTCCTTATATCTAGTACTATTTAGACCTATAGGCCTAGCTTCTCGCTACTAAACTAATAGTTTCTACTATTTTAGGAGGCTATCTACTTTATTAATATACTATCTAGAGGTTATTAGTAAAGTTAGTAGTAGTTAGCTCTTATTAAGTAATAGCACGCTCTTAGCTTTCTTATTCTATAGTAGCATCTTTAGTAGGCCTATAGGCTTATAGCGTAGGGAATTCCTCTACCTAAATAGCTACTATGTTTATAAAGGTAGGCAATTATAAGAGGTAGATAGGGTAGTAGACTATAAGCGTAGTTTCTTATACTAGTAGTTTAGGCGTACGATTCCTATCTCGTCTCTAGAATGTAAGGATTAGAGCATAAAAACTAGCGAAATATTAAGATACCTTCTTTCTCTACGACGTAGTCGTCTTAGAATTTAAGATTAACTACTTATTATCGCGTAATAGATAGTATAACTTAAGGCATACGTTATTTCTTAACTAAAAGGCTAAGTTTTCGTCCTAGACCTCCTATAAGGAGGCCTTAGCGTAGGACGCTAGTCCTAAAAGAGACGCTAAGGATTGCCTCCGGAAAAGGGAGGTCTAGGTGCACCGAGGCAAATAGGCCTCGATAGCAAAGGTTAGGGTTGTCCTCGCAAAATCGAAGAAGATCACGCCGAGTCGCCGACCATCTCCGAGCCTTGGCAGTCGAGCCTGCCGTGACTCACGTAAGTCACGTACCAGATCTTACAAACCCCCAAACACATTGACTATCGCTCGCTCTCCCATTCGAGACTTGCGCAAACTCACTTGTCCTCTCAATTCTTGGTATTGCTGCCAATGACCGGTACCGATCTTTGCATGACCAAATGTATTGCTTCTAACGGCGAAATGATCTCCCTCGAGTACCGTGATCGAGAGGACCCGAGAATCTCTCGCTGGCTCGGGTCAAAGCATCCAAATGGGGCGAGGGGCATTGACGAAGAGCCCTGTCGTGTGTGCCGACAGAGCTGAGATGTACATCGATCAGTCAGGCAAATGCACATAACGAAACCTGCCTCTGGAAATCGCCATGGGTGCACACTTGCGTGAAGCCGAGATGCATGCGTTATGCGATCAGCACGCCACATTAGCTCTCAATGCAACCCTTCGAGGTTAAGACCAGTAAACAAATGACCCCACGCTGTCAATCATCGAGCTGCACCTGCTAGACTGCTCATCTTGACCATCGAAGGTACGACAGCCCTGTCACTGCAGTGCACACTACGCCTCTTTCCCAGCCTCAGCTGTTGAGGCCATACATTCCGCGTTAAATGACCAGCCTGAGCATTTGTTGGTGTCATCAGAGGCGTCGGTATTGGCAACTGATGGGCTGGCATCTCTCCACAAGATTCACAAGAAAAGACAAATATAAATTCGAGGAGCGTCATATGGCAATTGCACAACTTACTTTGATTAGCTAGACTCCTGCTTCCAGTCGAGTCTTTTTATCATGCAGCCTTGTCGGCCCAAAGCATGGGTCTGCGAAGTCTGAGCGCGAATCAGTCTACACGACGCACTCTAATGCAAGAAAAAGGCAGTATTAGGAAAATGCTCAAGCCACCAAAGCATTGCGCCTGTCCAGAACGCAATCCTGGATTGAAACTGAGCTCTACGGAGTCCCCTGCTGGGTTTAGCCTGATTGCGCAGGTCCTTCATATATTCTCGGCACCTGTGCATCGTTCTCAGTTTCACCTGTACCACGATGTCGAACCCTCAGCCAGCTCCAGTCGAGAACGCATACATGTCAGTATCTACACAGATATTTACTTCTGTTCATGAGACTGAAATTCCTTAGAAAACATAGCCGACCAAAGAACATCTTCTGGCACCATCGGTAAGCCGAAAGCTGAGTTATGGACGTTATGGAGTGTCGGATAATCTTACAAATTCTTGACAGGGGTGTACTTGATCATGTTGACGACGATGAATTACCAGGTCGAGTGGAAAGCTTCATCGGCGAAAATCGTATACCTGTCACTTACGAAGTTCTCCTGAAAGGCGCAAGGATGATCAAGCACGAAGACCTTGCAAGGAGCGGCAGATCACTCAGCGAGAAACAGAGATCCATCCCAGGTTTGACGCAGGCAGATCTTGATCTTTTGAAAACCGAAGGGCATTGGAGGCACCAGCCATTGACACTCTATATGACGGTCGCTCTTGCCTCCGTCGCTGCCATCGTCCAAGGTTGGGACCAGACAGGCACAAACGGAGCAAATCTGCAATGGCCAAAAGAATTTATTTCCGGGTACAAAGCCACAGACCTTACTGGTCAAAATGCCTTGTGAGTTCTTTTCCGAAGAGTGAATGACGCGTACTGACGAACCAAAAAAGAATCGTCGGTCTTGTCAATGCCGCGCCATACATCGTTATCGCTGTTCTGTAAGCGCATCATGATTGTCACTCGCTCAGACGAGTACTAACAACCGCATGGGGCATGTTGGATCTCGGATCCTTTGAACCACTGGCTCGGCCGCCGTAAAACAATCTGGATAGGGGCGCTTCTCAGCTTGATTGCACCTATTGCTTCAGCTTTCACACGCAGATGGCCACAACTTTTGGGCTGTCGTTTCCTGCTTGGAGCGGGAATGGGTTTGAAAGAGGTCACAGTACCAATACTATCGGCTGAGATTGCACCGCCAGAAATCCGAGGTGCGCTCGTTATGTCGTGGCAGATATGTACAGCAGCCGGCATATTCCTCGGGTCTATAGCCAATCTGGTGGCCATAGAATTTGTGCCGGACCATCCAGATCAAAGGCATTCTAACATCTGGCGATATCGTAAGTGTCTCGATCTTATGGCTTACCCGAACGTTGACCGATGGCACAGAACTGGGCTCAGCGTTTATCCCCGCAGTCCCCCTTCTTTTTGGGATTTTCTACTGTCCAGAGTCGCCACGCTGGCTGATTCGGAAAAACAGGCCGAGAGAAGCTTACTTTTCTCTTTTGAGACTACGCGGTCAACGTCGAGAACTGCTTGCTGCCAGAGATCTCTATTATATCCATGAGGAGCTCAGTTCCAATCCCGAAGGAGGCTCAACGATTGAGGATACATTCGGGCGATTCAAAGAGCTATTCGTCGGGAAAAAACGAGTTCGGAGAGCAACAGTAGCTGCGTCCACTGCAATGATAGCACAGCAGTTATGTGGCAGTGAGTGTGATTCTTTACCTCTTTTCGTGCAGGCAGGTTTCTGACGACAATTCCTCTAGTCAATATCCTCGCATTTTATTCCTCAACATTGTTCTCCAATCTTCTTCATCCAGAAGCGGCTGATGAAAACGACCCGGACTTACGAACGCCTCTATATCTTACCCTTGGCTTCGGTGCTGCGAACTTCCTATTCGCATGGCCTGCTTTCTTCATCATTGATCGCTTCGGACGCCGCGTTTTGTTACTGTCAACCTTTCCACTTATGTTTATCTTCCTGCTAACCGCAGGACTGTGCGTTGAGATCAAGGATGCATCTATAAAAACTAAAGTCGTTACAACGATGATAATTCTCTTTGCTGCCAGCTATTCACCTGGAGTTGGTCCTATCGCCTTCACTTATTCGGCAGAAGTCTTCCCCATGAGTCACCGAGAAATCGGAATGAGCTGGGCAGTCGCCGTCAGTACCATCAACTCATTTGATCTTGTCAATCGTGTTTACTGATACGTCTCAGATGAACAATCTCTTTGCTGCTGCGCTATCTCTATCGTTTCCCTCGATAAACCAAAAGTTCTCCCATCACGGCGCTGGAGCAATGGAATTTTTCGCAGGTTTAAATCTGTTGTCGTGGATTCTGGTCTTTCTGTTTGTGCCAGAAACCTGTCTCAGGACTCTTGAAAACATCAGTCTTGTCTTCGCCATCGAGACCACAAAACACATGCAGCATCAGATATTCAAGGTGACACCCTGGTTCTGGAAAAAAGTGACGTTCAGGGATCCCGGTCCCTGTCCACTTTTTTACCAGAAAGATATAGTTCAAAGCATGGAGTTGAGGCCTGTAGAACAGCTTCTATGACCGAGGGCCACTATCTGGCAAAGCCGGTGCTTCGTTTGTTTTCAAGTCCTTGCGCTGTAGCGTGGCCAATGATGAGTTTCCAGGCCACATCCTGCGCATTGTCATTCTCTGTGGCAAACTCAATATAGGCACGGGCACCCAATTCCTCCAACACCGAATATCCGGTTTCTCTCGAGACGGGACGATAGGATGAGTCCTGACCGCATGTGTCAATCCGCGAAGTGTTCCCTGGGTCAACTGTCTGACCTGAGATTACACCAAGCAGAACGTCCGGACGTTTAGTTGGAACACGTGGATGAGAACACTTGGCTACGGTACACTTGCTGTGGGTACACCTCAGAGGATGGCTGATATGCCACTAAGCCTTTGTGTTAGCAGTTGACGGGATAGAAGGCGTTTCATGGTCACTTACCTGGCTGCGGACATTGTCTAAAGTCTGATAGTTGGCAATCTGAAAGCATAGCACTATATAAACTGCTTCGCTCTTATTCTCAGTCAAGAACCTTGAGTACGAAGCTTTGTCTCTAAGAACTTTGAATGTGAGCTTCACACCACACAAGGTATTGTTGTCAGGCTCCGAGATGCAACAGTCTGGTATCTCAGCAGATCCTCTCTTGAACGACAGTTCGGACTTGAGCTCACATTTGGCTTCTTCGGACTTGAGGTGCTTTTTGAACCAATTCTTCAGAATGCTCTCACATTCGGCTTTTTCGGACTTGAGGTGCTTTTTGAACCAATTCTTCAGAATGCTCTCACATTCGGCTTCTTGACCTCCGAGAAAGACGATGGTAAGCGAAAGTTTTGAGGGATGATTTTCCTTCGTGTTGTAGAGCAGTGGAAAGGACGCTTTCCCAAGTCTCAAATGGAACCCATAGAGGTTTGGTGTACGTATTGTTGTGTGAGCAGCATCCTTGGTGTTCTCACCTACGTCTTCCACCCCTTTGGTCGTCTCTTTTGCCTCTTCAACCTTCGTCGCCTTTTGCTTTGCCTCCTCAAACATCTCGTGGAAGAGCTTTGTTGAAAAACCATAGATGGGCGGTAGTCTCATGGATTCCAGGGCACGCGCTGCGCTCACTAAGGTCCTTTTGATCTGTGGCGCCTCCGTTGGCTCCGTCGTTCGCAGACTGTCGACTGATTTCGATATCGTATCTTTTTTAGAAGGATCTACGTCCACTAGCAACCCCATAACATTATCGCAAAGCTGCGACAGCGACGTTTGATGACCATCCAAGTGTCTAGGGAGTGATCCGGATGTTTTCGCAATCTGTCGAGGGTCTTCGTATTCAGGGTTGAGAGTGCTTGAATGGTTGCTTGGGTTGCTTTCGAGATGCTTGACCCGCTGTCGTAGGATACTCAGTTCGTCGTTCACTGTGCGGAGCTCATCTTGTAGGGTCTCCTTGCGAAATTCCGAAGCCAACTCCTTTAGAGCGCCTAAGAACTTGATGAGCTCTATATCACTGTTGATCGTGAGATTGATCGTTTCAGCGTGAAGCTGACCGTTGGTACCAATGTTAATGCCGATGCCGACATCGGTGTTTGTCGTGTTCTCAATGCCACTGGCGAAACCGGTGTTTGTCGTGTTCTCAATGCCACTGGCGAAACCGGTGTTTGTCGTGTTCTCCATGTAAAGTACAGAAGCGGACAGTTTTGAGCATCATGCATAGGTTGAGTGACACGACAAAACGCTAGTTGTCAAACAGTCGATAAGAGGAGCTGACGAGAGGGTATCGGAAAGGATGTCTGCATAGTGCGGGGTTCATGAGGGGGGTGGAAAGCATTGCATACGCAGCCATATTGGCATGTGACAGCCTTGCATGATTAAGCCACAAGCGTATAGATAGCCGCGGGAGTCCAACTCCTCCCTTTACTGCCAGTTTTCTTCACTTTGTATCTCTCCACCAGTCTTATACCATATTGATTGAATTCCGTGATGATTAGTGGGCTCAAAAGTCGATCATCGGCCACGAGACGCCAGGCAGGGCAATATAATGATGCGTATGCCGGAAGCAGTTCAACTTCGCAGCTTCAACAAATCGACGCACAGGTTGTGTCTGGGTGAGGAAGCTCAACTTGAACCTGATGCCTCTACTGACATACCTGAAGATCTTCTGCAAAAGCTTCTTTGGGCATCAAGGTCCTGTCAGATCATCCAGATGCCGAAGTAGAGTATGTGGTATTTCTTGGAAAAAGGGAGTGTTGACTGACATGCTTCAAACATTCAGCATATGTCTAGTCCATGGCTTAACCGGCAATAGTCATTCCACATGGACACATGACAATGGGCACTTTTGGCCCCAAGACAGTCTCCCAGAACGCTTTCCAAAAGCCCGCATAGTCACGTACGGCTACGACGCCGACGTTGTCAGTATCTGGCGCAGCACAAGTACAAGCCGACTCCGCGAACACGGAGAAACATTTATACTTGCCTTGGCGAATGAGCGTTCTAAATCACTGCATCGACCGATCTTCTTCCTGGTCCACAGTCTGGGCGGGCTCGTAGTTGAACAAGCGCTCCTCATATGTGTTGAGTCCAACGAGTCGCGCTACAAATCAATCTCCTCGAGTGCAGCCGGCATCATGTACTTCAGCACTCCGCACGAAGGATCCTATCTGGCGAAGTGGGGGTCCATAATTGTTGGTTTGCTGCGCAGTCTGGGCAGGAACGTGAACCAAGACATCGTCTCAACTTTGGAGAAAAAGTCAGAGGTGCTCCAGAACGTGGAGACAGGTTTCCAGAGCCATCTACAACATACTTGGAAACAAGTGAAGATCTGCTGCTTCTATGAACAGCTGCCCATCCGCGGTTTCACTCACGTGGTGACGAAAGACTCAGCAGTACTCCGAGCCTACACCAGTGCTGGGCTCCATGGTGACCACATAACTATGACCAAGTTTGAAAATAGCCTAGACCCAGACTTTGCTCTAGCTGCTGGCCAGCTAAGCGAGTGGATAACCAGTTTGGATCCACAGACTCGACCAGAGTCTGTTCAGTCACCTTCATCTGATGCAGCAAACGATAGTTCAGCGCGTGGTGGGACCACAACGTACGGAACTGCCACTGGGATTAACTTTGGGACTAACGCGGCATTCAATGGAGGCAATATCAGTTACAACGCTAAGTAGTTGTCCTTGACAGTAGTCATTACAAGTCCCTGCAGCGAGTCTGAAGTCAGCCACTTGTAGCAACGGTGATATCGCACATAGCCTATGAAGACACCGCTGCCTTTACCAAAGAGAAGCCCAGACCGAATGTAGGAAGCGAAGTCAACATTGACAGTAGGAATTAAGTGGCAATGATTAGATCATGGATTGCTGCTTTGGATAAAGTAACGACTAATCTGTGTTCTCCTATGCAGCCTGATGTGTACGAGTTGTGGTCGGTGTCTGGTTGTGTAAAATCGAATGGTCTTGAATGGGTAGCATCGAGTAATTCTTCAGCCGGCGCACGTTCGACAGGAAGGGCTGCGATCCAACCGATGGTATAGCTGTAACTACCGAGATCGGTCCCATTCGCGGAAGACATTGCTGGAACGTCAAGAAGAAATCGTTAGATCAAGCTCTGATCGTCGAGGACATCAAGCACAAGAGCAAGATTGAGAGAAGGAGCGGGCAAGTTGACATCCTTCTCTCAGCCCGCTGCCTGAACTCGACGGGACTACCGAATCATCGTCGGAGGCTAGTTTATGCATGCGCCATGCATCTCTAGCTTCGCTCTGCCTTGACAAGTCTAGGGTGCCATATCTACAATCCTTGTGCGTCATGCAGCCAAAAGCGTCTTGAATGAATGCAGTATGGACTGGGAAGCCTCGAATGTTGAGTCTGACTTTCGTGACTGTCAAATTGTTGTTCTGGGCGGTATCAAGGACGTTGGAAGGAGCGAAGACGATGATGGAGAGAGCGCGGAAGAGCTTCGGAAGCACCAGCCACCTCGCCCCACTTGCCCTCGGTTCCTTGCGATGATCCAACTCTGCCAACCAACACACTGATGTCGTCCAAAGAACTGTTATGCAATGTAGAGGCCAGGCAGTTTTGCTTGCCAAAGCAATGTAACGAATCACTGATACACTCTGCGGTGATTCAAGGCTGCCTCTTCAGGCTAGAGTTTCTGGACAAGCGCCGCACTTGTGGGAGGGAGCAATATGCGAATATGCATTGCGACCCGAGCTTATGGCGCTGCCTACATGGTCCGATGATCTGCTGCCTTCTATCGTAGGCTTGCTATAACTTACTCATACATCCACCACACTGACCTCAGAGATGGCCGACCCCATAGCTATTGTTGGTCTGCTCGTAACGGTCGGCCAGATCTTATCTGCTCTCCATGAATACGGCAAATCTGTCAGTCAGGCACGAAATGACATTGCGGACCTTTCGACCAAGTTGCTGGTACTCCAGGGTGTCCTGAAGCAAGTTGAGAAGCGAGACTTAACAAAGAGTTCAATTGTGTCCGCTCATGCCGAAGGTGATCCTCGGCGTGTACTGGAGTCAGCTGCACAATCTCTTAATCTTCTAGTGCGCAAACTCGACGTGCCAACCTCTGGCTTCAAGCGTCTTGTTCAGTACACGAAATGGCCATTGGACAAAAAGGATGTTGCGGAGCAGATGACACGCTTCGAGAGACTGAAGTCACTGCTAATTCTATCCTTTCTCACGGAGGCGTCGGACGACATCTTAGCTGCTGTGCACTCGCTAGAGTCCTCTCTCCAGCAAGACTTGAACCGAATCGATAGCATCGTTGCACATCGGATGGATTCAGATTTCGTGAATTGGCTGGCGCCGCTATCACCTGAACCACGCCATCTTCGCTTTTGTGCCGAACGAGAGCCTGAGACGAGAAAATGGTTTCTTGACGGACCCTACCGTAGCTGGTTGGCCAGTTCAGAGCAGAACACAATGTGTTTGACCGGCAAGTGTACGATATTGCTCCCTTCCTAGCGCTCGATCTCAGCACCGCTCACACATAGTTAGCCGGAACCGGGAAGACAACATTGTTGTTCGTTATGCGTTCCTTCTCAACTACCATTATTGACCTTGTGTAGTTCTTTCGCCGTCGATACCTTGGCAAAAGAATGTCAAATCGAACAAACTTGGATCTCTGCGTACTGGTACTGCAGCTTCACTGAAGTTGCGAGCCAACGGCCTTCCAACATTCTAGGATCTTTCATGTGCCAATTTACACAACATGATCCTGAATTTCTGTCCGACGCTCGATCTGTATACGAAAGTTCTCGGTACAGCTCGCACAGAACACCGATGTCGCTTGAACAAATGGAAGATTCTATATGCAAGTATTTGCCGAAGTACAATCGTGTTTTTCTACTCATTGACGCTGTCAACGAAAGTCAAGAGAAAGACGGCCTCTTGAGGGCGCTATTCAGGCTGATGCAAAGGTGCAAAAATCTTCGAATTCTGACGTCGACAATCGGAGACGCCCCTCGAGATGAGGGGGCAACTCATCCCTTGACTATCATCAGATTCGAACCTAAAGGTAGTCGAAATGACATCGCAGCTATGATTGAGAACGCGCTTGTCTCTCGACCTGGATTGCAAGGTTTGAGCGAGAAGTTAAAACAGGAAATCCGAGACACATTCTTCGAACAAGCAGATGGCTCGTAAGTGGTAGCTTCGCACGGCGTTCTGGATAATGCTTACCTTTTCAAGGTTTCGATGGGCATACTTGTCGCTTGACAATCTTGCGCGCAAAAACACACCACGACAAGTGCGAGCAGCTCTCCAAGGTCTACCTGCATCACTTGGAGACATTTACGCAGACATCCTGGGTCGCATTCCCGAAGAAACTAGAGAACTCGCCCAGAAAGCCCTGCTTTGGCTTATTTTTGCCAGGAGACCTCTGACACTGGCCGAGTTGAACGAAGCTATCATCATGGAAGACGGCCAGACCGATATCGACGAAGACGATCGGATCTGTCGAGAGACGGCAGTTCTGGAGACATGTCATGGCTTGCTTGATTGTTATAATGGTGTCGTCAGCCTCTCACATTCCTCCGTGGAGACATACCTCACCAAAACGAACACCATGCCTATAGAAGCAGCCACTTTCGGTCTCGAAGTCGAAGATGGTGACCGAATCCTGATGAGAGTATGTCTGCAGTATTTGTCTATGGCGCCTTTTGCTTCTGGACATCGACGAGACGACAAGGAACTTCTCGAAACACTCAAGCAATACCCTCTGCTGGATTATGCGGCCCAGACCTGGGCTGTCCACGCTCGTGAGTGCGAGCTCCAGCAAAGCGACAGGGATGCAATCATGAGATTCCTCCAGACGACCCATCAACCCCGAGGTGGCAATCACGGTCTATGGGTACACGTACTTTCACCTGCCACAGACCCCTGGGATTTAGAAATTCTTTCTACTACCCATCCTCTCTATTACGCCGCATCTTTCGGTCTATATCAGATCGTCCAGACTATCCTGCAAGAAGACCCTGACGTGGATATCAATGCGCAAGGCGGTCGCTATGGGTCTCGACCTTTGTTCGTTGCGTGTTGGCGCGAGCATTACGATATCGCTCATTTGCTTCTCGACGCAGGCGCTGATGTCACGCTCGAAGACGAAGCCTCGGGATTTACAGCTCTGAGCTTGGTGTCTCAATGGGGAAAGGACAGCAGCGAGACGCGAAAATTGATTGCACATATGCTGACAGCCACGGCGACTATCGGGGGTGCGGAGCAAGTCCATCCTCTGGAAGACAATGGCTCTTCCGAACACGCACGTGTGGATAGCAAGTCTGCTGTTACGCTCAAATTCCAATCAGGAAGTGCCAGGTCGTGATGGAGTCGCGATACACAACGGCTTCCGTGGTGGCTCGAGGTTAGGGAGAGAGAAATTCCATCAGAACTCAGTGTTCACTCCAGGCTCTCGAGCACAAAACGACCGCCAGATACTCTGTAAAAGGCAACACGTTTTTGGTGTTGACATAAATGTCAGGAGAGAGCACGTAGCAGGCTCTCGAGCCACGTAAGACATTACGAGGGAAAGAAAAAGGGGCAATTTCATTATAATTCCTATACAGTTTCCTTTCCATTCATTTGAGAGCAGGTAGCGTAAATCAAACGACTTTCTCAAGGCATTCGGGTCATCATCCCTCCAACTCCGCAAGTGGCGGACCGATATCAAGGTCCGCGATTGGCGAACCAATACCCAGATCTCGCGGGCGAAAGGGCATTCGAAACACAGGTGCGGATGCCGGCTTACACAGCTCCTCAAATGCCTCTCTGTCTGTTTCAACAATCAGTATCTGATTTCGATATGAGCGACGAGCTCGAAAGCACCGAGGTCGCATACCTTCTTGATCATAAAACTCGCAATCGAGCGCTTTGATACGCTGCATGATAGAGGTATGTGGATCTCCACTGGACGCCGAGTCATACGACAAAACAGAGTCGATACTACCGATTGTTGATCTTCGTGGCAAACTATTCCGTCTTTGAAACGTCAATCTCATTTTCTTCTTGTCAACCTTCTTGATCTCTTCGAAGTCATTCACTGCCATGCACATCAGCTCGCGTATTCGAGGGGAGTCACCATATACTCACATGTCCGTTCGACAAAGCCTGGATTTGTGGTAGCTAATTTTGATGACATTTTGTGAGCGTAGTATAGCAATGACCTTTGCCTGTCCTCGTCCTCCAAGACGCGCAATGTCTCGGAAGCACAGTGATCTTGGCCAGCACGAGTTGATATGCGTACTACATCGAAAGTTGCAAGGACGATTTTGCCGAGAAGTTGTTCCTGCACCTTTCGCAGATCTTCTCAACTGTCAGCCAACGTGCTCTTCGAATAAATTTGCTGTGGGTATATACCTTCAATGTCATCAAAGCAATATATTGGTCTAACGTGGTAGACGGTATTTCTGTGGGCTCGCTCGTCCTTGACGATGATCTGATGTGTGCCTTTGAATTGAAGGCGAGCCACAGTCGTGCTCGATTTCTGTACTCGGCTGTTATCGATCCAAGGTATGAAGGCGTTGGTTATATCTCCCTGGGGCAAGTGATATATGGTTAGCTTTCCATCTCTGGTCTTGGTTCGAAGCCTTTCCACAGAATTGGTAGGAGAAATGATGAGCTCAAGGAAGCCTTCAAACGTGCGCTTGTTCTCAAGAATACTGTTTAGAGTCAGCACAGTCAGACTTGCATGGACCTGCGTACTTGCATTTTCACAGGCCAAGTGAGAGAGGGTGATTGAGTGCCACCCTCGATGTAAGCAGACCCGAGGTCGATGGATCCAAATCTTCTCTGGCTACTGTTTGAAGTAAACACAGTACCTGGTGTAGAGAAGGCTCCACTATCTGGTGTGAAGATCGGTTCCGGAAGAGGACTTCCCACAATGGATGGTGATATATCCCTGTGTTGAGCCACCAAGAGACGCAGCGATTCCGGCGAATGACACGGAGATGTACTGCTCGAAGCGATTGGCGACGACGGCAGGCTGTGTATTGGCCGCTGTGATTCAGACGTATTGTCGTGCTGAACATGCCATTTCAGCCATTGTCCAAAAACATCCCAGTCATCAACACGAGCTCCAAGATCGACCGTCACAGAGCTACCTTGTGCAGGGTCTTGTGTTTGAGGAATAGATCGAAACCCAACATCATCAAGCACGGTATTCGCAACAGTTCGAGCGGTATCGAGAAGCCGAAGAACAGGCCTCACTCCATCTATAGCACCTGGTTCTTGGCTACTTGTCGTGTGGTGTCCAGGCATGGAGCGAACTCCTCTTGAGTCCCTCATGATGAGATACTCCATCTTTTGCGAAAACTGGTGTAGAAGTTCAAGTTTGTCATCAGATGATTCGCTGCGGTCGGAGTGTGCGAGAAGGTGGCTGGGAAAGCTTGGTGGGCTAGCACTTGTATGCGACAACGTTGCAAGGTAGTCGAGGTCAAGCTCGAACGTATCGGCAATGGACGTTGGCGCTATTCGTTTGAGTAAAAAGTTGACCTTGTCGCTCAGACCCCTGTAGGCGTTTGGTCAGACAGAACATCATGGTCACGACAAGTTTCAATCATACTTTACAGCTCGCATAATGTCTTCTGACTGCTTCCCAATGCCTTGTGTGTTTTTGAGGGTGGTGGTCGTTGCGTGAAGGGTCGCGATAGAAACTACTCGGTCCAGTTGTTGACGAAGCTTCTCTGCTTCCTGACGATACATCGGCCATGTTGCAGTATGATAGCCATGATCAAGTCGTTCTAGATAGGTTTTGATTCTGTTGGATGCTTGAGGTGAGTTGCTTATCAAAGGTATAGACGTCTTGCCAGTAAGTACGCGGTGTTTGTCGATGAACCGAATGGTATCGCCGAAAGTCTCGTCGAAACCGGCAAGGGAAGATATGTCGGGGCTTGTGTTGACGAGCCTTTCAAGACAGGTAATCACTTGCCGGTATTCTCTCTTGAAGCGATCATATTCATTTGAAGCGTTCGAGGTGCCTTCAGCGAAGCTCTCGTACACCTTCCAGCTGTATTGCGCGAGCAGTATGACATCGCTGATGGACCAGCCGAAGCTCATGTTGAAAGATCATATCAGCATCTTGTTGCGAGCGAGGGCCATTTTGGCCGACTTCGGCTCGGCTTGGTTGAAAAGCCCGCTGGCGCCTGGTCGTATGGATCGCATATTGTCGAGTGGCAACAAGGCTGATAAAACACATGTCTTTTCCACACATAAAGGTAGTATTCCGCGAAGGATGCCAATACAGCTGCATGGTCGATATCGCAGCGAGCGAATGGAAGGTGCAACTCGCAAAACGTGGTCAAAGCAGAAGCTCGTTTGTGGCCCTGCCAAGCCTTCCGCTACTCCCCGACCTCTTCTTTGCTCCTTCTCTCCAACCTCTTTCCATCTAGACAATCTTGACTTGTCCTTAGCCCAATGCGCAGCTCGTATGTTCCCGATCAATTGATTGGTCTTGGTAATATCAATATCCCGATCCGTAAGCAACGGAGCAAGGTCCTTGACGCTCTGCCTTTCCCGCTTCTCTTTTTCAGGATGGCTCCTTCTCTCACGAAGGATTGCATGCACCCACGAGCTGGAGCTGTCAAAGGGCGCAGCAGTCGCGTTTTCAGGCAGAGATGACCTTGTGTATCTTCCACGAGGCTTGTCTGCGCCACTTTCGAGGACCATTTTCTTAAGCATGCATTAAACAGTGCTCCCACTGCTTCCAAGCACTCGTTCCGCCGTGAACCCCATTCTCTACACAGAACATCAACATACCATAAGATCACTTAGCCATAAATGGCTGGCTTTACCTGGATCCGGCTACATCTCAATCCATGGGCAAATGTGTCAAAATTCGAAGATGTATCGGTAATATAAACAGCTGTATGACTGTAATCCTACCGCTGCTGACGCCCTCGAAGCCTACCGACAGACGACAGTACATTCTTGACAGTCTCGAACACTCAAGACGAAGAGAATGGCTGTGGGTTGTCGTTGTTGCTGGAGTCGGGTTCTTGACTGATGCGTACAACGTAGGCTGATTGTGAGAGGAGGCATGGCCTGACAACTGATAGTCGACAGATCTTCTCCATCAATCTTGTCATGCCTATGATAGGACATATCTACTATTCAAACAATATCGTACCTCGCGAGTACCAAGTAGCCATCAACGTCGCGACTCTGGGAGGAAGTATACTAGGTCAACTAGGTTTCGGCATTGCAGGAGACTGGTTGGGTGAGACATTCTGGTAAACGGTATATGACCTCTTCTGATGCGATACAGGTCGAAGGAAGGCGTATGGTCTTGAACTCATCATCACAGTAGCTGCAGCTCTAGGCTCTGCTATGGCCTCCAACGGCATGAATGGATCTATGTCATTGATCGGATGGCTTATCTTCTGGCGCCTTATCATGGGCATCGGCATCGGTGCTGACTACCCGCTGAGTGCTATTTTATGCTCAGAGTAAGCATCTCAGTCTTCTCGGAACTTCTGGAGTCATGAACTGATATTCGCAGAATGGCTCCTACTAGGCTTCGTGGCAGAATGTTGACAGCAGTCTTCATGTGCCAACCTCTGGGACAGCTTCTCGCGACATTGGTCCCGTTGATCGCAATTTATGCTGCGCGCGAACATCTTCCGCAGACGACAGCAGAGACTTGCGATGCTCATTGCTTGAAGACCCTTGATATCATTTGGCGTCTGGTTCTGGGACTTGGGGCCGTACCTGCCGCAGCCTCGCTCTGGTTCCGCCTCACCATTATTGAAAGGTATGTTTGAGATGACATTCTATGTACCACTGATATCTGTTCTAATTGAGCGGTAGTCCGAGATATACCGTTGATATCGTGCGAGACGATCATCAAGCAGCTATCGATGTCAATCGCTACTTTTACTCCGGCGACCATATCTCGACAAGAAGCTTCGATCCATCTCAGCACGACCATGACGATGAGATTCACGTGGAAGGCACAAATGAATCGATTCATCCTATGTCTATCATGGAGCCAGACGAAGTATCTCGACCGCCTCAGGCCTCTTGGTCAGATATCGTAGACTACTTCTGGCATCAAGGAAACTATCGCACCCTGGTTGCTACCTCACTAACTTGGCTGTCGCTCGATCTCGCGTTCTACGGGCTAGGGATGGTAAGCTCGGCCGTATTCAACTCAAACCAATCAATTGCTAATCAACTTGACAGAATGACTACACAACTCTCGAACTTATATGGAGCAACAATCTCACTCAAACGGAACCATTGTATCAAGCTCTTCTAGCCAACGCTTGGCAAAGCCTTTTGATCGTGTCTCTAGGAGCAATCATCGGCAACATCCTCACCATGATCTCGATCAATCGCTTAGGCCGACGCATGATCCAAATTAATGGTTTCTTCTGGCTTTTCGTCTTGTTCCTTGTAATCGGTACAAGTTATCGCAAGTTGATGGATACGCAAAGGTCTTCGGTATTGGTGGTGTTGTATATCTTGACACAAATCTTTTTCAACTTTGGTGAGTAAAGTCAAGGTTCTGCTAGTGTATGATGATGTACTAATAACCACATAGGACCCAACACTACAACCTACATCATTCCTGCAGAAGTATTTCCAACCCGCTACAGATGCACTGCCCACGGTATCAGTGCTGCTTTCGGCAAACTCGGAGCCGTGCTGTCGCAATGCATTTTGGGCTGGATCACAGGCAGTATCAAGGATAACAAGACATATCTGCTCGTGTAAGTCCCTCACAACATCAAATTTGTATCGTCGATTTCTGCTAACACGTAAGTTTATAGGTTCTCGGCATTCATGCTCGTAGGGCTTGTGATGACGGTCTATTGGATCCCGCACTCGCGTGACAAGAATGGGCAAACTTTGACGCTTGAGGAATTAGCTAGAGGTCGTGCTGCCAAGTCGGAGTAGAGAAGACATGGGACTAACGTGCTTGTTTTTGTGATGTTTCTTCTTCATATGATCGAGTTTGTCACTTATTTCCTCCTGCTTCCACACCATGCAGTGGCGTATTTGTCAGAATGCAATACCTATATGAGACAGATCGTGTTGTCCGTGGAGAGTGGATACGTGGTTTTCTCTCTGGACACTGGTCTGGTTCGAAACTATTGTGCGTCTTTACACGTACAGACTCAAGAGGCTTCAGCACAAAGTACAGCATAAGTATCATTAGTTCTTGATAATAAAATATTTCCGCTGCCTTGCTCATCAACTCCCTAGCTCAATACCAGAATAAAGTATCAGAACAACAATCGGGACGAAGGAGTGTCAAGAAGAGAAGTAGAAAGCAGTAGCAAAATTCCAGAAGCCGAACCATCGTCAAGCTATTCTTTACGCCTTTACAGCACCAAGAATGTATTGACCAAACGACTGCTTGAGCGAACAAAATGTTCCATTCCAGGTTAGACCAGTGCAGCCTGAGGTCGTATCACAAAGCACAGCACAGTCTCCGAAGCTGCCGACGCTTGAGGAAGCGCTAATAGTGTTGACTGAAGTATCGTATGTGCAGAGAATGGTGTACTGGACACCACCAGCATCAGCGTAAGTAGTGCCGTTAGAAGCAGGACATGATGGGGCTATGATAGGTGTAGAGGATGGAACAGCTACGGTTGACGACGAAGTAGAACTCAAGGTAGATGACGAGGAAGTAGAGCTTGAGGAGGACGACGGAGAACTAGAGCTCGAGGCATCTGAAGAAGACGCTGTAGCAGAACTCGAGGGAATTGTCGAGGTGCTGAAGGAAGTCATTGATGGCGTTGTGCTGAGACTCGAAAAGCTCGAGCTGCTCAATGCCACTGACGAAGATGTAATGACCACTGCGCTACTCGAGATCAGAGTTGCCGATGATGACGTAGAGCTAGAGCTCGTGGTGGTAGTGATCGCATGGATGAAGCCAGCAATTCGGGTGCTAAGAAGTTGTGCCGTAGAGACAAAAGATTGAGGACTGTCTGTTTTGATCAAACATTGGCCTGCTCCATTACCGAGAGCGGCACCTTGATTGTAAGTGAAGCCAGTGCAGCCTGAATAGCCATCGCAGGCTTGGAAGCAAGCTGTCCAGTTGGCGACATTGCCAATGGTCGACGCTGTGCCACCGGCTGATCCACCACCACACATGAAGAGATAAGGCTTTCCATTGCCGTCTGTCACAGCGTATATATTGGTGTTGATGGCCGTGCAGGAAGGAGGATAGCTGGTCGTTGTATATCCATCAGTACCAATCGAGGGTGATACAGTTGTTGAGGAAGTTGAGGAAGTTGAGGAAGTTGATGAAGTTGAGGAAGCTGAGACAGAAGTGACTACGGTTCCCGTTGATCCTTGAGTAGAAGAGGTAGAGCTGATGCTTGGGGCGACGCTGCTGCTGGAAACCACACTGATGCTCGAAGCCAAGCTGCTTGAAGTCGACACAAGATTGCTAGTCGACACCGAAGTTGATGATGTTGCGGCGGTGCCAACAAATCTTGCACCAAGAACACCGCCATTGTTGACTGCTGCGCCAAGGGATTTCTTCAGATAGCAAGCCGACCCAGACAAGGACACATCAACACAGCCGGCTGTGGTTGCGCAAGCTGCGATACAGCCTTCAAGATTCTTCACAGACGTGCTAGCCATGTCACCTCCTGCGTGATCAATCCCACACTCGATCACAAATTGCGCTCCATTGCCTGCATATGTATAGACTTGATTGTTCGAGGCAGGACAAGACAGTGCTGAAGCGACGGGAGCAGCAGACAATGATACTGATGAGCTCGTTGAAGCAGTCGATGATACAGTAAAGCTGGTCGTAGAGGCACTGTTACCGGAAGAACCGCCAGAGACCCTGACTGCGGAGATAGTGTTACTTCCAGAGCTTGTGTAGGTACCCATGCTCTTTTTTAGCCAACATGTACCCGAGTTTTGACCGTTGGCACCACCGACATAGGTGAATCCTTGGCAGCCAGCTGAAGCTGCGGCATCGCAAGCGTTCATGCAATCGAGGTATGACGAAGCAGCTTGAGCATTGGCGTAGGATCCGACGCTGTTGTCTGCCGAGCAAGTGACTTTGTACATGTTGCCAGTGGAGTCTGTGACTGTCTGACCATTTACTGACGGGCATAGACTAGCAGATGGTATGCTGGAAGTTGGGGTGACAGTCGAAGACGTACGTGTGCTTGTGGTCGAAGATACAATCGGTGTGCTGGCGGTGGCGTTCACGAAGTTGTAAGGTGTAGTGTCCAATGTCCATTTGTTCCAAAAAGCGAGCAGCAGGGGTGTTGCATCGAAGGACGAACCGGCTGCTATGGAAGGCCAAGTATGATCGAGACCGTGCACGAGGTAATGAGTACTGAGTTGCGAGAAGCTATCGTTGCCGTAATCATAGCGAATGACATTGTTGTTATACAACGAGACCGAGGTATTTGAGCTGCCTAGCCCGTTTCGAACGGACCACTCGGTCATGAAATGCGGAATAGTAGGCAGGCATCGACCCCGCCGGCCTCCGCCAGTGTATGGGATTGTCGCATCAGAATCTCCATGAGTCGTGAAAATTGGGACGGGGTAACGACCTGGATTGCAGGTGATAGGCACCGTCGTGCCGTCACAAGGGTAGTCCGTGTTGCCTTGATAGTAGGCGCCAGCAATACCCCCGAACGCTGCGAATACGCGTGAAGCTTGGGGGTCACAAGCTAAGATGTTGGCAGAGAATCCTCCTCCGTTCGATTTGCCGGCTGCGTAAATTTTGGTTGAATCGATGCAGAAAGTGCTTGTGAGATTGGCCAGAAGTTCAAGAGTAAATCCGACGTCGTCGTAACCACTTGTATCTGGATCACCTTGCCATACAGCGTTCAGACCTTGAGGATAGACGACCAGATAGTTCGGGTTGAATGCTTCGTTGGACATCCCGGAAATGGTTTCCTGGTCCTTAGAATTACCATTTCTGCCATGGTAGGAGAATGCGATTGGGGCCGGAGTGCTGACATCGTAAGATGTGGGGATATGCAGGAGGTAGCTGCGAACAACTCCGCCAGAAGTAGTGAAACTCAGTGTGTTGGTCTTGTCGGCGCCTCCACGGGTAAGTTGTGCAGAAAGAGGACTGCCACAGCCCGGTGTTGCAGCCGCATGTGCTCCAGCGAAGAGGGCAGCGAGAACGAGAGTAGCAGACTTCATCTTGGTCTAGTGAGAGCAAGTCATTGCAGCGAAAACAAAGCCTTTATACCGTAGACCATGACCCCCTGCAGATTCTGTATCCGCAGTCTGGAGCTCATCTCGAGGGTGTGGAACGCCACATTAGAGAGTGTGATTGCCAGAAGAGTAATTCAAACCATGCTGCTTGCTTACTTACGGACGTTATACAGAGCTGAAAGGATGCAAGAAGCATGAGCGTTTTATTCCGGAGACCATGGCTTCAGCGCAAGGGGCGCTTGTGCCCAACACGATACTTAGCAGTATGTTGAGGTTGTGATAAAATTTGGAAGCTTCGGTCCAGTTGACCGCACTTAATCGTCGTCGACGACTGGCGACATCCTATTCAAGATTTGTGAGCTCAGCATGTTGCGAGTCGTGATGGTTTACGGCAAGGCAAGAGCGACGGCGCTGGCAAGACTCTCAACGAGCGGCTCTACAGTGACGAGCGCGTCAGTCATTCTGAGGATAACAAGCCCGCCGTTGAACTACGGCTACTTCATTGGAGTACTGTAGGAACCACCGTTCTGGCGAAGGAACGGAAGCTGAACTTCGGCGAGTCGTTGCAAGGCAGGTACAGTGCTGGCAAAACTTCGGGGCTCGATCGAGCACGTCGGTGTGCAGCGACGGACCCATCTGGACCTTCCTTCCTACACCCATCGACTGAAAACAGCACTGCTGGCTTTTAAAGATTCATCAATCCCTCGGCAGCTTATTGTTGGGTACTGCGCGACTCAGGAGCTCAGCCACATAACGAGGTTGCCAGATCTTGGTATCAATTGAACGCGATCTAGAAACGCGTGTGCATACATACAAGCCTGAATGCCGACCAATATCCTACGGAAGGATTCTCTTTCGCTGTGGTCTAAACGCCACTTCCTGCAAACACATTCGACTACAAGATGATTCCAAATCTCTGTTAGCCAGACATTCAAGACACTTGATCAATCTCCGACCCATCATACGCCTTCCAACACCAACAACTTCGAACAACTTCTGCCGCAGAACCAAAAGTTTCGAGAGCTTTCAACGTCTATGAACAGTCCTCCCCATGTGCTAAACTTTGTCACTTCGACTCTCAAGCCGCGGCGATGCGCATGTTCCACCCATTAAAATGCACGATAATTTTGAGAGAGAGCACGTCGGCCATAGAGAGCGACGATTTGATACCCACCCCTTAGACCTAACTCTACTTTCGAAAATCATCGTGCATTTTGACAGCAGTGTCAGTGACAAACTTTAGCACACGGGGAGGGTTGCTTTAGTTGATTGAGTATTGTGGGGAGGGCAGGGTGACATATCCCCACCACAGTTCCTCCACATCCCGAAGCCCTAACTTAGGGTTGGACCGCACATCCGAGCTAAATCAGTAACCCCTCCTCGACTACGTTTATATATCTGAGCAGTGGACATTGGTTCTTCATGTCCATTTACCTGATTCATAACAGCAAACTGGACAATGCATATTCTCGGTCTTGCAAACGGCACGCCATCAGGAAACTCGGAGATCCTGCTCAAAGCTGCCTTGACAGCAGCTACCGAAGCCGACTCTACCATCACAACATCATGGATACATGTTCCCTCAATCTCCATACCGACAAATCCAGCACCTCTAGATAGTCCAGTTGGTTTCGACCTTGCTTCGAAGCTCAATGTCGCTTCCAACAATGCACCCGATGACAGAGCTGCTGTTCGCGAAGCTATCCTCGACGCTGATGCCATCATCGTATCAACACCTACCTACAGCCATCAACCTCTAGGCGCATTGAAACTTCTCATGGATAGAATTGGAGGTCCAGCTCTCGACGTTACATTTGGCAAAACATTCAACCCTGATAAGCTCGACCCAAGACTTTCAAAACCACGGGTGTTGGGCTTCATCGCAGTAGGAGGATCATCAACGCCAGACCAATTCACAATGGTTCTGCCAACATTACATCTTTTGTTTTATGCTCTGCATGCAAAAACCGTGGATCAATTCATTGGTCAAGATTTGGGAAGCTCCGGAGCTGTATGTTTGCATGACGACCTGATCTCTCGAGCAAAGCGCATGGGACAAAACATCGCAAGTCAGATCGGCAAGTCCTACGACGATGCGACATATCAAGGCGACGAAGAAGCCGGCGCATGTCCGCACTGCCATCTTTCCAAGATCGAATTTTTGCCTGATCATGGCAAGAATGCAATTGGCTGCACAACTTGCGGTACCAGAGGCAATCTGACTGTGAGTCAGGACGGCAACATACTCCCCGTATGGGAAGAAGAGTCGAAGTGGAGTTGTTTGACATGGGCTGGGAAGCTACAGCATTCGTATGATATCATTAGTTGGGCGAAGAGGGATGAGCCTAGGAAAGCTGATATCAAAAAGGGCCAGGAAGAATGGAAGAAGGTAGTCGTTTCGCAGGTGACTTTGCCTAGTCAGGACAAGTTGAGCTCATGATTTTCGAATCTTCTGTATGTGAAAACTAGATCGATAGATTGTCTGAACAATATATCATGCGATGAAACTCACGCACGCAACTATGTCTTGCACCACCGTCACTCCCAAAAGCCCCAAGACCAAAGTCAAAGCGAAGTGGATTCCGCTTTAATTGGGAAACCACGACGGTCACTGACACTAACCTGACTTTGGAGCACATTTCGAAAAACAAGCGGAAGCAAGATCAACATTTTTACAATATATCAGTCAACATTGGCACAGAACAAGAACAATCACACCCGCAGACCCCCCGTCCGGAGGGCAACCCTGCTCCCCCAAATAAACTTCCACACCAGAGCCGCATACTCCCATCCCAGCTTCCAAATCATCACCCCTTATACCACCAACCTACGACATCACAAGACCACACACTTCCACATGCACAACCCAATATTTCGGCATTTACAACCCGCCCAAAGAATTCGCTCAAAAACACCGCAGTGTTACGCAAGCGAAAGTTCGTAACGTGGTATAGGGGTGTGTGCCGTTATAGCCGGTGGATTCAGGAAAACCTGGTGCTGCATCTGCGTTGTTGTCGCAATCATATCGGCAGCGTTGTTGTTGTTATTGATTGGTGATTGCGAATACGACGGGAGGTGGATATGGCTAAATCGATTTTTCGCTTGTCTTTGCCCTTGCCTTATCGATTAGTGGTGGGTGTGGTTTGTAAATGTGAAACTTGGAAGGAGGGATAGAGTTCGGAGAGGGCAAGATTGTGATCGTCTAAGGATTTTGGAGGTGAGAGGTGAGGTTGTAATGAAACGTGGAGGTGTGTTTTATCCTGAAGTTTGCTGGTCAAGTACGGAGGATGCAGTTGGAAAGCGGTAGAGGAAGATCTGGACGGGGAGTGTGCTGATGACAACAGAGAGATATTTTCTTCCTTTGTAAGCTGTATACATATTCGCCCATTGCTCTGAACAGTGATCGTTGGAGAGTGAAAAGGAAAACAAAAGGCCCCTTGATCAAGCGCCTGTCGCTTCTGGTATTTCCCTCCTCTTCTGTTTTGTGAACAAAGGAAAACAAAATCAACAACATACAAAAGGAAAAAGACAACACATCAAAATTCCAGTATCAACAGGGAAAAGGAGCAAAAAGGTTTTCGTAAACAAGGACGCCCAGAACTGCGTGAGCGAGTACGGGTTGGAATCATCCAAATACGATTGAAAGGGTATAGACAGAAAACAAAACAATCAAATAACAGTAAAAGAGCCCAGCCCTTTCTAGATCGCGATGCTAAACCCTCAGGGTGGGGACGAATAAATTGTGAAGAAAAAAGTCAAAAGCGCAAATAGACAATAGATATCCTAATGGATATGAGGAGCAAGACGGTTTACATCTCTATCCAGAACATCCAAGAGATAATGCGTACACATGCGAGTGCGAGCGTGTTTTTGAGGTTGAAGGAGGGGGGTTCATCAATGCCGGATTGGGGTCGTTACAGCTCAGCAGAGCGGGCACTTGCTAGACAGATCTAGTAAGCGGTGGGGTAAGCGGTAGGGTAGGCGGCACCCGAGGCGCCCGAGGGCTTGTGGATGGTGATGAAGCCAGTGGATGCGCAGCTGGAAGAGCTGGCGGCACCGGAGGTGGTGGGGTAGTAGGGAGCGGCGCTGCTCTGCTTGGGGACAACGCTGGCACCGGTGGCAGTGCTGCTGGCAATGGTGCTCAAGGCAGAGTCGAGAGTAACGTAGACGGTCTCCGAGGCAGTAACGGTGACGGTGGTGGCAGCGGCGCAGCCAGCAGAGTCAGTAGTGCTGGCGCCAGTTCCGGGAGCACCGTAGCTTGAACCGTATCCGGTGACAGCGGCCTTCTCGCCCCAGAAGCTCAGGTAAGAGCCAGTGGAAGTGGGAGAAACAGTGACGGTGTTAGTGGTGGTGCTAGTGCTCGAGAGGGTGGTAGTCGAGGTAACGTCAGACTCGCTGCTGTTGCCCGAAGAACCAGCGCTGTAGCCAGAAGCGCCAGCCGAAGCGGCGGGAGTGGCGTAGACAGTCTGAGTCTGGTAGGCGGTGGAAGTCTTGTGGATGGTGGTGGTTACAACAGACTTGGTGGATCCAGTGCCAATGGTGTAGGTGAGGGTCACATCGGTGGTGAAGGTGGTGTAGGCGGTGGTGGTCTCGTAACCGGTGGCACCGGCAGAGGGAGCAGAGGTCACACCAGATCCGTAGGCGCCAGTTCCGAAAGCAGCGTTCGTGTTGATGCTGGGGTAAGCAGAAACACCGGTGCTCAGAGGAGCGACAACAGAGGAAGCAGCGCTGGTCTCAGCGGCAGCGGCGGAAGACTCGTATGCGCCAGTGGAGAGGGGAATGGCAACCGAAGAGGCCTCAACACTAGTGGAGAGAGGGACAACGGGAGCGACCGAGGAGGAAGCAGCAGTGCCGACAGGGGCGACGACAGAGCTGGAGCTCTCGATGGGAGCGTAGCTGAAGGCAGCAGCAGAAGAGGTCTGGTTGAAGTTGCCGTAGTCCTGGCGCTTGTACTGGGCGTTGGCACCGACAGCCAAGGCTGCGGCCATGAGGGAGGAGCTGAAGTGCATGATGATGATATGTCTTGGAGTAGGTAGGACCGTTTAGGAAGCGATTGCAACGTCGAAGTCGTGAGAACTCGTGGTAATGCTGGATGTGCTGTGGTGGAGTGAATGTGGAGGCAAGAAATCAATTCCGCGCTCAAAGCAAACAATCAAAGAGTGACTGGTGGTGAAAAAGAGTGTGGTGTCTGAAAGAGACGTGAGGACCGGACGAGAAACGCTTGGTAGTCTTGAGGGTGAGGAAGAAGTAGGAGAAGCGATGGGGAAGCGCGTGAGAAAAGGCGATTCAGAATGCCCGTGTGGCACACCGGTGCACGAGTTCTTCACCTACAATCTATCATACCCTGCAGCAAACCATAATCACATTCAATCTACGGGTGTAGTGCAGGACGCAGTCTGCGGCCAAGGTTGCGTTTCATCGAATCAGACCGTTGTTGGATGGACCAGCTAGCGTGGCGATCTCCGCTTAGCGCGGCCCCCTATCGCTTGTTCCTGAACGGGTACCTGACAGCGTGCAGCTTTGACAAACTTCTACAGACCCTTTGCCCGGCTTTTTCGCGATACACTGCGACCGCCGTTCGGTTTCGAAGAGTATATATTCCCTAACTTAGGGTTATCGTGTCGCAGAGCCCCCTATTTTTGTACTGTTGGAGGATATTCAGCAACTGTCAAGATGAAAATATAGCAACCCCCAACTCTGTTGCGCTGTTTAGTTCTCCGGACCTTGTCGATGGCTGAAAATCGGAGCAGCACCTCATTTCCTTTGGCGCTCCTTGGCTGGCTTGCCCTCAACCAACAACAAAATTTCTCGTCGGCCTTTCTGCGCCGATCTGATGATTTCGGCTGTCTGATCCCGGCGTGTGGCACATTGGCACTACTGTAGAAACCACAAAGGAAGCCAATTATCAGTCGTCATCTTAGCATGAGCCGGGGTGTTGGTTCGTTTCCCGGGTCTCGAAGTGTTTACGGACAAAGAAGGTCTCGAACACACCGGTACGAGGCGTCGCAACATGCAGCGATTCTGTTGCGTTATCGAACATGTTGCTCATGTTTGCATGTCGGACAAAGATGCAACGGCCTGCAACTAGTCCTGTACGTAGAACGCTCATCAATGCCGAGCGCAAGACCCGCGGACCGCCAACAGAGCCTCGCAGCAGCGTGAGCTGTCAGAATCCTCCTCTTCAGGCCGCAATCTGCCAAAGCTTCCGACAACTCGTGGCCTCATTGACCTGCCCCGTCCTTGTTTCGCCCAGCAATACCCACCAGTACTCCAGATCTGACCATAATCTCGGCCAACATGACTGACTGTGTTGCGTATAAAACATGATCGATCTGCTGGAAATGAGGTGCTTGGATCTTCGCCATGGGGACGACATGCTGTAGGCAACAAATTCCGGACCTGAATTTTATCGGTATTATGGGTCTAGGGGCCAGTTCGTCCTCTTTAATATAAAGGAGTTGGAGTAAACGTGCTCACCAATTCACCATATCGTCTAGCCATCCCAACGTGCTTAGTGCTTCTTCGATCAAACTAGAAGAGGTCTGGCAAAATTCAACGGTGGAAACATCTATTAGTTACTGTGATGTTCGTAGCAGCGATACCTGCAACCATACCAAGTTACCCTCGATAATTAGCACGTATGGATACGGGTGGCCTTGAAAGTCCAGAAAAGATGAAACGAAGTCATGAGAGACGGCCTCACGATGCCAAATCATGATTTTGCCGAGTGGATAATAGCAACCAGTCTGTCGACAGGACGTGATCTGTTCAGGCGCGTCTCTGGATCAACAACACCTGATGGCCTGAATCCTTGATCAGGGTATTCTTTGTTTTGGTGACGCCGACGATTCTCATGACATTTGCTGAGCTCGACACTTGAGCTGATGAGAAACAACTCTGCTCATGGGTCGATAACCCTTCCAATACTGTGGCTAATGTCGGGACAATTACGTCTGATTTGGTCTCGTCGACTGCGAAATCGAAATCAAGTCACGGCCTGGCTCTTCGATATGACTGGCGAGGATCCAGTGATCCAGTGATATGCAGAAAAAGAAAGAAGAATACTTATCTTTCTCAGTGGCCCGCCATCATGCACTGCGATAAGCGTAGACCATTCGTGGATTCTAATTCTTGCGGCATCTGCTGCAATGGGACGGTCGTGAGACAGAATTTCGCATGTGGTTTTGATAAGACGCAGCAAACATCGATGTATGTGGTGGATGCCGCGTCCGGAGTAATGAGGCTGAGCTCGTAGGCGGTGAAATGCTGACTCTGAGTTACACTTGGCGATAGTACATCCAATACTACCAAGAGCTTTCGGTCGCATCGCTCACGATTTTTCCATCTCGGCGTTGACGATTGTTGTGATCTAGCTGGGGGAATTTCGTGCTCATGAGGACAGTAAATGGTGGAATAAAGACGGATGTTCTGTTTCCGGTGCATGCTCCGCACCTTGATGTCCTCGGCAGTACTGTAACAAACGTCGCCCCAGTTATTGGCTAAATGGAAGATCCGCAGAGAAAAGCGCAGTCGCAACTTGTAAGATGAGACTCGACCTATAAAGGACACAATGCTTTATATGTCGGCCGAACTCGCCCGTGGTGGTATAGAGGATTACCGGGACATGGCAGCATACGCAAAAAGTGATAAGATGGCACAGTCTTGGTGCATATTGGATAAAAGGAGGGAGAATGCTGACAGGTGCACGAGGAGCGGAAACAAAAAGCAGCGGATCCGTGTAAATGCAAGGTTGCGTATGATTGGCGGAATGATTGTGGGGATTTTCCCGCTCGACTGGGGAACGTTTTGGTAAGGCCGAGGGGTAACAAAGTCACAATGCGGGATGGAGCTCGAGACGGCGAGGTGGACGGTGAGATCTTCTGTTTCGACGTCTCCAGGTCAGATTTGCCGCGCATGACGGACGCCTATCCTTGTCTGGCCGCTTCGACTCGATATCGCGATTCTCTCCGTTAATCTTCCGTCCTCTGGACTGCTCCTGCCTACCTATACTTGGCTGCACGAAGACATGGGAAGCAACCTAGTGGTGCCGCTCCTTCCTTTACCATCGTCGCTCAATCGTCTTCGCCTTTCCATCTATACGTCCTGACCCGCTTCCCCACCAGCCCGCCTCATCCATCCATCGTCTCTTGACGACCTTTGCTCAAGAGACAGGCCCGCAGAGCCGAGCCATCCATGGCTACCAGAGTCCAGGTCGAGACGTCGACCATGTCATTCACGAAACCAAGGCCCATCGTCGCTGTCGAGGAAGTCCGTGGTCATGAGGAGCCGAGTATTCTGGTGCTGTATGAACGAAATCAAGAGCAGATTGTTGCAGAAATAGCCGGCGTGTTGGGCCAACAGTGGCGTCTGGTCAGTCCTGGAGACAATGAGCCTTGCCCCGTTGAGGGTACTGTCATTGGTGTCTCCGATGCCCACGACCTCTCCCAAGTTCAGAGATGGCGTGGCTCTAGCACCATCTTGGCCACCCACTGCCTAGACGACCGCAATCCTGCCGTTGGCTCTCGATCGTCCATCTGCGACTACGAATACCTGTACACGACAAAACCCTTCTTGAGGAGAGACCTGGCTAGATTTCTCTCCTTCATCCTAGGTCAGATCAACCCTCATAAGGACCTTGCGAAGAAAGCAAAGACGACTTTAATCTCTACTACCTTCCCCGACGTCCACGCCGCCCTACCGAATCTCGACATTCTCTCTGTCGGTGCCGACGCCATAGAGATCCGTGTCGACTTATTGAAAGAGACCAAGTCCGATGGCTCTGTCAGCGACATACCAAGCTTGCAGTACGTGGGCGAGCAATTGATGACCCTGCGTCAGCGAACAGAATTACCTATAATATTCACAACTCGCTGTACGAAGGAGAATGGACGTTTCCCCATGGACGACCCCAACTTGTTCTATGACTACTTGTATCGCGCCGTCCAGTGGGGCTGTGAGTACATCGATGTCGAACTCTGGCTTCCTGAAGACATTAGACGCAAGCTAGCCTCTCAGAAGGGTAATAGCAAAATCATATCGGCCTTCCACGACTTCTCTGGTAATTTCAAATGGACTTCGCCCGACGCTCAGAGATTGTTTGAACAAGGTGCAGTGTATGGAGACGTGGTCAAGATGATTGCTCTGGTCAGCACCATGCAGGAGAACTATGAATTGGAATACTTCCGCTCCATTATTCAAAGCACTTACCCCTACCCGCCCTTCTCTGGTCTCAACATGGGTCCCATGGGCCAGCTGTCTAGAGCGCTGAACAAGATCTTCACGCCAATCACACATCCGCTGTTGCCCATCATCGCCGCACCAGGACAACTCAGCGCTGCTGAAATTAATTCTGCCCTCCATTCTATGGGCCAGATGCCGAAACTTGACATGTACTGTTTTGGTAGCATGAGGGCCACTGGCCAGGCCATGTTCTTCGAAAAGTGCATCAACGAACTGAGCCTACCGCACCAACTTGTCTGCGTGGAACAAAGTACCCAGGACGGACTCGCTACAGTGGTCAAGGTACCGCATTTTGGAGGTGCTTTCATCAACCCGCCCATCGCCGCATCAGCTCCTTGCCTACCTTCAATATCTGACGCAGCTGCTTCAATTGGCCAGATTGACACAGTGGTAGCTTCTTCAGATGGTACCAAATCGAGTCTTGTAGGCGACAACGCCACATGGAAAGGAATACGAGCTACCCTTTGCAGAGATTTTGTTCCCTCAGCGTATAGTGGACAGGCTGCCTTACTGCTCGCGAGTCAAGAGTCACAAGCAGCAGCGGCGATATTTGCTCTCCGCAGTCTCAATATCGGACCCATCTATACTATTGGCTTCAAGGTCCAAGGGCCGCTCTCTGGGTTTGTCACGCCTTTCAGAGGACTGGAAGACGTCAAGAAAGTTGAGCAGCCATCTGTCATCATCTCAGCACTCCGAGCAGACAAGTCACTCTTGGTATCGCCTTTACTGAAACACTACGGAAGCCACAAACAAGAGCAGCGAAGAGCAGCAAAGGTCTTCCTTGACCTGAGCAACGGACCTCGAAAAGGAGATCCAGTCGCGCTCGCGCAAACACAAGGCTGGGCTGCATATGGTATTGCTGATGTCAATGCGTGGACTACAGTCGAGACTTTGAGGCTTCTGGTGGGACAGAACGTCCCCTATGATTTTGTGCGGCTTGCAGCTGGGCGAAGCATCTACTGATGGATTGATGATTGCATATTGCTGGGCGTTTGGGCGCCAGTTAATACTCTGGGCTTGACATTTTTTGTTTTCTTCTATTTCTTTATCTCCTACCGTGTATTTGAGCCGACGAGACTCACTCCGGTTCATGGCAGCGAAGGGAGGCTGATGCATAGAGCTCATCTTGGAGAATCAGATGAAGTGTCCATCACCCTAACGAAAACCTGTCTACCACGCCTTGATCACTTGTCTCCTGACCATACCATCCGTCCACTCCAAGCTGACCACAGATAGAACGGAAAATTCTAGCAGTCATGTGCTCATGGAAAAGGCGGCATCCATGATGGCGTCTTCTGCATATTGAGACGCTGGACCCAAAGCAAGAAATTAACCGAGGTGTTAGGGCTAGAATGATGGAACAAGTGGGCCCGAAGCTCGTGTGCGGAGACGGTCATCTCGGCTGCTTGCTCATCGATCTTTGAACAAGATTCGAGCCGAGTCTGGGGATGTGTTTGCATCACACCTGTGGACTCGAGCGAATGAATGAGGTTCTGCAGTATGCACAGGGGCGATAGAAGGCGGGTGTGTAGTGAAAGCAGTAGGTGGACACGAGGATGGCCTCGTGGATGTTGATCGATTCAATATAGCGATTTGAAAGGCGGCGCCGTTCGCATGCAGCGTTCCCCGCTCTAACATGGCCTCCGCTACCACGGGGCGTGACCCTGGGGCTAGAAGTTGAAGCTCGAGATCCGGGAGTCACAGCGCACCCGAGAACCTTCCTAACCCCATACCGAGTCACCTATCTATCCACCTACCTCTTCCAACGTTCGTGATCGTCAGCATTTCTTCAGACGCAGAAGGGCTGCGCGTTGTCCCCTCCTCACCTTCTCGCCATAGCACCCCGGACGTTGTCACTCGAAAGAGTGCTGGCATGAGGAACTCTCTATACATATCTCGTTGGAGCAGAGCCGGTAGTCATTGTGTCATCGGATCACTGCAATGTCTCGGCCACAGATTGGTATAGACCGTCTTCCAGTGCGACGTTCGAGCCACGAACCAAAGGAAGCCATGAACTGCAAGAGTTGTCGCAAGAGAAAGGTGTGTCCGAGATGATGATTACACGTACGCGCAAAAGACTCAGACTCGGCAAAGATCAAGTGTAACCGTCTGCGACCGTCTTGTGAGGCCTGCCAAGTCTTCAACTGTGACTGCATCTATGGTCAGAACTGGTCCCTTCCTCTTACAACAATTCATCGAGACTGACTCGTCCTCCTGCACAGATGCGGTTCCCAAGAAACGAGGCCCGAAAACCGACGTGCTCGAAGCATTGCTGAAACGCGTCAATGGATTGGAAAAGCGATTGAAAGATGAAGGGAAAGATCCGGACGACAACACACAAGAGGTGACAATTGCGGAAAGCGTGAGAGATGCAGTGGACAAGAAGCCGACGAAGAACGCCCTTACTCCGCCAGATGCTGTTCCACCGGCAGCCGAAACACAGCCAACGCAGCAACCACGACCGCAACCCCCACAGCGTCATCCAAGCATAGGCTTCCCTGAACAATTCGTGCGGTGAGGATTCGTGACTGCCGATTCTGTGAAGCTGTGCTGAGTGCCAAGTTAGCCAACAAGCGCCATCCGCTCTCCAGAACAATACCCTACTCGATGCCTACTTCACGCGAATACACAGCAAGCCATACTATATTCTTGATGAGGCCGCGACTCGTCAAAGATGGCAGACTGGCCAATTGCCTCCAAGCGTCATCAACGCCATCCACGCCGTCACTGCTCGGTGCGTCTCGAACTTGCGCTAGGAAATGGTCAAAGGACTTGATCTGACAGAGTCCAGGTTTGCACCCCAGCATCTCGGTGGACACAACGCTGCAGTCCGTCACAGCGAAGAATGTGCAGTGCGTGCTCGCAATCTCACCGACATCGACGATCCGACCATCGAGAACGTACAAGTCCTGCTCTTACTCTCGAATGCCTTCTTCCAAGCTGGCAAGGGCAAAAAGTCGTATATGCTTCTAAGTCAGTATCCCACGACCAACAGTACCAAGACTCGAACGCTGACCTGCCTAAAGCCAGTGCTATCAGTATGGCATACGCCCTCAGCCTGCATCGAGAGCTTCCTGCTGGACTCCGCATATCACCGAACGAACGAGAGGGACGTCGCAAATTATTCTGGACCTGCTACGTTATGGACCGTTTCCTTGCCTCGGGATCCAAGCGACCCTCCCTTATCGCAGACGAGGCCATATTCCTACGATTACCCGGTTGGCAATCCGATTCTACCTCGATACCTTACGAGGGCAACTTCTTTTCTAACGGAGTCAATCTACCAATGTCTTCCGGACCTGGAAGATTACAACAAAGTGGTGGATCCATGTTGATCGAGATTGCAAGAATCCTGGGCATCACAAATCGCTACCTTGCCGCAGGCGGTGTTAAAGGCGACTCGCATTTCCCATGGCACGCTCAGTCCAATCTATCCAAGATCCGACAAGATCTGGACACTTGGGCTTCAGGCGCCCAAGATGCATTCTTGTCGATAGAGACACTGTTCGGTCAGACAGAAAGCCAGACATTGGTCTTGAGCAAGTTGGTCTATCATCTGATCCACTGTCTGATATATCGTCCTTTCCTGCCTATTGACTTGACCGAACTTTCTGGGACTGGCCAGCATCAATCATGGCAGATCGAAGCCACAAATCTCTGTTTCTTGCATGCCAATGCCATTTCAGAATTGACGGAAATAGGCAAGCATTCGTCCATCACAGATTGGCCTGCCTTTGTCGGTTATTGTCTTTGCACTGCTGGAACTATTCACGTGCATGGTGCACACTACCCCAGCCGAGAAGGCGACGTTTTTACTCGCAGTGCTGAATTTCTTTCCAAAGAAATGTCCCAGCTATCAGAAATGCGCATCATCTGGGCCGGAGTTCAGCATCAACGAGAGACGTTGCAGACAGTCTATGGCTGTCATTCCCAGCTGGTGAAATCGCTAGCCACCAACCCCATGCGTTTCTCGCCTGTCTTCCAGATGGAAGATTTCTTTGACCGATATCCTGGACAGTTCATTGATGGAGCGCACATTACATTCACTGACATTACGGTCGAAGCTCTGCACGAGAGTCTGCCGGCATACAATGCCTATAACAACACCAACGGCAGCACCAATACCTGGCAATGGACATCCCAAGCTCAGGGTGGTCCCTCAATATCACCCTCCGCTACGGCAACCGCCAAGCCATCTAGTCATATGAACAACGACCGCCATGTCTCCACAGCAAGTCGCAAACGTCGACGGACCAACGATGCGTTAAGCACCAGCCCTCCAAACCTTCCCGCCGTGATAAACGACCCGGCACTAAATCCTCTATCACCACATCCGGATTTCACGAATAATCCGTTGACTTCACCGGCTGCTGCTCAGCCACCTCACACCTCAGCGGCAGATGAAAACCAGACGTTTTCGCAAAATCCGCTTTCGCCATCCTTTTCCTTCTCACCATGGCAATCTCACCTCTCTCTTCCATCAGACCCAAATCTCAACCCGGCACAATTCGATAATCTGTTCAGTATCCCTGGACAAAACCATACAGCTGTGTTCGATCAACAGACGCCAGGAGGAATGTCGGCGAATGGCAGCGTCAATACAGAAGGAGACAAAGATCCATTCATGAGTCTGCTAGAACAATTGGCCGAGAACGAACAAACCGGGCATGGAGGACCCAGCGATTTGGACTTCTTCTTGAGTTCGAATGGCGGACAAGGATGACGAAAGCCAATGTGTGACGAAAGAAAAGTGTCGGTTGAATTTGTATAGTATGCATGCATCAGTACTTGTAAACAAGTGGCGTATCATGGGGTGTGTTCATATTTTCATATCATGTTTGACGGAAAACGAAGAACAGAAGAGGGAGAGATAAATGTATATAATTGATGCGAGGGAATGAATATTATGTGAGGAGAGCATGAAACCATACACACTCGAATTGAAATTGTGTCTATGCAATGTCCTACAGTACGCCATTATCTTGTGGAATTCTAAACACACGTTTTGACATCTAGACCTGAATCTTTCTACACCGTAAACGCCTCGCTATATGGCTGGTTCCTGTCGCTGGGGGTTTTTCTACAGGTTACATCGATTCTTCTTTCTCTGTGTCAGGTCTGTCGGTGCCATCCACTCAAGCATGTGCTTTGGACAGCGCATAAACTTGTATACTCTCCTCATCCCCATCCTTCTGATCGAGAGTCGAAAGATCCACAGCCGTCTCATTGAGATTCTGCCTAAAACATCTACCAGGATGGAAGATATTAAGCAACACCGCCGCGACAGAAATCATACTATCCCATCAATCATTGTCAGCAAAAGAACCCCTTGCAGGAAAGTAAAGACAAGAGTCGGAAAAAACTTACACGGAATCCAAAATGATGAATTCGTTTTCCCTTCGCATGATGGGAGAACCCCATCCATCCTTCAACTCGGCAATCCGATAAGCACATCGTACAAAAATAAACACGAATGCCAAGATTGCAGAAATGACAAACATGCGGAATCCACTCGCTTGCCAGAGATGACCGGCATGAGGTTCCAATGTATCTCTAGCACCTGCTATGCGGAAGAAAAACACACCAGCGAGTATTGCAAAAATCGCCAGAGTAACCACTTGGCTGGAAAGACCGGCGATCATGACATTGACGCCTAGATCTAGGAGTTTCTTGTTCGTGCCGTTTGCTGCGGCGGCGGAGATTGCGCCGCCGGCTCCTTGGAGGATTATGGCTGCTAGATCGCAGGAGACGAAGATGGGTGTGTAGAGGGATGGTTTCAAGGGTGAGAGGCGTGGGTTTAGGGAAAGGGTCAGATGTTTGAGGAGGAGGTAAATGCCTGCTGTTAGGAAGGCGGGCGCGAAGGTCAGGAGGACGATGTTTAGTTTGAAGCCTGTAGCGGAGAAAGGGTCGGCAGAGAGCATTAGGCGAGAGCCATAGCCTGGATATATGGTTAGTTGCTAGTTGGCGGAGAGGTGCTATAAAAGTGGTTATTGACTTACCAACACTTTCAAGTGCTGTGCCTAGGATCATGGCGATGGAGAAGCCGAGCCATTTGCGATATAATCGTGCTTGGTAGCAGAAGGTCAAGCAACTGATGGCGAAGATGGCGACAAAGAAGGCATTAGCGCCGAGATTCGGTGCGTATCCATAGATCGAATATGAAGCCGGACATGTGTCTTTTGTACAGTGTTCAGGTCGAGTTGCTGCTCGAGCGAACATGGCTGGTGAAATGGACATCTTGTGGGCTATAAGGCCTCTTGTCGGCTGCGATAAGTCGTAGTTGAAGGAAGGTAAGATAGAATCGGATTGTTCTCTCGGTGACGTTGAAGAAAATATCGTAATTGAAAAAAGGACGATGACAAGAATCAAAGACGAGAAAGACAGTGGTGACGAGGAAGTTCAGCAGCACATAGCATGACTCAATGAACTGGCAGTCGATCGTTCTTACCGTAATGCGATGTATCGAGACCAAATCATCTAGGAGTCAAGGAAAGAGCTATCACAAGGGCAGCCTACATACTATATCCCAAAGTGCCATGTCCGAGGAATATAACGGCAGATAGCAAGACTACTTCATGCCGCATAGCGGAACGATATACGACAAAAAGACAGCGCTGCCCCAGTGTCGACCGTTTGTTCTCCCTTCAATTACCGTCATTCGTGGGCCGAGAACACCAAAGGGTTCGCGGATATGACAGACGATTGCGACTGCGCAGCTGGCGACAGACGTAAACGAGATGAGCAGGCCCGCAGTGAAAGCTGTGCGCAGCGCTAACAGATATAAAAGGACACCATAAGGCTGAAACTTGCAGATTTAAAGTTTTGCCAAGCTGAGATCGAGAGGCCGGAGCTAGCATTCTTATGGCAGTTCTAGCGAAGGTCAGCTACTCTATCTACTCGATAGCACACGCAGATGATATAGGAGATTAGGGAAGGGAAGGAAACAGGCACAGCGCGGGATGGGAATATATTGAGGTTATACAAGAAAACAATCAAAATAACATGAAGGAAGCCCGTTCCTTTTTGTCCTAGCATTTTTCTATATCTCGTTTACGCCGAACACCACATATTTTGCGTCAAAATGGCTCGATCGAAAAGGGGATCTAGTTCTTGGTCTCGACATTGATGGTCTGCTGCTCCTCCTTGGCAGCCTGGTCGGCCTGGCGAGCGGCTTGCACAGAGATGACGTTGGGGAGAGGAGGAAGCAGAGAACGTGTGGCCTGGCGAGCGTTCTGAGCCATCAAAGCGTCCATGATGACGAGAGCGGCCATGGCCTCAACGATGGGAATGGCACGGGGAACGACGCAAGGGTCGTGACGGCCCTTTGCCTCGAGAACACCCTCAGTCTCGTTGTAGGTTGCGGTAGACTGCGATTGGCCAATGGTGGCAGCAGGCTTGAAGCCGACAGAGAAGTAAATGTGAGCACCGTTGGTGATACCGCCCTGGATACCGCCAGAGTTGTTGGTCTTTGTGGTCAGACGAGGGCGAGCGATACCAGCCTTAGCGGCACCCGAAGCAGCGGCTGAGCCCTTGGGAGCAGGGGCGACGATAAAAGGGTCGTTGTGGATGCTACCAGGGACCTTTGTACCGCCGAAGCCTGAACCGATCTCGAAGCCCTTTGTGGCAGGAATGCTCAACATGGCGTGGGCCAACATTGCCTCCATCTTGTCGAAGCAGGGCTCACCCAGACCAGAGGGCACGTTGCGGATGACACAAGTGACGTTGCCACCGATACTGTCCTCCTGCTCCTTGTACTTTGCGATCAATTCGGCCATGCGGTCGTTGGCTTGGTCGTCGGGGCAGCGGACGGGAAGGAACTCGTCGACCTTCTCGCGCGTGATTTCGTCGATGAGCTTGAGGAACTCCGGGTTGGTAGAGGGGGTAGGGTGGTCTGCGGTGGCAGGGTAGAGCTGCTCGTGTCCGACGGAAGAGGTGAAGGCGACGATCTCGATGCCGTGGGCCAGTCTGAGGTACTTCTCGGCGATGGCACCGGCAGCGACACGGCCTGTGATTGTGTCAGCATACAAGCTGAGCAGTCTGGAACGGTATAGTCTCACCAATAGTCTCACGCGCACTGCTTCTGCCACCTCCACTGCTAGCCTTGACACCGTACTTCTCCAGGTAGGTCCAGTCGGCGTGGCTAGGGCGAGGGTACAGGTCCATGGTGCTGTTGCCGTAGTCCTTGGGTCTCTGGTTCTCGTTCATGACGCGCATGCCAATGGGGGTGCCCAATGTGATTCCGAACTCGGTTCCCGACTGGATCTCGACCTTGTCCTTCTCATTGCGTGGTGTCGTGATGGCGCTCTGTCCCGGTCTACGTCTGGTCATCTGAGGTTGGATGTCGGCCTCGGTGAGCTCCATACCCGGCGGCACTCCGTCGACGATACATCCGACACTAAGGCAGTGCGACTCGCCATAGCTGTATAGAGACAAGGTCAGTCGGAGGGGTTGAGAGTCATAGCATGAGGGGTTGAGCGCACGTCGTTACTTTGAAATGCGTTCCGAATGTCGACATGATGTGTGGACTTGTGGAAGAACAATCTGTATCCTAGAAAACAAAGCGACAGGGAGAAATGCGAATGATCAATTGCTCGTTATTGCTCGTCCGAGTCATCCCTCCAGAAAAAGTCCAGCCCGCGATCGGCGCCGTCCAGCGACTCGGCTTCCAAATCGTCAACGAGTCGAGCCCGACGTCACAACACATGAAACATCATCAACCATCAGGACATGATATATTTCTGCTGATTCTCAACTTTCATTCGATTTCATAGCGTCTGTTCTTTACTGAAGGCCGGTCCTTCCTTGCAACTGTTCGATAGCCTTCTGTTCCAGCGATTATCTAACCACTGGCGAGCATATTTGATGATCTTTTCTCGCAACCCATTATAAATTATCCATGACAACAATTTCCCTGGACATCTCGTAAAACAGAGACGCCATGGCATTATCTGGAAAACCCATCCATTTCGGATCGTTGGACCTTCCTTCTCCAACACGTCAGCTTTCCTACTTCTCCACAGACTGTCTTGTAGGTTTCCCCAGTCTACCAATGGCGTTTCTACCAAGCATCCCGTCCATAACAGTAGCCTCTCCACCAGTGCTGCGCGCAGGTATTCGCTTCTGGACCTTTGACCATGTTCGACATATTCTTGCTCCCTTACACCTACCAGTCTGGTTAACAGGTGGACCAGGAGGTGCAGCAGGTGGCTTTGACGAAGTATATGCTTGAAGAGAGAATCACTCAGGCCAGGGCATCATGATGGTCCATAAGGCGTAAAGAAAGTGGTCCCAAGCCACCCATACGAGGAAAGCTGCGTAGACTGCAGAAAACAGGCAGTGCACTATAAGCGACGCCTAGGCCCAAAACTTGCGCTGCCTCTTAAGCTTGATAAGGTCCTTTAGGTAATCGACATTCTCCTTATGATTGCGTTTCTGCATCTGTAGCATTCTGTACAGCATTCGGGAATTCCTTTCTATGGCTTTCGCTAGCGGTGACGGTGGTCTTGTTGATAGAGGATGGTGTCGTATCGTAGGTAGTGGTACGGGTGTTCGGGATCGCTATAGAGGTTAGTATGATGAGCCTAGTAAAGTGTATCTTAAGCTTACGGTAGTCATCGGTACGATCGTACTTCTAACCCTAATCGTGCGTGCTGCCCTAGAAAGGAGTAGTGGCATGTTGGTGGTGTTGATGATGAAGGGTAACATTATCGTCGATTGATGCTGTATTGTGAATGCAGTTTTTGTCTCTTGAATGTGGTGGTTGTTGTCAAAGAAGAGTTGCAAGCGGGCAAGATGGAGAAAGTGCAGGTGCCAAGCTTCTTTGCGGCCACGATAGGCACTGTGATTGCAGTACAAGTCACGAGCTGTGCAAACCTGCTTGAGAACGTCGATGCCGGACATTGATTAGGGATCAGACACGATGTCCACGACCAGCGTTAATCTTCATTTTTGGAGCTTCCGTTCTCTCTAGCATGGAAAACAACAATCATGTCACTTCCTTATGGCAGCTCAGAACCTCACCATGAATTCTTCAGGGTCCGAACGTACGTCCCAGCTCCACCCTCTACTTGAGACGTCGCACAAAAGACCAAAAGAGCGTCATCTTCGCCAGCAGCACTATGCTCGAAGAACCAAAAAAGAACAAAAGGACTGTCGCAGCCGTGAATCGAACACGGGGCTCGTGCATGGCAAGCACGAATTTTACCACTAAACCACTGCGACTAGAGATATCATCACAATCACGTGATGACAACTCTGCCAAAACATCCAGGATCAACCTTTGAATCTTTTGGAAAGGAAGAGAAAACCTAAGGCATCCGGACCGATCGATGATCAGGTGTAACACAATGCGACAAAGACCATCCAAACTTCTGTATCTTCAATTGCAAAGCGCCAAATACTCAGATGGACGCACAAAGCAAGCCAAACACCACCAAAAGATCACGCAAACCAAACAGATCCAGAAGCGAAAGAAAAACTTGGAAAGAAAAAAAGTTTGGGTATCTGACATACGAACAAGGAACTCAAAAAGCAATGAGAAATAAAACCCGGGAAGTAAGGAACCAGATATCGGAAAGCAACAGGAAACACATCACTCCGTAGCTTCTCCACATCTAACAACCACCTCTGCCGCAAACTACACAGCGGCGTTAGATGTCCTCCTACTCAGGCTAGCACTGGCATTACTTCCCCTCCTACCACTATTACTACTCACACTAGCCGCTCTAGCCAATCCAATAGTGGCTCCAGCCCTCTCCTCGTAGATCCTCTTGAGATCATCCACAGAACTCTTGCGCAACCCTATCTTCTCAACCACTGGTGCGATTCTATTCGAGTCGGGAATTTGCTGTTGCTGGGCTACTGCAGTATTGTGCATTGATTCGATGGAGGCCATGCGTTTGAGCAGACCAGGTGAGGGTGTGCGTGGTCGAGGGGCGTAGGTGGGTGCAGAGAGGGTTGTTGAGATGGGGGTGGAGAGGGAAGGGTTGCGAGAGGTTGTTCGAGAGGATGCCGCCCAAGTAGGTTTGACAAAGATGTTATCGTCCTTTTTGGGTGGTGAGGGGATACGGGCAGATACTGAGCGTTGTTGTGGTGCGGGAGCGGAGTCATTGCCTGTTGGTGAGCCCGGCGATGCTGTTGAGGACACTGGCTTTCTCTTGACAACATCGTTTGCTAATGAGTTTCGTAATTCCTTCATAAAGTCGTTTTGTGTAGGCGCTGTAGCTTTCGAAACTGGCTTGGCTGGCACATTTGGAGGCGACTCGTTGTAAGGTACGGCAGTCTTCATATCCGTAGCAAAACTATCGAGCGGGCTCGTATGGCTTACGGACGACTGTGACGCGGTGCATCTATGGAAAATTGCTTGCGGTGGAGGAGCGACACCTATAGGTGCAGGCTTACGTTTGACAGGTGAAGCGAGACTATCAGATCTTGCAGGGAAGGCCGACTGTGATGCTGCACGCTGGCGAGTTTCTACCGCAGGCCGAGGTGGTAGAGCAGGTTTCTCTGATTCATCATCCTGGAGCGTGATTCGGTGTGATTTGTCCGAGTCTTGCGAAACGTCCCTGTAGCCTTCCTGCAGAGGATCTTCGTAGTCCTGAGCAGCCGGAGGCGGGCGTAGTGCAGCAGCGAACGAGTCCGAGGCAGTCTCGCAAGCGTCCCGCAGACCATGAGACCAATGTTCTACAGCAGCTTCAAGCACGCGACGAACGATAGAGGTCATCTTTGCATCAGCCAACTGATCAGAGCCACATACGAGGGCTGGCGAAAAGCAGATGGCTAGATTGTCAGGTGTCATCTTGTTTGTGGCTTGATAGCTTGTGACTAGAGACAAAAGAGGGAGGAGGTGCAGTATTAAGATCAGCCTGGCTTGTTGCGATAGACATGAGGTGGTCGATGTGGGAGACAGCATTTCGACCAGGTCATCCATTTCAATGTCGGCATCGGGGCTTCCAAACTTGTATCTCAATTCATCATAGCAATTCTCATGGAAGATTGGAGTTTTCAGTTCACGATACCAGAGCTTGATCAGACCAGCAGCCAAGTGTACGCCGTATGCGTCGGATTGGTGGATGTTTCTCAGAGTTTCGTGGTCCAGATCAGGTTGGGTGTACGAGATTCCGCCTTCTTTCCAAACAATGAAATGCTGACCACGATCATAGGCTTCCCTCAAGATGCCAACAAGGATGGATTGAGGAGGAATGCGAAAGATGCCCTCAGTCTTGATGTTCTCACTCTGGCAGAGGAAAGTGGTTGTTTCTCTTAGCACGCGCGGCAGGCGTCTCTGGCCGTATAGGTTGCGTGGCATAGGGTCGTTGGCACCAAAGGCTCTACGGCCACTAACGTAGGGCGAGTGAATGTCTGGCGAGAGACGGCGATCGTGGAGGTAGACGTTCGGCGGGATGAGTAGCTTCTCGATGGGAATGTGCAGAGCCAGCGAGGAAAGGGTCGAGACGTGGACGATCTTCTTGCGGAACTTGGGCGAGACTATTGTGCCAAAGACCTCGATAAGCACACGCACCCAGCTGCGTTCATGTACGACGTATAGCTTCTGCAGTCTCTTGCGGATTGCCCTGCTAAGCACATGGTATGCTTGCAGGTACCACCCCATTCCAGGACCGTTCTTCTTCTCCGACGTGGCACTCTCGGGCTGTCCGCCAGCGAAGAAGATGATCTCATACTCTTCTCCTGCAATCAGCTCTTCCTCTCCGGGCAGTCTAGCCAGGACATATGGCAGAAGCGCATCGTAGTCGACTTCAAAGGCATCGGGGAAGGCGGCGGCATTGAGGATGTATACGGGGAGTCCAGACTCGGACGGTAGGGGCGAGCGATATAGGATTGAAGCGGCTGTATCGGCGTAGTCGTTGATGTATTCGGGCGAGTGTAGCGGTGGTGGAACGGCACTCAGCGATGTGCTCCGGAGTCGAGTCGCGCGCTGCGCAAAGGCCCTCATGCTGAAACAGACTCGACTTCTACTTTGAGCTTTTCTGCTTTGTGTTCCGCTGGACCTGGACTTTGACCAAGAAAAGATGAAGAAGTGACGAGTAAAAGAAAGGTGCACGTTACGTATGCACGCAACCCTTTGTGTACTTGCAGCGCCTCGCACCCGCCGAGTCAAGAATCTGGTAGCCTATGGTCGGTGATCAATTCTAAAAGACATGCATGTCACCCTGGCGTTGAAGACACGACTAGACGATAACAATACAGAGTCGGTGCGTTGGTTCTTTCGAATGTGTCCGGAGTAACTGCTGCGCTTTTCTTTGTTTGCAGCCCGTCAACATTCAAACACTCTCTCAGGGTCTTCATGCAGCCAGCCGTTGGTGGGGGAGGAAGACAACCACAACACCTTTTGGGCAACCATGACGCGTCAAACTTCAGAAGATCATCCTCACTGACCAGAGAAGCAATGTGATATGACATCTTGTACACCTGCTGACCTCTCACGAACCTCATGCTCAGCCATTGGGGCTCTTTTACACCAGCGTTCTTCGGAAATCTGACGTTGACCGTACACGCAGAAATGCATGCAAGCAAGGGACGTCCGCGGCTTCTTATCTCTTCTACTTGTCCCTTCGCGACCTCAGTACGTGACTCTCCGTCCTGTCAGCCTTTGACAACTTCCTCTGCTCTCAGTCGAAACCCTAGGAGCACTCACATGGAAATGGTCATCGCCGTCCATCAGGGTTGCAAGCAATTGCCATTACCAAATATTAAAGTCTGGAAGCACGGGAAGTCATCCGCCCTCTTCGCCCGGTAACCGGGCCGTCTCAAGAATAATACTGGACGACCACGCCCTAAAGCACGCCTTCTGACCATCGTCTCTGTCTTTTCTTTAAGAAACCCGATGTGAACTTATCAATCTTTGTATTCATGCACACCATACTGTCGTTTCTCATCATTATTTACAACTTTGCTGCCTCACCGTCCTTGCTTTCCTCTTTCTCGGCTTGAGCGGCTCTGGCTTCAGCCTTCTCGCCGACACCGGAGCCTCCCATCTTCTCAACCACGGCCTTGACTACGTCGAGAGTTGCAGCTGGGCCACCAGGCTCAGCTGCCAGAACCTCGCCATTCTTCTTGACAACGAAAACTCCACGGGTGGTACCCTTAGGTGCCTTTTTCAGTCCAATGGCTCCAATGAGCGAAGCCGAAGGGTTGCACAACAAAGGGTATGGGAGCTTTTGCTTGTCCTTGAAAGTCGTGTTGGCCTTGGGCGAATCCGTGCTCAGCCCGTAGATGCTGAGTCCAGCTGCTGTCAGAGGTTCATACGAATCTCTGAAAAGGCAAACTTGTGTTGTGCCTTCAAAGGAACCGTGTCAGCAGAAAATAGAGTATCGAGGCAGAGAACGCGCCATGTCTCTCGACATGACAACCGAGAAGGAACCTACATCCAGGAGTGCTTGCTTTGGGGTACGTGAAGAGCACAACGCCTTCTTTGCTTTCCTCGACCAATGCCTTGAGCGTAACCTTGCGACCGTCGTTTGTCTCGACTTCACCGCCAAACCCTTCGAGGTCGATTTTGTCACCGGGTTTGGGTACACCAGCAGCAGCTTTGGTCTCTGGCTCAGGAGCAGCTTCAGGAGCAGCTTCAGGAGCAGGTGCAGGTGCAGCAGTCGGCTCTGGCGCAGCAGGTTCGGCGACAGGCCCAGACTTTCCGTTCGCTTTGGTCGCCTTTGTCTTGCGCTCCTTCTTTGGTGCTGGGGCCGGAGCTGGAGGGGGTGTCTTGCGCTTGCGGAGCTCAACCATGGTTGCGACAAGCGGTGACTTGTGGTGCTGTTGGGAGAAGAGCGATGGGTTCGTTACAAGTGAAGGCAGAGGTCAAGTTGCTGATTGTCAGGTCTCAAAACACAGTGCCCGGATTTAGTGCTAATTACAAAGCGCCGGCAATGTTGCAAGGTAAGCAATTGTCAGTCAGCAAGAAGCTCGAGGTGAGCTCTCGAGCGGTTTACGCGCCCAGCTGTGAGAGCTCCCTCGACCCCGCAACTTCGGTTAAATCGACCTTCCTGCTTGAGCTGCTTGAGGACTCGCGGCTTCCCGACTGAGCTTCACTCCGAATACTCCGACCGCCGACGCCGACTAACCAATTTTGCAGGTGCCAGCAACGACCGTGCAACCTCAGGCGATGGAACAACATTCGGTCTTTCTTTTGGCTTCACAAAAGCGACTGCCGCGACGGAATCGGAGACTGCTTCTGATTTGACGTCTTGGCCTTCGTTGCTTCTACTTCCTGGCCGAGATGCGAAACCTGTCCATGGCTCGATTGAATATGTGTGTGGTCGCTTCAACAGAGGCCATACCACCATCAATTGAGCACCTGAGCATTACGCAGAAGGATGACTGGATGACAGCATAGCATCATAAAGCTCGCGAAAGTTTGCCGAACAAGTCGCTGCTTTTTTGATGTTCGCTCTTGCCACTCGGCTTCAGGTCCACCTCACGACGCGGATCTTAGAATTTGTCGCCTTGGTATGCCGCGACCAACAATGGCATTGTTCGATGTAGGTGTTTTCTCTTGTTCTCATCGGCTACAGAAGACCCTTTGTTTCCTCCTGCGTTCCTCATCTCCTTCTAGCCCCTTATATCGGCCCCAAACTCGAGTTCTTGCTGGACCGAATCGCAAACGCTTGGACCATCATCTCCAGCAAACGCTTCACTAACCCGCAAAACTTGGGTAATCGTTAAGTAAAATAAACTGCATGTTTCGGTCTTTGGGTCCAGAGCACGAGACTTTTTACGAAGAGCTCAACTGGGTGTTCCGAGATCGCTGTTTGACGTCTCGCTCATTCAGACTCATAGTTCTGCTGACCTAGTTTTTATACTTTCGTCATCCGCCTTCTAAGCATCTTTCCTACCTTTCCTCGCCCACTATCATTTTCGTTACCTCCATCGAGCTCCAGGAACCTCATATCAGGCATCCTCAAGAAGACCGACTCTTACCGTCACCACCCGAGCTCGACCCTATTGAACGCCACCATGGCATCGGAAGAAGAGAAGAGAACGGGATACACCGCTGGCAGCGTCAGCTCCTCGTCAAACACAGATTTGGAACAAGCACCGCCGCCGAGACTTCCTGACGAGAAGGATGCTATTCCCGAAGCAGATGAGACCATGACATTGGACAGCAAGAGGGAGGGCCTGATGGTGAATCCTTTTGAGAATGACGCCAACGGCGAGACCGAGTACAGAACATTGACATGGCTCAACGCTGGATTTCTCCTCGTAGCTGAGACCATCTCTTTGGGTATCCTCTCTCTTCCTGCTGTCGTCGCCAGCATGGGTTTCGTGCCTGGTGTCATCCTCATCATCTTCTTTGGCGTCCTCACAACATACACTGGTTACGTTACCTATCAGGTCAAGATCGCATTCCCTGGAATCCACAACTTCGCCGACGCTGGTCTTTTCTTCTTTGGAAGATGGGCCAAGGAAGTGTCCGAAGCCGCTCAGATTATTCTCTTGGTCTTCATCATGTCCGCACACATCTTGACCTTCTCCATTATGATGAACGTCCTTACCAACCACGGGACCTGCACAATCGTCTTCACCGTTGTCGGAATGGTCGTCTCGATGATTCTCTGCATTCCCAGAACCATGAAGAACGTCGCTCTCATGTCGATTGCTTCTTGCTTGTCCATTGCAACTGCCATCTTCATCGCAATGATTGGTATCGGAGTTGACCCTCCCGCTGGTGCTCACGCCTACGCCGTCACTCCCTCGAGCCAAACCTCTTTCCGCACCGGTGTTGTCGCTGTCGCCAACATCCTCGTCTCCTTCTGTTCGAACATCGCCTACTTCGGTTTCATTTCCGAGATGCGCCAACCCAGAGACTTCCCCAAGGCCTTGGCAATGTTGCAGACTTGCACCTGCTCACTCTACATTGTTGTTGCAGTCGTCATCTACCGTTTCGCTGGTACTGATGTCAAGTCTCCCGCTATTGGCTCCGCCAGTCCCATCATCCGCAAGGTCGCCTACGGCATCGCCATTCCTACGATTGTTGTCGCTGGTGTCATTTACGCTCACGTCGCTACCAAGAACGTCTACGTCCGCATCTGGCGCAAGACCAATGTCATGAACGAGAAGAGCTTCCGCTCACTTGGTAGCTGGTATGGGCTCACCATCCTCCTCTGGGTTGTCGCATGGGTTATTGCCAACGCCATCCCCGTCTTCAGCCAACTTCTCGGTCTCCTTGGCTCTCTCTTCTGCACCTGGTTCTCCATGATCTTGCCCGCCGCTTGGTGGATCATGATGAACAAGAAGCAGCTCACCATGAACTGGAAGAAGACTGCCCTCACCATCGTCAACGTCACCATTGCTCTCATTGGTCTCGTCCTTTGCGGCCTCGGTGTCTGGGGCAGTGCCGTTGACATTTCGCAAAATTCCGGCAGTGCCAGCGCCTTCTCTTGCGGCGACAACTCATAGACGTCTCAGCATTTGACTTTGTCCATTGTTTTCTTTTTATCATTGTTCTTGAAGCAGCATTCGCAAGGCGTTCTGGGGGTTCAGTCGGCATTTAGACCACGGCCTACGTGTAACGATCGCATATACAGCATGATCCTGAGAAGAAAAAGTTATTGTTAGAAAGTATGACACGATACGATCATCTAGATTACAGACCTTTGAGAAGGTCGACACAATTACACACTCTACTCGAGTAAACTTCACCTAAACCATTCTTGCCCCTCTCTCCAACCTGCGTGTTCTGTTGACCTCAAATCTTCGTGCCGGTGCCTTTCCCGTTCATGCTCAATCAGGTCGTTCCTTCCATTTCTTTCTCAGGTCCATCGTTCCTTCCCTCTTCCGGTGTGTTGGTCGGTCCTTCCCTTTTCGTCAACTGAATCCTTCCTTCCTATTCCGTCATGGTTCGCCCTTTCCTATCTCGGTCAAGTGGCTCGTTCTTGCTTAATCTAACAATCGTTCATCGTTTCTTCCTTCTTCTTTCATCCAGAGAGATGATTCGGTCCTGCCTCTTTCTGTCGATTGGTCGTCGTTTTCCTCTTCTGTCGATCCGTGGTTCCTTTTTCTTCTGTCAACTTGATCATACTTTCCTCTCCCATATATCGATCGGTCGTTTCTTCTTCTTCTTCCTCCTCCTCCTCCTCCTCCTCCGTCTATCAGTCAGTATTTATCCATCTCAATCAAGAGGAGAGATGATTGATGAAAAGAAGCAAGAAGTAGTCCGCACAATCTAAAGGCTACGGTCAAGGGAACTAGGAAAGGCTACGGTCAAAGAGATTAGGAAAGTGCGGTCAAGCGGACAAGGAAGGACAATTAAGCGGATAAGGAAGGAGCGGTCAAGGAGCACAAGGCAGGAGCGATCAAGGCAATTCAAGAGGCGAATTCAAAGCTCACAAGGATCACAAAAAGGATGGATGGCACGTATCTGTGCAGAAGAAGGAGAAAGATAAAAAGATGATGATGGATTAGAACTGTATGAAAACAATGCGAATGTGGTATCAATCTTCGTAAAGAGCCAGAAAAAACAAAACGCCGTGTTTGCTGTGTTGTCCGGTAAACCCGAATGCAGGGTATATTGTGACCCCTTCAAACTCATACAACGAAAGGCAAAAAGGAAGGTCAGATCTCATAAGAGATCGGGCATCCGAAAAGGGAAAAAAAGAAAGGGGGTATGGACAAGGAGCGAAGCCATGCACCTTAAGCGTCACCAGCCTCGTTGATCTCTTTTGCGACCTGCTCGTACCAAGGGGTGTGAGATGCCCAATCGACTTCGGCAACCTTCCTAAGCGTCTCCACCATCTCACCGACTTGCGTCACAAACTCAGGCAAACCAGCAGTCGCCAGTGCCTCTGAAGCACCACTTGCTGCTCTGACTCTCTCACTCGAGGTTTTGGCCACAACGCGCGAGAAAACATGGCTTCTGAGTCTAGAATATAAGACTTTCGCAACAGGATCTGTGAAGCGCTGAGAAGAGGCTTGAGTGACAACACGAGAGGTTGCTGATTGCAGTGCAGCTTTGGTGGATGGTGGTAGGTTGTGGGCGTTCTCGAGCACGCCAAAAGCACGGGATGCGAGACTTGCAAGAGCCTCTTCGGAGGTTGTTTCAGAAGGCGGTTCCTTGCTAAGGAGGTCCCAGAGACGTGATGCTTCGGCCTTCCAGGGACTGCGGACATCACGCTTAAGCATATTCTTGGCGACTAATAGAATGGCACCGATTGTGGTCATGTGCAAAGCCTTTTGTTTGGTAGAACACAGGCGTTCTACGTCCAGAGCAAGCGTCTCTGGTACGTCTATGACGTTGAGAGGGCCATGTCCGAATATGGTGTCGACCAGTCCGCGAGTGTAAATGTGATGTGCTGTAGGCCTGTCTGCAGGGTTCCGAACCTGCTCAGGATCTCGACGATCGGCCTCAGTCAGTAGATTCACACTTGCATTGCGCCACCAGCGGTTTGTGCATGTCAATGTAATGGCGCCCGACGCAAGGTCTGCTGCGAACATGCGAGATTCGTATCCAGCCGATTCTCGGATGAGCACAGGCGCCGCATTCATTAGCAGAAAATTGGAGTAATCTAAGGAAAGCAAGTCGATGAAGTGCAAAAGACGGAAGAGCTTCTCGATCATGGCACCCATGTCTTCGCCGTTGTTTGACTCGAGGTCCTCAGCCAGAACCTTCACCTGTGCATCGCGGAATGGTGCACACAGTTTGGGCAAGATGTTGGCCATGAACGAGAAGAAGTTGGCGTACGAGAAGATCCCTTGCTCGCACTGTCGATATATGAGATCAGTATCCAGAGCCTCGACGATGAAGTTGTGCATGGAGTTGCCGGGCTTGACAATATGTACAAGCTTGGCTCTGATCTCTTGGGCCATCGCTACGGTCCATGGAGTACCCATACCGCGCTCAACGCCTTCTCGCATACCATCGCACAACTCGCGATTGATAGCATCGCGTATATCTGAATGAGCTCCTGAGGAAATGCGGAAATCCTTGTCGAGGGCGAGCTCGTGTGTCAAGACACGATTGGTAGGGATAGGCGAGAACAAACGGGCGAGGTTCAGGCGGACGTTGTCCTGAGAGTCGACCTCGCTTTGATGTGCCTCTTGCGAAGTGTTTTCAGCAACGATGGGCAGAGTGACCGAGGTATCGGTCTCGGCAGCTTCGATTTCGGCAGCAGCGCGTGGCCGGACTTCAGCAGGAGACCTCCTCTTTACACGTCTCCTCCTGCTTTCACGAATGGCTTTCTTGATGAGTAAGTCAGCACGGTCGGGGCCAGCCAACTTTCGGATCTTGCTGAGAAGCATGACTTGATTATCGCGGATGCCTGTGCGATAGTCCTCGGCTACTGCGCCTTGGGTATCGTCCTTGACGGTTTGCCAGATTGCGTCGAGCTCGACAAATGACGCAACCATGGTCTCGACTAGAGCAGATGAGTCCTGTGCTCTCCATGCATCGAAGGCAGAACCATAAGTCGTGTAGGCTTGAGACAAGTCCTGGAGCCTAGTGGAAGAAGCTGTAAGGCGATTCCAGGGCGCAAGTGTCGACATGGCAGACTCGAACAGCTCGACCAATTCGCGAGCTTTCGCCATGAGATGTTGCTCCTGGGCGCCGTTTTTGCTGAAGACTGAAGCAGGGTGGACAATGACAAGGTAAGCACTAAGGAAGGTGCGTGTTGCTTGGGCCGATGGTGTGTCCACGTTGTCCTGCAGCGTGAGAAGACGGAGGACTCCAGTGGTGGCTTGGATGATGGGCGTCTCTGATAGCAAAGCACCAACGTCCTCGAAAGAGCGTTCGCGGATGTTGTCTAGACTGAGGTCGAAGTCTGCGTATGCCTTTACAACCGACCTTCGCTGTCTGAAACGCCATGCGCGTTGTATCCTTGTTGCAGCCGTCTCTTCATCCAGTCGCTGATTCGAGTCGTCTTCGCCCTCGGAAACATCGGCCAGTTTCTTCTCCTGCTCACTCGCACGGCGTGTCTTGCGGGAGCTAAGATTGCGCTTGTATTCGGCTCGTCTTCTGTCGGCGTCTGCCATTCTCTCTTGCATATCCAATCGAGCCTGTTTCTCTTCCTCGAGCTTTTTGGCCTTCATTTCCTGTGCCTTCTGTTTCGCCCTTTGGACCTCCTCGGCACATGCAGCTGCCACTTTTGCGAGGTATTTCTCACGAGCAACCTGAGCAGCTAGTGCTCGTTCTTCACTAGCACTGGCATCGCCTCTCGGAGCAGCCTTGGCCGTGGCAGCTCGTAGACGGACTTTCTCAGCATGGGCGGCGCGATCGGCAAGGCGTGCTTTGCGGGCTTCGATGATGGATGCCCTGCGCAAGTGTTGTGCAATGTAGTTGCTTTGGCATGACGAGGTGCGACGTAGCGAGCGGGTCGAGGTATGCGATTGGATCGAAGAAAGCGAATTGCGACGAGACGAAGCGGCCGAAGACTTGTATTGACGAGATTTGGGATCGCGGTAGAAACGAGCGGCGATGCGGGCGGGCGGAGCGTAGACTTGACCAGCATCATCAGACATGATGACCATGGAGGTTGTTTCGCAGTCGTCTTCCTCCAGGATGGTGCTCTGCTCATCGACGTCGAAGTCGGGCAGGTCGCTGCTCAGTTGGTCGTCTTCGGACATGCTTTCTACTGCGACGTCGGGTGACTCGACCGTCATGTTGTCGATGAGACTCATTCTCAAGTCCTGTGTGCTTTGAGGTGGCGGCCTGTCGAGGCTGCACTTGGTCGCATGCAGCGTGGACAAAGGGACGCCGAATTGATGTGTTTGTCAAACAATCGCACAGCAAAGGGGAGTGGGGGGCCGTCAGTCCCAACTAAAAGAATGCGAGAGGTGATTTGGTCGAGCGACTGCTCACGGCTATGGCAGCGATTAGATAGTGCTTCAGGTGCGCATCAAGGACCCCTCAGGACGGCCGCTAACTCTTCTCAAACGATTTCGCCCTTGTTTGGCTATCTGATGACGTTGAAGCCGCTGAAGTCTTGCATGTGATCAATCGATATCTGACCTGTGATAGCAATAGTTGATGCATGCAAGAACGATAGAAGACATCTTTCAAGGATGCGGCGCTGGTCATGAGGCTGATGGCAATTGCGTCTTTCCCCTCCATCCCGCTTTCCCTTGAAGATGCGTAATCACTTGCCGTCCAACTTCCAACAGTTTCGACCAAATTCTCGTGCCAATTTCGCACTTCCTTTTCGAAGCTCGATATAATTGCTCCAGGTTGATGTTCACCAAAGCAATGCTTTCATTCACGGGCATCTTGGAAGTCTTTACATGTGTTGTTCAAAATCCCGTTCGGCAAGAGCTATATATATAAGCTTCTAGGCTACTTCCAGGAATGACTGCGCTTCTCCCTCATCTTCAAGACTCGGATAAAGGGGTATAGCCGCCGGTTTCGTCACAGTGTGACTGACAAAAGAAACATGATCAACGAAAACACAATCGTGATAAAATGGCTGATGAGCCGCCGCAAAAGCTGGTCAGCATTGACAACTCCAAGAATCGTGGACATCCTCTATATCTTCTTTAGGATGATCCTGTATAATCTTTCTCCAACTTCCGATTCTTTTTGCGCCTCGCTAGGAACTTTTTTCTCTGCTGCAAGATTTGCGCAGTTCGTGACAAATGGAACTCGTTATGCCTTCTGGGAAGAAGGAGCGACGTGGCGCGCGCGAAGAAGAACGCGCCGAAAAGCAAGACAAATGGCGTCGTCATGTTGCGTCGTAAAAGGTCGTGATAAAAAACGTATGGTGAATATGTTACATGTGAATTTAATCGTGTTGTGTTGTCGATTTCACAGGCCGAGGCCTGTAGGTGTGCGCCCGAGGGTGTTGCCTGGTGTTCGTACGTTGTTGAAAAACTTGAGGAATGCAGACTTCTTTGAAGAAGACTTTTGCTTGATCTTTGCGTACTTGACCATAGGTCCGACAATGTCAGAACCATCGAGTTTTGGGAATTTGAGAGGGTCGTCCAAAGCAGGCAGATCGGTGAGAGGAGCTGGCTCGGCGAGAGGCTGGAAGACAGGTGTTTCGCCGTTCGCAGCTGTTTTTGCAACCACCAGCTCGTGGTTTCTCTTCCATTGTGCATCGATCTCTGCCCACTTCTTTTCAGTGTACTTGTACACTTGCGAAGTGGGTCCATAGTGCTCGCTAGTACGCGCTGCTTGATGCATGAACTGTCTACGAGCAGATTCCCAATCTTCGAAAAGCTTTCTGCAGGCATGAATGTTATACAACTCTGGTAGGTAGGGTTCAGGGAACACACTGAAGTTGGCATGTCCAAGTTTGCTTGCCCACTTGTCCTGAGGACTGACAATGTGCATGGATGAGATGTCTGGTGAAGACATGACTTGGTTGGAGTGCATGTTACCAAGCGAGCTAGTGGAAGCATGTGCCGACAGGGCCGGTGAGACCAATGCCATCTCAGGAAGGACCGGGCTTGACAATGACGGTCCAATCATGGACAAGCGAGCAAGTTGAGTGTTGTCGACGACAGTCGGAGACTGGAGGGGTGACTGGATGACATCCTCTTCGATTTGTTCAGGGTCCTGGATCGGAATGGGAAGAAGAGGAGTGGATGCCAAGGCCTTGCGGTCGAACGGCTCGTCCTCTCGGGGTATGTGGATATCCAAAGGATTGGAAGGCTCGACGGTGAGGTTGGTAGGCGTCGGAGTTGGAGTCGGCTCGGCCTCAACGTCTACAGGAGTGAGGACAGGCTTTGCAGCGGACGGCATGCGGAAAGAAGGGGCACGTGACGGCACACGAGACACAGGAGCACTCTTAGTACCAAGGCGGTGTACAGCCGTAGTCGGTGGAGAGGTGGGCGTTCTGTCACGACGTTTTGAAAAAGATGACAATCGGCTGCCCACACGAGACGCCAGACCAGTAACGGGCGAGTCGCCAGAGTTCTGCCTGGACCTGATTTTGGGCAATTTCAAAGGGGCCTCGTTGTCACTGCTGAATTCACTTGGACCATCTGCGAGTGAGTAGTCCAGACTAGGGCGTTCCAAGGCCGATGCAGATTGGCAGAGACGGGGATCCATTTCGGCTTCGCTCAGGTAGTATGGGTCGGAATTCGAGTGAGTCTGCTCCAGACCACACTGGCAGTTGACGTCGAAAACATCGTCACAGAGGTCGAAAGCATCCTCCCTCTCATGAGGGTCTTCGACGAGATCATGCAGAGTTGTTCTTGATATCCGGTTGTTGAGTGATTCGATGCTAGGTTCGTATTTCGGAGGAGTAGTGGCCAACGACGATGAGCTAGAGCTTGGATGGCGTGTGTGCTCGTGGAATGAGAACGTTTGTGTTAGCGGCGAGTAGTTGTCGGATGTGCCAGACGAGTTGCGAGAGTGCATTGAGAGGGCCGAGTAAGGTGAGTCGGCCATTTCGCCGATCGTTGTGGCTGTAGGCGTTTGCGCGACGATCAACTTGGGCAGCATAGATGGTCGCATGTTTGCACGTTGCATGCTTGTGAAGCTGGGGATTTGGACGGCGACGTCCTGACTATAAACCGGATGCAAATGGCATAATGTTGTGTCCGGCGAGCAAAGTAAATGTCTTGATAGGAAGCCGCGACGGGTCCAGAGAGTCAAGCGACCACGTTCGGAGGGGCAGAGGGCGGATGCAGAAGCTGGGCGTTGGCTGCACGTCAAAACTGACACTTCAGACGGCCTACTTGGGCAGTTGCTGGAGCAGAGGGAGAGGAGGAGCAAAGGTGAAAGACGTGAGAGGTGTTCGTGAAGAAGATGTCTCAAAGCAAAACGGGGACAAGCGCACTACAGTGGCCTGGAGACGAGCGAGACAGATGCAGACGATCAAGATCAGACGGAGCTGCAAAATACTAGCGTGCGGGTCCCATGGCATTTTTGATGCTTGAACCTTCGATGCAGTCACCGTCACAGCTCAGGCCCTAGAAGCGCGGAGCAGACATGTGGCCCCTCCTCATCCTCCACCAGACAAGCGCCCTAGCGGGAAAACCACCACCCTTGTTACAAGCAACCCAGCCACCTGCATCTGTAGCCGATGCTGTCGAGTCCACTGTCAACTGCTTGCATACCATGGTCAAAACTCTCCTCTGCTCAACTGCTGCACGAGATACACAAGACAATCCTCCCTTGTCTTTGGTTTGTGTGTGCCCGCTGCCTGTCATGTAACGGCACTACAGATGATGCACAAGTACAACCTCGACGCTCCAGAACCGTCAAATCCTTTCGGATACGTTACGCCCCATCATTCAACGACCTTCCACAACTGCCGCTTTGGTTTTGTGGCCATCAGTAGTCACGCACAAGTCTTCGGCGTCAGGTGTTGCCAGCATGTCGTCCTTTCTGTCATTCACAATGTTCAATGGACCCTTCTTCGAGAGCTTTTAGGCTTGCCCCTCTATCCTGTCTACAGCTTCGGTTACAGGGTCTGTCTCGGTTTCTCCATCTTTCGTCCCTTTCCTTTCCTCTGTCAGTCCTCGCAAACAATTCCTGAGCATTTCGTCACTGGTACTTCCTCTCCGTTTTACAAGCCGAGCACGCAGGAACAAACGGCCAGGCCGACGGCCACCTGGCCGCTGGATTCGCGAATGACGAATGCTTGCACGCTCAGGCTCGTGTGCCAAAAGGTACGGCGTTACAAATCGACTGACGGCCGGTGGAGCAGTCGAAGAGAAAAAGGCACCAAGCTCTTTGGCAAAGTCGGGCAGAAAAGTAAAGATTTCTAACCAGTCACGTCGCACGCATGCCCTTCGGCAGTGGATAAAATAGAAAGAGACTTCTTTGGTGGTCTAATAAACCCAACCTGGCTTTGACGCAGGTCGGGCGGCTTCCCGCTGCAAGCGCGCCTTCTCCCGCCTTTCTGCCCTTGTCGTCTGCTTGTCTGTCATACCCACCCAGCTCTCAAGTGTTCGTCCTTGCAGATACAGCGGCTCTAGCTGCATTGTACTTCAACGTCATCTGTAGAATGGGCCAGAGGGACTTTCGTTTACTTTTTCCCTCCTGTTTCACCATTTTCAGCGGTCTTGTTTCCTTGAGGTCGGTCTTTGTTCTTTGAGAGCAGCGGACATGGTCGCGTGGGCTTTTGCCTCGGTGGAGCGGTCTATTCTGCGGCGCTCCACAAGAACCAGAGGACTTGGTGCATCTGTACCGATCAGGTACGGGAAGCGAGGAACTTTCACGACAAAGACCCAGCAACCTGGGAGGAGATGCCCAACACCGCCCAGCAGACCAGTTTTGATGAAACACTGATGAACGCAGTCAACTGCTGACGACGCATGCAGAGTACTGTATCGACCCATGTAGACATGTAAATAGAGCAAAGCCTGAAACCATCACCCAGCAGACCTCTCAACGTGACGAACGAGTCTTTTGCTATTCTTCGTTGTTCCTTCCTCTTCCGAGTCATGGAAGATGTGTAAAAGCCACCAGCGGAAGGTGAACAAGCCGCAGGTCCGCAGCCGAACCGCCATTTCTGACAGCCAGCGACATGGTTGTCATCTGGCGCTAACAATGCACGCTCAAGGACCGACATGCTGCTAAAAGGCCGCCGTCACGGGGATTTTCCGCACCGGCAGAAGGACAAGGAAGCGGAAAGGTGAAAAGCACCACGGCCGGTTCCACGCGAACCAACGTCGGTTCTTCGCCGGCGTGAACCATCATCAACGATCCGTTGAGGGCTAAACTCTCCAACAACGTGCGGGTCTCGAGAGAGCAGCTTAAACCGATCGTATGGATTTGTGCGCGATTCATCGACTGTACATCAGGTACCACATCGAAAAGCATATGCATAGTGACAGAATCGACAACTCAAATCGAACATCTGCTTGCGTGCATCGGAAAGTGACAAGCAAACCGTACAAACCGTGTGCTTGCAAACTGCAGAGCAAAGAAGAAATCGGCAACACAAAGGGAGCACACAGCCGAAGAAGAGGAAGCCACAAGAAAGGACGCAATTCGTGCGAGTTACGTCCAAGAGACTTCGTCGTATGCAGTGGGGGGGTTCGTTGTTCGGAAGTGGTCAACTCTCGCGGTGCGTGTTGACCCTCGGTCTTTCACTGCGGTGCTGCTTTTTCTGCTGCGCTTTTGACCACTTGCTCGGCCCTCGTGAATTTTTTCGACCACTGCTAGTCTGTGGCTTTCTAGGGCCATTTGCAATCGCTCCTTCGGCCTTCCAATAGATCAATCGTTCGGCATTTCTTTCGAAAGAAGAAGGTGCCTAGTAAGCAAGTGCAAAGTGCCCAGAGGATTCCGCCATATCGACGGACAAACTCCTCATCCTCAACATGGTTGAACGAACAACTCGAGCTAAGCGAAGCAACCAGGGCGCAGCAAGCTGAGGCGGACTTTTCTTTTCGTCTCTTCCCGTCCGACACGGAGAATGATGGAAGGGCCAAAAGTCTTGTCCAGGGCTTGCTCGTGATGATAGTATTGGATAACTAGTCCAGCGGGATAAAAAGGATGGATAAACTCATGGCCATGTCTGCCGTCCACCTTCGCTTCATTCAAAACTGCAAGGGGCAACCCTGTCCACAGAGCCCTTGCCGAGGTGCTTCTTCTCCCGCAAAACATGAACCAATGCAGGTCGCTGAGGGTTGAGAAGCCCTCAGCTTGTTCTTCCTTCCTTTAACGGCCGAAAGCAAGGGAGTTGTATCGTTGTACACGGACAGAGTTTTGAATCTTGCATTGGATGAGAAGGGTAGACGATAGCAAAAGATCTAATCAACCCTCGGTTCCGAGCTATTGGGAGATAGAGGCTCTGGAGGAAGCACTTCCGTGAGCCGCTCCTGCTCATCAATGATCAGCTTCAGTGAACTTCGTAAGCCGCATCCCAACAGCCAGATATCTGCCTTGCCCTTGTTCTATTCTCTTCCTACTATTGCTGTAGCTTGCAAATCCATTACTCGTCTAGGGTCTATCTCATGCCGTGCCATTCGTGGGGAAAACTTTGTTGCATCATTGCCGAATAACGCCATGTCGGTCTTTCCGACCGTTCAAAGATAGAGTTGGCTGCCTGAGGTGCCTCCCTCTTGCACCATCGAACGAGGCCTGTAAAAAGCACACAGGCACTGGGGTAGACCTTGCGAATGATAAGAGGCGAGCAATGCACAGCGTACGTCGAGAGGAGACGTGGTATCTCCAAGCGACCATTTGACGGACCTTCCTTTCTAGACTCTGCCACTTTCTGGGTGACCATCGATGTCGCCCAGACTTGCTCCAACGATGCGTCGACGCGTCGTGTTCGTCGTTCGAGCGGGATGTTCTAGCCACGGGTTGCGAAAGACTGGATGCTTTCTCCACAAAGTCTCAAACCCAGAATTTCGACCATGCGGTCTTCTGCTCCTCGGTACCAGAAAACTGTTCGGTAGAGTCAGCAATTGACATTCGTTGTCGTTCTGCCTCTCTTGAAAGAGATCTACAAACGAACCTCAAATTCGACCTTCGTGATATCGACGAAGCCCTCGTCCAGGGTTGGTGGAACATATCTACCTGCAAAACCAGTGAAAGCTTGTCTCGGCAGCATAATTCTCGATTCTGGGTTCATCTGATCGTCCCCGGAGTGTCAGTAAGCGCTGCATAGTCTTCGGCATCTTGCAGTTTGTAAGGCTTGGGCGTTTGCATACCCCGTGTAGTAGTCCTCCAATAGCGCGGTACGCATCGTTGTGTTCACAGAGCTTGGCTGGGGCTGTGAAGTGCACGCATCGAATAGGGATCTCGAGCGACTTGGCCAAAGAGGTCCAATACTCCCGGGCCTTGAGGTCGGCGTTGGTGTTGTCTATATTGAGCATTGGTGTGAGCGGGGAGCTTTTGGTAAGGGTCAGTACATGGCGACTTACCAACTGCTACCGACTTCCCATCCTCCAAAAACTCTCGGGCTACCTTGAGGCATCTGTCTCTCTGTAGTACTTGTCAGCACACATATTCAATGACGATAGTCGAGAGCTGCATACCGATTTGAGTAAGTCCTGGTTGACTCGCTCATAGCCTAAGGGCTTAAGGTGTTGCTGGAACCAGGTTGATTTTCCAGCTCCAGGACTTCCGCAGAAAATAACAAGCTCCAGATCATTTTTTCTGGTGAAAGCAATAGGACCTGCCAGAATTCAGTGTTTGTTTACATTGAGCTTGCTTTGTTCTGAGAACTTACTTGCGTCTGTCTTGCTCGTCAGTACTGGTGATACGTGTTTAGACGGGTCGAACGCGCGAGCGAAGGGTCGAGGCTCATCGTCCAGGAAGAATTCTTCCGGAGTCATGAAGTTGATGCCAATGTTGCTGGCAAGGTCTCTGCGGTCCAATCAGCACAGGTTCCTACTGTGGACACAAAAAAGAGCCGAACCTGTCTGAGCAAGAGAAGTCTGCCTTGAAGCCTCCAGTACTAGCTGTTCGACCTCCTGCATCACCCACAAAGTAGCAGGCCTGAAGGTCAACGTCGCCTTCTTGAGTCAAGCCTTGTGCTTCTAGCAGCTTGTCCCACATTCCTGAGCGGGGTTTGCGGAACTTGTCTTTGTCGGTGGCCGCATAGAGGACAATGGGCAAGTCGAGTTGTGTGAGGACGCCTTTAACCCTCTGCTTGAAGTCGACCAGTCTCTTCTTGTCTGACTTGACCGTCTTGGAGTCGCTCTTCATGCTGATACCAGCTTGGTTGCTGAGGATCGCTAGCAAGTATCTGGAGCCGTGTTAGATGTGAGATTTCTATATTTTGTGGTGGTATGCTTACCCATCTTCAGCTAATTGCTTCAACTTTGATGGAACCTGTCTGTGCCACCATTTCCAATCATCGCCATCACGGGCAAATCTGTTTCCTGATTTGGCGTCCACCAAAGTTGAATCCTGAGACGCGAGTTAAGACATATTCAACAAAGACTGTGAGAATTGACATACAAAGTCAAAGGCTGCAATCTTGCGTGGCCTGACCGCAGCAGAGCCATCGACCTTGTCGTATTTGCAGTAGAGCAATGTGTTGTCAATGACTTTCCATGTCAGCTTCTCGGGCTCCTTTTGCGAAGCTGGCTTGAAGAAGTTGGCGACAGCTGAATCTAATGATCTAATCAGTATGTGAAGGGAAATGATTGGAGGTTTTTGAAAATACTCGTAGTTGTGCTAGCTGCAGGTGCTGTGCGCTTTAGTGGTGGAGGCGAGACGCTTCCATCCTCCGTAGCCAGACGCTTGAGACCAGGCGGCATTTTTGGATATGGTGAGACGGATTTGCTGGGCAATAGTTGAGGTCTGCACGCTTGTACTCGTGCGAACAGCATTACACTGTTGAAATGTGAAATTATCCAATCGCAAGGCATCAGGAGGACGTGTTTGGTGTCGCGTCGCACGTGATCCAATCTGGGACGTTTTGGGAATTCGTCGAGACAATTTCCCTTTGGGGGACATACGCGAAATTTACAATCTTCACATGCGATTCACATGTCAATGGGTAACTGGAGGCTCATGGATCATATGACGGATGCTAATTTGATTTCGTTCGGGCGAGGCCGATATAGTAGCCAAAGCAGCTTGCAAGGCAGCCTATCTACATAGCTGAAAGATCAAGGACTCGACGTCTCTTGGTCATGTTCAGGACTTCTCGTGGCGCTGTTCTTCTACAGCAAAACGCCAGCAAGCAATCGGCGCGGGTATTCCCAGCACGCCGTGGCGTGTCTGCTCGCGTACATTGTCGAGCTCTTTGGATATCTGGCCGAAATCGTGTCGCATCCGTGAAAATCAATCGTCGTAGAGGTATGTAAATCCGGTTGGCAGGGGAAGATCCAGCGCTTGCCTGCAGACGCTCGCTTTTTCCCATTTGCACATCGCTAAAAAGACTTTTTGTTCATCATCAAGAGGAGAGGCGTGTTCGTTTATGCGAACATGCTGGCACCACCGGACTCGATGGCCTCGATCTCAGCTGCGCTCCAGGAGGTTCTTGCGAAACGGGCGGGCAGGTCGCTGCGGTCGAAGAACTCGCCGGCTGCGGGCTCGACGGGACCAAGAGACTTTCCAGCCTTGGGGCCAACGAAGCCACCGTATTGGCTGGCCGGGGAACGGCGGGACAGAGGACCGTGTTGCTGTGCCTTCTGTCTGTAGGAAGCGAAGGAGTCGGGGAGCTCAGAAGTGGGTGCGGCGGGGTGGGCGTGAGGAGTGTGGTCAATCTCTGCTTGCTTGTTAGGAACATGCTCGAAGCTTCATGGCGGGGCTACATACTGGTAGGAATTGATCTCTTGCCGAGGAAGCGGATCATGGGCTGACGGCCGAAGAGGATGCGTGTGGCTTGCATTTTGGAGTATGTGTGAAGGTTGTGATTGTGCGAGGTTGCGCGTGTGGAGTGTTGCGAAGCAAGAAGTGAAGTGGTCGAGAGAAGCCGGAAGTGGGAAGCTGGTGGAGCTGGGCGTGCCGAGACTGACGAGTCGGGCTTTGGTGGTGATGGACGTTTAGAAGTTGGAAAGTTGAAAGGTTGAGGGAGGGTGACGGGGAAAGACGAGGGCAGCCAGGTGTTTACTAGGGAGAGAAGAAAATTATAGCGGGTGCGGGGCGCTTGAATTGATGATGTCTCCGGCTACTGTACTTGGTGGTGTGAGATGGCCTCGCTATCACGCCGCACAAGCAGTAGCACGAGGACGACATCGGCCGACGTGAATACCCGACTCCGCCGGCCGCGCTTTCGTCCACTCGTTGCCCACACATGGCCCAAGGTGCCGCGCTTTTCTGCCTGAAAGTCCAGCCTCTGACAAGCGCCTTTGACAAAGCCTCTTTTTTCCTGCCTTATCTTGACTATCTCCGACCTTTCGGTCGCCCTTCCCCACCTTCGCTCAACTGATTTTCTCCTCGGTCTTCGTTTCGGGCGACTTCCGCTCACTCCTCTCCATCTGCTCCGTTGATTCCTCCACGGGGTACGCCGAGCATTCATCACTTCATCCGCCGCGATTGATCGGATCACTGTTTCCGCTCGCTGCAGACTGCCTCACACTGACGTGACTGCCTAAAGTCCGGCTTGCTACACTACCTGCTCACCACTACTCGCAGACACGAGTCGACAGACAGTGTTGTAGCCTAGATCTGCTGAACCAGGTAAAGACAGCCTATCGCTCTCTTCCAGTGTGAGATTCTAGCTCGCTTAGCGATCCGCGTTATCGCTTCATCTCACGTGCGATGCATGAGCTCTTACTCTACGGCCAGGTGCCTGTCGAGCGCCATGAGCAAGTCCTCAAGATCCTTGCTGGTATTGCAGCAATGCAGCCGCGTACTCTCTTCGAGAGACATCTGGTCTACAGACCTTTGCGCTCCATGCAAGACAACAAGCCCAACAAAAAGTTTCCTAACAAGCCTGTCAAACCTCAAACCCTCACGTTCCAGCATCTTGTGCGCCAGCTCGAGCAATCCGAGTTCGGCAAAGATTCTCCAATTCTGCTCGGACCCGAGAACAACGAGAATGCCAGTCAGCCCACATATGCATGGAGGATCAAGACGCAGGAGACTCCGGAGCCCGAAACCAAAACTTTGGTTCTACGACAGGCAACAGAAGCTGTGTTTGACGATGAGCAGTTGCGCACGTTCCTCGATCCTGCCAACAACGGGTAACTAGTCCTCATCTCGACCGAAATTTATGTTTCTGATCTCTGACTCCTCTGCAGGTTCGTGAGTGAATTCCTAGTCGAAGGTCACAGGTTCGTACACAAGAACACTGTGCTGACTCTGTTCCGTATCTTGCGAGCAAGCGATATGCCTCAGCAGACACCTCTGACGAGTCTGCCAGCCTTGGAATCTCTCAAACCTCTGGACACCAGTGGTGCATTTGTACTTGAGGCATGCGTCCGTATCGACGATCGTACAAAGCCTAACCTGGTTTCTACTGCTTCTGATGAGTTGAATGCGTTCAAAGATATGATGAAGGGCTCTGTCGAGATGAAGGTCCCCGAGAGATTGTCTCTCGACACTCGTGTGAGATGAGCCTCACTGAAGTACGCAAACAACAAAGAAACGCAGACTCTCTAGAGCCACCTTCCGCTCACTTGAGTCGATCGGCCAGCTCAATCTTCGTGTCAGATGTTCTTCTGTCTTTCGACACCCTCCAACCGCCACGATAAGACACGGCTCAAGATCCTCATCGCAGAGAATTAGCAACCAGTGTTGACACATTGATACATGAGCCCGGTCGCTCTTGAGAGTAGAAGGAATGCTTCCTCGCCTGCTAGATCTGGTCGCCTGGAGCTACACAGCCTTCTCCGATCGAGAATAACGGTGCGTGAGTGTGCGTAAATTTACTGCACATCATGGAACAATTTTACGGTTCTGCACTATGCGTTGAGACCATACAAGAATGAACAGACCTGAAGGAAAAAGAGACTTAAAGAACCCTTTAGCAGCTTTGGTCCTGCGTAGGTTATCATACACCAACTCATCTGCTCAACAATCGGTACTATAAATATCATTGTACTGCTTCAGCGCAGTGACTTCCAGTTCCTCCTCACTCCTTCCCTCAAATCTCCCAGGATGTAAATCTCTAGCGATGGCCTCATCATAGGCCTCTCCTAAAATCATCTTCTCGAGCAATCTCGCGCATCCGGCAGCATGCGTGACCCAAATCGCCACAGCTATCCACAACCCTTCAACACCAGCCACAGGACCAAGCAAAGGCATGTTGTCAGGTGTCACCGAGAACACACCTCCAATCTTCTCAGCTCCAAAAGGTGGATGTTTGGTAAATTCTGCGTCGGCGCTGAATCTATCTGCAATCGCTCGCGTCACGGCTGGATTGAAAAGCTCATCTTGCCAAGGCACTGTTGCGGTATGGCCAGGAGAAGACACATGTTGCGGCGTGTGGTCGTAGGTTCCTACGCCATATCTAGCTCCGTGATCGCGAGCGTAGACGTGAGATTCGGGCCATCTCATGAATGGTGTGGGAGAAACTTCGTGATCTCTGTCTTTTGAGTAGATGTAAGGGTGACTGACTGGCACCACGGGTACAGAAGGTATATCGGATGACTTTTGGAGAAGTGAGGCTGTCCAGATACCAGTCGCGAGTACGAGTTTTGAACATGAGATGGTCTCTCCACTGTCCAAAAGAACTCCTGTAACAGCATCACCTGCCATCACGATCTCCGAAACAGAAGCTTCTTGAAACCGAACACGGTTCTCAGAAGCCATGCTCCGGTAGGCAGAACACAACACCTTAGGTTCCGCAACACCATCATCGGGAAAGAACAACGCTTTTGTGCCAGCATTTGAGCCAGCGATCGGAAGTTCCAACTTCACAATTTCAGTCTCGTCGAGCAAACGAGCTGGAAGTCCGACCTTTTCGCTAGCATCAAGTCTAGATTGCAAAGTCTTTATGCCTGCATCTGTAGACGCCAATTCAAGCCCTCCGACGCGGGAGAATCCAGTGTTCAATTTAGTGTACTCTTTGACCGAGTCGATAGCGAGTTTTGTCAAAGAGGGCTTTTCGTTGTATTGACCTATGAAGCCTGGCGCATAGCCGGTGGAGCCCACGATATCGCTGATAGAGCGGTCAAGGACGAGGATATTGGTTTCCGGCGAGGCTTTGGAGAGGAAGTAGGCTAGTGATGAGCCTACTATACCTGCGCCGATGATGATTGTTTGGGTTTGGTGATCTTGGTCGGCCATGATTGTTAAGAAGGAGAATGATTAGAGAGATCAGAGAGATGAGGGTTACAGTGTAATTCTGAGTATGATGATTTCCGTGTCCGGAAGACCTAAAGCTTATTATGAGTGCTTAGGATATGGTTGTCATGCGCAGGGCGTGGCTTAACATTGGGGTCGCTCGCGCCCTGTACGTGACAAGCAAAGACAACATCGCAAAGGTTGATAGAAGATGGCGAGATTAGGTGGAGGACGATGTGAGATGCGCGTTCCTACGGTGGAGTTAAACATAAACAGCTATCGTTCCCAGCTTGATTACTTGTCCAATGGCAGTCAACCATCAGCACCAGTAGATTGTCGTGGATACGTTAAGCTGTCAACAAAGTTTGAAAAGTGCAAAGACATCTCCAAGCATTGCGTTTGGACCTTTTTTCTTGGGAATAATGTGCTTTGGTACGTAGCTAGGGCCTGATGTCGATAGGAGCTGTAGATCGAAGTAGTTCGCTCGGATCATGGTCGCTGTCGATGTGGTCAGGGTTGCATACTCAACAACCAAACACATCGAGTCTTGACCGACGTCCCTTTCCATTTTTTCGAAACGCACGTCTGGCCGAGTCCAATCAACATTCAAACGCATTCATCTGAGCCTCATAGATTTGGCAGGAACGCCTGAAACAAGATCAACACAACAAGCATCCCATGACATGTGACGAAAGAAGGATCCTCCAACTACGGCCGAAGGATCCCGACCATCCGAATCTATGGAAGAAGATCAACAACAACCAAGCACTCAAACCAAGCATGCTTGCATCCTTTCTATTCCATAGCCTCCCAAGCGTCATAGCCCAACGACGATCAACAGAGTCTTGTATGTTTCCTTATATAGCATAGCCACTCCTTCCCCCCCATCTACCCAGCACTTTAACATATATACCACTATCTTGACCAGACATTCATCTCTTCAACGCACCTCTGCAATTTGGTAAAAACCACAATCCAAGATCAGTTTCCCAAACATCAACGAACATCATCAAATCATCATGTCCGGTTTCGCGGTCAATGGCGTCTATCCAGAATTCAAAGGCGAAACTCCATACGCACCGGAAGATTTCGCAGACCAATACCCCAATGATCCGGAAAGACAACGACAAGCAGCCGATCGCAAGAATCTCGCCATGGCAGAGGCGAAGGAGAAGAAGTCGAATTCCGGGTTGAAAGGGTTGTTCAAGAGGAAAAGTCATGGTGGGGAGGATGGCCGGGTTGAGGAGGTTGTGGAGCAGACGAAGTAGAGATGTGAGTGGGAGCACTACTTGATCAATGGTGTGTGCTAATGTTTGACAAGTATCAGGTTGAAGATGTGTAGGGATTTTTTTATGATCAATGTATTTGTACAAGGTTTGAATATTATAAGTAATAGATACAGACGTCAAAGAAAGGGATGGAAACTCCAGGCTTCCTCCCTTTTTCCCCAAATCAAACGCAGAACAAGAAAACATCTATTGTCCGACATTTGGCGGACGGCCATCAGCTGCCCTCGTGCTCTCGGGCACGAAATCGGTGCCAGAAACATCGTGGATACCATGAGTCTCGGTGGCCGCAGGGACCTGCATGTTCTCAACTCTGCGTTCACTCTCCATACCAGCAGCGTCAGCCTTCTTGATACCGCGAGCGCCAGAAGTCAAGGCGAGAGCATCTGCAGTAACCAACTCCTCATTCTCGGGAGCTGTCCAGCCTGAACTCTTGCAAGGCTTGACGTGAAGAATGTACATAGTGTCAATCTCCTCGAGCGTACGACCTTGGTGTTCACAGAGGAAGAAGTAAGCGACAAAAGCACCGGCAAAGTTGCAGGCGGCGAAGATGTAACCGTAGCGGTAATCGATGTCGTTGGTGATGAAGCGGGTGAAGAAGGCGATCAAGAAGTTCCAAGTCCAGTTACTGGCGGTAGCGATACCCATGGCCTTTGCTCTGTAGCGAGTAGGGTAGAGTTCACCGACAACACACCAAACGATGGGTGCCCAAGTTGTGGCGTATCCGGCGATGAAAAGACATGCGAAGATGATCATGACGGTACCTGCAGTTCCTGTGTTGACGCCTTGCTGGAGCTGGAAGTGACCGACAGAGGCAAACACCATGAACATGGCGAACATCCAGAAGCCACCGAAAATGAGGGCCTTGCGACGACCAACATTCTCAACGACCCAAAGACCACCAAAGGTGCAGACGAAGTTGACAGCACCGAGGATAGTAGCAGTGACGAAACTGTCGCTGATACCAACAGAGTCGAAGATGGTCGTACCGTAGTAGAAGAAGAAGTTGGCACCCGTCAGCTGCTGGAGCATCTGGAGACCAGCTCCTAGGGTAACACGGTAGGCCATACGAGGACCAGTAAAGACCTCCCAGAAGGGGTGGTTTCCTCCAGCCTGCTCCACGTCGAACTTGGCCTTGATCTCGCGGATCTCGCGGTTGACAGAAGAGTGGTTTTGAGATACACCGTAGACGTTGGCGATAGTGTGTCTAGCCTCGTCGACCTTTCCTCTGCGGTAGTTCCAGCGAGGACTTTCTGGAAGAAGCCAGATACCACCAGCCATGATTCCGGACCAAACGAAACCGATACCCATGGTGATACGCCATGAGGCAGGTCCGTCAATGTTCTTGGTACCGAGGTTGATTACGTCTGCAAGTAAGATACCGAGGGTGATGAAGAGTTGGTAACATGAAACCATGGAGCCACGAATTTGCTTGGGTGCGGTTTCCTTTGAAACACCATTAGTACATCGTCAATGCCTAGAGAAGTCTTAAAACTTACACTCATGTACATGGGCGTGAGGACTGAGAGCTTGCCGACACCGAAGCCTGCAATCAAACGGCCAATAGCGACCTGGTACCAGGCAGTTGTGGATGTCATTTGTACGATCATGCCGATCCAGAACAGGATGTTTCCGACGAGAATACACATTCGGCGTCCGAACTTGTCGGCGATGGGTGCAGCGATAATAGCTCCGAGTAGTGTTCCGATGGACAACAGACCAGTGATGGTACCTTCTCTTACAGCGGTGAATTCAGTTCCGTTCTCACTGAAGCGTCCCAGGAAATCTTCCATGGCTAGGAAACCGGAGATCTGGATTACATCTAAATCAGCGGTGAACTGTATGAAATCGTTTGTCGAGTTCTTACCTGGCCGGTGTCGAAACCGAAGATAAGACCTCCGAGCGACACAATCAAGACCATCGCAATGACTCTGAAGTTGTAAATGTGTGTAGGTCCGTCATCTTCCATTCCCTTCTCTGTCGTGTCGAACGTTCGTTGGTTATTTGACGGCGGTGTCGTCGTACCACTGTGGAAAGAGGCATCGTCTTCCTTGTCCTTCTTGCTGAACATGCCCATGTTGGCTACTGCAGGGCTATGGCCAACGCGGAGAAGTTTGGGGTTTGGATTGTGGGATAGCAGAGAAACGTGGGAGAAGGACCGAAAAGTTGTGCGGAGGGGTATGGAGGTGCTCCACTGGGGATTATATAAACTGTTGAAGAGGATCTACTATTCTTCGTGGCTCATCTCATCATCTCGCAGAAGGCCCGCGACTGAGGTCATATCGTCTCAGGGACAACGACACGACCCTCCGGAATGTAACCAAACCGAGAATCCTTCTACGCGACCCATGATCGATCTTTTCATCGGCCGAGCACACTTTCGGTGAAGGACACAGGGCTACTCGCTTTCTGCCGCGGGCGTGTAGCTGGAAATCAGTAGAAACGATGTCATTTCCATAGAGGTCAACGTCATGGCTGGAAAGTTTTGGAGAGACCTCGTGGACGGCACGAGAGACCGGACCAATCCCATTGGTCAAAAAGTATGAAACGATCGGATCCACGGCGGTGGCTTGACAGGGCTGCAGAATCGAATACTCTCAATCAACGACCATCCTGCGTCATCAACAATTTCTACGTTTGCCAACAAAGATCGTATAACAGCAAGCCACGCGATTATCCGTATTCGAGCATGTCGTGATGGTAGAGTGAATTCCTAGCAAGAAGATGGAGGGCAAACACCAAAACCAGCCCCACGCGCCCCCATCTCAGAAACCATGGAAAGCGTTGTGGAGAAGATATCAGCACTTTTTCAGTGGAGACTCTCCAGTTCTGCAGGAATGAAAATCAACTTTCAAGCTTCCACTTTGCAAAAGTGATCGACTGTTTGCTCGTGTAAGAAAACGCTTATATTAGCCGAGCATCGTGCGTTGCAGCCCCGGTGGACTTGCACTTGGTCTTCTGATAGTGATGGGAGAACCGGTGGCATCCGAAAAAAATGCTTTCGTTGAATGTGAACGCGAACGCCGATGATCAATCCCGACCGAAAGAAAACACTGCCTCCTTTGACCTTGGTTTTACGATGGGTCTGTTCGGCATCGGGCTCCGGTTTCTAAATTGCGGCAGTTGCAACACCTCGCGGCCCGGACGGTGCTGATTAATCTTAAGACCGGTGGCATCGCTGATAGAGAAACCAGGATGGGTGGTGCTCCCCGAACCGATCAAGGGGAGTTGGTCGAGCGTGTGATTTGCAACGGTAAATTGGTATGGGTTCATAGGATGAACTGAGGTAACCAAGTTATACACAGCTTTTTTGATCATTCAATCATGGTTCAGCCAACGTGGGTAACATCTAAGGGCTATCTATATTACATTACTCGTCATCGACTGCAAGGGCGGCCTCTGCTCCTGCCTCAGGCTCACCAACAGAGATAAGCCTCTGCTGCAAGTCCATTAGGCGCTGCGTACGCTGCACAATGACTTCTTCCGATACACCGCTTTCAGCGATACGGCGTTCAATCTCCTCCTCGCTTGGTTGAGGCCTTTCTTCGCCCTCACCCGTAGGATTGAACCATGGGAACAGTTCTGAGAAGAAGCGGTAGAGTCCTTGGAGCTCACGCAGGCTCTCAGCTGCGCCTCCCAAAGCACCTGATGGTGGCTGTACAACACGCTGAGTTGATGCAGGAGTGTATGTGGCCTGGTTGTCTTGTGGCGGGAGAGGGTCAGAGGCAGATGTGACCTTGGCTGTAATAGAGCGAGGCAGAAGCGCGATGAGAGTAGGCATGTCACTCATCAGGATGTGTCTACCCTCGTCAAGAGTGATGTCTCTATCTACCACTGGTGGCTCGGGGACTTCGCTGCTAACGGCCGAGCTGACTTCGACGAGCAGCTCACTAGCCTCTGGAGTGTTCCAAAGATCCTTGGCACGGATGGCATATACTTCAGAATGTAGCTTCTCGCTGTCTGTGCGTGGTGACTTGCCCCAGACACTAGGTGGAGGGTCAAGATTAAGCTCCTGGAAGAGGCGTGCCACAACCCAAGGGAAGCGGCTGACGGCAGTGTAAAGAGACTGCTTGCCTTTAGCTGCGTTACCAACTCGGATGAAGGCAAGAGCGCGACTGAGCTGGACATTCGGCAAGTGCTTCCACTTGGTCGTGAAGATAGGGTTGTTGACAAGGTCCAAAAAGTTTTGAGGTTGGCGTCCACGGATAGCATACTGATCAATAACAAGACTGATGCAGTAAGGATCGTTTTCAGGATCGAGACTGAGCAACAACTTGGACCATTCATAGACGGTGCGCCAGGTGGATCGCATACCAAGGTTGGAAATGTAGCGGCATGCAGCGAGCCAGAATTCGCGGTTTTCAGGACGGCGGAAGTCAAGACGGGCTTTGCCTTGCTGGAGATTGGCTGAGAAGGTTGAGTGAACCGCACGACCAAAGGAGAAGAGAGCACGCTCCAACAGATCACCGGAAGTGGTGTGATCGCGCTCTTGCTTTGCGATTTCCGAAACTTGCAGCAGAGTGCTGATGTGGTATGGGTTGTGTTGCAACAAGAGTACCATACGCTGGGGGTCCATGGATGCCACGCATGTCTCAAACTGACCCTGAACATCCTGGTAGATGCGGCTGTGAACAAAGGCATATTCCACGGTGCCGTCTGATCGCTTCTCAATGACCTCCATACCGAGACCTCCGCTGGTTGCAACAGGCCACTCTTCCTTGCCCTGGATGAAGATGTTGCGACGGCGACTGAGCGCAGCCAAACCATCACTTCTTCCACCTTGGCCAGGCCGTCTACCCAAGGCAGCAGCTAGACCAGCCTGCTGAGCACCTCCACGGTTTCTCCTGCGACCACCGGCATTGTTATCATCGTCGTTGTCACCCTCCAGAGCAGCACGACCAAAGAGTCTGCGCATCTCATTGGCAGCATGGAGAGAAGCTGTGTCGATGGACAGCAGACGGCATACTTCGTTTGTGTTTGGGTCTGCAGTGTTCGTGGGTGTGGCAGTACCAGAAGCTTTGGTCGAGAGGGACTTGAGAGCAAGATCGATGTCGTCCAGCGAGGCGTCTGCTTTGGAAGAGGTTGCGGGTTGGGCGGCCTTCTTTGCCTTCTTCTTTTTCTTCTTGGACTTGGTGGAAGGCTTAGGTGTCGGCTGGGTAGGTGTGGGCTTTTCGGCCTCTTGTTCTGATTCGTCTTGGTGGACGTCTTCATCTTCATCTTCAGCATCGTCTTCGTCGTCGGCACCGTCCTCGTTTAGCATGGCAAAGAGACTCTGCTTGGGCGGAGCAGCAGCAGGAGCCTCTTCCTCTTCGGAACCCTCATCTTGCTCTTCGTGCTCTTCCTGGAGCTTCCGCAGTTGCTCCTGTTCTTCGCGCTCACGCTGGGCCTTTCTCAATGCTCTCGACGACATGGTTGATATGTTGGCGTCTTTCTTGCTCGACAATGACAAGGGACAAATTGTTCAGGACTGGTGACGTAGGTATTTGGGTATTTGGCAAACGGCAGCCGATTGGACGGCCGGCTTCACCCCCAGACTCCACATTTGGTTATCATCGACAGCATCGTGGTCCCTTGGAGAATCCGCGTCCATCTCGTTCAAATGCGTCGTGCTGTCGTCCAGAACCTGCGTGCCGTGCGCCGTCCGAACGTAGCAAGATCAAAGGCCGGCGGCAATGTCGTCTTCCACCGCTCGCTAGCCTCCCGCTCCCCGTCCAACCCCTCATCCATGCGCCTCCGCCGTGTTTCCCTGGCTGTCGGTGCCGTTGCTGCCGGAGGTGCTGCCATCTACCAGTACCGCCAGTCCTCGAACTCGTCCGCCTCGCCTGTTCCGTCTGCCTCGCCGACAAACTACCCTACTCCCGCCGCCCCTGTTACGACTGGTCCCGTGTCAGAAGAAGTCGCCGATGCTGTGCGCCGCGCCCTCATAGTCGAGCAAGGTGCTCTCTATACCAGTGTCATTCCCGACAACCAGCCTTTGCACAAGGAGACGGACGACTACGGCCGCAAGGTCCTCGAGATGTTGACAGCCGAGCAAGCCACCCAGAAGCTGAGGACCAACCAGGAGTCTTACCTGGTCGGCCGTGGCTCTGGCGTTGTTCGCTACGATGTTGTTCAGATTCCTAGCAACGACCCCATCGAGGACGACCACGCAGAGAAGATCATCCACGTACCCGAGTCCGTCTCTGGTCAGACTGAGGGCAGCGATTGGATGTTCTGGGGTGTCTTTGACGGTCATGCGTACATGCCACTCCCTCCCTGCCTAGTTGCCATCGGCTAACACTCGACTACAGCGGCTGGACCACATCTGCCAAACTCCGCCAGACTCTCATCTCCTTCGTTGCTCGCGAATTGAACACAACATACACAGCCGCCTCCGCAAACTCGTCCCTCAAGCCTCCCCCTGCAGATGCCGTCGACGCTGCCATCAAGAAGGGCTTTACCTTGCTCGACCATGAGATTACACACGAGAGTGTCAAGAAGGTTCAGAGTGCAAAGTCAAGGTCCTTGGCCGCAGAGCTCCTAGCTCCTGCCCTGTCTGGCTCATGCGCTCTGCTTTCATTCTACGACAGCCGTTCCAAGGAGCTCCGTGTTGCTTGTACCGGTGACTCGCGTGCTGTTCTGGGCCGTCGTGCCTCCAGCGGCAAATGGACTGCAACTGCCCTTTCTGTCGACCAAACTGGAGGAACAGAGTCTGAGAATGAACGTCTGCGCAAAGAACATCCCAATGAGCCCTATGTTACCCACAACGGCCGTATTCTCGGCGGTCTCGAACCTAGCCGTGCTTTTGGAGACGCCGTCTACAAGTGGTCCAAGGAGACTCAAGATCTCTTGAGAAAGAACTTCTTTACTCGCTCCTACTCAAAGTACCTGAAGACTCCTCCGTATGTCACTGCTGAGCCCGTCATTACCACCACAAAGGTTCAGCCTGAGAAAGGCGACTTTGTTGTCATGGCCACGGACGGCCTGTGGGAGATGCTCACAAACGAAGAGGTCGTCGGTCTTGTTGGCATGTGGCTTGATCAACAGGCTCACCTTACCCCTCAGCAGAACCAGTCCTGGTTGAGGTCATGGTTCGGCTCAAACAAGACATCTGCTCTAAACGTTGAAGGTGCCGCTCATGGAGAGGATGCCACTGGTCAACGTGCTCCCATTCGTCAGCAGCAGTGGGGTGTCAATGACCCTGAGTTCCAGCGCTTTGTTGTTGAGGACAAGAATGCTGCGACTCATCTTGCACGCAATGCTCTTGGCGGCAAAGACCAAGATACTTTATCCGCACTACTCACTCTCCCCAGCCCTTACTCGCGCAGATACCGCGATGATCTGACCATTGAAGTCATCTTCTTTGGTGAGGGTGGACCAGAACGCACAGGCAAGGTGGAGTTGAACAAGGAGGCTTCGGCACTGAGCTCCGAGGGCGTCAAGCCTAAGCTTTGAGTGCCGTATGAATGTCATTGATAGTTGCATTGCGGGAGTTCTAACATGGCGTCGGGGGCTTGGTATGAATCTGATCTGACTCGAAGGTGTCTTAAGTCCGTAAAAGGGGTTCATCGGAGGATTTTCATCCGATATGAGATGAAAGATTCAGTAGACTAGAGAGCTGGAATAGTCTCGAGCATGTATCGAGCAAGTTTTGACGATGGAACATCAGACGACAGATGTCGAATGTTCATCAGGCTGTCTCTTGAAACCTCCAAAGTTTCTCACCAAACACCCAAACTTTCCCACAGACCCTACCTGAAAATGTGTATCATCTGATGTTGTACTGCTGCATGAAGGCCTTCGAAATCTCAACCTTAACAACTTTTCCTAATCTCCACCACAAGGTTGAGATACGAGTACACGTGGTGACGAGCCTCAGTCAATCATCCCTTCTCTGTTGTTTCCATGCAAGGGCTACTCTCAACCCAACTCCCGGGACCGCACCAGCAGCATGATCGTCGCTCGTCTCCAGATCTTCTTTTCTTACGCACGAAGATCATCTCCCAAGAAGGTTCTTGCCCTGGTGATGATCACTCATCAAAATCGCGTGGCTTCGTTTGCCAGTGTCCGAGCAGCGGCAGAGCCATGACAAGCAAACAGAAGAAAGAATCCTTCAAGTCCATTGTGGAAGGGGTGCAATGTCTCGGTATTAGTTTGACCCGGGGCTAAGTACAAATTTCCATGCCGGATGGTGGACTGCAAGGAAATACCAAGATTGGATCGAGTGGAGAGTGCGCCCACATAGTAATATTGGCATCGGATCTATCATGACGGTCCGCAAATAAGTTGCTGCTTGACAAAGGGCGCACGGAGCCGAATCATGGCCGTCCTTTTCCTACAATGACCGTTCCATCAGGTCAATGCCGCCGACATGCTTGCGTGCTCATTCTTTGTCAAGAAAACCCTCTGCAGTATCGAACTTTCGCGGAGTGCTGCTCAACTGCGACATTGCTTGACTCGGACAAGATCATCTCAAGAGTCAGGCTCTTGGCTGTCAGAAAACCGTTGCACAACTGGAACGAAGCCTTTCTCGTGGACCCTTCAAGAAAGTTTTCACCAGACAGAGCCTCAAGGTTCGGTAGACATCTTGTATCTTTTCAGGATCGACTGATCACCAACAGGCTATCAAGGCTGGAACCAGAATGTATCAGATACATTGTATTAAGCGAATCCAACCATGGGGCCCCTCGAATGTTGTCGTGCTTGACTTGACCATACGAGGTTCGTCGCGCCGAAACTAGTACGAGTTTCATGATGGACAATGTTTAGAGTTAACCTCACTTCCGACCGAGTGGCGCCTGGTTCCACCAGTACCCGTGACTCGTGGCGCTGCGTCAAGGGCGTTGAGTTTGCAGCTACTCGAGGTGACTTGTCTCTATTCATGTGAATGTGGTGTCGATCAGTTGTAGCATCTGCTGAGAATGCCCTTGAAGGTTCGTACCCTGTGGACATGCTGCGCAAATGGCATGTTGCCGCATGTATTTGTAGAAAGGCAGGCACGTCCCAGCTTTCATCTACTTCTCTTTTCCTGATCCGTTCCTTCTTCACATAGCTACTTCCACATTACCTGGTGCGAATTATCTATTGCCTTTCGGTCTACAACAATCGGGCATGACAGAACCAAGAAACTAGACACAGCCTCTACTTACCAGGACTACTCGACCATACCACCTTCGTTTCTTGACAGGAGATCAACTTGGACAAGGAGCTGCTAGCTCTACACAACACCAATCATAATGGCGGCCAGCGAAATCCCTACATTGAGCCACTTGGGCTCCGTACCACAATCTCTGTTCAGTGGCACAGTAGCCATCTTGACCATTGCCTGGTTTTCAGTGGTACTACGTGTCTACGTCCGCAGCGTCATGATGAGGTCCTTCGGCTGGGACGACTGGACTATCATGCTTGCGATTGCCGCTTTCACAGTGCAATGTGCCTACATCATAAAAGCTGCTCAGATGGAGATGCAGCCGACGAAATACAACAATGTTGCTGGTCTATCTGAACTTGTAACAGTATGTGATCGGTTCATTCCCAATCGTTACAGATACTAACCTCATTCCTCCACAGGACATCATCGCCTTCAGCGGATCCTACGCCATCACCGGTGTCTTCTTGAAAATCTCGTTGGGTCTCTTTTTCCTACGCATCATTGTCGAACCGTGGCAACGTATGGTCATCTACATCTGCATGGCCATCAGCACCATCTACGGCTTCATCTACTTCGGCATCGTCACATTTGGCTGTGGAGACCCTCAGAAGTTCCTTCTACGGACGGTCGAGCAGAAGTGTCTATCGATCGAGAATGTCACCATTCCTGCCAGCTACGTACACACGGCACTCAACGCAGCCACTGACTGGATCATGGCTCTTTTGCCTATCGTAACCATTTGGAACCTCAACATGCCTCGTGTCACCAAGTTCTGGGCCTACCTCTTGCTTGCGCTGGGTGCAGCAGGAAGTATTGTCTCGCTTATTCGTTTCGGTTACGTCGACGGTCTTCGCCCTGGAAAACATTTCTTCAAGCAGTCGGCCAAATTCGCACTCTACAGCACTGTGGAACCTGGCCTTGGTATCGCAGCCGTCTCCTTCGCAACCTTGAGACCATTGTTCAAGAAATGTCTCGAAGGAGCAAGGTCGGTGTCTGCCTCTCAAAACAGTCGTGGAGGCAGAAAGACACCTTCCATCGTACCCGATATTCAACTCAAAGGACTCCCATTGTCCAGATCTCGCCCTCGTGACGGGTTTCAAGCATTTGGAGAGTCAGAGGATGAAGACTCACAAGGCTGGACTGAAGTCTCTGTTGTCTCGCAGGACCTGGAAAAAGGGTCGAATGGAAGATGGCCGCAAAGTCCTCGACCTATCTGAGTGAAATACTCCAACTCATACCAAGCTTACCGCTTCTCACCGATGGAAGACCAAACGTCGCCACGATCGAAGAGTCACGGACTCTGGAGAGCATACATGCATGCATGAACAAGGGTCCATGTCTCGCACTGGTATACATCACAGCCACTCCACCACATCCAGCACGCCGGATACTTCACCAGGAGAAGCCATCTTAGACGATGCTATATGCGTGAACAGTCATCACGCCTTCACCGTCATCCACAGTACCCAAACTCATATCACGACGCCAACGAAACATACCAATACAGCAGAGCGGCAAAACAGAACGCTCTCTCGTATAGAAATAACACTACAATCAGCCAGAATGGTCGTGCCAGCCCATTGCCATTCCACCAAAGAGGGGGAATCGTCAGAAACTGTTATATACCAGAAGATACCATATTTCCTATGTAATTAAATACATTCAACCCCTAACCGAATCAGTTCACAACAAAGATTGTTCACCACGTTCCAATATCCAAGCCTTTCTTACGTCGTCGTGACTTTCCACTACATCGTGTCTGCTGGGTTCTATCATACCATCGAAGTTATTCCATTCCAAAGTCGAAAGATTATAGCACTCACGATGCAAAGGGAGGGATGTAAGCAGCGATCCCAGACCTAAATTTTCCCCTCGAACTACTGCGTATTTGCTACAATGCACAATGTTTTCGAGAACCAGAAACATTTCCAGTGAGAGTCCACAGCGATGGTCTACTCTCAGTGGAATATCCCGACACCATGAAAATTTTGTGCCTTTTCCTGGTAGCTTGACCGCAGCTTCATAGACAGCAAGAGGAGGATGTTGTCGTCTCTGTCTGATCGCTCTAAAGATATTCACGCTCTAAAGATATTCACGCTCTAAAGATATTCAAGTCAGCGATGGACTCAATAGGGGGTCATGGTAAACAGCTGATGTGGATTTTGAGTTGGTATTGGAAGAGGAAGAGGAAGAGGGATAGTCTTTTCTTGCGCAGAGGGATGTGATGACTGATGATGTTTTGCTGCTCCGTGTCAAGAAAGAACCGTGCCATATTCGCGCGTTGTGTCTAAAGATTTGACTGATCAATGAAGATGGCAAAAAAGAGGATGAGTACATGGCAGTGAATCACAACTGAAGGTATAGAGTACATATAGTTGTGGTAAGGTAGAACTTTGGTCAAAGACAGGTGACACAATGTCTCTTCATTCTCGTAAACTCATTAAAACTACTTCATAGCTAAGATCGTTTTTCCCACACTTGCTTCTGTTCGACGCAATATGCTCTGGGTGGAAGGTATGATGGCTGATATGCAGCATTTAACCGTTAACAACAACACCGCCGTTGGCGTGGATGGTCTGGCCAGAGATGGAAGCACTGTCGGAGTTTGCGAGGAAGACGAAGCAAGTAGCGATCTCCGAGGGCTGCGAGGGACGGCCAATAGGAGAGCTGAACTCTTTTTGAGCCTGGTGGTTCATAGTAGCAGGGATGAGGGGTGTCCAGACGGGGCCGGGAGCGACGGCGTTGACACGGATGCCACGACCAACGTATTGGTTGTGGAGACCGCGGGTGAAGGAGATGATGGCACCCTTGGTTGATGTGTAGTCACTAGATATGTATAGTCAGTAAGGATGATCAAGAGTATGGTGAGAAACAAAAGGGCTTCCCGAATAGGAAGTTGAGAGAATGAGGGGAGGTACGTACAGCAAGTCAGGACGGCCAATGTATGCGTTGATGGAGGCGTTGTTGATGATGGTGTCGCCTTGCTTCATGTGAGGCAGAGCGTACTTGGAAAGGTAGAAGAAGGGGTGGATGTTGGTGGCGAAGGTGAACTCCCACTGCTCCTCGGTGAGGTCCTTGATGTCCTCAACCATGTTCTGGTAGGCGTGGTTGTTGACAAGAATGTTGATGGCGCCCATCTTCTCAAGAGCAGTGTCAATGACCTTCTGGCAATCCTCCTTCTTCTTGAGATCGACCTGGAGAAGATGGCAAGTGCGACCGTATGACTCGACCTTCTTCTTGGTCTCCTGTGCGTCTTCTTCTTCAACCTCGAGGTAAGCGATCAAGCTGTCGGCTCCCTCCATGGCGTACATGATGGCAATGGCACGGCCGATGCCGGAGTCTCCTCCGGTAATGATGGCCTTCTTGCCCTCAAGCTTGCCAGCAGCCTTGTAGAGGTGGAAACCGCCATCCTCAGTGGGAAGGTGCTCGTTCTGAGGAGTAGGACCCTTCATGTCCTTTTGGACACCCGGAGGCTTCTGGTCCGCGACGGGGATTTGGAAATCTGTTCAGTGGTCAGTCGCTTTATCTCTCACTAAGCAAGCCGGGCAGCCACATACCCTTCTTGAATTGACCCTCAGACATGATAGTTAGATGGTGATTATTTTGGTTTGGTGATTGTAAAGGTTGATGTCTCGAAAAAGATCTACGGCGGCTCTGGAAAGAAAGATATAGGTGGAGGTCAAGTAGGTGATTGTGATGTAATAGCTGTTTATGACGTTTGACAAAATAATGACGATCGAACGACCACATTTCACTGGATCTCACCAACCATCACGATCTCAATACTGCTGAACGAGTCTTGGCCACATTTAGCAGCATCTTGAGCCTCAACACATTTTGAGCCGGATGAACTGCTCTGCTTTTCTACCGTGAGGTCCGGTTATAATAGACGGAGGACCCTCCCTACCTTACCTATTACTGTTTAGTTCTGAGAGAGGCAGCTTTCTGCTGAGCGTCACGATATGCACGTCGCATCTGCCTGCAAGCAACCGACCAAGTCCGACAGCAGATACACCTTCAAACTCGAGACTCTCTTGCCGTCCAAGTGACAGACAGCCCTGGCAATATTTGGCGAAGACGACGAGATAACGAAGGTGCGCAATTCTTATCGTTAAACGATTCGAGCAGAGCTTGAGCTTGGGCCCTGTCTGATTCAAGTCGATTCCATCACCTTGATGAACTCCTTCCTTTTTCGGACATGACGTCTCGATCAGTTTTATCTCAACACTGCACTCGTACATATAAGCATGCTTCGTGTGATACGTTTGTTTAGGTGTGTAGTTGTGGAAAAGCACAATTTCTGTCTAGTTAGAGGTAGTCTCTGAAAGCATGACCGTTGGCGCATCCCTGCAAACGACTGTTTCAATCTCACAAAAATCGTGCATTTCTATAGGTCGTGGCAAGTACCAGGGGTGGTCGAGAGGGACTGCTGACAATGTAAGCTTTACGCATGTGCGGAGAACATCTGAAGTGTGAAGTTATTGAATGGCGATCAAAAGCAAGACTGGTTAGGCAAGTGTACAATGTTTAGTGATCGCCCCTGTTTAGAAGGCCCATTGATATGCACTATGGCGAGGATCTAAATAGCTGCTACTGCATCAACTACTGTTGAATCACACAACATTGGCTGAACAGTAGATGCATCTTGTTTGAACTGTTGATCGTATCTAGTGAACTAAAGTGCCTTGCGCAGATATGGTATAGTATGTGCATTAGTCCAAATGGAACTGCGGTGATAGGCTATAGCCTGCATCGGCCGAAAGCAGAGGGTATAAGTAAGATGTGACAACCTCACCCAAAGCACCTGCAGCAGTCCAAAAGGGGATCACTTGATATCATCAATTGTCCTCAATCGCTTGAACCTCAATTGGCTCCTCACACTGTAAAGATGACCATCCAAGGAACTCGATCGCGGCGTTTAATTGTCATAACACCTTACCGTTCAACCCAAGCACACCACTTCCTCAGCGGATCAGTACCTGATTGCGGTGTGTTCTCATTTGGATCTTGACCGCCGAAAACACAGAGACGAGAACCAGCCAAGTGATGTAGTGTGATAAGCCTATGCACCTGCTCAAGACGTATTCGATACGAATGAAGCATTTACCGAGCCCATTGGGGTTCAGTGGCGTGTCTAGGCCGAGCTGAGAAATCTAGAACTGGATTGAACAGCGCTACTCAAGTGGGTGCATACCGTGCCTCTTACACCCTCCTCTTATATCGATGCCGTTCGTTGTGTGTGCGTTGGATCTCTGTTGCATTCGGAGAGACAAAAGCGGTTCGGTCGGAGAATGAGTGGATATCCAGTTGAGTGCCACGTCAATGTGTCATTGTCCTCAAAGTATGATGCGAGGACAGCGATATAAACATCTTGGCTTGACTGCGGTTGGGCGAGGACCCTGGCATCTCTGTTCAATGCAGTGAGCCGATCCTAGATTCACGCACTTGAGGACTTCCTTGGTTCATGACGGGGACACCTACTCATCTGGCTGGCTTAAGAACGGCGTGTTCGTGTATCCCACCGGTGGCATCATGCAGCCATCACACAGCGGCATATCGTACTGTACTAACGGATCCTTGTTCCTTCGTAGTCGCATCTCACTTTTTAAGTGTGTGCTGATGGTTGGAAGGCTTCGTAAACGCCTCGGACTGTCGAGATAGAAGCCAGGCATACCGGATTGGGTAGAGGCATTGCTGCAGACTCGGTGCTGGTGGGGAATGTTGATAGGATTGTGTCCAAGCCCTAGATTGAAGAGGCCACCTGCGAAGTCGATGCGCCCAGACAGCTGTCAATCCTTCCTGCGTCTGTCAGATACCTTGGCGCATAATAGCGGGCTCACCACACTTGTCGGAGGCTCGACCAATCTGGCATGAACCGCAAAGCATCAAGTATGCTGATCACGAGTTGGTTCTGACCTCTGGGAGACTAGCAATTCACCGTGTGCTAGATCTGTCACTTCCAGCCATTTCCCGTGATCCACACCTGAGGATTTCGCGTGTACGAATGCACAGTGTTTTGGAAATCGGCACTATTGTCCGCAGAGAAGCAGTGGCGATTACGATCTCTGTGGACGTCGTCGATTGCTGGGCGAGAATCGGGCATCTTTACAGATACATGCGTAACAAAGTTCAGAACAAGAGGAAAGAGGTGCAAAAGAATCCAGAATCAAGGTATTGTACATCTACGAGACGCAGCGGTGCTTCCATCATCGTCAACACGGCATATCTTTTAGCGTAACTTTACTGGAGTAGGCGAGGTCGGCCCACGATCCACGTAGTTGCGGTGAAGAGATGTTGCTGTTTAAACCTTCCATCTTGCATGAAACACACATTAGGAAAGAACTCAAGAGCCGAGGGAAACCCTCGCATGGAGATCACCGCAATATTCATGACCTACGGCATTGTCGTGATAGGTGGACAGAGTCGGATTTACCTGGCTGCTTTTCTTGTAGATGCTCCTATTCGAACGATCATGTATCCTGGACTCGACACTCGGCCATAACATAGGTGGCTGGGCAGGGCATTGTGTCCATGTTGTGGCTATGTTTAATGTGAGACAAGTGGGGACTCGGAGTTTGCAACGTCAACGCAGGCTGGTACGTAGTACGTACGGAGAGTACGGAGACAATGGTGACCATGGCAGCTACCCAGGACGCATCGAAAGATGATCTCTCTGTTGGCGTGTAGCTGAAATCAACATACGCCGACTTACAAACCTCGCATTCTGTCTGAGCCGGGAGTGGGCTTTTAGAGCGTCTGAGCAAGATAATGGGGGCTGAGCGGGTCGTGAAGGATGCCAGTGGAGATTATACAAAGCGCAGACCGGGTGTCTAATCATACATCGCACGCATCTTAAACCTCGGTCGGTGGAACTTGCCGTATAAAAACAGGTTTAGTGCATCTCGAGGAACACTCTCCGAGAACTAGGCCCCCTGCTCGACGGGCACTGCGTTCCTGTACCTTGTGCCTTTTGGTAGCTGGATTTGCCATAATGACGAAGGCTCTGGAAGACTAATGCTTGGCGTACACCGTAAAAAAGAAGTCGCGACCCGTCGCGGGTGTCTGAATTCGTTCAAACATCAACATGCATGTTTCCGAAGGGGAAGTACCCAGCCGCTCACATTTGGTGGGGCTTTCAGACGGTCCACGTGTCACCCGAAGAATGGACAAGCTTAAAAGTCTATGACTGCACTTAAGGGCCCAAGCTTGAAGATCTGCGAGGAACGAAGGGAGTCAGTTCTGGCGTGTTGGTATGGAAGGTCAGATGTCGGGTTTACTGATCATGACGGACGTCCATCCGACGCACTGACCATTCCAAATCCACCCTGGCTTTTGGAACCACGATGGCAGACAGCATGAACAGAACACGAGCGGAGAGGACGGACGTTTGCCTTGCACAAGCTTTAGTGAAGGGTAGGATGGGGTATTTGGAAGATCTCCCGGTGTCATGCGTAGGGAGACGGCAGAAGGTCATTGCTAGCACCGAGTCCATGGATGCGGTGAAGAAGCGGATCCAAGTTCGTTCAAAGTCTGTCCGAGCAACGAATTGCCGGAAGGTCCCTGCTTGCGCCATTCTCTCAAATTAGTGACCGAAGGACGAGCATACATATGACAGCATGTCATCTCATATCAGACGGTAGTATTGCTGCATCTACTCAAGTAAGAATGCACCGGTGTAAAGCATTTGGAGCATGGGGACACACCAGGATGTTGTTCTCATTGGAGGATTGTATGCTCAGATAGCACAGCGATCCTACGGCTGGGAGTTGCTCCAACCCGTCAGGTCTTGGTGAAAGGATGTTGTGTTCGTGGCAGCCACTGACGCCTGCAGTACATATGGCATCCTCCATAGTGGTGCCCTTCCCAATTGAGCTGTGTTTGGCACGCCCGAATGTGCCCAGGAATTGACCGCAAGCTCGAAGGGCCACTACAACCGTGTGTTCACGGTTGCATGAAGCCCCGTTCAGGATCTGCTTGTGCATTGCATATAGATCAGCAGAGCAGAGGCAACCAAGCCCGATACCACACATGGCCATATCTCAGTAAAGTTAGTAGCTCCATAAGGATTTGACTAAGAAGGATTGAGTGAGACGAAACCTGCACCACAATCTACCCCAGCCCCAAGAATATTGTCTTCGACTCCGCACACAACTAAGAGGCTTCGTAGCAGCCGAGGATCCTCGTCCAGTTGTTTGACAGCCAATAACTTAGTTCTGACGCGAAATATGTAATCCCTTGGAGCAAAACACAACGTTCCGTCGGCTCGTCTTGCGGTGCGTCGGAAAGAGTGGCCTCAAGATACGCAACGACAATTTGAGCCTTAGTGTTCGCATCGGGCAAGAAAATCGTTCGAAGCCTGGTGAACGCATGTCACTGCGTTGCCAACCTTTGGCAATTTAGGCAGGCCCACTGCCCATCGCTATCAGGAATCGTACAATTTGATCTTCTTTTCGATCCTGCACGGATATTGGCATATGTGTTGAAGCGGACGGACGTTTTTTTCTCGAGAAGACGCCCAGATCATTGCAAGCTCGTTGTGTTACTCCGTTTTACCAGCATGGCCTCCAACCGGCAGCCTCAGCCTTGGAACGATGCCTCTGTGCATGAATTCGGCAGGGACTTTCTAGCCTTTTCCGTGCAGCACGGCATATACTGCGTACCAATCGACGATGTGAGTAGCTGCCGAACCCAGTACGAAGGTGACATGGTTGGAACTGTTTCCGCGCTTCTTTACAAGACTTCGATTTCTCCAGACAGGTTCAGCCTTGAGGCAATCCGTGCTGTCATGTCAGCGAATCTGCAAGCAAGTTGATGGCTGCTGCAGTTGGAATCGAGGAGCAACCTAGAGATCGAGTTGAATGGGGTTCTGTCCTGGAACGAAGCTAATTTCTGTGAAGGAAGAACTCAACCGACAAGCCGACTTCTACGACATCGTCTCTCGATTGTTTGAGAGACGTCTCTTTCTACCAGCAGACTTGGCTCCAGAGTTCATACTTGACTGTGGAAGTGGGAGTGGAGTGGAATGGGCGGAGGAGGTGATGGAGAAATCAGAGCTCGGATCAAGATCCTCCAGCTCGGGTGATGATGACTTTGCGTGCCAGGTAAGTCTTCTCCTTGCGGTGTACGATACATGTCCTAGTGCTGATCCGGATTGGTCTGCCTTTAAGGTCGTCGCTGTCGACATTTTCCACACCGAAGGATCCTCACCTGGAGTGGTGAAGAAAAGATGGAACCTCAACGAAGCTTTCCGGTACGACCAGACCGAGCTTGCAAGAGACAGGTATGATCTTGTCAACTCGTGCTTCCTAGCAGATGGCATCAATAAGGACAGGTGGAGCTCCTATATACAAGACCTTCATGATCGCGTCCGGCGTGGGGGCTGGCTCCAGATGGTCGAGGCTCAACTCAACATCCAATCGGATAGCGGACGACCTTTGGAACATCTCTCGAGGTGGTGGAGCATCTACAGCGATGCTTTGGAAGAGCAAAACAAAGACGCAAGAGCTATGGTGCACCTCAGGCGACACATGACCAACGCAGGCTTTGTCAATATTGTTGGGGAGCCCAAGCGACTTCCTGTTGGAGAGTGGCACAACGGTGCGTGATAGTGTTCCCCTGCGTAGCATTCCGCCTCTTTCTCGTACTGCCTCCGACTCTTCCGCATATGTACTGACACGCCAACCAGATCCTCATCTGAGAGAGATTGGTAGAGACATGAAAACAATAGCGTTACAGACTCTGAGGTCACTAGGTGTCTGGCACTGCCGCAAAAGTGGTATGGAAGAACGAGAGTTTGAAGAGTTGCTCGTGGGGTGTGAAAGAGAGATCTCGGATACAAGTCTGCGGCTTTATATTCAGTTGTAAGTGCACCACCAAGAGGTTCAGGCCGCAAGCTAAGTGCTATTAGGTATGCCGTCTGGGGTCAAAGGGCCGAAACCGAACAGAAGCGAGTCGATAGAGGAGCCACGTACATACCCGACCCGAGTAGGCCTCCTCTTCCACCGGTAAATTGGGCATAGAGGTTCGAGGGTGCTATCGCCAATGCCGTGTGCTGTTGGTCGGTAGACTGGTCGTGTTGATCCAACTCAAAGTATGCAGCTGATATGGGCATCTGTTTTTCGAAAGCTCTGCTTGGGTTTGGGAGGGAGTGAAGGTTGGTCTAATCGGTAGAAGAGGGTCGAGGTTGTTTGTCTGGACAGGTGAGCTTTGCCAAAGTCTTTGGAGTCAATATTGATACGACTAGATGGGCGTAAAAGAGGCTCCTCGAGTGGCCTTAGTCCGCGCCGTGTGTCGCACTCCGCATGTGCAACGCGGTCTGATGTCTGGTTGCTCACGAAAGCTCTTGGAAGAGATTGATGTTGGGAGAAGAGGAGAGCCCCCGAACTCCGAAGTGTTCTAAGCAAAACTTCACGTTGATCTTAGGGTGCAGCTGCAAGGTGCGTCACCCTTGCAGATGATTCTGAACACCTCGTCGTGTGGAGATCCATTATCAAAGCTACCACACTCCCGGGTCGTTGACGAAGTAAAGCATAAAACAAGAGACGTATGAATCACATTCATGAGAGAGGAGAAGAATAACGGATGCAAAAGATTTAGACTGGCATGTCTTGCTTACATTCTGCTCGGTTCTCGTCCGAGGAACGCGACTCTATTACCTTACGGATATCCGATTGTTACGCTTGTCAATGAAGCCCTTTGGACCATGCAGCAACGCTGCCTAGCAAAACGCGTTTCTGGCTTTTAGTGTCCCAAATTTGCAGTCGTCCGATGTTCGGGCACTATGTCGAGTTGTCAATATAACACTGCCTGCCTGCACGGAGTTGTGTCTACGTCGTCGCTGGAATTTCCCTCCACGGGACTGTGTTCCACTCAAGATGTCCCCATCACGAACTGAATCAAGCTGTCGTGAAGTCGGTGGAAGCATCGAACATGTTCTGGATTTTATGAGGCTAAAAGTTTTCGGCCGTAAGATGTTTCAATAGGACCCAGTCTGTCGGGAGGCGGCTCCATTCTTGAAGTGACCGGTGCACGATAATTTGACCATCAATATACATACGACAGCAGCCGTATAGTACGGTATAATTGGTCCAGAAGGATATATCAAAACCCGTGTGGTTGGAAACAGCAAATTTGGCAAATCTCAAGCTTGTGTGTGCCAGAATCCGACCGTTTTCATCACTCGCGGTATGCTATACGAGCCGTGCTTACAAAGATGCCTAGTACTTTCATTGCTGGTAGAGCTTCGCATGGTCAATGGATGCTTACCTTGTTCTCACCAAAAGCGACCTTGATCTGCATCGCATTGTGAAAGTCTAGGGCCATGATATGCATGACATTCTGACACACGGGAAGGCAGTTCTGCCAGCTCGAATAACCGTTTCTATGACGTAGATATGAGGAAGGGCATTCCGCTCCATCATAAAGAGAACAAACTCTGTTGAAGTTATTTGGAGGCATTTGTTTCATCTGATTGTACTCGTCTTACTTACAGCTATGGCGGAAGCATTGAAAGAAACCATGAGCTCGGCTTGGACAGGCGTCAAGCGTGGTCTGTCCAGCGCACCTCCTAACGATGCCTATCTGGCCTGGAATGCTCCGGGTGTCGAGACCATCAAATCGGACGAGGAAGAGAAAACACAGCAGATTAAGGATGTCATGGAGCGCATGCAGAAGCGCAACTTCGATCTTCACCGACATGCCTTCCGCGCAACTCATGTCAAGACGCAGGGCATCGTCAAAGGCAAGCTTCAGGTCCACTCGGACTTGCCAGAACATCTTCGTCAGGGTATCTTCGCAGAGCCAGGCAAAACATATGATGTTGCAGCAAGATACGCGAACGAACCGTATCTGCTCCAACGTGACCAGGAGCCCGGTCCTCGCGGTCTTGGACTCAAAGTATTCGACGTCACCGGTCCTCGACTGGAGGGCGTCGACGAATCGGTCAATACACAGGACTTTCTCTTTAACAACGCACCTAGTATAGAACTCACAGATGTCGACACCACGCTGGAGATCATGAGTTTGCGTGAGAAGTATTTCGACGACCCAGCGGCGCTAGGCAGACATCTAAAGCTTCGAAGCGACATGATAAAGCAGCATGCACCGTACATGCTTCCGGACACCAACATAATTTCTCATGCCATGTATACTCAGTCAGCGTTCAGATTCGGCCAATACTATGGACACATGGCCCTATTCCCAGTGCTTGAGACCCAGAAGGCAGCAGACGACAAGGTCAAGAACGACGACCCATCATGCGTGCTGTCAGACTGGTTGTTTGACTACTTCGCCGGAAAAGAAGCCAAGTACGAGTTCAAGGTAAGCAACGATGTGTCGGTGTCCCACAGACAGTGTACTCACAGAAATCAGATCCAACTTGGAACTGACCCAGCTCACCACCCTACTGAAGATGGAAGCGTCGTGTGGGACGAGGCTACTTCGCCCTACCAATCGCTGGGCACGATCACATTCCCGGCACAGGACAGCTTCGGCCAGGAACGACGAGTTTTCTGGGAAGACCGGATGTCTTTGGATGCTTGGAGAGGTCTGGCCGCTCACAGGCCGCTTGGGGGTATCAACAGATTACGGAAGGGAGTGTATCCACACAGCAAGAAGACCAGAGACAGGATCAACGTTTCCAAGTCAGAAGACGTTCGAAGTGTTGATGAGATTCCATAGAATAGGCAGGGCTTTTGATGCACAGTGTGGCAGCGATTATCTCGGTTGTTTCCAGCACCTACTCTAGTGCACATGTGATCTGATTTATCTCGAAACCGGATTTTTGGTAGCGTGTCAAGCATTGTATCATCAAGCATGTTGCAGGCGGGCTGTAAGTGTGGCTTTGCTTGTCTCGGCGCGGGACGTGAAAGCTGGCAGTGACGAGCTCCTTCTGCAATTTCTCTGTTGTTTCGTTCGGTGAATTTTCTTTCAAACACAGCGATCAGATTTCGATCACATCGAAATACTTACTGACGAGTCGAACAAGACGAAGTGGTTGAGGTCTCCAAAAAGGATCAGATTAAAATAGACCAGTCAGGGTCACAGGTGGGGAAGGGCAATTTGCGCCAACAGCACGCGACAGAAAGAGGACAACGTCCATCCAAGCTCAGAGCCAGAGGCTGGCCTTGTCGACGTTGATCGAAAGCGACAAGACTACCTTTTCTTCCATCCGGCCTTCTAGAAAGCTGTCGCTCCCGCGCGCCGAGCAGTCAGCCCCGGACGAGATACGGATCATTCCATCAAGCAAACAAACACAGCCGTACACGGGCCCGAAGCCAAAGGGCGGTCAGAGCAAGCGGACGGCAGAACTCTCTCAAGCCACTTTGTATGCGCTGCTTGACGACAACAACCATCTCGAGTCCTCCCGACTTCTCCGGATCCCTTACACGCCGGTAGAGCGTGTGGCCTGGACGCGCTCATGTGGTACATAACGCGCATCCTGTCGGCGCTCCTGTTTCTGTTCAGCGTCGTCTTCACCATCCCGCTGGCCTTTGATGTCGGTGGCCGCACCTGCGGTCTCGCCTTTTCCCTGTCGCTGAGCGCCTTCTACTTCTTCTACTCTGCCTTACGACTCGCGACACCCGATCGCTCCAGACTCCGCTATGCCCTCGTCAACACCATCGCCGCCTCGCAGTGGATCGTCATCCCCACACTCATGATCTGGAGTCTCAACAAATTCTCCGTCGACTCGGACGCAACTGGATGGGTGGAAAAGACGTTAGGTGGGAAAAGGGCACAGCACGATACCTTGTACGCATGGGTCTTCGGTAGCGACGGTCTGCTGCAGTCAATCACAATCGGTAGCTGGGACAAGCTACTCCGCTGGTCGACACCTGTCTTCCAGCTGAGTGAGGGCTTTTGCAGTCTGCTCGTCATTCAAGCTGCTGGTCAGATTACACGGTACCTGGTAAACCGCGAAGGAGGTGATGGATGGATGGTAAGTCGGCTGAAGTTGCGCTGCCAGCCAGACTCCTAAAGCTAATTGTTTCTCTGCAGATCGGCCTGCTGATCACCTCTGCCTCAATCATCTCGAGTTCAGTCTACTTTCTTTGGAGAATCACGACCTTTCCGGAGCTCGGTAATGTCGACGCTATCCTTATTGGTGTTGCCATTACCTGCGCCTTCTTTCTATGCGTCTGGGGAATTGGTAGTGGAAAGGGTAATCCCGTCGAGAGCTCGCTGCTCGTAAGTTTGACAACCACACAACACACTGTGCCGATAGGCTAACCGTTGCTAGTTCGCCTACATCACCCTCTGCATCTACCAAATCTTCACCGATTACCAGCCTTCAAACCCGTCACAGTCCGTTCCGGTTCCCGCTGAGTCCGACTTTCCTCCATTGCCCCCGATCATCATGGCATCGTATTCGACTCTGATGCACGCTCTTTCTACTCTCCCGTCTACCATCCACACCTCCTTCAACTTCCTGTTCGCGGCCATCATGACCATCACACCTTCTGTCATCATCTCACTCGCCTACCGCCTCTTTGTCATGTACGCTTCCGCCCGTATCATACCGGCTGTGCGCGAATCTGGAGCTCGGGCACTTTCCCAAGAACCGTCACTTGAGGACAGCGACGGCGTTGGTCAAGTTCTTGGTTTCCTCGGCTACTTCAGCCCAAGTATCTTGATCGCTGTCTACACCAGTCTTCTTATGCAGCACTTTGCTTCGGCTTCGGCCGATCACCCTGGAGAATGGTGGACTAGTCAAGGCGGAGATGCCGGTAGCAACGTGTGGCGGTGGGCCAATCTGGCCGGCACCATGGCACTGTACGCGGTTGAGTTATATCTTGGCAAGGGTCACGACGACAGCAGTCTAACGAGTCACTGGAAGATTGATTGAAAGAACAGAAGGCATTTTACGCAGGAGACAGAAGCTATACCAGAAGAACAGCCAGTGTTGATCACAACCAAAGGACCCACAGCCGTCAGGTGCGAGCTGGAGAAATACTGTGTCCTGCGAAGGGTCATTGGAGCTATAGCGCAAGGAGATCCCAGCCGGGACACAACGATGAGGAATCCATCATGAAGATTGGATAAAGCGCCATCGGAGAGGAGAATCCCAGGCAAAGGCAGGTCCTTTTCAAAAGCGACGCGGAAGGTATGGATGCTCTATAAGCAATCCTGATTGGTGTTCTGAGCGCCAGCGAACTTATCTTCTTTTTCCTTCCCTTTACAGCGATATGCTGGTCAGATATCATATCATTTCTCCCTTAGCAACAAGATAAATTCATCCATCACGATAAAAAGGCGATTACGACCACGGCACATGATCTCTGTAGTAGAAGGCAAGCGCAGCCGACAACGCAGATCGCCGAATGCTTGACCTTCCATACGTCACAAACGATCATCAATGTGGAGGAAGCTCTCAGGGCAGCTACGATAGTTTTTCCCTGTCAGCTTCTTCAACCTTTCAGAAACATATTCCACACATTTTTTGTTCTGGACATTTACGATTGAAGCTCACCTTGTTGTAAACCCGCCTCTACTCTCCATCACACCTCAAAAGTAGACGACAGAAATCAGGCACAATGGCTGAGACTCACCACTTCCACGCCCACAAGCTGTTTAGCATGGAGGGCAAAGTCGCAGTTGTCACTGGAGGTGGCTCTGGCATTGGACTGATGGCCACACAAGCTCTCGCTGCCAACGGTAAACATGATGCACACCAGGCTTATCAGTACTTTGACTAACATCATCAAAAGGCGCAAAGGTCTACATTGTCGGCAGAAGTGAGTCTCTTCCACTTCGCAACACAAACGTATAGCATATCTGACACAATTCAAAGACGTCGACAAGCTTAAGACTGCAAGCAAGGAGCACGAGCCTGACCACGGAGAGATCATCCCGTACGTTGATTCCCAAGATGACGAAGGAATAGAACATGGCTGACCAGGAGTTCAGTATTGGAGACGTCGACGTGACCAACAAGGACGACCTTGAGAAGTTGGTCCAGGAGATTCAGAAGAAGGAGAAGTGTATTCATCTGCTTGGTAGGCCTCTCTAGTGCCAGTATCCTGGACATTGCTAACGCATGACGATAGTTGCCAACGCCGGTGTTCCTGGACCTAAGGCTGAGCCCGACAAGTCAGATGCTGGGGAGCTCAAGGACAAGCTGTGGAAGGGAGAATCAGTCCAGGAGTGGAACGACACATACTCGACCGATGTCACATCAGTGTACTTCACCACGGTCGCGTTCCTGCCATTGCTGCAGGCGGCTATTGAGCCCCAGGGCTCCGGAGAGCGTTTCAGCTCATCCGTAATCACCACGTCGTCCATGAGTGGTATCATGCGCCACGCTCAAGGCCACTTCGCGTATGTAACACACTGTCTGGTTGTCGACAAGAGATGAGCTAACAAAGACTTGGCGCAGTTACAACACAGCCAAGGGCGCAACAGTGCACCTGACCAAGCTGATGAGCGCCGAGTTCATGAAGGTCGGCGTCCGCGTCAACAGCATCGCACCAGGATACTTCCCCAGCGAGATGACAGCCAAGAGCTCCGACGACAGACAGAAGAGCGATCTGCCACCGGAGAAGGTCGCCGAGAAGGGCCACGTGCCTCAGATGCGCGGTGGCCGTGACGAGGAGATGGGTATGGCTATGCTGTTCCTCGCAAAGAACACTTATGTCAACGGAGAGATTCTTGCAGTTGACGGTGGAGTTCTCAACATGTTGGCTGGCCGTTAAGAAGGAAGGTTTACAGCAAGCGACGATACGGCGTTGTTTGTGAGGGAAGGTCATGAGACGGGTCAAGGAGAACAGTACAACGACAACGAAGAGATGATGCAATGATTTCTGAAACGCAGAGCTGGCCGCGTGGCCGCGTGGCCGCCCACAGTGACAGCGGGTTGTGATGATCTTGAGATGTCGGCATGAGTATGCTCTTGGAAGTTAGGATGATTTGTTCTGGTGGCATGCTCGAGAGAAGCAGACAGTTGTCGCAAAAGGAGAGATTGTAGCCAAAGAGCGAGAAACAAAGTTGCAGATGTCTCGTGGGCTTGGGATTAGGCTTGGGGATCATGCCCCGCCCGTTTCAACGTCGAGCGTAAAGGGCTTAATCCAGGCCAACACACTCGTGGACCCGCGTGCGCTGGAATTACACTGTCTCAGATGGTGAGATAAACATCCTTTCCACCCTTTCGCCATCGTCGTGATCTCATACAATCTCCCGGATGGTGCGATCTGGTACACTCGTGCCCCGTGCCCACGCATAACTGTCGACGTCGACGCCCGATGCGAGAGTGGAACGCCGTATCCGACCAAGCACTCAAGACTTCTTCGCTAACACTGACAACTCCCGACCAAGTCGACTTCCACCTTGCCAAACTACCCAACTGTCTGGCTGGCATGAGGACGAGAAGTACCACATATCTGTCGCCGCCATCGCTGTCGCGCAGCTCGAGCAACTGCTTTCTGGTCCAGGCCCTGATCTGAGAGCTTCACCAAATCCCGACCCTGTCCCTGACCCTGACCCCCGAAACACCATCTACGCATACGACTTAGAACGCCCACCGCCATGCCGGCCGTCGCACAGCGTCCTCAGTCGGCCTATGGTCCTCCTAGGTCGTCGGTCGAGTCCGACAGCGGCAGCGAACGATTTACATCCGCCCTTGAACGACGTGCGAGTTTCCAACCCCAGACCACTCTCAAACCACCCAGTCAGAGCAGACAGCCGAGCTGGGAAAAAGTACCAAAAGATGGGACCGTACAAAGAGCCGCCGGGGAGGTTAGCGGCTTGAAGGACTACGTAAGACAAGAGCTGCTATACATGAGACATGGTGCAGAACCTCGAGCTGACAGATGCTCGTAGCAATTGGGCGATTGCCTCGGCAAGGGTGCTTTTGGTAGCGTATACCGCGCCTTGAACTGGGGCACTGGCGAGACTGTTGCTATCAAGCAGGTCAAACTTGCTGATCTGCCAAAAGGCCAGTCTCGCGCCATCATGGTATCGTTGAAATTCGAGCTGCGTGCCAAAGTACTGTTACAGATGCTGATTTAAGACTTGCAGATGGAGATCGATTTGCTCAAGAATCTCAACCATGCCAACATTGTCAAGTACAATGGCTTTGTCAAGTCTACTGAATCACTCTACATTATTCTGGAGTACGCCCTCCCCACGAATGGTCTGTCGAATCCTGCTTACCAAATATAGATATTGCGAGAACGGTTCTTTACATTCCATTTGCAGAAACTTTGGCAAGTTTCCCGAGAATCTGGTCGCTTTGTACATGACTCAAGTCCTCCACGGCCTGTTATACCTTCACGAGCAAGGTGTTATCCACAGAGATATCAAGGGTGCGAATATTCTTACTACAAAGGAAGGTCTGGTCAAGCTGGCAGATTTTGGTGTTGCAACGAGGAAAGATACTGGTCTACATGAAAGCAGTGTAGTTGGCACACCTTATTGGATGGCTCCCGAAGTCATCGAATTGTCTGGCGCTACTACCGCTTCCGACATCTGGAGTCTTGGATGTACTGTTATTGAACTGCTCGATGGAAGGCCACCATACCACAAGCTGCAGCCCATGCCAGCCCTATTCCGTATAGTCAACGATGATCATCCGCCGCTGCCTGAAGGAGCCTCTCCGGTACTGAGATATGATCATTCACTCTTGTTGTCAATCTTGCTGACACCATCCAGGCCGTTCGCGACTTCCTAATGCAATGCTTCCAGAAAGACCCCAACCTTAGAGTGACAGCCAAGAAACTGCTGAGACATCCCTGGATTCTTAGTGGAAGACGTTCTGATCAGCCTGTTGCAAAACCCACGCAATACGATGAAGCAGTCAAGAGTGTTCAACAATGGAACGAAGCACTCAAATCGCCGCAGAACACGGCTTCAAGGCGTTCGTCATCTAGACCACTCTCACTCAGCCCTGTTCCTCCACGACCCGACGTTGGCTCACATATGAGAACTCCTGGAATTAACAAAGGTGGTCTAGCCCTGGCGACTCGAGCAAACGACACAAAATCTTACCAGTCACCCGAAAGTGACGCCAAAGACAACTGGGACGATGATTTCGCAACCTCGATCGGGAACGCCGCTTTGCAATTGCCGCATCTAAAACCTCACGACAACTTTGCTGGTATGCTGTCTTCTGACAAGCTTAAGCAATACGCCACCTTCGACATCAATGCTGAGGAGGAAGAGGGTGACAACTGGGACGACAACTTCGAAGGAGATCTGACAGTGAGAAGTCCGATGGAAGTCGTTCGAGGGGATCCAATGGAAACTGTGCGACCCTTCTTCCCGCCGAGGGCCAACACTTTTGACATGAAATACACTGCACCCACAAGGAATCCTCAACAGTCGACGCTCCGTCAAGCACAAAGAGCCTTGGAAAAGGCTGACAAGGACAACCCTTCAAGGACGCAGATCCTCCGACCGACGCATAAGTCGACCAAATCTGAGCCACAGCCCACAGAGGCTCCGGTGCGCCCTTCTCTGTTGTACAGAGAGAACTCGACAGAGGATTACTCCGACTTGCTCGGTCCGGACAACGATTCTGCTTTCCGCCAGAAGCTTGCAGCACTTACCGTGAGAAGCGATGACTCCTTTGCGCCGAAGCTTTTCCACCCATCGGATCTGAAGAGTCTGCCCCGACCCAATTCGCGCATGAGCAGCATGCGAAGACCCTCTCCACAGATATATGATGCCGCAGCAATGCGAAGAACACGCTCCGAGGTGGAAATCCAGAAGTACGCAGAGGACCCCGAGGACGAAGACTTCTCAGACATATTTGGCAAAGAAGATGGTCAGCAAATCCCACAACCCGAAAGTGAAAGTGGATCTGAGATTGGTACCCTCATGCTCAACTCAAAACTCTCTACCAACTCATGGCTAGGTGACGAGGAAGATGAAGACGATCCGTTCGCGCAGCTTGAAGAGGGCTTCGATGAGATGGATTTGGAGACCAACATCGCTCGAGATAAGTTTGCTCGTTTGGTAACTCTTGTCGAGGGACTTGTTGGATCTCTCAAAGTTTCGCAGCCTGAGGACTACTTGGAGGACATCGTGGACCAACTGTTCCAAGTATTGTGGGAGTCCCCCGAGGTCAAGACTGTAGTCATGACTTCGCACGGCATGCTCCCCATCCTCGAGATCTTGGAGACATGCAACCGTCCGCAGACCATCCTACGTCTGTTGCAAGTTGTCAATCTGATCATCATGGACAATGTCGAGATTCAAGAGAATCTCTGCTTCGTTGGTGGCATTCCTATCATCACACGATTTGCGCAAAAGAGGTACAGTAGTGACATCAGATTGGAAGCTGCTGCTTTTGTCAGACAGATGTACCAGACCAGCACGCTCACTCTCCAAATGTTTGTCAGTTGTGGTGGTTTGAACGTGTTGGTTGAATTCCTCGAGGAAGATTACGAAGCGGAGAGAGACCTCGTTCTGATCGGAGTGAATGGTGTTTGGAGCGTGTTCGAGTTGCAGGGTCCGACGCCCAAGAATGATTTCTGTCGAATCTTCTCACGAAGCGCAGTCTTGTACCCATTGTCTCTGGTGCTTAACCGAGTATTGGAAGAAGAAGGCGAACTTGCTGAGTTGGTTGAGGGACGCATCGTCAACATTTTCGTCCTATTTTCGCAGGCTGAGAATCATGTCAAGGAAGCAGTTGCTGATCGCATGGTCCTGAAGCGTGTGCTGAAGGACCTGAAACGCATGTCTCCTCAACACCAGATCACTATGCTCAAATTCATCAAGAACTTGTCTATGCTGGCAACAACCCTCGACGCTTTGCAGAACTCGAATGCCATCGAGGTGTTGACTGATCTTCTCAACGCCAGCATGAAGGTGCCACACTTCCGCGAAATCTCTAACCAGGTCTTGAACATCATGTACAACCTTTGCAGACTGAGCAAGACCAGGCAAGAAGACGCCGCGCTGAACGGTGTCATTCCTCTGCTGCAGCGTATCGTTAAGACCGAACGCCCACTCAAAGAGTTTGCACTGCCTATCTTGTGTGATATGGCACACTCTGGCAAGGTTGGAAGAAAGATCTTGTGGCAAAACAAGGGATTACAATTCTACGTGAGTCTGCTTGCAGACCAGTATTGGCAAGTTACAGCTTTGGACGCCATCTTCATCTGGTAAGTATCCGGAGATTACATATGACCTTCAGCCCCAACTAACAACGAACAGGTTACAAGAGGAGACAGCAAAGGTCGAAGAACATCTACTCAGAGATGACAACTTCTCTCAAGCAATCATCAACTGCTTCAATCACAGCAAAGCTGACAGCTTCGAAAACTTCCTCGAGCCTCTACAGAAGCTCTTGCGTCTCAGTCCTCCCATCGCCAGCTCTCTCATACATCCGGACCTTTTCCTACGCACCGCCCAGAAGCTTCGCACTAAGAAGGCTCTGGTTCGCCTGAACTTGCTGAGGATTATTCGCAGTATCTGTGATTCAAGCGATGAAGATGGTGCGCTTATTCATACTTTCGGCCTTCACCCCATGATCGCCGAGACCGCTAAGTACGACCCGGCTATCTTGGTGCGCGAAATGGCATCAGACCTGATCAAATCGTCGGAACTCCATGTTTCTCGGGCTGTTCACAATGCCCGTGTCGGTGAAGTTAACAGTCGACGCCCTCTTCGCCGCTCGAGCTCATCCACCATGGTCCCTACTGGCAACTCTCTTCCTCCCACGCCGACGACAGATCGTATGCCAGGACGCATTGGCAGCTATTTCGATCCATCCGGCGATCTGCAACGTCCTTTCTCACGCGGTGCGACCGGTATGGCATCACCGTATCGACCTATTAGTCGCGATGGCGGTTCAGGCGGATCATCAGCAGGCTGGAGTGCATCTGGCTTCCTGGCTTCCCCAAGTGCTATTCCTCCGGTCCCTGGGCTAGTCTCACTCGACCGTGCTGGTAACAGCAACATCAACAACCTCGTCTCCAAGTCTCGTTTGCCTCGCACGAACCACTCTCGTGGTACCTCTGGCGCGCGCCTCAGTCTCGTTACTGCCGAAGGCCGAACCTCGCGTCCTGGTTCCCGTAGCGGTTTGGGTAACGATAGGAGTGAGAACCTGACGCCCAAGAGTGCTGTTGCGCCTCACAGCCATGCAAGAACGCCAAGTCGTCTTGGTCATCAACACCAGATGTCTGCGCCGTCAGCAAGCATAGGCAATTTGAGACCTTCTCGAGGCCGACGCATGACCAGCTCTGGCAGCAGTGGCGGTGTCGGAGGGAACTAGAAGTTTCCCGTCATGGTTTTCGACCGCGATCCATTCGTCGAGGAAGATGAGGAAGGTGAGGACTTCAACGAGCCGCAACAGAGACGCTCCAGGGGTCCCACTGTCTGAACTCTTCCTGTGACATCCCACCCCTTTTCGTTTTTCTCTCGCATTATTCTGTTTGTTCACACTGAGGCATACTGGGTTTAGCGTGTTTTCCTCTTTTCTCACTTTCCAGCAGACTGCATATACATAACCCCAACCAGCATAGCCGAGGCGTTTTTCTTTTTTCATCATTGAGGGATGATAGGAGGATGGAGTATTCATAGGGATACTGGATATTGCGCATTGATCACAATGCACATTGTCATAATTTCGACTTTGGGTTTTACTACATGTGATGAAATGATCGCTGAATCCTGTTCGGTCAGGTCTGCGAGTGGAGCAGGAGGAGACGCACCTCTCAAGTCCGCTGGTGCACTGTGCAAACGTCGTTGTCGATCGACAAGATGTTTTTCGAGAATAGCTCCACGTTCGTTGAGAGCGCCAACATCGTGCGCTCTCCTTGGACGATCGTGCTAATTCAAATGTCGCTTTGTCTTTTGATAGCTGGTTTCGGTCACCTACTGGCGCCCGAGGGGTTGATAGCCATCGTGAGTTATTGTTGGGTGTATGACCCTGTCTTGGCAGGGCCCCCGAATCCGCCATCGCAACTTCCTTCCCTCATGCGAGCGACTTTGACGCCGGAACCATGAAGGAAGTCACGATTCAATGGTCATAATCTATGAGTGTTTGTTGACCTCTTCACTTCCGCAACACTTTTGCTTCACTTTCAATTCACTTCTCAATTACTTTTCACTTACTTCTACCTTACTTCTACCGGTACAACACTTTGCTGCTATTTTCTTCGGAGCGAGGCACATATGAGTGTTGTTCATCAGTCTGCTCATTCGGTATAGCCTGTCCATTATCTTCCAATCATCTCCCGATTGATACACAAATTCAACACAAATCTTCTGTTTCCGATCAAGTACGCCTCCAGTCTCATCTCATGCGATAGGGATACTGACACCACACAGCAAAAATGCCGCCCTTCGTTCTTCTACTCCTCATGGCCGTGTTGTTTGTCAGCACAATGGCATCGGCCGAACAGAATGTTGTTGACGACAACGGGATGGTCTTACAATACCGTCATGCTCGCGAAGAATTTGCTGCCGACTTAGCCGCTCAGAAACCTTTGAGAACATCTATGTCGAGCGTTGGCACGATGTTTAGAACGAAGACGGTCGATTGGGATGGGATGGCTTCTACTTCAACTTCTACCTCAACTTCTACCTCGACTTCTACCTCGACTGACACAATCATCCCTGATGAAACCGTCACCAGCACCATCATTCCTGAGGGCTGTGTCGTAAGCTACATAACCTCAACCCCAACCAGCACGTCCACCCGTCCAGATATCCTTATCGACTCTGCCATCACACGAAGTATCGCCGTCGTGACCAATGGAACTGCCACCCGCACCGAGAGTTGGTTCGCTTCTGGCTCCGAGTGCTTCCCGCCGGCAGCTCCTTCACCTCAGACATGTCTCAATGCAGAACTACTTGAGAGAGCCGAGGCACTCTGGAAGGGACACACTGAACATGACAAACTCAAGGCTCGTGAAAAGCAGCTCATGGAGAAGGAGGAAGCACTGTTGGCTGGATTTCAAGTCCTTCACGAAAGCATGCAACATCACGAGGATTTGATGCAAAAGTTCCATCACCACGGCGTTGAGCTGCTGGAATGGGCTACTCGGCTCAAGGAAGCCCAAGCTAATCTGCAATGGGAGAAAAACAAGATCGCTACTTTCAGTACCTTCTTCTCCAGAGCCTGGATGGAATGGTTTGAGCCTCTGGTGGCATATCTGTGGTCGCTCGGGTGGGAGGTGGTAGGAAGAGCCTGGGCGAAGAGATGGTGGATCAGAAGAGTTTGAGATTGTGCGTTCGATCGGTTCAAAGTGGTATCCGTATGTCGCATCAGCGTATGATAATAATTGGAGGACTGAGTGTTGCAATGGGAGCAGTAGGACTAACGGATTGTGAGGCATGATGAGAGCTCACCTCGGCCAAGTTAACGAGGAGAGAGCTTCACACAGAGTAGCTAGGAGCAACACAGAAACCACAGAGAAAGGCACCGTGAACAAGAGACAAACAGCAAGTCAAGAAAGTACGACATTAAAGATTCATTCTTCTAATTTCCTAGTTCTTCAAGACAGCGAGAGAGTACGAATCCAAGAATAACACAAAACACAAAACATTCTTTGATTCTGTGAAAAACAAACATGTGACGACAACAACAGGGACAAAAAAACTCCACATCACTCCATCGCTAGAAGGAAAAAAAAAAAGAGGACGAAGATCCAAATGAACTTTGCGATCCAAGTTGGGGAAAAAAAAGTCTGGCATCGTATCCAAGCTCCCAAAGGAGAAAGAAAAAGGTAATGATGAACGAGTAAAAGAGGAGCAGAAAAGGCAAAGCAAAAAAAAAAAAAACAGGAAAAAGGGGGTATAGTACAGCAAGCCAAGGCATCAAAGCAAAAGCGAGGTAGCTACTGTGGTGGTTTGGGTAGAATGGGTACGAGCGGGGGGTATAGCGAATCTGGCGTTCAAGTTGGCTGTAGCGAGTGTTGGAAAAAGGCACGAGAAAAACAAGAAAACAGAAAATGTAGGAAATGCGGAAATCGAGTTTGCAGACTGTGGTTGCTGATGGTGGATGGGAGGACTAAGCGTGGGCTTCTTCGTCGACGCTTAAGCCCATCATAGAAGGAATGGGCTTGCGCTTTGTGCGTGTCTGTGGGCGGGGAAGTCCTTGTACTGCGCGTGGCTCTTTCATGAGCGTAGTGTCCAGTTTCGCCGGGATCCTACTAACGACCTGACGATAGTCACCTGGGAAGCGGGAGTTGGGTGCTGCAGTAGAAGCCGAGCGCCACAAATGCTCGGAGGTGTCAAAGAGCCATGATGTATTGTGCTTGGAGAAGATGGATCCACGACCTCTGTTTCGCTTGGCGAGGATGATTTCGTCGAAGAGCTTGATGGAAGGATGTTCGGCGCGTGTGGACTCGCGTTCGTGAATGAACTCGTTGAACATCTGTGTCTCGCGCATCATGGAGATGTAGTCTGTTGCTTCACCAGGTACGCTGCGGATGAATTGATCCATATTGAAGTGATATACCATGCCTGCTTTTCTGCGTTCGCCGGATGCAGGATGCATGAAGCGACGGTAGGTGTAGAGTAGCGAGGCAAAGCAGCGGACAAAGACTGCGCGAACGGCTTCGGAGCGGAAGGCGAGGGGACAGACGACCGAGATCTCGTGGAGACAGCGAGGGTGTACGCTGGTATTGCATCCACCGCAGCGGTAGACACCATCTTCGCATTTGTCGTCGCAGATGCTGCAGTACAACTTGTCTTCGCGCGGACGCCATACTAGACAATGACCCTCAACCCACTTAGTGGTGTCAGTGTCGCGGGGGCAAGAGGGCTGAACGGCACTCGGCATGATGGTGGAAGCTGCAAGAGTGGATGGTGCGTAGACAGATGGTGCGTAACCCGCCGAGTTTGCAAGAGTCGATGTTGACATGCTGCTGTTGTGGCTGATGAAAGGCTGCTGAGTGCCGTTAGCGACGCTGGGTCTTCTCAAGTTTGCCATACGGTCGAAACCGAAGGAAGAGTTGCGTCTGCTCGCTACATCGAAATGTCCAGAACGCTTTTCACGAAGAGAGGTTTGCATGCTGTAGCCCGAGTCATTGCGTGATACAGGAGTTGTGGGGAAAGTTTGCGACAATGGCGAAGGGATGGTGGGAGATGGCGGAGATCTGGTAGATGAGGATCGACGGTCTTCTCTGGTTGTAGAGCCTGTTGAGGGGCGGTCGCTTCCTCGCGAGCTGGTTCTGAAGTTGAGGAAGGCGTTAAGGATGATGTTGCGGTTTTGTGTGGGCACAGGCATCTCCGCGAAAGCAGCAGAATTGGCACCAACCAAAGAAGCCAGGCTCGAAGGAGTCGCTCTTTGGCTGTAGATTTGGGGATTCTCAGATGAAAATGCATTGTTCGGGAAAGTCTCGATGGCGTAAGAGGGAGGACCGACTGGCACACCGTAGCGCGTGTGGTGGGGCGCGACTACTTGCAACGAAGCAACGAGTTTTCTGCGCTGTTGCCGAGGCATGAGAGTCGGTCTTGCCGTGCTTTCGATTGTATCTTGATCCAAATCTACGAGCACAAAATCGTCATCCGGAAACTCAAGATTCTCGTATCTTCTTTCCACACCAACGATGTAAGGGCAAGGAGCTTCGAGAGCTTGAATTAGACGGGCCGGGAGGACAGGGATGAAAACTCCAGCCCATTTCATAGGATAGATTAGACTGGTAATGGCGGCGCTTGCAAGATGCAGCATAGATGTGTGAGATGAGAGCAAGATAATTCGTGATTCGGAAAGGACGTATTCGAACAGGGTGACGATGTTGTTTAAAGAAAGGGAGCGGAAGAGAGCGTAAATGTCGGTGTTTCGTGATCCAGGAATTTCGTTCTCGGCTTCTTTTCTGGCATACAGACGCAATTCGCGAATGGCGACTTCGATCTGAGTGCTGGAAGACATGGGGCTAGGGGCCTCGACGCACAAGTTGACGACGTATCGTTCCAGCGGTTGCCACATGCCGATTTTAGGGGAGCTTGGAGGGACGCGAAGTACAGCGCCATTCGTCATGGGTGTGACGATGGCCTTGAGCCATTCCTTCCAGAAACTCGTCATGGCTCCGTCCTTGCCCAGGACACCGTAGCATCGAGGGATCCAGAAACCACTCTCGCCATCGGTAAGGCCTTCAATCTTGGACGCGGCTCCATGTCGTACGGGACGCAGCAAATCAGCCATGAGTGCGATCTTCTCCTCAACAGCACTGATTTGCTCATCGAGTGTTTCTCTCTCTGCTGATCCTTGGGCTGCGTTGGGCAGTTCAGCTAGCAATCTTGAAAGTTTCGCTCTTTCTCCTGCTAGACGTTCTCCCAAACTGCTAGCCAATTCCCTCTCTTCATCACTCATGTTGGCTTTGCGCCATGCCTCGCATTGTCTCTCAAGCTCAACGGACGCTGATTCGTTCAAGGGCATCCAAACGGTAACACAGATAGAATGGAGTTTGGAGCCGTCGCCAGTCGTCATGGCAAAACCGTGCCAGGTCGATCTTGGTCGCTCGTCGGAAGAGACGACCACGACATCGTTGGGAAAGGCAAACATGGGTACGTAATCGGGGAAAGGGCATCTTCGCTTCGTCTCGTCGTCTAACGCTTTCGGGGGGTATCTGTCTAACAAAACAGGCTCGTATCGTCGTTTCAGGGGGTGCATGTCGGGCGAAGCCTTGAAAGGTTTCGGCGTGGGGATGACTGAATTGTAGCCGCTCAATCGTTTCGAAGTGCGTGTGGAAGCTAGCGAAGTCCGGTCAGCCGATTGGCTTGTCGAGGTGTTGAAATACTCACGTTGTCTTGATACTGAGACCGAGGGTTGTCTCTTCATACTGTTCATGGTCGACAGACGTCTCCTCAATCCTCCGATACCACCCTTCTGTCCTGCCGCGTTGTTCGCTGCATCTTCCGAGCTTGTGATGCGTACTGTCCTCGGCCTGGGTTTCGGGGTGCGCGAGGTTTGCGGTACGACTGCTCCTGCCTGGACTTGTATCTCCTCAAGGAAGTTCTCCCTCTCAGATGCGAACTTGCGCAGCGCAATCTCAAAGTCCTCGTCGCTGAGGCCAGGTGCTTCTGCTTGCAGACCCTTGATTGTCGCGCTGCTACGGTTGCTGGGTGTGAGTTTGAAGTCGCCGGGACCGATGACACTGCTAATGCTCTTGCGCGCTTCCCAACTGTAACGAGAAGACCCCCTCTTGGTCCTGTCCGTGTTGGGTGAGCCCGGTGTCGAAGGCCTGGGCGAAGTGGTACTGTCTGTCTCGAGCGCAATGTCCTCCTCGATCGTCTCGTCTACCGGCGGTGGAGAAGCGGCGGCATGTTCGCGCTCGTCGTAGATCTGCGTCGACTCAATGCCCGATATGAAGAAGTAGTCGGCCAGCGGCACCGAAGTTGAGTCCTTGGTAGGTGCCATGTGTAATTATGCTGAGTTGTTCGGTGTTGTGTTGCTAAGGTCTATTCCATTGATCGGAGGGGTGCGGAGTGAGAGAGAGCGGGATAACCAAAAGGAGTGACTATGAATTGTGGTGGATGATGCAGAGCTGCTCCAGGGGGTTAGAGGCTCTCGTGACGGGCAACGGTCGTCGTGAGGAGAAAAAGTCTAAGGACGGTTCGTAGGTTGAGTTTGTTGAGCGGAACAGTGCAAGAAAGCTGGAAGTGGCTTTGACTTCGGAGGAGCGACCTTGAGAGTTGAACAAGACAAGAAAGGCTTGGAGGGGCTCGTAAATGATAATATCCAACAGAGGAGCGAAAAACGATCAGAACTCCTGTCGATCCTTGACTTGGTTTGCAGGCCGTCAAACGGTCTCTGTTTCGAAAAAAGGTCGACCAAGTGGCAGATGTGGCAGCACAAGGCACAACAGTTTGAATGCCGAGTAGTTTATGGCCAACCGCTATCGATGCCTGGCTCAGGGCAGCCAAGGGAACAAGAGAGTTTAGCCCGTCTGTGCGCAACTTGGCCACTGGAACGGAACTCCTTCACCCTTCTCGTTCCTTCAGGTGCCTCCACTCGTTTTTGTGGATGCTGACGCGGTGTTTGATTCCTGATAGATTGCAAACGCGTGCAAGAGACAGACACGACGACTGCAAGAATCCACTCCTAAGCGCGCACGCTACAACGCAGGATTCGAATATCTACACACCCTCTCCCACCTCAGCGCGACACACGCCTGTCCCTGCTGATACAAGTATAGCATCGTGTCTCGAGCTCGCGTCCCGAACCTGTCCATCACTTTACTTTTCTCCTATGTTTTGGCCAGGCCAAGAGGGCCGGCTAACCAGAAATACGGCATTTTAGTGGTCCTCTACCCCGTTTCGGTCAGACCCTTTATCCTCTTCTCCACTTGTTGCTGCACACGCGATCGGCAATAATAAACATCCATTCTTTGCGCGGCGCAATTTCGTATCGCCTGTCATTGTGCGCCTCATCATGCCTGTCCCAGAGAGACGCACTATCTCAGCTTTATCAGAGACAAGAGTTATGTACGAATGATCTTACGCGCCCCTTCCGCCCTCCCCCTTGCACCCACGCAGAGTGTGAGCGCACGTGAAATCTCGGCTGGTCTAAACTCTTAAAGCAAGTGCAAACGATCTGCGGAGGGCGCCCCTCATGTTTCAAACTAGCATCTCTCCCACTCGGCCAACGAATATTCGACAAAAATCTCCGCAATATGATGCTCGACGGTAGGAAATGTGATGCGTACCGTACTTCATGAGCGCCTCACTGTGGCTTCATCACCCTGCCGCCGTGTGTAATTCCCACGGTCCAAGGCTCGGGCCCGCCTAGGCTGAGCGAACCTGACTCTGTTTTATTTCTGTCTCACGGAAAGCCGGCAATAACAACCAACCATGAACCCTGAATGGCTGAGACATCTCTTGTAGCACTCCGAGGACTGAGTCAACTGCGCCGCTCCCGACGTCTCATCCATGAAGTGCGCCGAGTATGATGGGAATAGGCTTTACGCAATCAAACCCAAGGGCCATCGTCATCACCTTGCTCTACTGCCCAGCCAACCTGTAGTCAAGCTGCCCTTTTCCCCCATTGGGCTTCTCCAGTCGACGTGGAGTTGGGCGAGGACTGTTCTGCCATTCGTCTCGTCCAGCTGCTCGCCTTGTATCTGCTGAAGAATAAATGCAACTTGCATGACATCCTGAGGGCTTAATATTGGCTTGTCGTCGGCGTCGTTCCAGTTCAGGCTCTTGCTGGTAAGACCTTGAGCCGTGCTGACAGTGACCTTCTCCAACACGACTGGCGTCTCTGTGAGATTCTCCAGCTGAGCTTCTAGTACGAATCTGCGAGTGTCTGGTGTGTCTTTCTTGGCCGCAAGATCGCCTACCTTTGTCCTCACGCCGAGAGCAGGCTGTGCGACGAACTGATACAGTTTCCTGAACGTCCTCTTATTCGTCGTATCATCTCGAGTTTCTTGATAGGTGACTGTGACGGCTAGTACGTGAGGACCGTCTTCGCGCAACTCATGTCGAACGACCTTCTGTAGTGTTTGCGCCGGTTGTATATCTCGACCATCTACAGCGTCTGGCCCTTCTAACCCCAAGGCAATGCTACCGCTCGGCACCTGAAGTTCGGCACTTAATTGTACGTCTCGTACGACGATAGGAGAGGAAGACGGCAGTTCGTTGTTCGCGCACAAGGTGCATGAGAAGACGGTACCAACGTAGGCAGCGCCAAACGCAGGAGGCAGTGCCAGTAACGGTGAAAGCGGAAACGGATCAGTTGGCGCAGTAGGATAAGGCAGCGATGCTTTAGCGATGGAGTCGGTGCCTGGTAGTGTATGCGCGGGAGATAGCGACGGATGCGATAATCTGCTCTCGCCAAAAAAATCTCTGTCAGCTCGCAGCTCGTTCAATGCCCCGTTCAATCCAGGCCATGATGCAATTACCTCAGTACCTTCAGACTAATGCTATGCGGAGACGCGCCGGAAGCGGCGACACTTCCAGCACGAGTACGAGTCTGAGCCATCCTTGTTAGGCCTGACAGCGGATTGAGGGCCTAGCGAAGAGAGAGTCAGAGAGATGCGAATGAGATTGTTCTTTGATCGATCATCTCGCAAGGCAAACCAGGCACAGCTGCACCCACGCGACGACTTGTCACTTCGGACATCCGACATCCAAACATGTGGCCCGAGCTCAAGCTCCCCTTCTTGCCCTGTTGCGAGCCCCTGCAGCCCGCGTTGCTTGGACAAAACTCTTTTGGCCTTTGTTTACCCCTGTGATGACTGATAACTGTCTCTACACCCTGGTCTCCTGCTGTGATGCACGCCATGGGTTTTTGCGCCCTGCTATCAACGCCTCCAGACAGCTGAGATTGCTTGTCGAGGATCAATGACCGAGCATTCCATCTGACCGGTGATCATATTAACATCCTCCACAGCAACTGTCTCGAATATAATGGTACTTAGATACTGTATCTCCTTCTCCACCTCCACTCTCCTCATATTGCCCCCTTGGCCATCGTAAATCAATAGCTCTCTATGGAGTAACACCTCTTGATCGACGATATCATTTTCGCTTCAGATGATCGGCCATATTGCCTCTTTCGGTCTTCCCCCTTTTCCAAACTCGTCTTCTGCAAGCACGTTGTGGGTTTAAAGATGCCGGGGAAGGGTTTACCGTTGGATAACACCATCATCGTTTCTCGATGACCGCTGGTACCTCTGAAATTTCGTGGCTTGCTGAAGGAAAAAAGAGGTACCCCTTTCATGTAGCACTGCCTTCCAACGACTTTCACAGCGGCACTGCTTTTCCTCTGATGGGTTTATGCAATTGAACGGTGGGATGTAGTTCGTATCCTCGTACCTACGCCAAACTCGAGGGGAAATGGTGCGCGTTGATGACTGATAACATCTATTTATGGGGCCATGTCTTGAAGAGTATTCACCTCGATAGCTCGAAAAAGACGATTTACTCTTTTGGGAACGAGTATACTTTCCTGCTCGTATACGGGTCTTGTAAGTTTCAGTCTACGAGTAAGGTTGATGAGCATTTCTGCAAATCATGACCTTGCATGAGTTTTTTCAAAGAGCCAAATGCTACCTGGAAGAGTATACATGAGCAGCTGTGAAACGGAGCTTACTCCTGGTGGTGGCAGGACCTGGCACAAAATCGACTCCAAACAACACGATGATAGAATTACCCTTGGAATATGAGACAGGAGAACCCGCTAAAGATAAATCCATTCTTTCGTACGAGTAGCCTAAGTTAGCGGTGAGTCGTTACGACCGAATTGCCTGAGGACAACGAAGCTAAGACATCTATAGTGCTCCACTGTAGCGAAGCCACAGTCAAAGAGCCACAATTAATCGAGCTCGATTGAGTAGTCGTCATGTATAAGCAGATAGGCGTGGCTTCGGCTCAATGCTTGGCCCCTTCGAATCGAGCATCACCTAAATATAGCAGTGGAGAAGCCATTACTAGAGAGAAAAATGTCGCGAAGCACAACTCCATTCCACGATATTCTGAGAGAATGACAATACCCAACATACGCAAATTCAAACTCCCATGAAGACTTCCTTAGACCACAACTAACACGTCAACTTGAAAATCCATCTGAACGAGCTCATCACTCCCTGGAGCTAATTACTACTCCATGCGGGACGTGGAGATATCGGCGACACTGGTCGACTACCTCCTCGCTCAGCTCCGACACCACTTTGAGGCTCATTTGAGCCTGGCGTCTGAGGTGAAGTAGGAGGCCTCATCATACCCATCTCATGTTCCTCTTCATCTCTCACTGGAGTCGTAGGCCGTGAAATCTTGGCGGCTGATTGTTGTCCGGCGGTGAGTGCATATCCTTCAGGGAAACATTCGAGCTTGACTTCTGTCTCGCCAGTCATACCTAGACAATGGACATGGTTCTTGGCGCGTAGTACTCGTTGGAGCTTCTCGTCAGGTCCATGTACCATTGTGGCTATGCTGTTGGCCTTCCAGCTGGGGACTTGCGCTCGGTATGTGTCCACTATTGAGAGTATGGAGAAAGTCGTTCCGGCTAGGGTTGTGTTAATACAAGATTTAGTATCACTTTGGTGGTCGACGACTCACCTAAAATCAGTGATAATGGCAGAACCAGAAAGGCCCACCGAACTTTGTAATATCTGATCCACTGCTGAGTAGTACCAAGCATCGGACTCGTTCCTAAGTCACGAATCGCGGTAGTCAAACTCCTTGCGATGGCATTGAATGTTGCGTTGGTGTCGGTCAGGTTGAACAGTAATAGAGTGAAAGGGCTGCCATAGATGTAGAGTGCGGGCTGGTCGCCTTGTGTCACCGCTTTTACAGTTCCGTTGTTGCTGTCTTGCTGTATCAATGACGTCAAAAAGTCCACTGTGCTCTGTATGCTCTTTTGAGTGATCTTGAACGGGGCTGTGATATTCTGTTGTAGCGCAGCAGAGTCTAGCGCAAAGTCGTCACGGTATAAGAAGGTGGGATGGAATACCGGATTCCATTCCGAGGTTCCTTGATCGACTCCAAGCCCATTAGGGTGCAGAGAATCCTGGTTGAAATCTGGTAAAGGAAGCCACGATTTAGGCAGTCGCTGGGAAGCGCTTGCCACGATGTGCTCAATGAGAACCTTGTTGACCATGGAAGAATTGTAGACGTTCAAGGACAGCTCCAAACCACATTCCATGGCTGAAGCTGGTGCAGCATCCCAATCGGCGCTGCCTAGAACAGAACTATCATCAGCTCGGATGGTGGTGAATGCAGCGAGTAATGTTTGCGAGTCGTTGAAGTTGAGAGTCAGATTTGGATCAGCCACCACTGCTGCTTGCAGAACAGAAACATAGTTGGCTGCTCGCCATTTAGCAGCCGTGTTCGAAAGGGTCAAATTGAGATGCTCTAGCGTCCAATCCATCCACGTGGCCGAGTTGTCTGTTGTCCAAGACGATGTGGTTGTACCATTTGGCTGTTCCATGTGCGTACCTTCCAGGTGGCTGGAGATATCAAAGCAAGTGCTTCGTATCGCCAGGGATGTATGTTCGCCCCACGTGCAGTTACCAGACATGCACGTGACAGACACGTTTTGATACCTGCCCGTTATTGCCTCGTTCAATCCATCATACAATGCAGCGGCTATTGCAAAGTCAGGCAAGGTTGCGACCTTCGCATACCTGGCTGCGTACGTGCTAACAGTCAAAGTACCACCGTCGAAGAAATTTGAATTGCCAATAGCAGCATTCATGTCATTGCCAACGTACGCATCAACGTCGATAAGGCGCCCGACATCAGAGATGATGGCCTGTAGAAACGGACCAATCAAAGAACCCAGTACCATGACCAATGCTCCCAAGGATACAAGGTGTCTAAAGTATGTCAGTCATATGAATGCAAGGCTCACAGTCGACTAAAGACTCACTTGCCACGCATGTGCAATATAAGCTCGAAACTAGCAAGAGATCCACGGCTTCCAGCATCGATCCTTTCGAAGAGTCCTAGTGGGCCACCCTTTCGTCGAAACCACGTCCATTTTCCCTGGGCAAGAGCCGCAGAAACTGCCATGAGGAGTGTTGATCTGAGTACCACTCCAAGAGTTGATACGACTGTGTTGATAGAGAAGAAGAATTCCCAACTTTCAAGCGGAGTGTCATCATAGATGCCAAGTAAGACAACGATGAAGATTGCGCTGATAACACTGCAAAGCAAGGAAAAGATTTCGATGTACCATGCCGCCACTTCCTGCTCCATCAATCCTGAAAGTCCTAGGTGATGGCGTCTGTGATTTGGCTCAGCTTGCGAAAATACAGCAGGTTTGTTTCTGGTTGAGTGAATTAGCCGAGATCTTGTCTCAAGGGCAATACTACACGCACAGTCCTTTAGGAGACGGACAGATGAGTGGTTGTGTCGGACCAGTGCTCTGATACTCATCTTGGTTCTCCTTGCAGCAATGAGCACCAGAAGATGCACTGCACGAACATGCAATAGATTGTACACAAGAATCAGGTACCTGGTCCATTGTGGTGGATGGTCAACGGGTATTCCGGTGGTAGACAGATATTTGGACAAAGAAAAGAGCCTAGGAAGAGGCACCGAGGAACCTAGAGGATAGTGAGAGAAGACACGAGCTAGATACACCTCGAGTAATCTCAACACTTGCGGTAGTCACTAGCTAATAAAGGTACCGAGGATAGGTACATCGTGTCGGTGTAGCCACTAAGCTTTGCGACTGCGACAATTTGATCATAGCAGCAGAGGCGCTTGTCTCAACGTGTCATTACTCACAGGATGTGTTCGCGTCCGTTGGGTAGCACGCACATCAATGCGTCTGCATATCCAAGGATTGCAGCGAATCGCCGGTGTTACCAAGTTCGAAATAAGCAGCATGCAAGCCTCACACTATCCAACTGACGCAGACATACCCTGTAGATTAGGAGACTTTTGTTTACAAGCCAGACGTCTGCAGGGTTGTGATTGGTGTCGCCAGGCTCGAATCCGCAGTCTGCAAGCCACAACTAGGGCACTGTAAGCTTACCATCCATGACAAGTACGAGATAAAAGTTGAGACTTAGCAAGGCAGAGTTTCAAGAGCTCACCATCTGGCGATTGGAGGGACAAGCACATCACAAGCGCAGCAATGCTGCGACCTGATGGTCCTTATTTCGGGTGTCTATCTTGCATTGATTGTGGCTTCCACAGCCTCGTGGCGGATTACTTCGCCTCAAGGATGACAAGAGTTTGCGCAGAGTTGAGTCTTGTATATTACTGCAGCTCTTCGAAGCAGCTGATTAAGTCTCCGAGAATGCGTGCATGATGCCGCGATTCCTGAAGCAAAATACAAATGAAGAAGACACGGCACGTAATAATCACTTTGCGAGACACCAAGTATGTAGATGAACCGGGTACAGACCGAATGTGTGAAGACATGCAAGACTCGATGGTTGTGTACAGCACGCGTTTCCAGCTCGAACTGAGAAGTTTGTTGAGGAGCCGGAGCTGTGGTAGTGACGTTCTGGGATATTCGTAGTGGTACAACCTCGGAAGCTTCGGCTTCTCAGAGTAAAAGTACTGACGTAGCACTAAGAATGCTGTAATAAGAAATCACGATGAATGAGGTCCATGTCTTCTGTAATTTTGGGCGACACGCATGTCAGTTTCCTCTACTTTGAGGCTTTCGTGCTGTACTCAATGAGCTCTCTATCGACCTTGGTTTGATTCGCATCCTCGACGACTTACACATTCCACTTGCACCTTCGTTCGATCTCATCAAGCTTGTGGAATTCCTTATTCAATACCACGTCGGAAGTTGAAGGAACCTTCTACAGTATGACCATGCCAGAAAATACTCGAGCCTTCAAGGCTCACGCACAGCGTACCAAGCGAGTGGCTTCTCAAGTCCGATCCTTCTACGACAGGAGACAACCATTCCGGATATTCCATGGAAGCACGAGCAGTACAAGAAGCCAGGAACAGGACCGTAATAAGATGATCTCGACGAGTGATTTCACCGAGATTCTAAGAATCGATGCCGAGAAGCGTGTTGCGGTCGTCGAACCCAACGTCTCCATGGAGAAGCTAGTCGATGCGACACTACCATACGGACTTGTTGCACCTGTCATCATGGAGTTCAAGAACATCACAGTCGGTGGCGGTTTCAGTGGCACATCTGGTGAAAGCAGCTCCTTCAGACATGGAGTCTTCGACAATATTGTGAACAGCATTGAGATTGTGCTGGGTGATGGAGATATTGTCCACGCTTCCCGTACAGAGGATTCTGACTTGTTCCACGGTGCTGCAGGATCTTTTGGTACTCTGGGTGTCGTTACCAAGATTGAAGTGCAGCTAGTGGAAGCTGGCAACTTTATGGAGCTAGAATATCGCGCTATCTCTGGTGGTCCTGAAGCAGTCAAAACCATCGAAGCGTACACGGCAGACAACAACATCCAATACCTTGACGGTATCATGTTCTCCAAGACCAGTGGTCTAATCATTGCAGGACGTATGACCAGCAACCCACCACTAAGCCGCAAGATCTCGAAGTACCTGTCAAGAAGCGACCCTTGGTTTTATGTCCGCGCACAAGAAATCCTCAATAAGGAAATACCAGGCTCAAATGGCAAGAGCTACACAGAATGTGTACCCATCAAAGACTACCTCTTCCGCTTCGACAGAGGCGCCTTCTGGGGAGGCTACTACGCCTTCAAATACCACTTCGCTCCCTTCAACAACCTGACCCGTTATCTCCTCGATGACCTAATCCACACCAAAACGATGTACACAGCCCTTCACAAATCCGGACTCGCCACCGAGTTCATCGTCCAAGACATTGGCTTTCCCTACTCCACAACACCAGACTTTATTGACTACCTCGACGACAATTTCAACCTCTATCCACTCTGGCTATGCCCTCTCAAACTCAACTCTCCATACCCGTTGACACCAAAAGGAGAACACTATCAACAAGACAACCAAAGAGTCATCAATATCGGCGTCTGGGGACCCGGTCCACGCGATCGCGACGACTTCATCGCAGCCAACCGCGCAATCGAGGCAAAAACAAAGGAACTAGATGGACTAAAATGCTTATACGCACACGCCTACTACACCGCACCCGAATTCTGGGATCTCTACGACAGAGAAGCTTATGATTCTCTGCGGGAAAAGTACAATGCCACACTACTTCCATCAGTGTTTGACAAGGTCACCAATAACGGACCACCTCCTGCGAATACCATGTTCGAACGTCTCAAGAATGTACGACCGGTGAGAGGGATATATGGAGCACTTTGCGTGTTCTGGGGTGGTGGATTGCCGTTTGCGAGGGTGCATCAAGGGCTCAGTATTGTGTTGTCGCCTTTGTTGCTGCTGATTTTCATCAGTGCTTGGATCGTGTCGTTCGGCAAAAATTTGTTGGGTCTAAGGAACAAAAGGCAAGGGAAAGCACATGTAGAGTAGGAAGCATGACGCTTCTGACTTTGCCTGAGAGATCAACACCATGTACTGTAATACCCAAATAAGCAAAAGCCAGCGATAAATTCCACTAAGCTCATTGAATCACTTACCACATTCCATCATAGCACAACCATCAATTTTACTACCTCGCCAGCACTCCTTCCATCGAACTATATATCGCATCTTCTAACCACACCATCCCTTCTCTCCAAGATCTACGACAGGTCTATATTCCAGTGCAGGTTCGAAACTCAAGATTTCAACGAGTGTCCTCCTGCCGTTCGCGGAGTTGGAGTGCTCTCGAAGACGACAATCGATAATTGGAATAGTGTTGGCATCCGAACTACACGTCCCAAAGAGCACTCATGATACCTTTTCCGCTCTGAACCTTAACGGCAGCTAAAGAGACAACTTGATCTCTTGTATCAACAATCAAAGAACTCGAATGTGCAAGAAAAGAAAAACGTCGATATCTTCACCTCTCTAAACCTGTACAAAAGCTCCCCAATACCTCCCTAGCAGCTCTTTGCCCTCCAAATATCCATTCCAATAATCCATCCCCAGTATCTCCTTCTATTTCCTAGCATCAGTAGCAGGCAATCTCTCCACATCAACACCCCTAATCTCATCTCTCATTTCCTGCTTGATTCTGGTAATTGTGCCTGCGCCTCCATAAACCATGGCCGTGTATACCATGGCTACACTGGCACCTGCATTCAACACTTCCAAGGCTTGTTTGCCATTGGTGATTCCGCCGGTTGCGAAGATTACTTTTTCCTTGTTGGTGTCGAGTTCGGCCGGTGTGGAGAGGGAAGTCTTTTTCGATGGCTTGGGAGACAACATCTTCTCGGCTGCATCAGGGGCGGCGCCTAGAGCTGGCTCGACAGCGGAAAATGCAGCTTTCGTCTCTGCTGCTGTTGTGGTTGTGGAAGAAGAGGTAGAGGCAGAAGAGGTAGAGGCAGAAGAGGCAGAAGCAGATACAAATCTGGAAGCAGAAGCAGAAGGGGTGGATTCATGAGGATAAGGGATATGCTGATCAGGGATCTGGATAATAGATTGATCGCGTGTGTTCTTATCCGCGGAATCAGTCTTTGGCTTCAAATTCTTGAGATCGCGTTCGACGCTGTTTTCAATCGAGGACTTGGTTTCGGCGTCGAGACTGTTGGGTGCGGCGGTTTGTGACTTGTCGGAGGGTGCGTATAATTGGGACCTGATCTTCTCCTTCATGGCTTCGGTCTCGAGTTGGAATTCTGACTTTTCTGCTTGCTTAGGAGCAGATTCGATCTTCTTGGGCTCGGGCTTGGTTTCGTTGGGACCTTTGTCGAGAGCGGTGCGGTATTTCTTGACCAGGGCGACAGTGCGTTCGAAGAGTTGAGGACCAGAGTATCCGCCGGTCTCGAGCATGATGCTTTGCTCGTCTTGAGGCAAGAGGTAGCCGGTGGGAAGGGCGTCGGGTCGTTTCTTCGTGGTGTTTCCGACGATGATGCCGTCGACGCCGCTGGCCCAGACGGCGCCACAGATGCCGCTAACTTGCTCTTCGCTGTCCTCGTCGGGAGAGACCTTGACCATGACTGCGGGCTTGGTCTTGCGATCGGCAGCATTGGCAGCATCGACAACGGCGGTCAGGATCTTAGTCAGAGGAGCGGCTTGCTGCAAGTTGCGAAGACCGGGAGTGTTGGGCGATGAAACGTTGACGACCAGGATATCAGCATACTTGGCGAGCTGGTTGACACAGTAAACGTAGTCCTGAGCGATAGCATCAATGTCGTTATCTGGAGTCTCCTTCATCTTGGCAATCTGGACAGCGAGTAGGCGACCGGGCATCTGACTGCCAGGAGGAACGCCAGCATGACCATCCAAGACAGACTTCTCAGCGACAGGGTCAAGACCAAGACCGAGAGCATAAGCAAACTCGCGCAATCGCTGGCGCAGACGTGTGGCAACAGCATCAGCACCTTCAGAGTTGAGACCGTAGCGGTTGATCAGGGCATTCTGCGAGGGAATGCGCCAGACACGAGGCTTGGGGTTACCCTCCTGAGGATGAGGAGTGATACCGCCAACCTCGACAATACCAGCACCGAAGCCCAGCACGACATCAGGAATGTCGGCATTCTTGTCCAGACCAGCAGATGTTCCAATGGGGTTGTCCAAGAGGTGACCAAACACGTCAACCTTCAAGTCTCCGTTCACATCCGGATTGCCTCTTTCGCGAGGGTGTAGACCGACCGAGTACAGCGCTTTCAAAGTCTTGTTGCTGATCTTGTGGGCTTCCTCTGCGTCGGCGAACAGGGTGCGCAATACACGCGGTACAAGCCATTGGTGGAAGGTGGCGCGTGTGTCGGTGACATAAAGGTATCCGAATCCGAGGACGGCGACTATCGAGGTTCCGAGGAGCAGGTTCTTGATGCGAGTGAAGCCAGAGCGGACGTCTCCAACCTTCTCGTTGCGAGCGACCTCTTGCTTGAGCTCGGTCGATGCATGGCGCACTTGTTGGGAGAGTCGGAATGTCTGTCGCGGCCGGAACTGGGCAGCGGTGCGTGCTGCCTGCACTCGAGACAACTGCAATTGACCCCTCATGTTTCCGCGCGCAGTTGCTGAGAAAGTCGCAACGTCAAATGTCTAATCATCATATCCATCCATGACCCTCCGACCTTCGGGGGTTCGCCAAGACGCCCTCCTCCGCATTCAACTCCGCAACTCCATCATCAGAATTTATTGAATCCATCGCCATGTGAATTGAGAAAACGTTAAATATCCTTTTATAGCACAGAAAGAAAGATTGCTTAACCAACTTCAATCCACCTTGCCTCCAGTCGCTGCACCACCCAATAATCCGTCCTTCTCATTACCCACTGTGAAGAAGGATCCGGTGTTGCCAAATGCCTTTCCTCTTCTGATCAACCCCCTACCCCAGATGCTGGCTCCAACGAGCAGCCCAATCACCAGTCCCAGTGTTATGAGAGGGTGTGCAGACATGCCACTACGTAACGTCCAGATCAGGTGCCCAAAGAACGAGTTCTTGTGCTTGGGGCTGATCTTTGGGGGTGATGCTACCACCTTGGGGAGCGTCTCGAGGATCGAAACACGCGATGGCACAATTGGATTGCCTGTCGATGTAAGGTCCCAGTACCGTTGGTTCTGTCGCCAAATTAGTCTCTGTAATGTGCATCGTTTCTCCATTCCAAGACTTACATCCTCGTCGTTGATGACGACCTTCTCTCCGTCCTTGACATCAATCCCGAATGTAGTCTTGAGCCAACGCTCCCAAAACACACCGTCGACCCAAGCAAAACCAACCTCTTTTCGGTCAATCTCATTCATGTCGATCCTGATCTGCTTGGCTGCCCGCAGTCCACGCTGGTCATTGCGATCCTCGGCCTCTTCGATACGCAGTTGCTTGGCATCACGAAGCTCCTGTCTCTCCAGCTGGAAGGCTTGAATCTCCTTGTCAATCCATTCGAGAGCGGCACTCTTGAGCTCCCGTCTGGCAATTACGAAATCCTCCTTGCGCTCGCGGTTCAAGATAGCGAGTACGACAAGTCTGTGATCCATGATGTCGCGAGCATTCGAGGATGTCAGCTCAGGCACGATAGGCAACCAGTTGGCTTGCATCCATCCCAGAACCTTTCTGAAGTCGCGCATGTCCCTAGGCGACAGAGGAGTGTAGTATGTCGGCTTGCCATCTCTGGACACAATCAGACGAGGCCAGGTTGAGATCTTGTATCTGGCAGACAGAGCAGGGTCCTTGGTCTTGACCAGCTTGGCGTGGCCGATTAGACTGAGCAACAAACGCTCAAGAGCCTGGAAGTCCTCGCTAGTAGTCGCATGGTCGTAGAAGTACAGGAAGATAACCTCCTCATCCTTTTCAAGAGCCTCGAACGCACCAGCATCAACATCGACAACACCATCGCCAGCGGAAACAGCCTTGTTGGCATAGCTGATAAGATCGCCGAGGCCACGCAGACCTTCGTACTCGATGCGCTCGCCTGCCTGGAAGTAGATCAAGGTAGGGTAGCCCTTGACGTTGACATCCTTGCACAGGCGTCGTTCAACCTCACAGTTGACTTCGCCAACATTCAGCTTACCCTTCATATCGCGGGCCATAGCGTGCCAACTGGGAGCCATAGCCTGGCAGTGGTGACACCAGGGAGCATAGAACTTGATGAACCAGGGATCGTGAGTGGTGGTAACTCTTTGTTGGAAGGTCTCAGCAGTCAAAGGTACGGAGGTTCCAGCAGGATTGGCAGTTTCCTTGGCAATCTTTGTGGCCTTGAGCAAGGACTTGGTCGATGTTGTAGAAGTGGTAGACTTGGTTGCCTCAGCAATTGCATCGGCTTCCTTTGCAGGGCCAACTACAGCAGCGCCCTTGAAGTCAGGCGAAGAGTTTGCTCCTACCTTGGGAAGCTTAGGGCCATCCTTTTGTCTTGAGCCAGGCTTGATTGTCTCGAGCATGCTCTCAATCCATTTGACCTCGTCCTTCATGGGCAGAGCACCGACCTTGCGCTCGACTTCTTTTCCATCCTTGAACTGGACCACGGTGGGGAAAGAGTTGATGTTGTGATCCGAGCAGGCAGAACCGAAAGCGACACAGTCGATCTTAGCGAACTTGAAGTCGTAGTAACGGGTGAAAGAGTTGAGGGAATCGGAAGATTCCTTGTTGGAGGCAGGTAGAGGGTCTGAGGTGTAGTAGAACTCGTGCAGGGTCTGCCATGTCGGAGCAAAGGCTTTACAGTGGTGGCAGTAGGGTGAAAAGAACTCGACTAGCCAGGTGCCTTTGGAAATGTCCTGATCAAGGGTGGTACCGCTGAGCTCAGGAATCGGAGGGACGCTTTGCCCGTTGAAGACAGTGCCCTTGGGACCAGAGTCTGCACCGTCGGTTACGGGATCCTTGTTTGTTTCGCCCTTTACTTCCGGATCTTTCGCGGGCGACGCAGGAGCATCGGGAGCATCTCTCGCGGCGTTCAAGACAGCATCTCGGGCAAAGTTCGATGGGGGAAGGGCGGGCGCATCAGCCTTGATCGGAGGAGCAGCGAAGACTGAGGCGGCGAAAGACAGGGCAATCAAGGGCGATATCAATAGCGATCGCATAATGAAGGGAGGCCCACTGGCACTCTAAGCCGGGGTAGATCGGAAGGTATGAAGGTTCGTAAGAGCAAGATAGGGCTATCTGCTCAGGTCGAGGTAGGTGCGACAGGCCAGATCCAAATGGCCAGAACAGGATGCAATCACTAGGCAAAAGAGCGACAGGAAAAGGGCAGCACCAGGTAGCAAGTCAAAGCATCGGAGCTTTAAAGTCAATAATAGGAGACAGATCAGAGCACTTGTGCTTGAGCCATGTCCAGATCACCGACTTGTGGAGGGCGGACTTGGCGCCTTGGCCGGACCGCCGAATGTTTGAACTGTTTGCTCATGGTCAGCAATTGGATGGCGGCGTTGTCTTGACGTCTCGAATTGACGATAGCTTGAAAGTCGATATTTGTCGCCAATTGCACTTCCACCACGCCACAATGAGACCCTCGACCCGATTGCTCGCCCAGGCCACGCGCTACCTCACCCCCGGCGCTCCCACCGGTCTGACTGGTGTCTTGACCCATGCCGCCCCCCGCTCCACCCTCCTCTACCTCTACAACACTACTCTGGACAAGCTGAAGCAGTTCCCCGAGCACTCCGTCTATCGCCAATCCGTCGAGGCTCTTACCAAGCACCGTCTATCTATCGTCGAGTCCGTCAAGCCCGAGGGTCTTGAGGAATGGCAATCTCGCGTTCGCAGCGTCGTCGAGGCACACCCTAACGCCTTCCGCTCAATTGCATCAGCCACCAACAAGAATGAGGTCAACATCGTCTACAACGAGACTGCCCTCAAGGGTATGGAGACCGAGGACTACGAGGACGAGCCCATTCAGAAGCAAGAGCCCGAGGGTCCTAGAGTTGCTTCCGAGAAGTCGCACCAGGGCCACTCGTTCATGGCCGATCCTCAGGCTGATAACGAGATGATACCTCGCATTGAGCCCGAACCCCCGCTCACTTCCGAGCAGTAAGATCTTCGCTCTCGCAATGCGACCGCACCTGCTAACACCAATCTTCAGGATCAACACCATCGAGTCGCAAATTGAGGCTGGCCTGATCGAGGAGATCATCCTTGTCGCAGAGGCCGAGACTGCTCTCGTCGACGAGATGTACAAGAGCAAGGTCTGGGAAGACCTCGAAGAGTCCCCCAACCAGGGCCAATGGGCTTACTACGAGCGCGATACTCACACCCCCAAGACCCAGGCACCATAGATTGCCTGCGAGTCGTCTGTTTTCCTTGTACAAAATACCAATCCACAAAGCGCTTTTCCTTGGTCCATCTAAATCATGAATTTCTAATTTCAGCTTCCCTCATCCGACTACTCATGCGATTCAGCAAGTGTTCTGAAGCTATACAGGAAGGTGCAGCTCCTTGGGCCTTACTGACTACCTGTCAACACTACCTAACAAACAGATCAAAAGCTGAGGATTTTAAAAGTCACCAAAGTGAAGTAAGCGTCTACAAACACTCACTGGAACAACAAAAGAAACCAGATTAAAGCCATCACAAGAAGATCGGGGCTTTGGTCTAATGGCTAAAACCCATCAACTTCTGATAAACCTCCATCCCAAATCGGAGCATAAATAGATTCCTGGGGCAGTTGTTCGACTCCCAGCGTGGTCGCGTAGATGATTTGGTCGAGAGAAGTTTCCCTAGTTAACTCTTGGTTTTTTGCTAACTCTACGTGCGCACGTCTTTTGTGCCTGGAAGCAGCGATCTACCAAACACTTCCCTTTTGACCCTTTCGAACAGCCTTTACAAGTCTCTCCTTGCCGTATTGGAAGCACTCTGGCAAACCGGTGTCTTCCCACGATCCACCCAGCATCAACTTGGCCAGGCCGGGCGCGCATGTGAAGATTCTCGCCATTCTGGAATTGGTTAGTCTTGTCAAATGACACTGAGAGATGCGCATCACTTACCCATGGCCGTTGAACCCAGCACAGATGTACTGTCCCGGCAACTCTTCGATCGCGCCGACATATGGCACCGAATCAGGGGTCATGGCAATTATACCCGTCCACGCATGATCCAGGCCTTCTCCATGGCGCTCACTCTCCTCACCGTACCCTGGGAACATTATCCCAAAACGCTTCATCGCATCGTCCACGATCTCCTGATTGAATGCGCCATCGTCGAAACTCTCCCGCACTGCCAGTGTTTCTGCGCTGAGCTCTGGATTGGACCTGGAAACGCCGAGCACGATTGTGCCGTCGCCCTTTCTCTGGATGACCGAGTAAAAGTGATGGAGACTGTATCTCAGCGACATTGTGCTGCTCAGCACATTCTCAGCGCTGAAAGCGGACGTGGGTACCAGTGAGTGTGCCTGCGCTCGATTCGGCGTGATGTAGCCATTGAGGTGAGGCAATAAAGCTGCAGCATATGCATTCGTACTGTGCACGATCGTCTGAGCTGAGACAACACCTCGAGGTGTGCGTACGTCCCATCGATATCCCGGATGCTTCGACTCGTTCACAGCGATAGCAGGACAATGTGTCCATAGCTGCGCGCCCTTTTCGATAACACTGCTCAACAGCCATTGTGCTAACTTAGCAGGATGACTAGACCCAGCGGGCCACTCATACGCCGCAACAGCCTCCGGGACCCTAGTCCTACGCTTCGCCTCCTCACCCTCATAGAACTGCACATGCGAAACATCTCCACCAGCAGCTTTAAAAGCCTCAAAACTCTGCGCCTCATACGCAGCAAACTCGGGTGTTAAGCAAACATCAAAAGTAGTGGTCAAGTCAAAGTCGCAGGAAACGTTGTGTCGACGCACAAACTCATCAACAGCATGCAGCACTTTTCTCTCCTCGACGATGATTTTCTTCGCTTGCTCGGGTCCATGAACGGCAGCGTAGGCGGCATAACCTCTAAATGCATAGGGGCGTACATGTCCTGCATTCCTGCCACTGGCTCCGGAAACTGCTTCTCTGGCTTCCAGGATAAGGATTTTACCGCCTGAGACGCCAGAGTCGATCAGAGAGAAGGCTGTTAAAGCACCTGAGATGCCGGAGCCGATGATGATATATTCGGCGGTCTCTGGGACTGGGGTGGTACGGTTGGCGTTGAGGTAAGGGAAGCCGCGAGTGGTTTTGTGCCAATATGATAGACAGGGTGATGGGAGAGGCAGAGAAGGTTCCAGACCAGGAGGAGTGGAGGGAGGTGTGGCAGGTTGAGCGGACGGCATGTTGTCTTTTAGATTTGTCTCAAAGTGTAGAGATCGATTGTCTGCAAAAAATAGCTGGCAAAGGTCCTTCTGGTGGTGTATGATTAATGTAGATTCCAACTTGGCCTGGCTATCGATATCGGTAGAGTAGTTAGATATGCTTTATGCTGAACCAAAACATTTGCACGCAGTTTTGCGACACTGCTAGCGGCTATGGTGGCCGATTTCGAGTCTATCAATTGCCTATCTCCCTTGCCCGCTGGCCGGAAACTCGAAGGAAGATGTTCAGTCGCAGATAATGGTGATTGGTGGCGATCACACCTGCCAAGACATGTTAACCTTCCAACCATGCGACAACGACCCCTCCTCTCACGCCGATACAGGACCATCCGCATGATACTTGGAGTGCCACAGAGCGAAGTAACGTCACGGACGTGATATGCGGTATCACCTGGACAGATAATCATGCCTTATCAAGATGTATGCGCCGCAGAGGATGCTGCCTCGCCTATCACTCCGCTGCTGCAGTCCTCAAGACAGCAGCAGCATGATAGTACTTTATCAAAAAGGTCTATAACATCTCCCTAATTCTTCATTGCATTTGTACCTTGCGAAAGGTCGATCTTCTATCAATTTGTGTGGTTCAACACTTGAATACAGAAATTATGGGCTTATCAACCATGTTCAGGAAAGCCAAACCGGCTATACAGATAGAGCATCGCTCCGCAGAAGAGAAGGCTCTGGTCAGAAGACTAGACATGTTTCTCCTGACTTTTGGCTGTATCAGTCAAGTCATCAAGTAAAGCTTCTCCGATCCGAAATAAAATTCCGGAACTAATTTGGATTACAGATATCTAGATCAACAGAACATCAATAATGCTTATGTCTCCGGCATGAAAGAGGATCTAAACCTTTACGGCAATGAACTCAACTACTTCACCACATATTTCAACATCGCCTATTGTCTCATGCTCATTCCATCACAAGCGATCATGACTTATGTCCGACCCAGCTACTGGCTCACTGGTCTTGAGATCACTTGGGGTGTCATCACGGGTTTGATGGCTTTGGCGAAGAACGCGAAGCATGTATATGTTCTGCGAGTGTTTTTGGGGTTGTGTGAGAGTAGTGCATGGCCTGGAATGATGACTCTGCTCATGCATTGGTATACGCCCATGGAGCTGGCCAAGAGAATGGGCTTTTATCAGTCTTGTCAAACATTAGGATATATGATGTCCGGTGCTCTGCAAGCTGCCATTATTGCAACGCTTGAGGGCAAGGGGCTTTCAGGTTGGCGATGGTTGTTCGTTATCAGTGAGTGCTATTGTATATTTGGCGAGGATCGTATTGCTGACTATCCATCAGACGCAATCATGACCGTGGTCTGGGGTGTCTTGGGCTTTTTCATGCTGCCCGACGTACCAAACAATCCCAATCCTAGAGCATTCTGGTTCAAGAAGGTTGATGCTGAGCTTGCCATGGAACGACTCGCCAGACACGGTCGAGCAGAACCGAAGAAGTTGTCATGGGCAGGTACAAAACGTGCTTTCTCCGGTTGGACCCTCTACTTCATCGCTGCGCTGTACATCGCAACTGTGCATGCTCAAGGAGGTTATCAATACTTCAATCTCTTCCTCAAGTCTCTCACAAACCCCGACGGCTCAAAGCGATGGTAAGAACATCATATCCACAATAATCAAGCAGAGACTAACACACCACAGGACCACCGAAGAAATCAATGTCATCCCCATCGCAGGCGGTGGTATAGCCGTCGCGTTCGTCTGGATCTGGGCCATCCTCTCCGATACCCTCCGCACCCGCTGGACTTTAATCATCACTCAATCGCTCATCGGTCTCATCCCAGCTATAACAATGACCCTCTGGACTTCCAACCCCTCCAGCGTTCCCGTCTCCGCCGCCTATGCTGCATACTTCATCTCCTACCTCTCCCTGGGCACCGCACCCTTGATTTTCTCCTGGCTGTCTGAATTAATCCCTCAAGACCCTGAAGCCAGATCTCTGATCGTGGGAACCAGTGTAGCGGGCTATTATGCCGTTTCCGCATGGTCGGGAATATTGATCTGGCCGGCCAGCGAGGCGCCTTATTATAGATGTGGATGGCAGACTGCGTTGAGTTTGTGGCTGGTGGTTATTGCCATGACTTGCGTGTTGAGGTTTGTGGATGTGAGGTATTTGATGCCGAAGAGGAAGCTGTTTGTTGCGGAGGTTTTGCATGGAGATGCTGTGCAGGAGAGCGAAATTGCTCCTGAGCATGATGACGATAGGGATGTGGACAGTTTGAAGGGCAAAGATGTTGGTGTTGCGGTTAGTAGAGTCTGAGTCCACTTCACCATATTCCTTTTTTCAATGGAATGGCTCCATTTGATTCACTCTTCAAGATAATCCACAATTGAAGCTCGGAACGCAGCGAGAAGAAGTCCAGATGATATTCCCACTAGATAGGAAGGACCTAAATCATGAAGCGAGATGTAAGCAGCGCATGGACTATAGAGTATGAGGCGTGCAGAGTGTCTTGAGGAAGTAGGATATTTAGGGGTTATAGTATCTAAAGGTATATAAGCGCAAGAACACATGTGGATATCAAAACAGCGAAGTCGAGCATCTTAAGGAGAGTGAGGGTATTTAAGGGGGAAATCAGTTGAATATAAAAATCAATCGCTTGCTCGCTTCGCTTTCATTATAAAGACAAGACAGACCAAGAGTCGGTGTTAATAAGGACAGAAAGAAATGAAAACCCAGGAAACCCTTGTCATGCAATTTTGAAGAAAATCAATGTTGTAGATCAACAAGCTCATCAGAAGTTGGATGCTGTGTTGATCTGACCGCCGCCGTTGTGGTAGCGAGCAAGTGGGGGCTCATTCTTCTCAGTCATGAGGGCATCGTGTGGTCGAGGACCCATAATATCATCATCATCCATTCTGGGGCCCTTTGCACGGCGGCGTCCCCACATGCGCCATGCTACAAGAGCAAGACCGCCGAGGAGGATAGCACCACCAATACCACCGACGACACCTCCGATGATCTTCTTGCTGGATGTGCTGAGGCCACCGCCGCTGCTTCCACTGCTTCCACCATCATTCAATTGAGGTGAGACGGTAGCGGTTGCGTAACCAGTAGTGGATGAAACGACTCTCTCGGTGGGGATTGCAGTTGTCACAGAGCTGCCACCAATGACGGTGACAACGGTGGTAGTATATCGCTCAGTCGATGAAGTGACAAGGGCGGATGTGATGGTGGTAGCCTGGCTTACAGTCGAGCGGTGGATAGTGGTAGCGGCTGAACCAGAGCCAATGACAATAACCTCGGATGAAGAAGATTTGGACGACTTTGTGCTGCTTGTCTTTGTGCCTGAAGCAGATGAGGAGCGAGAAGATGCAGCAGAAGAGCCTGATGCAGCAGCTGAGGAAGAAGCAGCCGCGCTGGTCTGGCTGGCAGATGCACTGTTTACAGACGACGAAGGGGCAGCTGAACTTGTGGTCTCGGCGGCGGCGGAGGTTTGTGATGTGGATGGAGCGGCGGCTGAGGTGGCAGAATCGCTAGTGGGGGCGGCCTCAGAAGTCGATGTCGAAGGAGGAGCCTCGCTAGAAGTAGTAGGAGCCTCTGTCGATGTAGGGGAGGTTGTTGTGACGGGCTGCTCGCTAGTCGAGGTAGGTGGCACGGAGGAGGTCGTGTCGGGCGCAACGGAGGAGGAAGTGGTAGGGGCGACCGACGACGTGGATACGTCGGCGGAAGATGTTGGCGAGGCTGTGGTCGATGTGCTTGCCCCTGTGCCGACCAGGGAGTTTTGACGCTTCAGCATCCATGGCAGGCTGTTTGCGTTCACTGTCGCGAAGACCATGATGAGAGCGAACAATAGAGCGATAAGGCTCGGTGAGCGCGCCATTGTATGCGACATGCAGAAATGTCGTTGACTGCAAGCTATAGGAGGCGTCGATCGACAATCGAGAAATTTCTATCCAAGTGACTGCCTGGTGTCAGGCGGCTGTAGGATGCTAATATCGCGGAGCGTAAGGGCCGTTTAAGAGTCTGCCAACGGTCGTGTGCTCTACGAATGGGTTATACGAAGAGATGGCGTGGCCTGCGATAAGGGGTGCCTCTGTACAGGGTCTGATGCGAAACACGTTACGGCGATGAAAACGAGTGAAAGAAAGCAAAAGATGGGTGAACAACAGCAAGGGAAAAATCAAAGGCGTATGTACGGAGCGAGCGGAAGGTACGAGTACATGCAAGTGGGTTGGGAAGCGACGATGATGTTCGAACGGGCCAGAGACTTTGTCACCGAAAGGCCAAGCGCGTGGCAGCTTCGTGTGAGAAAGCCTAAAGATAGGACACAGCATGACACTGGCCTGCATGTGGCTAGCTTCCGTCTCGGAACCCATGCTACTTTTCGTTTGGTTCGAATCCTTTATCGGCCTCGCCTGTCGATCTGCTGTTGCGCACGCCTTCATCATGTCATTTCGGAGAGAAACAAAAGCGAAATTGCTTTGCAGCGAGAAGAACCTTTGCAACGGTTCGTGATCCAGCATGTCGTGTCATCACTCATCGGGCAAGACTGCTTGGCTATCTATTGAGCGAGAGATCGAACTTCGAAGGGTCTGCCTAATCCAGCTGAATCTCCAAAGTCCCCCAGCATTTCCCTGCAGCAACCTGAAGTGAGAGTCCACTTCTTTCCCGGCCAGCCCGAACTCTCCGCAGCAACACGACCCTAGACACGCCTCGCGCACCTAGGTCCTACACTCGTCCGCGTCCTGCAACATCCGACTTGTCTCGCGTTTCGTCCGTGTTTGAGTGAAGGTTTGATGCTCTTTCTGCATTTGCTCAACTAAAACTATTCGTACAAATCTCATGCAAGTCGTCTCATGGGTATCGCGTCGTCAATTACATTTCAAATCCGCTCCTGCACCTCATCTCTCTAATAGGCACGTGTGTAGTGCTCGCCCTTGCCATCAGTGCCATGCATTCTTCTTGTTCCGGCGGCCTGCAATACTTGTCAGCAATGTTACATTATTAGATGTGCCTGCGTCTGTCGACACTTACCTTGACACCGGGCTTGCCTGTAACACTGCCTCGCAGGTTCATCATTGCACCGCTGATTTTGTCGCCCATACTCGGCTTGCGCTTCTGCACTCTGGCAGTTCTGCCGGTCGTTGTGCCTGTGGTATGGTGACCGGTGGTGTGGTGGGTAGAGGTATGGTGACCTGTCGTGTGTCTTGTGCTGGATCCAACCGTTCTTCCAGTGCTAGCAGTTGTAGGGCCGGTGTGATGGCTGGTGCTGTGAGGAGCGCCGACTTCCTTCTTGGTAGTTGTGGTTGTATGGCTTCCAGTGATAGGGTTGGTCGAGTGTTTGGTTGAAGTTGTGACGGTACGGTTGTTGCCCTTCAGACGCGACATGAGCGAAGGCTTGGTGACTGTGGTGTTGTTTGCTGCTCTTGTGCGTGCCATGATGAGATAGTGCTTGGGGGATTGATTGGTTGGTAATAGAAGTTATCAGGAAAGTCCAATTGAGATGTAGGTGGATATGCTTTGAAAAGGTCGTCGCAAACACGCTTCATATATACCATGCCATGCTCGAGGAGCGTCCCTCGATGGTATGACGAGCCAGCCACATGACTGTGCTCGCACACCTAGAAACTGGATTTTGATCGAGTTGGTATAGCAAGCTATGCATGGCACGTCATGTCGCAGATCTGCTGATGAAGGAGATATGCCAGGGTGTTGCGAGGGTCCATCCAATAGGTCAAGATGCCTTCGAGATTGTTCTGGCCAACATCACAAGTTGGCACAAAACTTGATGCTTGTCCGCAGTTCAGGAAACTGCTCATAGCCAAGGAGAATGCAGCAGATCCGACGTCATAGCCAATTTGTGCGTATGGGACGACGAGTCCTCTATGAGGACATGGACGATGGAGAGGTGAATGCTGATGTCCGGATGTATCTTATCGTCGCTGAGTGTATATGTTCATACTGAAGGAGAGTTTGCTGAGAAGATACTGTGTGACTGTTTTGGGTTTGACTTTGGCCCAGTCCAACGTACGATGGATGTCCCGCGTTGTCAACGCTTGAGACGTCGCTTGGAGCAAGCAAGAGCTGTTCAACACAATAGCAACTAGACCACTGTCCCCTTTGATCTTTCAGGAAATTCATACTTCAAAGACCAAATTGCGGTTGAAATGGAAGACTCATCGTTCTCGCGCCTTCCTCTTGAACTCCGCGAACAGATCATAGGCTACATTATTCCGACCGACAACAAGACAAGCAATGATTGCGTACAATGGCGGGTCAGGGCTTACTCTTATGAATCTGCGCAGCGTCTGTTACTATGGCTGGCCCGCCGTTACGCCGTGTTGGCCACTTGCCATGAGCTCCAGAGTCTGGGTGTGCGTGTTCATCTGCGGCGTCAAGAGTATGTCTGGAAATGCTCTCTACTACCACCAAGCGCGAGGGCAGAGACCATGGATAGGAACAAAGTGATTTTCTGGAGCTTGCCATCGCTACAGTCACGAGGGTATATCAACAGTATTGGTGGTGTGGGAGCTATAACAACAGATGACTACCTGCATCGTGAGCGATGGGATGTGAACGACGGTCCACGCGCAACACGCTATCCGAACTGGGGCGATAATCCTCTTGAGCTCTTCTCACTTTACAAAGAAGCAGCTTACATTGCCTCCAAGCTGCGTCAGCAACAACTGGATAGAGGACTGGAGCACAGACAGTTGTTCATGAGACACAGTTATCGTCTGCAACCTCTCACTGACGGTAATGCATTCCGACCAGTCAAGAAAGCGTTACGAGGAACCTGGAAGCGCGACACAATGGAGCTTACGATAGACATGCTGGACGAAGCAACATCTATCCGTCGCATGGAAACAGGAATGGCGTTGCTTCACGTCGAACATCGCGAGAAGATTGAAGCCATTCAAAAGGAGATCAGCCGACAGGAAGCCCTGCCTTATCGAGAAAGGAGCAAAGACTTTGATGAGGAAGAACCATTTTTTATCGAGTATCTCTGCGAAATGGACATGAAGTATGGCTCATGGTGGCAACGAGTCAAGAGGTTCCATGAGGGATTGATCAAAGTGGCCATGCTGGGGTACAGAATGGACTACCGGGATGTCGATGACCATCTAGACGAGGTCAAAGCCAGATTGCCGCAGGATATCTCTCAGGACTACCTAGCTGGGAATCTGGTGGTGGATGCAATTGCAGATATGGTGAATGCGATCAAGCCGTATGAGATCGATTGTGACCATTGGGCCAAATCTCCGACTTCTTGAAGTTGAGTCGATCTTGAATCATTATTAGCCCCTGAAGCGGAAGTGAAGGGATTTGTGATATTCAGTCACATCATGGTCTCTCACTTGATTTGTTTACAATCATCATGGATAGATGGTGCACTCTTTGTTTCACGTGTCATCTCATGATTTGTCTAATGGTGAATGACCTTTCTTCTTTGGTAATGGCTGTTGACTTGATTTTGTTGATAGTGCTTTCTCAGACTTGCACACCAGGACCAGTCTTTGCGCCGGACTGCCTCCACATCAAAACACACCTGTGCAATACCTTATCCGTCCCAGTAAAGACTTCGCTTCTGACAATCATCTTGCTCGATCTTCTTCACTTCTCGCCCAGGGCTTGACAGTCATCACATTCGTGATGCGTGTGAATATTTGGACACCACACACTTCGTGATACTCAGCCTTGAATCCTCTTGTTCTTTCTTGTCGCCAGCATCTTTTCAGGAAACTTCCTCTCCGTGAGATCTGACCAAAGGCACAGTGTCGTGTGCCTCAGGCTCTTTGGCAGTGATGACACGAAGAGTATGACCATGCTCCATTCCAACCTACATTCACCAACGTCAGCCGCGATCAAGAATAGACAAGGGCGGTTCAACCTTACCTTGGCAGGAGTCTCCTCAGGAACCAGCCATCTCTGTTTTTCTTCCCACCAGAAAGTAGCGCCCGGAATCCAGCCCATGCCGAATCTTTCGTTCATGTGGACGCCCTCCCAATAGGCGGTCCAGCCAGCATCTGAGGTGTTGACGAGGAGGCGGATGTAGATGCGTGGGCCTAGTGGGTGTTTGGGCTCGTCTGGGTTGGGGACAGGAGGCATGATGTGTCGATCATCGTCGGGATCACTGGTATTGTGGCGGATGTATTGAGACGACATCGTTCGTGGGTGTATTGAACGGTGTGGTGTTGCTGTGAAGATATGGATCGATGAATTGTATCTATTTGTATCGACGAGGTGGGAGCGCGACTCGAGGTGATAGATGTTGCCTTGGAAGAGCTTGATGGAGCAAACTGTCGACAACGTGTTGTAGATCTAGTACCTTCCGGAGAATATCAACAGCATCTGTTGATATCAAGCAAATGGCAAGCGTGATATGACAAGGGACATACAATACATCACTTTCCAACGCAAACCCAAAGCTTATGGCAAAATCACACTGACTCAATGCACAAAGCAAAAACATGCAAACGATGATCGAGCAGAATGAAGAACATCGGCAAAATCATATTTGTAAAAGGGAAAGGGGGTATAGTGCTATTTCCAGTTTTTCCATCTTTCCAGCCTTTTCCTCCCAGCCAAAACCCATTAGTTGCCCCTTGTATGGGTCCAAACAAACAATCAAAAACAGAAAATCTCAATGTGCTCATGACTCTTTTTCAATGACAGGCGTGATGATGAAAAGAAAAAGTCCTTCCGAAACTGGAAGAGCGTAAAGGTGAAATGGGGGCCAGGTGAGATGCCTAGCAAAGAAGAGAAAGAAGTAGTCGCGATGTAAGGCGGAAGTAGAAGCCAAGAAGATGTCGAGAGAAGACAGAATTTGCCCATGGAGGTAAGACAGTGCGCGCGATGACGAGAGACTCATTACTCCCTAGGCATGAGAATTGCATCGCGGCAGAGGACTGCGACTCGCTTGAATAGTCTGCGCCACTCAAGCGGATCACCCTTTGCCTTGACGAATCTGACTTCAACAAGTCCGTCTTCAGCAATAGACTCCAAAACGACGTTTCCGCTGAGCCCTTGCTTACGACCATCGACCATGCGAATGCGAATGTAAGCTTGTTTGGCCTTGTCGTCAGCGGCAGCAGAGGCTGGTATGGGAACGTTGAGTGTGTGCAGGGCGCTGCGTACTGTTCCGAGCAACTGAGGCAGCGCTTGGTAGGAATAGAAGCGTGCGAGAGATTGAGCGGGTACGATATCCCGGAAGCGGCGGGCGTTTTGGGTCAGAGACAGAGGGACGCTGTGGTTCTGGCTGAACTGGGTCATGTGCGGCTCTTGTGAAAGTTGGGCGGCAATGAGGTCGTGAGTAACGGCGACGCGGGAGGAGTCGTGTGCTGTTACGGGCTGAGATGCAGTGAGACCTGCGAGACGTGGCGGGGCCTCCCAGTCGTAAGGTTGATCGAAGGCTGACGTGTTTGGTTGCGTCGACATCTGGTTGGCGGGTGTAGGCTGTGACTCGACTTGTTTCGGCTGCTCCTGGCTCTGTGATGAGTCGGGTACGGTGGTGAAGTCGATGTGCAGGCGCTCGATCATGTTTGTCGCCAGGCTGACCGAGTCCGAGACGGTTCCCTTTGAATTCATGAACTTGTTGGGGCGAGTGTACCATGAATGGATGCGGATGTCATTGAGCTTGAAGCGCTCGAGTACGTCGACCTTGAGCATGCCACGGAGCAGACTCAGTGCATCCGAGGGTATCTTGTCCCACAAGTCGTCCTCAGGACGGCCTTGTGTTTCGCAGAAGTGGTAAAATTCCTCGCTCTTCCGCGGTTCGGGCTGATCCCAAGGAGTGTTGCCCACCAAGAGAACGAACAGCACAATGGCGCAACTCCAGATGTCCGAGATGTTGGGACAGTAGCCAAACTTTTCCTCGCCGTGCTTCCTCTTTTGATTTGCGTGGCCGACCTGGATGATCTCGGGCGCAATGTACGGCGGGCTTCCGCAGACCAATCCACACATCTTGGAGTCTCCAGTCTTGGGATTGAGGAAAGCGGTGGCAAGACCGAAGTCGGCCAGCTTCAGGTCGCCGTTCGCAGTCAACAGCATGTTCTCGGGCTTGATGTCTCTATGCGCGACGCCCTTGCCGTGACACCAGGCGATGGCGTTGATGAGCTGCTTGAAGTAGAAGTGGGCAATATCCTCCCCAACGCCTTCGTCGGCCTCGATTTTGTCAAACAGGTCGCCGCCCTCTGCCAATTCCATGGCGATCCAGATCCATGATTGGTCGTCTCCGTGGGAGAGGAAGCGGATGATGTTGGCATGTCCAGACACTTGACGATGCAGACTGATCTCAAGCTCGATCTGCTTGGGTCGCAACCGACCGACCCTGAATGCGTGGTCTTTGTTGATGAACTTGACGGCGATGACGGGCTTCGGCTTGTCCTTGGGCACTGCCTTGCGGATCCTATCGCCAACGTCTAGTCAATAAACATGTCTTGTGGTCTACTTGTTGAATACGTACGACGCATATGCGCCGGACCCAATAGTCTTGGATACGAGTCGAAAGGGCAGGTTGCTCGGGAGTGGAGCTGCTTGCGACTGTGAAACGCGTTAGACGAAAATGTCTTTGTCAAAACATTCGTTAACCTCATCAACTTACACCCGGCGGGACGCCCATGACTTGTGCTATAGGCCCTCTGTCTTCTAGAAGAAATTGTAGCTGTCGCTAAAGCGCCGGATGCTTGTATAGAAAAAAAGATCAAAGATCGGTTCTTTCGATAATACTGTTGACAATGATTCAGTCTTCAGCTGTCTGGCCGAGGAAGACGCGTTGGCGTTTGTTGGAAACGCGTGCCGTTTGATCGTTTTGATTCATGGAAGCCACGCGGGAATTGGATCGAACCTTGTTCTTCCTCTCTACCGCGTAAGCCTCCTGTCTACACTGTTCGCGTCTCACTGCATTTGCCAAAGTAGTAGCTACAGTAGTTGGACTTTGCACTGATGCTGATTGGAAAGTACAAGCACATGAAAGAGAGTGCAGTGTTTATAGACGTGTCATGCATGGCGTCAGCTAATGGTACTTCTACATCTTGCGCCATGTGCGCAGCCCCCTCTTTGCATCCATATCCATCGAAAAAAACATGTCCTCCTTGCAATCGCTTGGTCGTCAATGTGCCGCGCTTCCTTCTGCTACCGCTGCTGCTGTCAGCCACGCGGTGCAAATTCAAGGGTAGCAAATGAAACAGGAATGTGTCGAAATGAAGAAACAAATGAAAAGCATCAAGGAGAAAAATAAAGCAAAGTCCAATTACTTGTCGTCTTCCTCGTGCATGATCGATGTTTCCAAAAACAAAAGCAGAAACAAACGCCGATCTGCTATGCACCCTGAAACGCCAGATGATGCCTTTATCCGAATGAAAGACCAGAAAATAAGTTACAGTGTGGGAGATGACACCCACCGCCACGGAAGGGGCCACTCGGGGCACGTCCGATAGGCCTCGTTGATGGGATTATCCAGGTTCGTCTTCGCAATTGCTATCCAAAGCTGACACGCCTCACTGGGTGGGACGTGGCTGTAAGATATACATCGAGGCATGAATTGTTGGTGTGCATGTGCGACGAGGCGCGTACATCGTCTTTCCATATTTCATTTCCGAGGCGACCGATTCCTGGTTTGACCGAGATTGTTGGAAAGTGCTTGCAATAAGCGGGCGAGATAGGAAGGTGTTAAAAATGGTCAATGGTAACCATTGCCTTATGAGACCGAGGCAGCAGAGAAGGCTGCATTCATCTGGTCGTAGTTGGTGCGGTTCTCCAGCATTCTGATGTACTTGGGATCCCTGCTAAACTTGGGGACCGAATCCTGAATATTTGTTAGGACTGACTCGTTGGCAGATAAGCATGTAGACGGTGACTTACGCTAGCCATGAGCTTGAAGACACTGGTCTGGGCCTGGTCGAACAAAGTAGCTACCTCATCCAAGCTGGCAATCATCTCCGTGTCTTCACCAACGGCGCGGGTCATGCGACTGGCAAGAGCGTTGCGAAGGTTGTGGTCAATGTTGAGCTCACAGGGCGAACCAGGTGCAAGGAAGGCATTGTACAAGCCTGGAAAAGTTAGCCGTGGGGACTGTCAAAGGGGTAGTAGAGTATGGACTTACTGTATGCTGAAGCCAGGGTTTCGCGGATGAGGTCCAGACGAGGGGCAGGAACAGAGCGCTTGGCCGAGTTGTAATCGAGCAAGAAGCTTCTAACTTCGAGATAGAAGGTAAGGTTCTCCTCACAATGGGTTTCTTGCAGGAACTCGCGGAAGACCAGACGCTGCGCCGGGTCGTGAATGATTTGAGACATTCTAGTGGTGTTGGAATCACGAGCTACGCCAGGAGGCAGCTTGACAACAACAGCCTCACCGTTGATGGATCCGTTGGGGCTTCTGACCCAGCCAGCAATTCTCATACCCTTATCAGTAACGCCGTAATGCGCAGTCTTGAGGGGCTGGAAACGCGAGGCGGCAGGTGAGTTGCGCTCTTCGGTCAAGTTTACAATCAATTGGTGGACCATGAATTGCTGGGCAATGTCACAGGCCTCTTTTCTGTTCACGACCATACAGCAGTCCATGAGCCAATCAAGGGCCGACTTGCCAGTAAACATGTAGGGTGTGTCTTTCTCAAATTGCTTGCGAGACCTCATCATGTGCACGCCGACCAAGCCGGTTGCGTAATCGTGTATCGACTCGGAGTCGGCTGTGGCAGTGCTCTTGAGGTTGGGGCCTTCCTCACCACAGAAACGTCTGAAGACCACCTCAATGGTACCGCGGTCGATGTTGATGTTATCGTTCTCGGGCACACGTTCGAGGATGACGAGTTGCATGGTGTTGCGAGGGGAGTCCAGCAATTCGTTGACATGGCGCTGGTGGATGCCGTTACGCTGGCAGAAACGGGTCAGAACACGCATACCCTTGGGTGTCAATTGCCACACAGAACTCCTCGAGCTGAAGTCCGTCTTGCCGTCCAATGACTCGACGAATCTTGCTTCGACGAAACGGTTGCAGACGGTGCGAGCCATCTCCTTGGCCATGGAGAAAGTGGTCGTGGTTGTGGTGGTAACGATCCTTGAGGGGTCTTTCGGGTCGGGCATGCGGTTTGACTGGGAGAATTTGAGAGAACCAAGGTTGGTCAGAGCTTCATCGGTGGTGAAGGTGTGCTCGACCTTTGTGAAGCGGACACGATGGGGAGTCAAGGGCAAGCTGACCATCAATGTCGAGAAGAGATCCTTGAGATCCTGCAAAGGGAGAAGGGTAAGCGGGGAACGCAGTATAAACAAAAGCGAAACGGAGGCTTACTCTTGTGAATGGGCGGTCATCATCGGTCTGACGCAGCAGACGGGACGAGGTTTGATGCATCTTTTGCCTGTTGCTTTCTTCTTTGTCGAGAGGGACAGCCCAGGGAGGAGTGGTGGCCGAGAGAAAGGTGTTTAGCGAGATTCGCTTGTCGTCGAGGCCGGGACGACGGGGGTGGTAGTCGACGCTGGACAGCGACTCCTGCGACAGACGAGACGAAGGGCGCGTGGGCGAGTCGAGCGAGTCGCGGGTAGGAGCAATGCGTCCCAGCGAGGTCAGGCGAAGATGCGAAAGAGGTTGACGCAGAGATGCAGCAACAGCGGCGGATGATGGGCCGGGTTGGTTGTTAATGACGCCGGCAGATCGGCTCGCCGAGTCTTCTGCGGGAGGTGCGGTAAGGCTGTCGTGCTTGGTTCGTTGCTTCTCACGTGGCTGTTGACCTTCACTGGACAAGCGAGAACTGGAACTGGAAGTCTTCACGGGCAACTCGTCGGGCACGGGGGTCAGGAGCGACGGCGACGTGTGTTGCAGTGAGGACGTGGTGGATGCAGGAGGGCAAGTGCTGGACGGGGTTGGATGAGGCATTGCACGGCTCGGTGGCCTGGATATCGTAAGGCCTTTCAAGTTTCAAGTACTGTGGGTACGACCATGCTAGCCCGAGCTAAGAATTCCGCCAGCGCCGCTTCAAGTGTCAATTTTCGGACCCATGAGATCAGCTAGCCGGCGCCCTGCTCGCGTGGTAGCAGGGGTTTGATCAACTTTCCCCTTTCCGTGGATAGCGCCGTTGGACCAAGCACGGAGGGGGCGGCCACGCTACCCTCAAGCACCGCGTGCGCAATGCCTCATCAATTATTGTTCATTATCCACCGTTGCCCACTGGCTGTTGTCAAAACGGCTACAGCTAATTCTTCTCTTCCACCACTACAGCACCGTGCCAAAGCCCGCTCGGTCCTACGCACGTATCTCTTTTGCCTTCACCGCATACCTTGCACCCTCGTTTTCCCTTCTAGCACCCTTCTCTGTCTGCTTCCGCGACCCGTCATCCACCGTCGATCGTGCGAAGCGGCTGTTTGTTCCACGTGCGCTCACTCGTGTTTGCTATCCCGTTAATTCATTCATGTGCGTCGTATGCGTACGCACCTCCATGCATGTATCCATCCCTCATTAGATCGTATGGCGTTTTGAGTCATCCGCCACAGCCTGCAGCCGGCCTGATTCTGCTTGATTCGTGTGAGAAAAAGTTTCCCATTTTCATGTGTCGCTTAGCGTGTTGCAGCTGTCGATCAAGAATCCTGTCTTTTTTTGCCCGTCTGGGCAGGGATCTTTGTTGTCCTTGCGTAGAGTTGCTTGCTTCCCTGGTTTCATGCGCCGCGCACGTTTTGCATGAGACGATTTCCATGGCTTTTCTCAACACATTCCTGTGCTTTGCATGTCCTGCCTTTGGCGCATGTACCAAAACTACCAGCATCAGCTCTTCGTTGAGATCATAAGCCAAGATGGAGGCAACAACCTCCCGGAACTGCTCCGCTATGCTATCCTTTACTATCTCAATCCAGTTTACAGCGCCACTCTTGACTGACTCGACAGCTACGCTAACCTTCTACGTCCGTATCGTCTTCAGAAGACCGGTCCAATAGGCAAACAGGCCAATCGCCCTTGCAGACGTATGACAAACGCAGCACGTGTGGATCTCGATTCAAAGAACGGTTCCCAGAGTACAAGAGTACCCATGTACATCTGTTCCTTTGTGGTTATTTGGTAGGTGTACCATTCTTCGCCAACACCGCTGACTTTTGGTTGAAAGAGTCCCCTTGCTGTCGGCTTGCCTCGGGCGTCGCTGAGCGTTTCCGTCGCCCGAGAGAACTTCCAGGGAGCTGTTTCTAACGTAATTCTCGTGTGCCTTCAACTGCTGGCATAATCGTCCGACTCGGGTGATGCCCCATGCGCCTTTCAATATCGCGGGTATGAGAATAGTGTGACGGGTTCATAAGGCGTATCTAAGCTTAGTTTTTGTGGTTCCATCCTTGAGCTAAGAGGAAATGCTTGTAGGTCTGTTGTCTCTCGCTGACCGAACAGACGGATGAACACCGTACGTATTGCCATGTTGCAATGCTATCAACAGAGTTCGAGTAGATCGAGTCCATGTGGCACTGCCGGTGGATAGGGATCAAAGCGTAAGCGCGTTGCCGGAAGTGTATGTCTGTGGAAGCCGAGGCCGACGGCGAGGTTGTTGACAACAGGGAATTGTGATCAGTCACGTAGCGGTCAGATTTGAAGCATGAACGTGGGGAAGAGCCTGCCCAGATTTGGAGCGCACTTAGTGCACCTTGACCGGGGTGCATAGCACCATGTCTGCCACCTGGCATGTTTCCCTCCAGGGCTCGTAGGACCGATGGATGATAGCTGTCTCTTCCACATGCTCTTTGTGGATACCATCTATCGTTTCAAGTCGTGCAGCTGCAGAATCGCGAGCACTGTTTCCATGCGATGGGGTCAATCCAGAGAATCGGTCGTTCCGTGAAGATCACACGGTTGACAGGCGGAGATCTGCATCTGCAATTTGTCCTTTTCGTCACTAAGAGATCTGAATCTGGGTCCTACACTCCAAGCATTGGCGATGGTGGCTATTTTTTTGGAATGACAACAGCATTGCAAAACTCACATTCTTGCCCTGCTGTACGACTACACTTTCGCACAAAGCTGCCTTATTTGTGCTAGTCGTCGGCCAACGCCTAAATGTCGTTCCGAGGCTCTCTTCTCTCATACATAGCAGAAAGTCAAAACAAATCTTCGCTGGTGATTCTGAGCAGGAAGCGTCTAAGAATTCGACGTTCCACCAATCATTGCCTTTGTATCTGCTCGGGTTCTTTGTCGGCCGAAGTACTTCACCAACCGTTGAAACCCAGTGTTTTGTCCCAGTGATGATTTCTCCTAGGAAGTCTTCACGGAAGCCGTTCCGGAAGCGGGTAAATCAGGAAGCATGACAGAAGAGGCAAAAGCTGATTTCCCACAGCTTGTGAGTTCGGAACAGATCATGCCTACGTGTTCCAGACATCATCTAAAAGGCAACTGACCCTCCGAACAAGCTCCTTGTCTTGACCCCAGTCGAATCCAGCACGTGGCAGCCAATCAGTGATAGTGCGTCTGTCATCGCTCACCGCTAACAGTCGATCATACTAAGCAACTGAATGAGTCGTCTTACAGATACATGTTTTCCCAAGAGTCATGGACAAACAGGACCAAGCAAGTTCAAGACTGAGGGTAAGATGAGAGCAGAAGCGGAACGCTAGATCTCGAAGCGGCCATGCACGCATGTGGCTTGCAGACCCTCGTGGCATCCACGTGGTCGACTTGGCACAGTTCGTCCGATGTCTGCCCGCCGAGGTGAACAGTACGAGTCGTGTAACACCTCGGACACTGGCAGAGGTCAAGGGAAGTCAATGCGTGTTTGACCGCCTTCTGATGCGTGTCAAACCATGGGTCAAGCTTCGGATATCACTCGCGAACGTGGCTAGCAGGACTGCTTTCGGCATTGATGTTGGAACACCCGGTCTCAAAGATCATTTCTATTCAGCCAAGCAAAACTCCTTCGTGCCGCAGCTTGTAACCGTGTCCCCGGACCACAGAGCAGAAAGCGAAGCTAATGCAGAAAAAGGAAATTGACTAGAACACGAGATGAAGCCCTATGGAAGCCTGGTCGAAGGGGCACAACAACAACGCCCGAGTATCAAGCCCGCCGCCACAAAGCCCAACCACTTGACATCACTTTCCAATATATCGAAAGAGTTTTGCTTCTCACCTCATCTCGGTCCCGAAATCTTACTTTTTGTTCTAGAAGAGCTGTATGAGTCGCAAAAACTTCCATCCCTGTTCCATGAGGCTTCTGGCGTTTGTTTAGGGTTGCAACAGGCGAGAATCGAGGCGCCATCCGGGGTGGCTTCCCAAATTTCCACTCTCCTCCCAACACCATGCACGATGCAGCCACCGTCATCGTCTCCGTTTACTCATCAATCTATTCTGCGTCGATTGTCTGGACGTGGATGTTTGTTCTGTTGACTTCGCTGCATGTCGGATGGTTGTTGATTCAACATTCCAAACTGAATCAAGGGCTGGCTTGAAGCCCCCGTGTAGAGTAAACCAAGGCCAAACACACGGACGCGCATACCTGGCAACGAAGACGGCCTTGCGCAGATGGCCAATGGCTTGACATCTCATCTATCGCGAACAGCGTTGGTGCCGTGCTGCATTCATGCTCGCGAAAGCCGCAACTCAAAGGTGAAGAACTGGTCAGGAAGCAATTTACAACAAGCCAAGCCACACGATGCTATTCGCATGTTGCCTACAGCCCATCTCGATTCATGCAGTTCAGACAGTCAATCTCTTCCGCGCCGCCATCCCTTCGTTCTTCTTGATATCCATTCAGATATGATGTGCCGCATGTGTCTTTTCTGTTGTTCATTATTCCCGTCCAGATCAGCGCTCTTTATCGACCATTACTCGCTCAGACGCTCCGCATCCGCAATATCCGCACTATCCGCCGGTCCATCAGTAACGGAACCCTGCCATGACTCTAAGGGTCCGTAAATACACCGCACAGGAGGGCGTGCCAGACGCGTATGCGAGATGCAGCTATGAGGTCGCATGTATGCAAATATACAGCCTGGCGAAGCGCATGCTGCAGAACTGCAGTCGTCTGCAGTGTGCACTCCGGGACAAACTGACAGTCTACACACACGCGAGGCTTCCCGAGTATTGCACCATGCATATGCATCATGAAGAAACACGAGATGATGCGCATAACGGCACGATAGCCTGCAGCGAAGCAAACACAAACATCTTCGCTTGATCAAGATAAAATCATCCCGCTAAGCGATCGGCACGCAAAAGGAATGACACTCCATTCGTGTTCATTCCCAATTCCGTATGCAACGTCGGGAATGGCAAGTCGATCCTCGAGAGACCCGAAAACTGATAAAGCACATCAACCACGAAACAACCACTTGCGAAGGCAGGCACGATTGACAACGCGTACCGTAGGAAAGCAGGCAGATATCGGACTTTTTCGGTCTTGAGATGCACAACCTGCACTTCCTCAAACCACAGGACTCTGCATACATGCGCATACGCAAAATGTGGCTACATGGCCTTACAAATATGTGCTGTTATCAGTTCACCTCAGCTTTCTCACACTTTATCCGGGCGGTGAGCTGGACTTTTGACCGTTTTCGCCGCCTACTCAAACGTCGTTGCATCTTTTCATGTTTCGAATATATTGCAATTGGTGGATAACCACCATCAATCAACAACCCTCAAAGCGGGTATGCACGTTGATCATGCCCTGCTCCCGTCATGCGATTTTGCCAGAACCTCGCTTCCATGAATCAGTTTTCGCCCATGTCTATCATAGAAATGATAGGCGGTGAGGACAAGATATCGGTCACGAGCACAGTTGCCATCTACCAGGACGTCCGCGTGGTCGAAAGGCTATTCGCATTGCGGTGAGTAATAGCAGAGCAGGGGTATGGCTATATTCCCTGTCAGAACGGCAAGTGGAGCATGTCAATGCCGCGCTGTCAGAAAGTCTATATCAACTCTTGTTCTCGGCAGTTGGCTAATAGCTGGCTCTGTTACATCTGGCGAGTTGGTAAAACCTGTGATTCGTTGAAGGGATGACGAGAGTGTCGTGTGCCTTGTTACACTTGGCCTTATTTACGTGTGTGGGTATCTACATCTGCTTCGGAGAGAACAGCGAACACATCATACCGACTCACTACGAAACTCAAGAGCCGATGACTGGAACGATGTATGGCACGGCACCTTGGCCAGGCCGACATAGCGCCAGACTCTACGTACACTCTCTACTAAGAACGCACACGCGGCTCACAAGTTTTATCTCGAGACTTGTACTACATGCATTCCATCCGTTTGCCGAGGGGATGGTGAGAACGCAACACGCGGATGCGTACCTATCTTGGCTGGAGTACACTCCGTATGTGCGGCTGATGTCTGACGCCCCAGGATGCCACTACAACCTCTCATCCTCAAAGGCAGGCAGTCAAGACAGATCACAGCAAGTTGTAAGCAGAGTTCTCGAGTACCTTACGTTCGTTCTTGACATCAGGAAGGCTTGCAGCCAAGAAATCTATCTTCGGCGCATGGCAATTCAAACTCATGATCATCACCACTTTCCAAAGTCCATCGGTAAGAACACTATCCAAGACAAAGTAAATGAACTTCACAGCCCAAGAGACTACATTAGACACACGCTATTACCTCGCTGTTTGTACTCTCTTATATCGGATGTACACCACTACCGCTTTGCGCATGCATGAATACATCATAGAAAGCAACAACAAGCGACAGACACGGACGATCAGACCGAGATTCGAGATATAGGCCGAATACGTACGTACCTCTATCGCATCCAACGTTCCAGTCCACCTATACTACCGGTCCAGTATCAGGTCGAGTCCGAGAATGTTGTCGACTTTACTCCGAGGAGGGTATTTAAAATCGCGATAGAGGAGCACAGTAATAGAGTGTGTCTTGGATCGCATCCTACTTTGACATTCAATATGCACTGACACGTAATCACTGTGTCGAGTATCAAGTTTGCGACGAGCATCCGGCCAACATGATGACAACCTAGCACAGCGCAAGGGTTTTGGAAGCACTCAATCGCCGGTACAATGATTATTGTGAGATATAGACCAACCAATATACAGGGTTGACATGCGTACGTACTTCAAGATGAATGACAAAGCATGACTACTGTCTTGCTGATATCAACAGTCCAAGAAGGTTGATACCCTGTAGCATTTCAGTTAAGAACAAGTATCCCACTTCCCACTTCCCATTTCCCACCAGCCGAGGTCTGGTCAGGTCTGGACTCGGGAAGCATTCACAGCCTCACGAACGCCTTCTTGTCTCAAATCGCAAATACAGCACACTCCCCATGCCGTGTGGACCGAGGGCAAGGCAAGACGTGATATCCACGGCATATCGGATTGGAAAGAAGCATATAACGAGACTGGTGGAGCCAACTCCGCCTCTGCTGTTTACTTCTGCAGATCACATCACTTCGCCTCGGACCATCTATCTCGATGTCAAACTCATGTCTTGCTCGATAGTTCCTAGTCCCTATACTGTTCGAAATCGATTCCTGTATAGTCCAAATACTTGACTTAACAACAATGTGAGACAGTGAACTCAAGACCTAATCAAGAAGAAGCGAGCTTACGAACAACACACATAGCTACTAAGATAGAGTAGTAGACCAATTATTCCCCAAGGACAGAGAACACAATCACTAATCACTGACCAAACCACTCAACCTGACGGAACGCAAACACTCCACTCCACTCTATGCCCACCTCTCCAAAGCACACATGGCCTAGACCGTACGACTTGCAAGCCGAGCGACCTGCCAAATACAGTCCCAACTGCCGAACACTGGTTCGCATATCCTTTCCCTTCCACCTCCAAACGTTTCACCCCTCTTGCATGACTGCGAACAAACCCCCAATAACGCTCGGGCTGCCGATATATACGCACCCATGTCCGGGGGAGCATCAAACACCAACAACAATAACGCTATGACTGCCGATTCCCTTCACACGCTGTGCCCTAGTTTTGTCTTTTTCGTCTTCTCGTGAACATGTTTCCTAGTGAATTGTGGTTTTAGACAAGAAAGTCAAAAGGCAAGAACGAGGTGTGAACGAGAGATACGATGGGTGGAGAGTGACATTTTCCTTCCGGATGGTGGAGGTCAAAGTTCTAGAAGCGTGAAGTGTATAAGCGGAAACCGCGGACTGCGTTTCGTATTTCGGAAGGTGGTTTCCCTCTTTGAGAAGTGGTTTATGTTTGGATGGAACAGATTTACGTGCGAAAGAGAGTGATTCATTGGGGAAAGGGTTCAGAACAAAATGTGTGTTACAAGTGTTTGTTTATATACAAGGTGACTGGATAATTCAAGGAAAGAGGAGGGGTATAATAGAGATTGGGTGGGTATACAAAAGAAAAGGCGATATGGTAAGATGATGAGGTTCGAAGACAAGGAGAAGGAGCACATCTAAAGTGTAGCAACACGTCTAGCCGGCAACGGCAGCAACAATGACGACAGTCAGAATGACGGCCAAAATCAACAACAAGCAGCACATCTTGTTTCTGGCGTTCTTCTGGTGTCTGCTGGCAGTGCGCAACTCGCGGTCAGCGCCCTGGGTATCGTCTCTGGTGCTGGTGACGTTATTGCTAATAATGTCGAGTTGACCGCCTTGGTCGTGGACCATGTGTGCGACATCTCTGAACAGCTCGTTGAGTTCGCCGACGGATTGCTCAATGTTGCGGATCTCGGCCTCGCGTTCGACGATCAAGGATTCTTGGAAGTCGACTTCGGACTGGTCTGCCAGACGCAACTGCTCCTGTTGCTGCTGTTGTAGTTGCTGTTGCGAGCGCTCGGTTGTCGGCGAGCCAGACTCCTCGAGAGCGGTACGGGCGGCAGTCGCCGAGGCGCGCTGCTTTTCCAGAGCGGTTCGTTGCAAAGATTGAAACTCGGTAAGGGACGCCTTGAACTCCTGGTTCAGTTTCCCTTGGGTGTACTTTTGCGCGGGCTGTTATTGTGTTAGTAGGTGGTCTAGCGCGACAGGATGCAGAGAATCATACGCCCAAGTCGTGCCATGCCTGGACCTTCTTCAACCCATCGCCAATGTCCTTGAAGCTGGCTGATGTCTCTTCCAGCAGATCCTGGACCCTTTCACGAACGCGATCCGTTTCGCGCTTGGTACCAAGCAGGGCGACTTGACTGGAGAGACGGGAGATGTTGGCGGTCAGGGAGAACAAGCGGTCGGAGAGATCAGTGGTGAAGCTGTTGAATTCGGGGTCATCCTGGTATTCAGGGTCGTCTGAGCGGCGCCATGTAGTGGGTTGGGCTATCAACGAGTTAGACTAGGAAGCGGAAGGTGGTATAGCCGGCGCGTGTTCTTGCCTTCGAGGTTGGGGGAGTCTTGGAACGACATGGTCGTCTATGTCTATATGGCGAGAATGGTGATCTGAACGAATGTCCTTGACGGTGTCTATCACTAAGTCGGTGCCTGGATTGAAGTGCAAGAGCCTCGGCCAGTCGTCGTCGTCCTAGAATGCGGAGATGGAGGCAGGAACGCTTGGAAGTCTGGGTGGGTGATGTCAGGGTCGCGACTGCCCGAAACGGTGTTTGCTTGGCGCGTCTTGCAGCTTCTTGCTTGTGTTTTGTCTGGAAAGAGGTCCATCAACAAATCACAAAATCTCTTCTGTTGGTGCAATCGCACAAGATGGTGCTAGCTGGCATGACCCCCCCGGCTCCTGTCAAAGTTGCGCCCTTGCCTCGTCCATACCGCGACTTTCTCACCCCGTCGTTGCATAGAAGATTCACCAGTGCTGCTCTGATTGGACTTGCAGCATGCTGGCTCATCTCAGTGTCCATGGCTAGTCCTGCCTTGTTCTGGTCCTGGTTCCCTCTCGGTCCCGCTGGTATTCGCGCAGCCTTCCTCTTCATCTCGTCACTTTCCATCTTTGTCCTCCGAGTCGCTCAATTGCATTTTGGCCCGCGATCCACCATCTCGACCTTCGAGTCTCTCTGGAACTATGCTCTATCCAAGAACACCGTCCTTACATGCTTCTGGTACACTCTTTCGGCTTTCCTCTTCGCAGAGCTTTACATCTTTTCAACCGCCAAAGATGCCAATCTTGCATGGATTGACCCTGGCAGGTGTGTTCGCTCATCTTCCAACTTCTTGCACACAGGCTAAACCTCATAGATCCTACGAACGCCCCAGATTGAACGAACGTCCTGTCCTCCTCCGCTCTCAGTTCCTCTTCCTTGCCCTGGCGCAATCCGCAATCCACCTGTACAAGGACTACGACTTGATCCTCCTGCCGCAAACTCCCTCCAAGATATCGCCGATCATGCAGTTGAAGGACGAATTTAAGAACATCGCCGCCCACACTGCCAAGCTCGTCAGTCTTACTTGCTTGTTTGGTCCCTTCTTCTACTTTGCCGTCTGGCGCAACCTCGCTTGGGCTTTGGCCTTTAAGATTGGCCAGACTCTGTTCTTCCTGCCCAAATCAACTAGACCCGCTGGTATCACCAACCCCGTGGCTCTTATTGGCCGCTTCGTCTGGGCCGCGACGCTTTTGGTTGCCCTATGGGAGCTTTCCAACCGTGCCTTTACCATCTACACTGCTCAGGAGCCTGTCAAGAAGGACAAGCCTTTGACTGCTGATTCGAAGGATCCTAATGGCAGCTTGATTGCTGGACTGCGGGCTAAGAAGGAGATTCCCAAGACCATGGCCTTCTGGGAACTTGCCATGATTACACAAAAGTTCGAGGATCGCAGAAAGAATCTGTTCGGGGAGCTCGACAGAAAAGGTGGATCTACCTGGACTCAAATCGCCAATCTATGTATGGTAGAAATTCAGTCTGTCAGCCAGCGCATCCAGGACTCGCAGGGGGCCGTAATCCCAACACCTGAGCAGGCTCCTCAGCCTCTCAAGACTCTGCCTAGAATCTCGTCGCAGCCCGTCAGAGAAGATGCCATCTTCAGACCATCACCTCCTCCTTCTACAGGTCTTCAGGCATTCGAGAACACTGTCGGTATGGTTGCAAGGTCTTACGGTCAATCACATGGTGCTACCAACCCCGTCAGCCCGCGAGCACAAAGACTGCTCGAATACGGCACTGATCGTATCTTGAGTAAGGAGCAGCAGGAGCAGTTCGGTCGCGCCAACATGGTCAACAACGCCAACGGTCTGATCGCTTCCATCATCCGCACACCATTCGGCATGCCTTTCCGCCAGGTCTTTGCCCGTCGCATCAATGCCGTAGTCTTCGGTGTCCCCTACAGCACTAGCACCATTATCATCAATGCTGTCAAAGCGATCTGCGGTCTCGCCGTCGCCAGTCTGAAGGAAGATAACCTCGGTCAAGTGCAAAAGGATATTTCGACCATCGTGCGCACCCTCATAATCACCACACAGCAGATCCAACTATTTGTAGCAAAGCTCCCTCCACACTGGACAGACGTTGACTTTAATGGTGATCGCCAAGTGCCTGAAGTTGAAGCTCTGTTGCAAGTTCTGAAAGATGGCTTGCATGAGATCGTCGTCACCTTTGGCGAATATGCTGGTAATCTCGGTCTTTCCAGGACTGAGATCGCGCTGGCCAAAGAGTTGGCCGGTAGAGGTCCTGAGATGGAAATCATCAGATAGACGAGCACTCACGGACTCATGCTACTTTTTTTTCTTTGATACTAAACAAAAACAAAACCCTTTTTCGATCTTCCACTGTATTTTATGAAAGGCGTGCCTTTTTCATAAGCGACCGCTATCCCATCCAAGTTACATATTCAAATCCTGCAGGCCATATTCGTTGGCAACAGCAAGAGCGCTCTGGCTGTGTTTCTCTGGTACTCGATATCGCCGATGCTGCGCGGTACACGGTTCGTGGCCAAGACTCGAGGTATCACCCTGACCTAGGGAAGTTGTATCTTGTTCACACATCAACCTTTGTTCTCGATTTCTTCAGTCTGTGTGAAGCCTGGCCGATCGATTTTGATTGAGGCTGACTGAGGCGATGTGTAAGATGAACGCGTTTTCAGTATGCTTGTCGAGCCCCAAATCAGTCGAGCTTGTTTTCGACACACGCTTCGTCTCTTCAGTTACAATTCTTAATCTCGGGACCACTTTGGTTCAACTTAGGCTCCTCTGACATACAACGAAGCCACATGGTGTGGAAAGAGTTTAGGAACGGATCCAAAGCAACTAGAACCGCTAAACACTACTTGTCGTCGTCGCGAGCCCAACTTTCTACAGTGACAGGGTGGCCCTGACAGCAACCTGTACTGAACCACTCACGAACAAGACACACCAACCTCTCCTCTCCTTCAACCCTGTTCCACTTAGCATCCATATCAAACACAACTTTGGTCTGTGAAAGCTAGTTCCGTATATTATTTCCCTTCCCCTTTCGTAGGAACAACTCCTGGTTGCTGTACATATCGAAGACAGTCATGTGCGGATTGCGGTATTTTGGTACCCTATTGCTTCGATTCTTCTTTGCTCATATATTCTTTCGTTGAATAGAACAACAGGCAGGTCAGGAAAAGTATCCTTGGTGATGTGGATTTGGAAGCGCATCGTCAGGAGAATGGGTTCGGGGGAAAACGCTCTCGGTCCACTTCTGGAGTCGACGACTGTTGCATACTGAGCAGTTCGCGAAGTGTCGCGCGTTCGTTGACCACAGGCTGAGTCGGTGGTAATGCCACAGTGTGACGTTCTGTTTGATGTGGAGTGATTGGTTGTGACGGAGCGTTTTCAGGTACTGCCTTTCGGAGAAGGTCACCGATACTGACTGGCGCTTCTACCACAACAGCAGAGCGGCCGACTTGTACAGATCTTGTTTGTAGCAAAGTCGGTTCATTGGCGGTCATCCATGTCGGCAGAATCATGTTCGACTGGTTCGATGATTGATGTGGCTGGGGTTCAGAATACGACGGACGCCAACCGTAAGGTTGAGGTTCTGGATGCGATGGGCGCCATGTATGTGGTTGTGCTGGTCTGTTGGGTGGTGGTTCATAGCCTCCCGGCGAAGTCAAGTCTACAGGTGCGGGTGAATATCCGCCGTTGCTTTGAACCGGACGTGGAGCAGCTCCACTTGGTCGAGAGAGAATTTCCCTGACTCGTGAGGCGATATCACCGGGTGGTGTATTTCCGTACAATCGCTCACGTCTCTCTAGCGTTTCATCTGATGGTTGTCTTGGCTGTCTTGGAGGTGGTGGGTGATGCTGTCTGTAATACTCTTGGATGTCACCCCCGTTGGCCATGATCTCGAGATTCCTCGCACGATTCTCCTCACATGAGAGGCCCATGGTTGCTGGTCGATACCTGCCAACAACTGTTGCATCACGAGGATGAGGTGCCTGCACATCTGGTACCCTCTTTCGTTTCCTGAACGATGCCCATGGGGGCGGAGCGATACCATCTTCCTCGGCTTGACCTTCAGCTTCAGATGTAGTATTTGTGGCTGGATTTGAAGGTGGGTTTGAGTTCGAAGTCGATGTTGGGTTCGAAGGCGAATCCGAACCGGGCTTGGACGCCACGGCATCGGTAGGCTTCCTGAACTCACGACCTACATGATAAACTTCTGAGTTTGTGAAGTACTTGCCTCCTGCTTCCTCGTAGCGCGGTAATTCCTTCATACTGTGGAAGACAAGATTTGCCTTTGCGTCTGGAGCCATCAAAGACATACGATGGTAAGCGATCGCTCTTAGACCGTCACATCTTCTGGTCTTGTCGACCATCTCAATGTCATGTGTGTGATCCGGACAGCGATCATGGATGCTGGTTCGATCGATGGTATAGCGGACGACGCTCTTGCCATCTTTGGCGTAGTGAGCGACTACACCCATCGTGAATGGACATGGCTTTTCAAGAGGCTGACGTGTAGATCGAGCCCGGAGACCTTTGCCAGCTGGTTCCGAGGCTTTTTGAGCGTGGAAGATGCATCGGTAATTGGTACGCTGTGTGTTGAAGCGAGGTGCATATGAGTTGGCCTTTTCATTTGTATCTAGTCAGGTCAGTAAGGCTTATTTGAGAAAAGACAATCATTCAGAACACAAGCTGCTGCATTCATAATCAAAGCGAAGAGATTCTGGTTAGACAATGTTGGCAGGAAAAGTATTTTGAACAGCAAGACCGTCAGAATGGGAAAGTGCAAGGCAAGCGCATGTGTAGATTATTTTGTCTTCACTTACACCAATTCGAGACCCACGGCTTAATTTCTTCGTATTCCTCTGCTGACAGAGTAACAGGCTCATTCAGCTCGAACAGAATTTGTCGTCTTCGACCAATGTCAAGAGGGATGGTCTCGATGTGCATCGCGACTGATGAACGTGATGCGAAAGACAACGACAGAAGCTCTTAACCCACCGGAAATTGCAGTGTTTCGGGTGGCTTGAGGTGGTTGTTTAATTGCCAAGAGGACTTGATGGCCCAAGCTCGTGCCTCTTCTTTGACCTTCATCTTCCTGGACTACGCCTTTCGACACCCACAAACATTATTTCTATCAACGAGTACAGTCGACCGTGGCATACCTGATCCATAGCTTGTCTTGTCTGGATTTGTCCCACTTTGCTTGGTCCAATCCGATGACAACTTCCATCTCTCCTGTAGGTAATCTAGGCATGATGACCTGCGATCCATTGAAGAAGCCTTCATGTACAGTCCTTACCAATTGATATCATAGAATGGTACGCGAAACCACGAGCTTATCATGACATTCGTATCCATCAAGCCAGCGAAGGATGCCGGTGCGATGCAATCGTAACTATGCACTCCTTGCAAGAAACCAACTAGTGATGCAATGTAATGCTCGTCGGTGGCAGCGATAGCCTTCCGAATTGTACGAGCGACGTCTGGCAGACTGTCTGCTGCGAGCATCTGAACCACACTTACACCAGGAGTTGCGTAAACCATCGGACACCCGATGTGGTTCTCTGGTAGTGGCGACAAATAACGTGATCTACCATCTACACAGATTGTGTTCAACGAGATTGCCTCCGGCGACACTTCATCGAGGTCAACTTGCGCAGCCAGCACGCAACGCCAGATTAATGCACATACAGCATCATTGGTAGATATGTGCTCATTCCTATCCAGTCCAGCTGACATATCTTCCTTCAGCCTGACAAGACTCTCTGGCGTAAAGCGATACACCTCAGTCCGGAAAGTTGGCTTGAGCATAGCTGGCGGCGGTGCTGGAGGTGAGCCAAACACCATATACTCAGGATGATCGTCTGGTGTATTGAGACCAAGGTCGAATTGAGTCTTCTCGAAAACAGATAATGGAAGCTGCTCGCATGCAGAAGTTGTGTCCGGATTCTGGAGATGTCTACAATTCTGCGCCCATATGCTCAAGATCTCGTAGATGGCCCTAGCATCGGCGACCAGATGCATGATGCAGATGTTGAGAATCAGTCCGCCGTCGATGAGTGTCGTCTGAGCCGCGAAGACTGATATAGGAGCTTGCGTTGGATAGATTGGCACTGGACAGAGGACATCCTGTGGAAGCGCTGACGTAGGAAAGTGCTGTTCTCTCAGCGCGTTGTAGGTGAAAGGGAACAAACCCCCTCGCAAGTCTTTCTCGTACATCTTGCCAGCTTCAGGGTTTGGTTTAAGTACGAAGCGTCCGTTTTGTTGCGACTCAGTATCAGGGATCATTTCAGCGGAAAGGCAAGGAATCGCTGATTTGGTAAGTGCCAGTGCGGTAGCCAGATGTGATACAACATCATTCTGCTCCACGTCGGTCAGTTTTTCGAGCGAGAAAAAGAACAACGGTCGAATGTAACCACGCGGACCGCTTTGCTCGATGGCCGAGAGACTCAGCGAAGGGTGGGTGTCGGTCATTACTGATGATGTACGAGGACATTCACTGCTAGAAAGTAGGCATGGACTTGAAATAGCGATACGTTTTTGTATAGTAGTTCGAGGACAAGCCGGCCAACGGCACATCAATCTTCAGTTTTGCGGCACGTAGGTCTCCTTAGGCTGCTGGACTCTTGGTAATTTATACTACGTGTCTCTAAGTCAATCTAAGTCAAACATTTTTGCGAATCTGGTTTTCTTCGACTGAATATTGTCTTCGAAGGATCCTCGAAGGATCTTCGTCTGAGTCAGTGCGTACTTTATACTTACATACAGGCATAAATTGGCGTTACTGCTGATGCTCATGGCATTCGACCGCGTCTTTGCTATGTCAGTAATAGAAGATTCCTTCTAGCAGATCTCTCCAGAATTTACGGTTCGAGGAGTTGATTTTCCTTAACCTTCCTTATTGTGGTCATAACGTCTTCGTCTTGATTCTAGGTACATTGAGTGGTGAGAGAAAAGCTCCTGTAGCGACTCGCAGCAAACATTACATGGAGCACAGCCGAATAAACCAGCTTTGAACAGTTGCTGTTTTGGTAGATGGTGCGAGTATCTTTACCCTCCAGTTCCTCAATATCACAACCCTCCTCTTGCAAATACAGCTTGAGCAGGTCGTGAAAGCTCTCACTACAACCAAAGGGACAGCGATTTGTGCTCTTATAGTAGAAGAACGCTGTATGGTGACTTTACATTAAGTGATCTAACAACCTGAACTCCTGTGATATCCGAAAGTGTCAAACTAAGCCATAAAGGCAGGAGGAAATAAGATTCTTCCTTCGGCTGCATACACGCCTGGGGAAGCCACAGGCGCTGCCTGCACAGATGTGAGAACAGAAAAAGACCGCGTGGCCGATCTCGCGAGTTGCGTGAAACCGCCTGAGAATGCGTAAGGAAGACAATGTGAGGAGATGACCGTTCAGAGTTCACACTTATCGCCCTGTCCGTGAACAGCCTCCGGGTGCTCAATATAACTGTGCAAGTTGCCAGTTGCCATCGATCCTCTGTCGTGACATCGAGAGACGTCTGAAGATGTCTTGATGTGTGCAGACTGGTGCTGTTATCCGGATGTTCAGGCGCAGGCGTATTTAGACAAGTAGGCGCGAGTCAGAAATACCTACGGCCAGCAGGAGTGCGAGGTTCTCAAGTTGGCAAGCGGAGCCTCAATAGGAAGGAGCTGATCATGCACAAAACGCCAAGCCACATTGTGCAACCAGGGTCCATACCTTCACAAAAGCATTCTCCGCCAACAGAATCTCGAAAATCCAAAAATTGATTTTCCTCGCCCTACACTTCCGCCTTGTTTCGTAGCAGCTGTATACACCCGCTGGTGCAAAAGGAATGTTGATGAGAAGGGGATTCGAACCCCTGCCCTTGAGCCGTGGAGGCGGAGCCGACACGGATCTCGGACCAGTAATCCTGCAAAAGTACTCATAACAATCGACAGCAAGGTTGGATTGAAGATTGAATGGTCGGATCAGAAAGAGGAGTATCTAGAGTCTAGATGCCGAGAATCTTACAAGTATTCAACGAGTGGTTGTCGAGTTGTTCAAAATTGGTGCAAATAATGCCATCTCTCACCAAGATTCGTCTTGTCCCCTTCTCATACGCCAAACTTTTCGATTCTGTCTCCGTACTCGACCACCGAACATGGGCGCAACTTGTCTAAACCACGAACAAATACTCGAGTACTTGCCAGTGTTTTTTTTTTTTGAAAACAACGCGCACGTCAAAAGACAGACTCGAACAGAACAAGAACAACAACAACTCAAATTAATCACTTTTACAATGCTTGGCAGTCGCATACAGCCTCACTCGAGTACGGAGAGCGCTTCAACATGGGCGCACAACACCAGAACCACACTCGAATCTGTCAATACACTTCTTTATCATCGACACCCCCATGCACGTCAACCATCGAGAAAGCAAGCCATTACCGCTCAACATTACGACAAAACATCAAGACGCACACAAAAGTCACGTCAATCATCAAGACGCACACAAAAGTCACGCCAATCATCAACACGCCAAAACATCAAGACGCACACAAAAGTCACGCCAATCATCAACACGCCAATCATCATTTTCGACGCTCTTCCATGCATCTCAATCTTTTCGAATGGTGCATTTCTTTGTCGTCAGTTCTGTCGGTGAAGCTGTAACTACGGTGGTCGTTTGTTGCCTCGCGCATCCAATGCGCTTGAGACGGGCCGGCGCATTCACGGAGGTCGAACCACCGCGCATGAAGTTTGCGACTTCCCAATATTGCTGCAAAAGAGGACCAAGTTATTGTGACACAATTCTTGCGATTTCCCATTCATTCCATTGATTCAATGAGAGCAGCTGTTTTACTGACTTTCAAAGAACGGTCTCTGGATTGTCAAACTATTCAACGCAACAACCTCAACCATGAAATGATTCAAGCGGTTGCCGGAAGCATCTACTCAAAGACATGCATCTGTCGCTGCGTCTTTCCATGATTGCGACACATGCATGTCTTTGACTTCCGTCAAGTCATGGTCATTCCATGGAAGCATCCCGAATTTCACTCTCACGCAAGGCGCGACCTATAATAAGTCCCGTCCAACTCAATCCAACTCGTCTCATCTCACCCATCATCACATCAATCTTCCACATCCTCAAAACACACACAAATCAACATCAAACTTCTACCTTGCTTTACCATGTCCGCCAAGAACAACCCTATCACCGATCCCACCAACGACGCCATAATGTCCACCACCGATGCCAGTCAGTCTCTCGACCATGACGCTGCCGACAACTCCCACTCAGCTCCTCCTGTTGCCCCGGACATCGGCACCGCCTTCCAGCAAGACACCCTCTTCATGGGCTTGGACGGTAGCAGTGACTCTCCCGAGCGTGGTCGTTCATTCTTTAGACGCGGCAACACTAGCGGCACTCACGCCCCCACTTATTTCCTTGGAGGTCACGACGGAGCCATGGATCCCGCCCTTTCTCACGATGGAGCCGGAGACAACGAGTCCGACGAAGAGATGGACGAAGGCGAGGTCGAGCATGACAGCGAGCATGAAGGCGACGAGGAAGAAGAACCTCAGGCCCCTTCCACCTCCGCCTCTGCTACTGCCGCGGCAGCCTCTCGCCGTAGACGTTCTTCTCTCTCGGTCGCTGGCAGTCGCTCAACCTCACGTCCTACGGGCTACATGTCAGCCGGCGGTGAGCAGGTCCACGGCTGGTGGGCACCCGCCAACCTGGCCCTCATGAACGTCTCCGATCTGGCGTTGCACCACAACATGGCTATCCTCACGAGAAAGGTTGATTTTCTCACTGAGAACACAGCCCTGAGTAGCGCCGGCCGCATCAAGGGGCCCACGGTCGCCAAGACCAAGGTTGCTCGTGATGCTAGAAAGGCCCTCAAGGGTCCGGAGCTCATGACTGCTTTGAGAGCCTTCCTTGCACAGGGCGGCAAACTCGCCATCACCAAGGCCACCGTTCTCAATGAAATTCAGTCGCAGTCTTTCCTTACCTTCCTCAAGGGACATGTCAAGGACAACCCGGACATCGAATACCTTTACACTGGTATCGCCGACATGGACCTTGACGGCCTCCGTTCCCTGTTCGCCGAGATATCCACCGACGAGAAGAAGCACCTGGCCGAAATGGCCGCTGCCGCTACTGCTGCTGAGCCCAGCACTGAAGCCCCAGGCAGTAAGTTGTGTCCCTTTCCTTCCTTGACTTGACCCCCTCCTTGCCCTCTACAAGCCTTCACCCTTCTCTCTCCATTTTCTCTCTTCCTATCCCTGCATGCCTCCGAGTAGCAATAGCAAGTCCCTATCGTGCTAACTTGTACACAGGCAAGCGCCATCGTCAGGCTGACGCCGATGACGAAGAGGACGAAGACGAGCAGCCTCCCGCCAAGAAGCCTGCTCCTTCCAAGGCTCCCAAGGTTGCTCCCAAGGCTGCTTCCAAGGCTGCTCCCAAGGCTGCTTCCAAGCCTGCTGCCACCAAGAAGGCTGGTACTTCCACTAGCAAGAAGACCACTGGCCGCTCTTGATTCCTTCCATAGTATTTTCCCTGCCATTAGAAAGCAGAGTGTTTTTGGGATTCGCTGATGATCAGCAAGTCCTCCGATCATCCTTTACGAATGAATCATTTTTCCTTCTTCTACCAAGTTCCCGCTTCACAAACACTGAGACCAGTCCCTCCGTGCCATGTAACTTGCCTCTCTTGCGTGCCATGATCAACCTCCTTTCGCTTGACTTGTAACATGCCTCTCTTGCGTACAATGATCAACCTCCTTTCGCTTGACTTGTAACTTGCCTCTCTTGCGTGCAATGACCTGCCTCCTCTCGTGAAGTGATGTGGTTCCCAGTCCAAAGTCCAAGTGCCCGATGGTTTTAGCAACCCTAAAACAGCGCACAAGGCAAGCGTTTCGGGTCTTAATCAAGATGCACGATGGTCTGAACACTGATACATTATTTCATAGGAGGTGTGAAAAACTCCATGTTCTCCACGAATTGGTCTGATGATTTCTTGTTGACAGATTACAATCGACAAGTTGCCATGGTACAGGCAGGGTCATGCCCTCAGAATCAGATAAGATGCGGAGATCTCCGCAAGTCAAATCTCCCTCATCTCTCCGAGCTTCGAGATTGATCTTGTGTTTTTCACCTTTCCATATCGAGTGCATCTCCGGAGACGGTTCCATGATTGTCTAGTCAATATCGGCTAGTCACCTTGTCGCCGCCTGTCTTTGACACCTCTGCCATCCGCTTTGTCGGCGCCAAGCATGTTTTCCCTGCAGCAAGCGATTCGGTGTAAGACCCGCTTCCTTGAGTTCAGTGCCAGATGAGACTGCACATCGAATGACCCACATTGCTCAAAGCGGTTCAACGAACACCAGACAAATCAAGCCTAAGACAGACAAGCATCGTCGCATTTCATGTCAGAAAGCAAAGGGCGCACAGGAGAAAGAATGCTGTGTTGACATGAGTCCACAACGCGCGTGCGTGGACGGCTTCTCAAAGCGCAGGTGTTTGCCAAATGTAAAACATCCAGGCAGCGATGGCTTCTTTCAACTTCTGTTCTTTCGGTCTCTGAACTTGCGACATTCTCTTCGATTCTGCAACACACCCTGCTCCAATACTTAAGGTGGCCTGGTCGCCCTGTCGCTTCTTCAATTACCCAAATCAGTTGACCTTCTCCAACTACCACATCTTGAGTCATCAAGTAAGTTACTTTCTCAACACTCCCCCTCTTCTCATGTCACACCCGTCCTTCCAGCTCCTTTCCAGCTCCCTTCCAGCCCACCAAGATTGAGATGCACCATAGTTGAGCAAAAAAGAAACGAGGAAGAGCTAACATGTCGTCTACCAGATCAAGATGTCGAGATCTTTGAAGGGTGTTCTGCCCGCCAAGAGGCTAAGTCTTACTGATACTCTGGACCGCATGACAACCATGAATGATGAAGAAATCTTCACCATGGTTGAAGATTTAGACAAGACTGTCGAAGAGCTCAAAGCCTATCGTCCCTATGCGCCCAAGACTCAAAAGGAGCAAGATTACCATCTCGGTTTGTATCGTGAGTTTGTGAGAATCGTCTCCAAGTTGCCAGCTGGCAGTACAGAGGCCGAAATCGACGCTGTCTGTTTCCCGGAGAACCACGACAAGCTTCCAAAGCAGCTTTCGATGTTCTTGGTTTGGATCTTCCAGCGCGCCAAGCCTAGAAGCGCTGCTTCCGGCAACTACATTCAATACCGCTCTCTCGTTAAGTACCGTGGATCTTTACTCTACTGGATCAAGCGTATCTACGATGAAAGAGATGTGCCTCCTCCTCACGGTCCCAAGTTGTTCAACTCCATGTCCCGAAGCATGCAAGCCATTCAAGCCAAGCTCAACAAAGATGGCCCCAAGAAGTCAATCAAGACCTTCCTTGGTCTCGGCGAACTTCGCCAACTGATCGACTTTGAGATGTTCTCCAACAATTCCATTGAGAACAGTGAGCAACATCAAGCTGCGTGGTGCATTGGCCGTATGGTTGCCGTGAGACCCGGCTCTATCGCACCCTCAGCCGCCGGTCGTCAGCAGCCACTGAAGTGGAAAGACATCAAATTTCGCCGCTATGACAATGATCCGGCCAAGTTCCAGGCACAAATTACCTTTCCGACTATCAACATCAAGGCACCTGAGAACCTGGATCAGAATGTCGTTGGCGTTGCCAGAGAAGACGCAAGATCTCTGCAAGTCTTTGTCAATTCCCCCGAGCAAGCCGAGGAGCTCATCTTCTCTGTGCCCCATCGTCTTCTCCTGATGGCAATCCGTCGCAACCTCCTAGTCGGCATCAAGACAATTGAGGAGCTTCTTACTGGTGAACAAGCCTTTATCCAGATCAAGCAACGCCATCTGGATGACCCTCTCTTTTACAGGAGCAAGCCGCATGGTGCCGGCATTGATACCACCTCTCCGATGACTGCCACCGGTCTCTCGGTTTACCTTCGTGAACGTGGTGCTCATCTTGGCTATCAATTCCCAGTCACCTGGTACAGCATCCGCCGACGCGCTGCGACCGACCTGGCTCGCATTGAGGGTGCCGATACGGCCCGCTGGCTGCTCGGCCATGCCCCAGGCACCACCACCTTGGAACGCTTTTACTTGGCTCTTGCACCGGCAGTGGATGTCACTTCGCTGGGCCTCGGCCACACAGGCGACACCGGCCAGAGCGCAGTGCAGATGGCCGCAGCTTGGACCGCACCTCTCGCTACTTCGAAGCTCACGTCCGCTCAAATGGACCAGATCAAGAATGGTATTGGCATTCTCACTCGCCGTCTTATCGCTCAAGACCCCGATTGGCGTGACGACTTCTCTAAAGCCGAGCTGAAGAATTACATGAAGCGTGTGCGCAAGTTCGCCTTCAGAAAACTTACCTCCGAACTTCATGTTCTTCAGACAGCCACAATCACATCCGGCGAGATGTCAGCTCGTCTCAAGGCTACCTCTGCATCCAACTTCGCCCAAGCAGTCATTGCTCGTTGCGAAGCCGACATGGATGAGATTGCCTCCGAGGAAGTTTCTGACGAGGCCTTGTTCGAGGACGATCCTGCTTATCAGCTTGACGACGAAGAGGCTGCGACAGGCACTAATGATGAGCCCGAGCCGGACATTGAGTCCGAGATCGATCGCCCTGACCTTGGCGAGAAGCCTCTGGTGCTTTCGCCTGACACTAACGACGACATCACCACGTCGAGTGTGCCTTATGCTCAGCAGGTCGCTGTTTTCATGCAGCTCCTTCTCGACAACACATTGAACACCAAAAAGACATTCAAGGAGACCGACAGGCGCTGTTACGAATGTCAGGTCGACGAGACTATGCCTCAGGCTGCCAAGGAGAAGCAGTGGCTCAATGCCACCAAGCTCAATTCTCACATGGAAAGCGCTGTTCATTCTCTTTACAAGCAGTGGCAACGTCGAGCCGAAGTCGCAGCTGAAGAGTACTCCAACCTCCTTACTGTCGGGGACGGTGACGACACTTACCAGTGCAAGTATTGTCCTCTCGATCCTCCCCGTTTGTTCCCCAGCATCGAGGAACTTGAGGAGCATATCATGACGAGTAATGAGGAGACCAACAGCCTCGAACACGAGGAGAAGAAGGAGATAGACGGCTGGATGGAATTCGATTTCCGTGGTATGGCATCTAGTTACAATCAGAGAGAGACTATGAAGCGCCGCAAGCGCCGTTTGGAAGATGCCGGCTTCGTCGTCGAACCTGCTCTCCCTGGCCCTGTTCCTCACAAGAAGAGAGCTGGAATCCAGCACGGCTGGTGGTACAACGAAGTGCCTCCCCGCTTCGAGGGCTTCGTTGTTCAGACAGAGCATGCTGTTGTTCCCACTATCCCGGAGCATCTCCGCGAGTTCATCACCGTCACGGACAAGGCCACAATGTGGGAGTATGATGAGCTTCCAGAGGACTTCCAAGAGATGATCCGCGAGACTTCCGCTTCTCAGACCATCAAGGAGTTTGAGGATGAGGAGATGGAGGACGAGTGAAAGGGGTGTCGTTTTCCACTTTCATTTTTTTCCTTTGTTTCCTAGGTTTCACACGCACAACACTCATACATTGTTCACAATGCTTCCAAAAGAAGTGGTTACGTTTCAGACAGATGATTTTTGCCATGACTCAAGACGAAGTAACGTCTGGAGGCGTAGCACATTAGATAGATTACACATTCATGCAGCTTTAACCCTTGCTACTAAGACAACATCCATGGTACTCCCACAGAGTGGTTTAGAATTCGCTCAAGGTATTATTTGAATCTCTTTCCTACTTTCTGCTTCGCTTTCTTGCTCTACATTTTGGCTTTCTTGCATTGTTCCTTTTGTTTTTTCTCGTTGCTTATTTCGCCGTTTTTTGTCTTATTCCTACTACTCTGCTCTTCTGCTTGCGAAGGTCCTTCTTTCTTGCTATTGTGCCCAATACGCTGGTCCGAACCAGCGTATTGGAAGAACCTTAAGCTGGCGCCTTAGACCGCTCGGCCATCTCACCGATGATGTAAGCATGACCTTTGCAAGTGTCTAAGTCCTTGTTGTCCTGGGGTGCCTTAGGCCAGGCGGATTGAGAATAGTGAATCATAGGCAAGTCCGGACAAGATGGGGATGGTATGGTGATCTGGGATCAGGAGCCTTCTGTGAAAAGCACTGGTTCTCGAGGAGGGACGAGGCAACTAGACAGGCTCCTGGGCGCGGCTTACCTAGAGAGGACCATGTTGGGCCAGTCCAAAGTGGCGAGCAAGCTGTAAGGCAGCGGATGGTCTACTGAGCAGATTGAGTTCATTTCGACAAGAAGCCGAAGGTGCTGAGGTAATCCAGAAGACACAAATCTAACGTTACGATGTGTTCTGAGCGGCTCTGGATCGAAGTGTTATGACGAGCATATGTTGTGTTGAACAGCATGGTTGGCAATGGCTGGTCACCCGCGTCGGCTGTTGTTGTTGTGTTGTGCTGGTGGGTGGATTCGCAAAACCAATGACATGCTGACAGGAAAGCTTTCTTTGTCGAAGTGAATGGAGAGTTTCACCGTGTGAACGATGAAGGGCCCAAGGAAAAAGAGACAGTTACCAACCTGTGAAGTCGCGTGTGATGGTTGAAGTGGAAGTCGGAGAGTTGATTGACGCGCGATGGAAAGGTGCCAAGCTTGGCGTCATCGGTGGACGACCTTTGGGCAAGCGCGACGGCGAACATTGGTGGTCGAACAACTCCTTGTCTAGACAATCAACATCAACATGGCTAACGGGTATGTCGCATACATTGGTCTGGTCAGGAGTATTTTCGAAGAGTCGTAGCTGACTATGCGCGTCTAGGTGGAGTCTTCTGGTCGGCCTCCTGTTCATCTTGGCCTTCTGCGCCGTGTCCTGGTTCGCCAGCCCCAAGGGCGACACACAAACGTAAGCCGCTCATCGACCCTCTCGAGCCTTGCTGAAGGACGAGACGCGAAACGGAGGAAGACATTGGATAGACAAGAGGAAGCTGAGAACTAACACATCGACAGTGTCTGGCGTTCAACCCTCATCCTCTCGGCCTGGAGCTGTTACCTCATGTGGGGTGCGTATTTATCACTTGAACCGCTGCATCTTCCGACTAACATGACGAATAGCCATCACCTTCCTCGCCCAGTGGCACCCCCTCATCAGCCCTCAAAGAAGCGATCTCAGGCCCGAATATGTCCACAGAGATGGTGCCCGTTTCTAGACAGGCCACCCACAGTCGAAGAGCAAGGACAGTTCTGATGTTGGAGGAGGAGAAGCAATGAACGAGAGTTGTGCAAACACATCACATGGCATTGGCGTTACTTGAGTTTACTGGGAGATACACTGTGACATATCACTCGTAATGGGCTTGCTACATGGCAGCCCTTGTTTCTGATATTGCCTTTTCTGAGAGCGTGTACATCTCCAATGGTGCTGAGAAGCATGTGTGTCATTGTCCGATACCAACGTGAAGCGCAAGTCGTTTCCACAGCTCGAGTAAATCGCCCGTCTCAACGACACCGGCAGCTGCTACCCCTGATCCTACACCAGCAGCTCTTAGAATACACTACGCAATCATTAGCTACAGTCTTGGACCCGAGTCGTTTCGAAACTTACCCAACCGATGCCTGCCCGACACACAGCGCCAACAGCCGCCAAAATGGCAGCTCTGATGACTCCGCACTCAAGCAAGATCTCCAAGGCAGCAACGTTGTTGATGATGACAGCCCATGAAACAGCACTTGCGCTACTCGGCAGATCGTACTTCCAAATCAACAGCAATAGCGGGAAGAGCTTTGTGAAGCTTGACACCAGGAGTGCCGTACTTATGACAGCAGGGTGCGGGTAATGAGGGATCAAGTAAGACAATGGCCGCGGCAGACGAAGAGACAAAAGTGTGCGGATTGGGAGGTGGAATGAAACCGTCTCCAGTGCGCACAGCACAAGGAAAAAGACGTATTGCAGGATGATGGGCTGCTCACTCAGCAGATTAGATGTTGGTAGCAGGCTTGATGCGTTCCATTGGCCTGATCCCGTGGCATTACTCGTGGGATGCGAGAAGGGATCTGAAGGGGTCGGCATAGAAACACTGTCTGAGGCTGACGGGGAGGGCATGGCTTCTTCGATACGTGCCCAGGTCAGATAGACATCAAACAGGAGCAGTAAGACTCCGAGGCGTATTATGGATGGCTGTGACAGTCAGTATCGGTTCATAGTGCCTCGATTCGAAGACTTACGTTGAAGCGGCCGTCCTCACGACCTAGACGATTAAAAAGAAGATGCCTGTAGACCTGTGCGACCGTATCAGTATTGGAATTGACCAAAAGCATCCCCACTAGTTCCAAAAAGAGGGAGAATGTGTTTCGAATATTGATGTTGAGTAAGAACAGAGGAAGCTGGAAACGTGAAGTGGTTGGAAGGAGGGATTGAGAGACAAAGAGGATAATATCACGATAGCCTACCTGAGGTTTGATCAAGACCAAGTCGATAAACAAAACAACAAAATCATGTTCGACATATTTGTCTGCGAAACGCTTGCATCTCGGGCACTGTGTCAAGCGTACACCTTTTCCCAAAGTTCGATCATCTGCCTTGCTGTACGTGGTGTACAGACTGCTTACAGGGTACCGACACTCGATACATATAGGCATTGTTCTGAGAGGCAGGGTTGCAGCAAAGGTCTGGCAGACGGTGTTGGAAGTTCGAGGAGTGACAGCATCAACTGGTCCAAGCGTCGGTCGGCGCGTCTCAGTCGCCAAAGCTTCTCGCAATTCCGTCGTGCTCGATTGAACAAGAACTTGATCTCTTCGCAGCTGACCAGGTTTCCTGCATGCCCATTTCCTAATCCTCGACAATGGCTCTGGCAGCATCACAAGCGACGCCGCAGCGTCCTCTGCCAGGGGCCTTCTTCAACACCCCGGCGCCTGGCAGACCTGGCAGTTCTGGACAAATGCAGCAAGCTCCGTCCTTTCGCTCAAACTCGGCTGCTACCCTGGCTGGATACCGCGCCGGCCAGGTAGCTTCACGCGATGCGCCTGCACAGAGACCTGTTACCGCCACGCAAGACTCCCTCGCTCCGATCGAACGCGCAGCGCGCACCGTCAACGAAGCCCTTCAAAGTGAGGCCCAGTACCCAGCCCTTGACAACTATGTCGGCCAGGGAATCTCCAATGATTACGATACTTCCTTCAACCCGGCCTGGCAACCCTTCCAGCGCAGCCGCAACTATGATATCCCCGAGCAAATCTTCGAACAGGCGAACCTGGCCCAAGTCTCGACACATTTGGGTCTCTTTGCCGAGCTCAACCACGCCTTCATCGTGATCGACTCGTCGCTCTACCTTTGGGACTACACACATCCGAACCCCGAACTCATCGGTTTCGAAGACCAGACCAATGCCATCACGGCCGTCAAGCTTGTCAAGCCGCGCAAGGGCGTCTTCATAGACTCGATTACCCACCTCTTGGTTGTCGCAACCCATGCAGAGGTCCTGCTCATTGGTCTGGCCGCCGCGCGCTCGCCTCACGGTGGTTGGGCTGTCCAACTCTACTCGACCAACATGAAGGTGCCCGTAAGAGGCATTTCCATCAGCCACATCGAGTCGTCGGACAAGACTGGGCGCATCTTCTTCGGTGGTAACCAGGCCATTGATGTCTGGGAGCTCACTTACCAGCAAGAGGAACGTTGGTTCGCAAACCGCTGCTCCAAGATCAACCACACAAACTCGGGCATCTCATCTGCCTTCCAGCTGTTGCCCTTTGGTGGCCGATCGGATCAGGAGCATATCTCACAGATGGTCGTTGATGACTCGCGTGACCTGCTGTACACGCTCTCTTCCTCTTCGACCATTCGCGTCTACCACATGAAGAGTGGCAATGTGCTGGATCTGGCTCTGTCCCGACCTTTTACCAGTCTGCTCGCCCAGATCGCCCACATGGTCCCTAGCTCTGATCTCCTCTCGCGCACTACCTCGCTCGTATCCATCAGCCCAATCTCGGCCCAAGAAACGAACAGACTCAGTCTGCAGGCTCTTACCAGCACCGGCTGTCGTATCTTCCTCAGCGCCACCTCTGGCGCCTTCTACGGTAGCTCAACTTCATCCGCCCCGACCAGCATGCAGGTCCATCATATCAAATTCCCTCCCAAGGACGGCGAAACCGTTGCTCCTCAACCACAACAACCCCAGCCCACTTCTCTTGGTCCTTATAACACCAATCCCTCGACCTTGGACACCAACACGCGCTTCCTTGCTAACACCAAGGCTGGCGTTAGATATGCCCCTGGTTACTCATGTTGGGTCGTCCCTAACCCCAATGATCCCCACAGAGACTCCATCTTTTTCACAGCTCCCGACTCTGGCCGCATCAAGCTGCCTCGGGATGCCAGCCATGCCACTCTTTTCCCAGAGGTCGGCCAGTTCTTGGAACTCCCTTATCCTTCTCAAGGCATTGGCTTGGTTAGCACTCCTTTCGCTGCAGCTTCCACGCCTTTGGGCTTCGCCAATGAGCTCGCCGTTCAATTCGACCAGTCTCCCACTGAGATTGCTGTCCTGACTAGCACTGGTGTTCAAATCATGCGCCGTCGCAGACTTGTGGATATTTTCGCTGCTCTCGCACGCTACGGTGGCGATGTAGAAGGTCGCGATGGCCAAGTAAAAAAGTTCATCCGCAACTATGGTCGTACCGAGACTGCTGCTACGGCTCTAGCCGTTGCTTGTGGTGAAGCTTCCGACGGTAATGCCGATGCTCGCATCACCAATATCACAGAACCAGACATTGTCGAGTTTGCCCGGGAGGCTTTCATCACTCAAGGAGGCAAGCCCATGCTCAATGAGAACTCTGTTCTGGACAACAACACTCCCGCCATCGACAATGTTCGTCCTTCCCCCCGACACGATGGTATGGCACTCTACATCACCCGATTGGTACGATCGATCTGGAGAGCACCTGTCCTGACTCAAAAGGTCACTCCCGTTGGTGGCTTGGCTGTCACATCGACCGTGGCACTCACCAAACTGCAAAACATTCAGCGCGCTTTGAATTCGTTGCAAGAATTCTTGAACAAGAATAAGAGCTCCATCGAAGGCTTGTCTGGACCCGAGTCGCTTGGACGTGTCGCAAACAAGCAAGATGAACTCTCCCTGCAGGGCGAACATCGTGCAATGAACGCTCTGATTCAGCTCATCTCGAGCATCATCGAGGGCATCGCCTTCGTACTTGTCTTGTTCGATGAGAGGGTCGACGAAATCGTTCTGTCCCTGCCAGAAACCTCCCGCGAGCGTGCCAGATTACTCACTTACGAGGGACTTTTCTGCTCGCCAGACGGCAGAAACTTGGCCAAGGAGCTTGTCAAGGCCATCGTGAACCGTAACATCGCCAACGGTTCGAACGTTGATACTGTAGCGGAAGCTCTGAGAAGACGTTGTGGCAGCTTCTGTAGCGCCGATGATGTGGTTATCTTCAAGGCTCAAGAGCAGGTCAAGAGAGCATCCGAGGCTGGTCCCGCCTCCGAGGCAAGCCGCAGACTGTTGAACGAGAGCTTACGACTTTTCCAGAAGGTAGCAGGAGCTCTTTCTATGGAACATCTCGAGTGGGCTGTGTCACAGTATATTCCCATGTCTTTCTACGCTGGTGCTATCCAGCTTGCTTTGACTGTCGCACACGAGTCTGACCGGGCAAACCGAGCCCTTTCTTGGTTAAGGGACGACTGCCCCGAAGACGACCCCCGACAAAAGGCTTTCGAAGGCAGGAAGCAATGCTACGATCTCATTCACCAAGTCATCGTGTCAGTCGAACAAGCATTCGAAGCACACCCTGATGGTGCTTTCTCAGTCACTGCTAAGAGACAATCCGAGGCATACGAGATTATCAACAACTCCGAAGATGAAGTTTTCCAGAATAACCTATACGACTGGTATATGGGCCAAGGGTGGAATGACAGACTTCTTGAGATCAGCTCACCTTATGTTATCAGCTACCTCCGCAGACGTATGGACAAAAACCCTGACCATGCTGACTTGCTCTGGCGCTACTACGCACACCACAACAACTTCCTCGAGGCCGCTTCAGTGCAATTGTTACTTGCAAAGAGTGGCTTTGATCTCAACCTCGAGCAACGCATCAGCTACCTTAGCCGTGCAAGAACCAACGCCTCAATCCGTACCGTTTCTTTGCTCGACGCTGCGCAAGGCAGACAACAAACTCTCCGTGAGATCAACGACCTCTTGGAAGTTGGCAACATTCAAGACGACATTTTGCAACGCATGAAGTCGGATCCTCGTCTTACAGACCAACGCAGACCCCAAGTGTTGAAAGCACTTGATGGTCAAATTCTAGAAGTCGCCGAGCTCTTCAACCAATATGCCGATCAAGCAGGCTATTACGACATTTGTATCTTGATCTACCACTGCGCTGACCATCGCAACCCTGCAGACATCCAGTCAACTTGGCAATTGCTTATAGAACAAGTGCACCAAGAAGCAGATGGAATCGATCAGATGGCGCCCTTTGAAGCAGTGGCTCTCAAGGTCCGCTCATTAGGCCAACGTCTGAACGCAGCGGAGGCCACCTTTCCCATCCCTATCCTGTTGCCAATGCTTCTCCGCTACGCCCTTGAGTATCAAAACAACGCCGCCTCACCAATGTGGGTCATTGATACCTTCCTCGAGCTGGACATCCGACCCTCAGCACTACTGCCCGTCGTAGAACAGATGTACTACACCAACGAGCAACCATTCGTTGGCAGACACCGTCGCGTCCTCGCCGCTGATCTGATCTACCTGATCCAAGCCTGGCTACGAGAGAGCGAACGCCACGGCGACAGCGTCCTCTTCGGCAGCGACGAAAACGCCGCTGGTATCGATGATCTCCTCACCAGTCTCGCCGGAAGCTCAGACCTCGAGCCCGAAAAGCGCGATGCGGTGGACACACTCAGAGGTAGAATTGTTCAAGCCATGCGTTAGAAATGCGGCGGTGGTCTTTTTTGTGTTGTTCGATCTGGATAGGTCCGGGGGATGGTCTCTATAACGCGGCGTTTGTTTTTTCTCTCTCTAGTAGTTTTGTTGGCTCTTTGCCCTATGTAACTTTTTGGGGAACCAGATAGCGAAGACTTGTCAAAAAAAGCAGGCATATGAAAGCCTTGTTGTACAATTTCCTATACTATTCCTCGCTGCCTCTCTTCATCTTGTCCTTGTCCGTGCCTGCTCTGTCTGCCTGGCTTGACGATACAGTTCATTGACTGACTAGTCCCAAGTGAAATACTAAACCACAGATAATGTTAGAAGCCTGACTCTCCATGATATTTGGGCAAAGTCATAAAGATGAATGAAGCAAGAAAGAAAGAAGACGCGACCTACAAGAACCGAGAATCGGTAGTACCATCCTATAGAATGAAGGAAGGGGTAACTTGATATTTACAATCAAGTCGTGTGACCGAGATGGTGATTCAGAAAAGCGAAGCAACATGAAACCAAAGGCATGCAAACCTTTTCCAAACGGTATGAAACCAAGAAAGGGGGTGAGACTGAAACAATGATAAGAAAGGGATTGAAAATCACCTAAGAAATCAGAGATATGCATGGCAAAAAAAAAAAAAGGGATCAGGAGACCAATAGATCGCAAGGTTTTGTTTGAAATGATGATGGATTGAATTTTTGAATGCTGATTCTGTAGTAGAGGGTATAGTTTGGACCAGTCGATAATTGTTCGTGTTTTGAGTGAGCATGGCATATGCCGCTCGTCTCAAGGCCCGCAGAAAAGAAGACAAGGCTCTTTTCTTGGAGCGGTAATAGAAAATAAAGAATAAGAAAAAAACATTATACACAGCCAGTGAGCGACATTAAGAATCAGCAAACCGGAGAGTTGTGAAAAAGTGAATCGAATGACAGAAGAAAGAAAAGAATCAAATGTGGGAGCTGAAGCGGTCCAAGTGATTCGTAGGAGTGTTGAAAAAGGTATAAGAATTGAAGTAGTCTTTTGCCTCTGAAACCCTCATCTAAGGGGAGGATGATGGTCGATTGTCCAGGAAATGTGAACGCCTCGCTGGTACGTAATGTAAAGAATTTTGGTTGAAAGTCGGAAGGTTGAGAAGAAGTAGAAAAATCCAGAAAAAAGCCCCCGGAGTCATGGTCGTGTAATGTGTGTAATCATGTTTGGTCGTTCAAAGTGGTGAAAAGAATCAATCCAGAATCATGACCAGACTTGGTTGGGGGCTCTCTCGCCATTGTCGATCACGTACGAGGGCTTGAAGTGAGGGTCGTGGTGGACAGTGGGTTTCCAGGGGACGTGAGTGGCCTTGGGGCGGTTGATGGTGCCGGAGCCTGACATGTCGGCGCTGCAGAGACCAGCGAGGTTGAAGCAGTCTGCGCCGCAGAAAGCGTCTGTGATGCCGCTGAAATGTTGTCAGTTTGGGGTTCCTGCAGGTGAGAGTAAAGAATGCAAGCTTACCAGTATCCGTATGTGTTGCAGCAGTCGCCGAAACGAGAGCCAATGCAGGTGTATTTGGTGTCACCACCGCAGGTGCCATCGGGCGAGACGAGAGTCCATGGGTTACCCTCGACCTCATCCATGGCAGCAACAACTGCTTGAGGCACAACCTCCTTGGGCAAGGTGATTTCCTTGGGAAGAGCGACGGCCATGGCGGTAGAAGCGGCAACAGCCACAGTGAATAGAACGCGAGAAAGCATCTTCAAGAATATAACCGAGCTAGGGCTGTATGCAGGCGGATAACGGAGGAGCTCGGGGTGGGGAGGAGGAAGATTGGTGTCTTGGAAGAATGCAGGAGAAGGATTCTGGCTGTGACGCGGCTACGGTTGATAGATATGTAAGAAGGCCGAGTAGTTCGCAAAGGGGCGACTTCTTCAAAACGTTTGCTTTGATAAAGGGTGTTTGCTGTTGAGGGAGTTTTGGTTTTCTGACGGCCAGACCAGATCAGTGATGGTAAACAGATTGCCCAGTTGTGACCGAAATTAACGACCGTTAGATAGCAAAAACAATGCCGTTCGCCGAATCCAGTATTCCAGATGTTGATATGTTTCAGCCAAGCAGGCGATTGACGGCAGTGAGAGCAAAGACGTTGTTGTCACGAGGTTCTTATAGGTACAAGAATAGTCCAATTGATCCAGAGGATCACGAGATTTTTCGAATATCGAGGTACCAAGAGTGAGGTTGCGGTATGGATATGCTCTGCGCCTAGTGAAAAAGTCCGGGGAACGCACGTTATATGTTTTTGCGTTTAACGTCGATGCAGGCCGAGATGATGGAATGTAACGAAGGGAGGTCTTCGTGCCAGGCGCGAGAGGCAGAAACCCGCCTTTTAAGTAATGCAGGAGGAAATTACCCCGAGCATGCTATCAAGCTCTCTCTGCCTCTACTTTTCTCACCACTACTTCACTTTCAGCAGGCGCGACGGCCGAGCGGCGGGGATTCGTGAATATGGGCCTAGCCAAGCCGCTTCGGCTGAAGGATGGAAGGTTCGACTCGTACAGATTGGAACGTGGGAATCAAAAATGGGTTGGTGGATACGAATGACACCACACCATTGGCCCTTGAACGAGGCTTAAACAACCATCATTGTAGCCAACCGGAAAAGAAGAATTGCGAGACCGCCGAGCAAAGTGGAAATAAAGATTGGCATCATGCCAATCGGGCCTCTTGCTGACATGCAATATCTGTCAAAGTTTAGAAGCCTTTCCTCCCCAGATCTCTTCGCAGGGGCATGTGGAAATGAGATGAAGCGGCACATCAATTGAAGCTGTACAAATTACGATCAAGCTTTTTGTTGAAGCAAAGACCCGACAACAAACAATCGATACAACTGGTGAACACCTTTCGGTTCTGGTGAAGCCATGAATTTTTTGAGTTTGATTTCAATCTTTTGTTGGCTGCATGCTCTTTTTAGACAGAGGGTTTCGCTGCAGGCAAGAAGATCTTCTGGCGGGCCGAGGCGCATGCCAAAAAAGGGTGCGCTAGGTGTTTGTGCAAGCACGGTCCTCTTGTCACGAGGCTGCGATCCCAAGAATCCCTTTGCGCTACCAGAATCCTTTACCGAGGCCCTTTGCATGTCACAATCGTCCTTCACGTGGCAGCTGAGGGAGAGACAACACTTGCAACAATCACACGAAACGGTCGTTGCTGCATGTTTCGAAAACATCCACTGCATCAGAAAGCAAAGTTCGAGACTCTTTACCAAAAAATCATGAAACAATTGCTAGCCAGTCTACAGAAAATGTGTACAACGGTTAAAAGTGTCAAGGTGGGCTGTTTACCTTATCAATAGTTTAGACCCACCAAAGATTAAGAGCTTCTTTTTTGGCGGGTCTTGGGAGATGATTCTATGTCGGCCAGCTGACTCGTAGGATACGATGGAGGCACTGGTGGGCGAAACCCTTCCACGGAGTGGGTTTTTGGTATGCTCCATAGATAGAATAAACTCCGTGCGGAAGAGGCGGGTTCCAGCAGAATCTTTGATCTCTCTTCTTGAGGAGATGCTTGATCGCTGAAGTTGCAGCTGTGTATCCATGTATAGAAGCCGCCAAGTGCGGAAGTCACGATTTATACGAACACGATGACATGACACGCAGGAAACCGAGATATGATCTGAAGGATGAGAGTTCATGATGACATTTCAGAAATAACAAACGCTAGAATACTACAATACTTTGAAGGATCACGACATTTGGGCCTTCCCCATTTACAATTTGCTCTTTGGCGAGGCATTGCGCAATTCGGCTCCGGCTCCAGAGATGCAAAGCTTGCCGGTTTCCTTGACCTTTGTTTGGAACACGACGACATTGCCCTCCTTCCACATCTCAGTTACCAGGGTCTGTCCTGGTAAAACGACACCAGCGAATCTGACCTTGACGTTCTTGAATTCACCATATGTTTGCAGCACTGCCTTGCCGGCGAAGCCGAAGAAGCAGAGACCGTGGAGGATGGGAGTCTTGAAGCCGCCAACCTTGGAGAACTCGGGGTCAATGTGCAACGGGTTGCGGTCACCGGACAAACGGTAGATGGCGGCTTGGTCTTCACTGGTCTTCTCCTCAACTACTGCATCGGGCTTGCGCTCCGGAGCCTTGTAGATGCGGGTTGCGGCACCTCTGTCGGTGCCTTTCTTAGGACCACCGAAGCCACCTGAACCGCGGATGAAGACAGTGGACTCGTTGTAGAACAGCTCCTTGCCAGTGTTCTTGTCCTTGGTGGTAGAGCCGTATGTTACAACACCAGCGTTTCCCTTGTCCACAACCTCGACAAGTTTGGGGTAGGCCACCAGAGTAGCCTCGGTAGGGATAGGGAAAGTCTTGATTTCAAGGAACTGCTCTCCGTGGAGAAGCATGTTGGGTGAAAAGTTGGGTACAATCTCGTCGAATGAGAAGGGAGATGATGCGTTGAAGGGAGGAATGACACCAAAAGTAGGGATGACCTGGAAGTTGTCGTCGCCCTCGTAGACGAAAGGCAGGTCGGTACGCTTGGCACCGAGACCAAGGTTGTAAAGAATGACATCTCTCTCGTCGTACTTGAATTCAGTACCTTCGGCCTTAGCATTCTTAGCCTTCTCGATGTTGACAAGGACTTCGTCGTTCTTAGCACCCTCCTTCTTAACGGGCTTCGAGCCGGAGCTTCTGTTCTCCATGTTGGCCATGATCGACTTCAAGCCGTCGTTGCCATCTGCGGGGTGGTCAGCACGGCCGTCGCTGAAGTCGGTGATTCTCTTCCACTGTCCAAGGACATGTTCAGGAGTCAGCTTGACATCGACAGGGAAGCCGTGTCCACCGGTACGTTGCCAGCGAGTCTGAGCAGCCCAACCAGATCCAACTTCGTACAGACCACCAGTTCCAGGCTGGGGTACCAAGTCAGAGCTGAGAAGGACGACAAGGGGAGCAACGTAGTCAGGCTTGAAGGCTTGAACCATCTCCTCGGGCATGATAGTACGGGTCATGTTTGTACCAGCATTAGGTGCGATGGTGTTGACCAAGATGTTGTACTTCTGACCCTCTCTGGCAAGAGCTCTAGAGAAACCAAGAATACCGCACTTGGCAGCGGCGTAGTTGGCCTGACCAAAGTTACCGTAGATACCACTGGTGCTAGTGGTGTTGACAACTCTACCATACTTCTGCTTCAAGAAATAGGGCCATGCAGCCTTGGTGACCTTGTAGGTTCCTCTCAGGTGAACGTCCAAGACCTGATCGAACTGCTTGTCGTCCATGTTGGCAAACGCCTTGTCGCGAAGAATGCCTGCATTGTTGACAATGATGTCAATGCGGCCATAAGCGTCAATGGCGGCCTTGACGACCGCATCACCGTCCTCAGCCGATGCCTTGACACCAACGGCCTCACCACCGAGCTTCTGAATCTCTTGCACAACGTCGTCGGGGTTCATCAGATCGTTGACAACAACCTTTGCACCATACTTGGCGAATTGCAAGCAGTAGATGCGGCCGAGACCAGCACCACCTCCAGTGACAAGAGCAACCTTGCCCTTGAAGTCGGGGTTCTTGGATGGGGGGTTGGCAGGCAGCTTCTGAGCCTCCTCGAGCAGCTCCATGAAGTTTGCAACTCCGGTAGGATAGCTAGGCTCGCTGAAGTCGTTGACACCATCCCACTTGGAGAGCAGAGCACCGGGGGTATAACTGTCGTCTGCACGGAGCAGAGCACCCTTGGCTCTCTCCCATCGCAGCTTTGCAATGTGACCACCACCGCATTCGAAAATGCTTCCTGTCTCTTCTGTGTTTGAGGGGTGTACGAGGACTGCGACCAGAGGAACGACCCAGTCGGGCTTGAGGTTCTCGAGAACATCTGGGGGCATGACGGTCTGGGTCATCCTCGAAGCAGCGATGGGAGCGATAACGTTGGCGAGGATGTTGTACTTGAGACCTTCCTTTGCGAGCGTCTCGGTGAAGCCGACTTGAGCGAGTTTGGCAGCTGTAATTTGTTAGTGGCTGAAGTATGGTGCATCTCACATCAAGCCTTACCAGAGTAGTTTGTCTGTCCAAAGCTACCGAACAGACCAGCTGCGGATGCTGTGTTGATGACTCTGCCGTACTTTTGCTTTCTGAAATGCGGCCATGCTGCTCTGGCACACTTGTATGCACCTCTGACGTGGACCTTCATGATCAAGTCCCAGTCGGCGTCCTTCATGTTCTTGAAGCTGATGTCTCTGAGAATTCCGGCATTGTTGATCAGGACGTCGATTCTGCCAAAGGCCTTGATGGCCGTGTCGATGATCTTGTCACCGTCCTCGACCGAGTCGTAGTTGGCGACGGCCTTGCCTCCGGCTGCCTTGATCTCCTCGACTACTACATCCGCGGCCTGTTGTGTTGTCAGAATGCCTGTCTCACCGACGCGTTCTTCAAGCTGCACAAACCTTCGATGATGCTCCCTCGCCTTTGAACGAGCCACCCAGGTCGTTGACGACAACATTTGCACCGCGAGAAGCGAAGAACAAAGCGTATGCCTTGCCGAGACCACCGCCAGCACCTGTGACAACGACTGTTTGGCCGTCGAAGCGGAGGGGCTTTGATGACGCCTCAGTCCCTGCGAGACCGTATGAATTGTGTGCCATGTTTGATGGGATTGTGGTTTGGTTATCCCGGAAGATGTGTAAAGGGAGAAAAAGAAACGAAATGGAGGAAAGGTCGAGTCTACATAAAGGTGTCTAACGATCAAGCACCCATGATCTCCAGCTTTCGGTCGGTCATTGACATGCCTCGGCCCACGGTAGCTTCGCGGTAGCCGGATAGCCACAATAGGGTGGATTTGGCCCTGTGAAGCACGAGCAGCCTTCACCCGAACGAGTAAACTGTACCTCGCCGGCTACCCGTTCCAGCTACGGCGCTCGCCGAGGTCGCGCCCAGTGGCTCGAACCGCTCTAAAATCCTCTCGAGGTCAGTTTGCTTTGTTTCCTCCCTTTCACATGCCAACTGCCGACAAAGTGCGGGGATGATGAAATTGGTCTGGAGAAGTGAAATCAAGGGACTCGAGATCGGCCATGATCATGTGAGAGGACATGCACATGAGTACAAGGCTGCGAGCATGAAATTATCTCACCAGGTCGTGAACGTGAGAAGACATCGAAGTCTGAAGGTTCCAAGAGAAAATGAAGACTCACTCGTCACTGCCAAGACGTCATCGATTCGGTGAAGTGTTTGTCCGCAGTGGAGTTGTTATCTTCCCCTCGAGTTCTCTACAACTATCCCATGAACCCCACCAGACATCAGTCGATAAAGAAGCAACAAGATGGCTTCCGAGATAGTTGATGACAAGTCGGAACACTGTATCCCGTTCATCCTCGAAAAGATAAAGGCCCATTGTGACTACCACAAGAAAGAAGGCACAGATGCCCCGCCATTCTTCCTTGGACTGAATGGTATTCAAGGTGCTGGAAAGACTACCTTGGTGAGTAACGTGCTTATACCTCATATCAAACCCATGAGAAAATCGAAGTGTACCCGCTCCTCTCTTGTAACCCAAACAATACTACTACCACCTCTATGCCATCTTCTCTCTGCCGATATCCCATTCCTACACCATCAAGAACACCATCTAACCAACCCACCATCAGGTCTCGGCCCTTTACAAAACCCTAACCTCACCACCTCACAACCTACCCACAGTAGTCCTCTCAATCGACGACCTCTACCTCCCCCACTCCGCTCAAAAGTCTCTCGCACAATCCCAACCCACCAACCCACTAATCCAACACCGCGGTCAACCCTCCACCCACGACATTCCCCTCGGCAAAGATATCTTCTCCCAACTCTTCTCCCGCCAAAAAAATATCCGCATCCCCTTCTACGATAAATCCGCCCATTCTGGTCAAGGCGATCGTACTGACCCTGAGGCCTGGGAAGTTGTCAACAAGGAGGGTGAGCCACCGGTAGAGGTTGTCATTTTCGAGGGCTGGTGTGTGGGCTTCAGAAGCCTAAGTGATGAGGAATTAGTCCAGAAATGGGAAGCTGCTAAAGCGGCGAGGATTTTTGACGGAGAGGCTTATCATGGGAGGTTGGCTGCGTTGGAATTGGAGCATGTGAGCTTTGTCAATGAGGCGTTGAGGCAGTATGATGCTTTGACCGAGTAAGTCCGACATTAGTATTTCGAGCATGGTGCTTTGACTGACACCAAGACAGTTACTTCGGCGCCTTGGTTCATATTGATGCCGTGGACACGCTTTTCGTTTATGATTGGCGATTGGAGCAGGAGAGAAAATTGAGAAAGGAGAAGGGTACTGGTATGAAGGACAAGCAAGTCATCGAGTTTGTCAATGGCTGTGAGTATTCGCGACTTAACCAAACTTGGAAGTATCTTGCTGACTTCTTATACAGATTACCCGGCCTATGAGCTCTACACAGATGTGCTTCGCAAAGGCATTTTCCACCAAACAGGCAAACAGTTACGTTTGGTGGTCAACAAGCAACGCCGAGTTGAGGAGGTCGAGATCCAGTAGATACTGGAGAGCCTATGATCAATCGCGACTATGCCTCTGCCATCGGTAGCAGCTGGAAACGTGGGAGAATTGTCTCCACGCCAGAGGCCCTCTTGATACTTCTGGAACATTTCTGGCCACCTTGACTTGCACCTTATTGAGTGACAGGATCAATACGATCAGTCCATGAGAAAAGGACAAGGGGACAGTGCACGTAGCATCTTACAGTGCATGCTTTGTATATAAATCTCTACATGTTTTCAACCATTGCCAAATGCCTCGCGGCCCATTTCTTCATATCTCGTTCTTTTCCTTAATACAAGTAAGTAATTTCATTATGCTAGAACAGCATCTTCCAAAGTCTTCTGCAGAGCGGCAGGAACCAGATTACGTCCGATGAAGACAATCTTGCCATTTCCCCTGTCGGCAGACGCGCCGTCGTTCGAAGCACCGACGTCTGCAGCATCGATGAATTCAAAGACTTCGCGTACACCCTGCAGAAGCTTGACTCCACCTTCTTGCATTACCAGACGTCCTTTGGTACGGTGGATCTCTGGTCTTGAGCCCGCAGACTCGACAGATACGCCTTCGGCTTCTGGATGTGAGATGAAAAACCGCGTCCATAGGATGTTTCGCAGGAATGTGTCCAGTTTGTCCAGTTGTGCTGATGACAAAGGTGGTAGCGTCAATGTGGTCGTTGAGATAGCAGGATCCAGATGACTGTGGCCCTTGCTGGCGAAATCGATGCTATCGGCATCAACCTGATCGTAGGCATGGAGGTCGAGCAGTACACCTTCCAGTGCTGGAACTTTGCTGTGTTCTGTGACGTGAATCTTTGCAAGTGCATTGATAGATGAGATTCTGGCCTTGACTTGCTCGAGCTCTGCTTCTGAGACCAAATCTGCTTTGTTGATGACTATTACATCTGCGTGGGAGATTTGCAGATGTGCGGTGCTGAGGTGAGGGCCATGGGCGTGTTCAGTAGTCGAGTTCTCATCTGCTTGAGTTTCGTCCGGAGTAGGTTCGGACAAGCAACGGATGATGTTCTTTGCATCCACCAGAGTCACGATGCCGTCGAGGTAGATGGTGCTGCCTAGACCATCGTCGACCCAAAACAGCGGAGCAAGGTTTCCGGGATCTGCTAGGCCTGTTGTCTCCAGTAGGATGTAGTCAAAGGCTCCTCTCTTCTCCATCAGTGATTCAATGGCACTGACACCAGTGTCTTTGACTGAACAACATAGACAGCCGTTGGCTAATTCGAGCCATTCCTCGACCTGTTGACCTTCTTGGCTGACGGTCAGACTCTTCTCAATGTCTGCAGAGTCGCCAAATTCTGTGGGACGTTCACGCTGTCAGAGCCTTGAATCCGATTTAGAGAGTAGTTCTTAGGTACTGACCGTTCAAGATGACTGCAATCTTCTTTCCGTGGCGTTCGTTGAGAATGTAGTTCATCAGTGTTGTCTTTCCAGCGCCCAAGTATCCTACAATTGGTTAGTACAGATCAACACACACGCTTCGGAGATCCATGCCTGTAATAATAGTAATGGGAACTCTAGTCAAGTTCAGGTCATCGACATGGTTGGAGAGATTCTCAGCATCATCAGGCTGGTCGGCAGAAACCAGCATAGGCGGTGCATCATCGTCAAAGTCCATATCTGAATTCATAATTGCTATATGCGGTAATGTCAAGAAAGCAGTTGGTGAAATAAATGTATAGAGATGACGTGGGGGCTCGGAGCGGATCCTGCCGAATTGATGGTCGAGCGTGGAGAAGTCGCGATGGACATGTGTCTGATCTATCACAATCACACCCGATCGCATGTTGACCTTTCCGAGAGCGGGAAGACGGCCTTTCTTTTTCTTCTGAGCATCTTCTCTTGTACAGATCATCACACATCATGGCATCTCCATCAAGTTCGCCGCGACTGCCCAGTCCGCCGCCAATCGCCGAAGACCAAATCTCACCCAGCGCAGGTCTCGACAGCGAAGAGAGGATGCTAGGAGCTTCTCAGAAGGCAGATGTCGACGCTTCGAGGAGAATCAGACCTGGAACAAAGGCCGAAGATATGCAAGAAGGACCGCCGCTGGTTGAGCTACAACAGGTGTGTTTGCGAAGCTCTCCCTGAGTAAACAAAAGCTGACCAGACCTTGTCCAGATCGATTCAGCCTTCCAATTGACCGAACACCTGAAAGCGCTACACAACGAGTTCACCCAATCATGCCGTGTCGCCATGGACAAAGCTACTGCACAATCGCTGGCCCAGCCACCGCCAGGAGTCGATCGTGGAATCTGGCTGTACGAGCTGTGTCGATTCCTCACACAAAAGGCAAACGTTATGGCTATTGGCCTCTTTGCCGACGACCCTCCTTGCTCAGCCGCCACATGCCCCGAGATGCGCGCCAGTGAATGGCAATATCTCTGCGCCGCCCACGAACCCCCAAAGTCTTGTTGCGCCATCGACTACTGCTGCCACACTCTCGACTGGTGTGCTACTGCCCTTACTTCGACCAAACTGTTTCCCAGCAGACTTGGCCTGGGCACCGAGTCGCTCTCGGCCCAAGCACAGATCCGTAAAATGACCGAAGTCTTTCGCCGAGTCTATCGCATCTTCGCTCACGCCTGGTTTTCACACAGAGACGTCTTCTGGAGAGTAGAGTCCAAGACAGGCTTATACCTCCTTTTCAAGACCGTCTGCGACGAGTATAGATTGATCCCCGAAGACAACTACACCATTCCTCCCGAGGCCGAAGGCATCGAGACGACCCCGATTGCCACTCGTGCTGCTCCTACAATCCTGCAGAGAGACAGTGCTGATTCAGAGCCCGTCGGAAATGTTAACCTCGTAAACGGTAACACCACAAAGAGACACAGACACACCATGAGCCACGATCGTTCCGTATCTGTTTCGACTGTCATCCACGAGGAGGTCGAGGAAGATGAAGATGCTGATCAGCCTAACGGGCATGGGCCTGCTCTGCTCAGAAGAGTTGAGACAGTCCGACATAATGAAGAAACTCCTGCTCGACAACATGAAGAGCAGGAGCAACATCAAGAACAGGAGCAAGACATTCCTGCCGAGGACCCTCCACCATATCCAGAAGATACGGCTGAACCCCAACCCGAGAAATCGCAATCTACAGAAAACGAACCCACTACGAACACCGATGTTGAAGTTGGAGAAGCGTCATCCTCACAACCCACGAAAGAGAACGAGGAAGAGGCCGGAGAGACAAGCAATTACCCAACGACCGATCCTCCATCGTATGCTGAGATAGCTTCGGCTGCCGAGTCAACGGATGAGTCATTAGCTGAAACTGCGTCTGCGTCTGACACGGTTGAGGATTCCACAACAGAAGGTTCCTCTATAGCAGAGGAGTCAAAGGAATCAACAGAGCCTATTTTAGCAGAAGAGGCAAAGCCAGAAGAGTCCGAGATCGAAGTCGAATCAGAGAAGACCGAGGCTATGACCAAGGAGCCTGCTGTTGAAGCTGAAGATGATGGTGCACCAAAGCCGAAGGATGTTGCTGAATCAGAAGCAGCAGATGAGACAGAGGCAACCAAGACTGTCGCCGACTGATGATAAAAGTCCCTCATGATGATGCATATCACCCTTTTAACTACATTCAATTCAAATAGATACCCTTTGTAGCCAAGCCTTTGTCGCGTGCTACTTTTGTCGATAGCACCTCCACTTCTCTTCAACTCTTGATCCATGTATAAGATCGGATATGCATTCTGATCAAAGACAGCTAGTAGACCTATCGTGTCAAATCTGCATCCAATCTATAAGAGCACAGTACCATAAGCAATTGAGGTGGTCAGCAAATGTCAAGGGTCCTCTGAAGATCCGCAATCGCACAGACCAATCGCCGTCCTTCCACCTCTCAATCCTTCGATACCACCTTCCTATCGTGGTCCACAGGTGTACGGCCCGCCGAAGATAGAGAGGGGAGTCGGTAACTCGGGAACAATAATTCAATTTGATTGACCCGAGTGGTTTTAGTGCATCTTGTGCAATTCTTCTTTGCGACAACTTTCTTCCGTCCCAACGGCGGATTCGTATGCTTACTGGTGCCTTGACTGCTTTGTCTGATTGTAGATCTGGACGGCATATAAATACCACTCTCGAAGACCAAAATTTCCTATTGCAACCGATCAATATCCGGACAACAATTGGCTGGACTTAGGGAATACCTCGAGAGCATAAAGCACGCTCGATCGCTCTCCTAGGAGTAACCCAGGCATCGTCGATTGACCCACCTGATTCTATCAGAACAGCAGCAATCATGTCTAACAAGGTCACAAATCTTCTCGCGACGGCTTTCCGCCTCGAACACCCACCCACTCACCACAATCCAAACGCTGCCCAAACCACAGAACAGACCCCTCTCCTCGCTGCCTCGTCCGAAAACCCACTCACCCAAGCCGATTCCGAGACTTTGGATATCAATAAAATCGGAAGCACTGCTGCGACAGAGGAAGAACAGCAAGCAGATGTAGAAGACGAAGATGAAGATAAACCTTTACCCATTGGGCAGATCATACTGCTTTGCTATGCGAGATTGGTGGAGCCTATTGCTTTCTTCTCCATCTTTCCATTCATCAATCAGATGATTTTGGAAGTTGGAGGGGTCAAGGAGGAGGATGTTGGGTTTTATAGTGGGTTGATTGTGAGTGTTTGATTTCCCCCAACTGTCGCTGGATGATGGAGCTGGCATATGGAGAGTTGAAGGGGAGACGACCCAAGGTAGAGGTTTAACGATGCTGACATGGATTTTCTCAGGAATCTCTCTTTTCCCTCACGCAGATGATTTTCATGATCTCCTGGGGTCGTGCTTCGGATCGATATGGTCGCAAGCCTGTTCTTGTGTATTCTGTCATTGGTGTGTCTATCATGACTTGCTTGTTCGGTTTCAGCAAGAGTGTATGGCAGATGATCCTTTTCCGCTGTATGGCTGGAGTCTTCTCCGGCACCATTGTGTAAGTTTGCAAAGCTCTTAGTCATCGGATCGGGGTTACTGATGGCTGTATGTTTAGCACCGTCAGAACTATGCTCTCTGAGAACTCGACGCTCAAAACACAAGCTAGAGCATTCAGCTTGTTCGCGTTTGCCGGCAATGTGGGAATCTTCTTGGGCCCTGTCATTGGTACGTATCACTCCTTAGTAATTGCTCAACAATAATCTGATCGTTCGATTTAGGTGGTGCTCTATCCACTCCTGCAAGGCAATATCCTAGAGTGTTCGGAGGCATCTGGTTCTTCGAGAAATACCCTTACGCCCTTCCGAACATTGTAGCCAGTCTCTTCGGCTTCAGCGCCGCCGTAATTTCGTCCATTTACCTGAAAGAGGTAAGCTCTCTGACACCCTCTGCCACATCCCCACCGTATTTCTTTACTGACATATCTTTTCCCCAAAATAGACGCTCGCATCTCAGAAAGACAATGGCAACAAACCCACCGAACCTCCCATGTCAACATGGAAACTCCTCCACCAACCCGGTGTGGCATTTACTCTTTTCCTCTGGTGTTTCGTCTCCCTCCAAGGCCTCGCCAACACCGCCGTCGTCCCCGTTTTCTGGTTCACTTCCATCCCCCTCGGCGGCTACGGCTTCTCCCCCATCCAAATCTCTCTCTTCCTCGGCCTCGGAGGAATCTCCCAAGCCCTCTGGTTACTATTCGTCTTTCCCCCATCTCAACGCCGTTGGGGCACCGGAGGCGTCCTCAGATATTGCAGCTACATTTTCCCCGTCGGCTGTATCGCGAATCCCATATTGCAGTATCTGGTGCGCAAACACATCATCACGCATTCTTGGATTTTGGGTGTGCTGCCTTGTGTCATGGTGCTTGGATCCTCGGGTTCTATGGCGTTCACTTGTATTCAGTTGGCTATCAACAATATCTCGCCTTCCCCTGCTGTGTTGGGGACGATGAATGCGTTGGCTTTGGCTATGGTTGCTGGTATCCGCGCGGTAGCCCCGGGGTTGTTTGCCAGTCTTTTCGCTACGGGAGTCAAAGGGCAGATTTTGGGGGGATATCTGGTCTGGGTTGTCATGGTGGGGATGACGGGGATTTTGTTTGTGGCGGTGAGGTTTTTGCCTGAGAAGGCTGAGGGAAGAATTAAGAGGGTTGATGGGGAGGGAGAGGCTTGAGAGGAGGCAGGGAAAGTTCTGCTGTAGATGGTTGGGTTGGTAAAAAATTCGCATTGAGATGAAGTTTAGACAAAGATGTATTATTATAGAAGAATTGCATCGGAACCTGATCTCTCCCAATCTTCGCTCGCCAGTGCAGATCAGCACGAAGATGCAAGGCTCCATGGCACAAGACCATGCCCTTATACTTCCTCAAGTGTCCCAAATGTGTTGGCCATATCGCTCGAGCGAACACGATATCTAGTTTCCCAATACTCATTTCCTCCTCGTTTAGGTGGTAAGAGAAGTTTGAACAAGTCCAAGCCTTTGAGATTGAGTAGTTCTGTGTCGTTTTTGAAGGTTGCGTTGATGGCATATTCGTACCACTTTGACATTGAATCTTTATCCTGTTCCCTGTCAAATGTGCAGGAGGGTTGTCTTGGGGATATAATCTCGTTGTTGAGGAACACCGAGTTATTTCGTAGCATCAGTGAGAAGCCCATGATGTTGACCTCGATGGACTGGAGTCTAAGTATGCGCTGTTCGTCGCTTGTGACTTTACTCTCGTCCCCATCCTCGTCTGCGGGGTTTGGACACCTTTTTTGATCGATCCAGCTCGAGGAAATCATCACCGGATGCTATACAGAGCACCATGACGGCATTGCCAATTTGCAAGCAAGTCTGCCAGCTCAACCAGTGATATACCCTGCCAGTCACTGTGGCAGCCCAGAGCTCGAGAAGAGACGCATTGTCGGCCATGATGTCGACATGTGGCGGAGGCTCAGGATCCCCTACCACACCGCAGATGTTTGGTGAATCTTCTTCTTCATCATCTTCAAATCCGATTCTAGCTTTCGGGTCGACTTGTTGTTCGACTTTTTGGTGAAGTGACTCATACGACATCATAACCTCCCCCATCCTTTTCCAGCTGACCTGTAATCTGGTATTCCAGTGGTTGTCTGTTTGCGACGAGAAGATTTTGTAGAGTTCCAGGGCTTTGGCGTCGAGCAGATTTGGGTTGCTTTCGAACATAGGTGTTGATGCGATTGCCAATTTATACCAAGCTGACATGCTCTTTAGATCGTTTTGAGAATCAAATCTGGTGTCAACGGTGGTTTGCTTATTGATGGGTGTCATGGTGTCGCTGAGGAAGACAAGATTGTCTAGCAGAGTCAGTTTGAAGTCCATGAAGTTGATATCCTTGCGTTCGGCGGCCTCCTTCCATTCTTTCATGTCATTCTGCACTTCTTTCACGAGCTCGTTCTCATCCCGGTCATTGGATTTGCTTTTGATTTGGCCTCCAAAATTACATTTCGGCTGATGTAATGGCTCGCATACGACATCTCGCTTGACAGCATCTTCGAAAAATCCATCCCCGAGAGCCATACAGAGTACCAGCACGGCGTTTCTAATATTCGAGCAGGCTTCCCAAGGTAATTCGGGATACACATGCTCCGCTACCACGGCAGACCAAAGCTCCAAGAAAGCTGCGTTGGTGGCCTCATAGTCGATTTTGAATTCGTCTTCGGCCGCTTCTGGGGCGATGGCGTACTGTTTGTGGGTCTGAGATGAGGTTCTCAAAGGTTCGACGGGAACAGGCCTTTTTGCAGGCGGTTGCGGAATAGGGGATTCGGCGCGTCGTTTGCCGAGGATAGTCTGGCTTGTCGTAGGCATACTTGCGATACACACGTGTTGAGGTATTTGTGGTAATGAGACATGATGATGATCTTACCAAGGGGACGCGAAGGAGGACCTTGGCGTGTCATTAGTCGCTTAGTCATGGATAAATCAATAAAAGAATCACATTAGGCGTCCAAACCAGGGTTTCCTTCCAATTCTGGAACTAGCTTGGTTCGCTCTGCCGTTCACGATGCTGCTGGTGGAACTGGCTGTCAAAACGTAAGGGCGTTTTGACCATTCAATCCATGTTCACAGAAAGTCAGAATCATGCATGCCTCCTTTGGAGCATCCCATCAACGTCAGTCATCGTGCCTTTTGATGACTGTTGAACGAGACGCATTGATGGGGTGAAAGCTCAATTCAGATGCAGTTCTGATGTCTTCGCATTCGTTCGGAGACGACATATTCGTGTGACTTGGAAACAAGACTTCAAAGGGCGTCATCTGCGTCGACGTTTGGCAGGCATATCAGGGAGTGAAGCAAAAGCTCTCGCAGCATCTTCTCTCTCTTCCATCATCTGTTCCAACCTAGATTGGGAACACCGCTTTCCCGAACTCTCTACGAGGTTTATATGCATCGTCCAGCAATTGAAGACTGACTTTTTATACCAAGACTCAGGCCCTTGATTGACAGTAGGCCTGAGTTCGTTGTAGAACAACCATGCATCTTCGGCTAGGTTGTCCTTGCAGCCGCCATGACTGGTCTGTAATGAAGACTCGAGGCTTTCCTTGAGGGTTTTGTAGTCGTCTTTGCTGTCAAATTTGCTCTTCAGGGCGGCTTCGTCGGCCGGTCTTTTCTGATTGTCGACAACAGCTAGATGGTGTTTGAGTCTAAGTCTGAAGCCCATGACTTCGAGTTCGTTTTTGGCAGCGCTCTTGGACAGACGGTCGTTGTCTTGGGCAGGGTCATGGTGATATGCGTCGGATGCTGTGCAGATAGTCACAATCGCGTTGCCGACACTTAAACATGTTGTCCAAGACAGGTCGGGATGCAGGAACTGAGTGACTACTGAGGTCCAGACTCCAAGAAATGAGGCATTGTCGATATTGAGCATACAGTTCGGCATCGGTTGAGCTGTCTCATGGATGGTTTTGATAACCTTCGGAGCGGTCTGTTGTTGTGGTCGTGAGTCTTGGGCAGGACTCGGTGCCTTGTCTGTTATTTGTCTCTCAGAAGAAGGCTCTTCCGCTGGTGAATCCACTTGCTTAGACCATAAAGCCTTGAGAAACTCGACTTCAGATTCAGGCGAAACAGATTGTGACTCTGCTTCCAGTCGAAGTGAATGCCGCTTGTCCCATTCTTGAAGGTTGCTTTCAAGGAGGTTTCTGCCTATAGTGAGTAGCTCGGTCCGGTCTCTTTGTTCTTGCAAGATGTCGGCAGGGACATGCTCTGCTTCCACTCGCTCAAGAGCTTCTTCAGCTTTGGCTGCCTGCTCTGTTGCTCTTGCCAGTCTCTTATTGTCCTTGATCGGATCGAGGACTGTAGTTTTCCGACGGTTGGGTTTGTGATAGTCCTGCTGGTAACTGACATAGCCGCTGTTTGACGACTGTTCTGAGCCTAAAACCCGACCACTTCTTGTTGTTGGCATGGTTGTTGACAAGGACTGGAGCGCAGTTGATGATGTTGAATTAGAGGAGCGCGGGGCGCGATGAGACGAAATAGGTGGCGCGGCTTGGCGCGAGCCAAGGCCCACGGTTCGAATCGGAGCTGAACCGTGTCAGTTGTGATGTCTAAGAAGTCGAGTCGCTGACTTGAGCTCAACTACTCGCGCCAACACTACCAGCTCGAATTGATGTTCCAAACTCTGGGATTAGCGGTGCTATGTAGGATGGTTAGTGGTAGAAATGTTGCCGTAGAGCTGGCGTATAGCTGGCGGCATATCGTTTACACGACCACGAAACATGCTCCAATAGCGAGGCAACTCTGGGATTAGCGTTGCAAGATGTATGCGCCGCTATTTTGAGCATCTGCATGCTGTTAGAGCAGTGTCACTGATTGCAGGGCTGTTGCTGTAGAGCTGGCGGCATATCGTTGACCACAACATCAACAACTTGAATTAACACCCCAAAGCTTGGAAATAGCGTGGCAAGGGGTACGCGCCGCTATTGTGAGCATCTGCACGCTATTAAAACAGTATTGCTGGTTGTAGAGTTGTTGCAGTGGAGCTGGCGGCATACGTTGACCACAACGTCAACAACTCGAATCAGCACCCCAAAGCTTGGAAATAGCGTGGCGAGGGGTACGCACCGCTATTCTCAGAGTCTGCACGCTATTGGAGCAGGTTTCGTCGTGGCATGGCTGAATCTATGCAGCCGACTCGAGGACATTTTGTTCGGGGAGAATTGGACGTCCAGGGTGACTGAGGAATTGTCTTGGCGTGATATCCAGAGTTTCCCAATGATTGAACTTGGTGCTGCAACATTCCATCAGCAACTAAAACCAACATGTCTTCGACAGAGCAGACAATACACACGTACCACTGCATATGCACGCAGCTTGTAATTGCCAGCACATCGACTCTCGACAGCCTCAAGACACGAACTGCCGACTCGTCACTGATCCTCCCTCTACCCGATCTCTCAACAACCTCTACAACCACCCACTATGCCTCGCTAGCCAATACCGTCGCCGATACCAAGCCCGTCATTATTCGTCTTGAGGATGGATTCGAGAAGCGCTACGCCCACAAGTGCAGTCGCTGCGAAGTGACGGTTGCCTACTCGCTTGACAGGAGCCAATTCGAGGACACGAAGACTTCTTCTGGAGTCAAACAGGATGTCGTATACTTGATCCCCGGAGGACTGCTTTCAACTGAAGACATGAAGGCTGGCAAGGATATGGATGCTGAAATCACAAAGGTTGGCGTCAAGGCTGCTTGAAGAGCTCGCACGAGAGGTGCTTCTCGAAAAAGAGTCCAACATACTCTCTGACTGCTGCTTTGGAAGATCGCAATAGTACGGCGATAGAAAGAGGCGCAAGAGCTACGGAATACAATCAACACACGCCTGCCGTGAGGGAATGCTGGTCCAAGACAGTCTGGCCTAGCTACGATCAAGGACGATTGGGATGCGCAAAGGCAGTCATGTATTGAGAGATAGAGAGAGAGCCAAGGCGATGGCGAGTACTCAGCCAACGGAGTTTCCACAGACGGACGAGACCTTTACACCCGGTCTTCTTACATCGACAAGCTGGCAAGAGTCAGGATCGTCAGGAGCCTATCACCACAACGAATCACGCAACATACCAGCCCCTGTGTTATGAGAGGTTGTTACTGAGTCATGTCCATCGCGTTGTCGAGGGCCGTCACAGCCAAAAAACCAAGCGTCACATCAAAACTCGATGGGCGTTGGTAGAATATTGAGTTCCCTCAGTTCTCGGTGGGCCACTGAATCCACTGAGAGAGCTCTGCATCCCATGGTTGCTTCTTACGCGGCATTTCAGAAGCACGGAGATCTTCATGGCTGAAAGCATGCTCATAGAGAATAGTCTTTCAGTAATGCTTTCCGTGTGCAATCACACTAGCACCAAAATCATTTTGCCTTTTAATGAATCAGGACCAGTCCTTGCAGGGAGAGGGAGCCAGCAGTTGGTGCGAAATGGTTTGCGGCCTCACACGTCTCTGCCTCTGCCTCTGCCATGATGTAACATTTGACATGCAGCTTTGTGTGAGTTGTCGATCGAAAAGGTGATTTGAGCACATTCAGCTCTCCTGCTTTCCTTGATCACTTTGCAAACTTCACCCGCACTAGGCCGAAATACAACTCAAATTCACATCCGAAGTATGATGAACCAACTGCCATGCTCGGTCTTCTTCCCCATTGAGTATTTCTTTAATGGTCGGCACGGTTAAATAAGAGTCGGACAAACAGCCGCCGAGGGAGCGGCAATGGAAGACGGGGCCGCACTTCTCGCCGTGTGGGGGGTACCCCGCGACCACTTTCCCGGCCGGCGACACATGTTTATTGCCGTCATCTGCTCTTTATATTCTTCTTGCACTACTTTCCTGTTGTTTCAATCTGGGATAGACATTTCATATTCAAACCACTCTGTCTCTTCTTCTCGAACCATTGCGACAATCTGCTCGTATCAGAACGACACGTAAAAGAGCTAGGAACACACAACCGACGTCATGGGTTTGAGAGATGTTGGATTTATTGGCCTCGGTGCCATGGGAGGTGGTGTAGCCATCAACCTTGCAAGAGAGGGTTACAATGTCAAGGGCTTTGATCTGGCACAACCGCTGGTCGATGCTCTGGTCAAGGAAGGCGGCAAGGCAGCAAAGACACAACAGGAGACGGCAACAGATGTCGACTACCTGTGCATCATGGTCGCCAACCACTTCCAGACCAGCTCAGCCCTCTTCGATGGCGACAACCCGGCGATCAAGGGACTCGGCAAGAACAGGACTGTCATTTTGCTCTCAACAACTCCTCCTTCGTACCTGCACGAGCTGAGGCAAAAGCTGGACGACGCTGGAAGATCAGATGTCAAGCTTCTTGATTGTCCTGTCTCAGGAGGTACGATCCGTGCCGCCAACGGTACTCTGTCCATCTTCGCTGCTGGCAACGAGGAGGATGTCGAGGCATCCAAGGAAATCCTCGACACCATGTCTGGCAACCTCTACCGCATCCAAGGCGGCATCAGCAGCGGCACAAAAGTCAAGACCATCCACCAACTTCTCGCTGCAACAAACATCATCCTCGCCTCGGAAGCCATGGGTCTTGCCGCAACTGTCGGTCTCAACACTGAGAAAGTCTACGAGCACGTCAAGGCCAACGACGGCACCTCCTTCATGTTCGAGAATCGCGCGCCACACATGCTTCAAGATGACTGGTCGCCTCTATCAGCACTAGGCATCATTCTCAAGGATGCCGGAATTGTTACCGCAACTGCTCGCTCAGGCTACTTCCCTACCCCCCTCGCAGACTGCGCCGAGCAATGCTACCTCCAAGGTCTTCAGGCAGGTCTGCTCAAGGACGACGATGCAAAGTTGGTCACCATGTACATCCAATCATCATCACCTTCGCTCGTCAAGGAAAAGGCTACCGCAGACGTCAAGATGCATTCGAACCACCAAGTCTCCGCCGACACCGTCAACGACCTTCTCGCAGGTGTTCACCTCGCTGCCAGTGTAGAGGCAATGGCCTTCTGCAAGCACCTTGGCATGGACCGCAAGCTCATGTGCGAGATCATCTCAAAGGCTGCCGGCTGGTGTGATATGTACACCAAGCACATTCCCGCCATGTTGGAGAAGGACGACTGGAGTCTGGCATCTTGCGCTGCCGCCGAGGATGTAAGAAAGAGACTGGAGACTGCTGTTGAAAAGGCCAGACTGCTGAGATACCCCGTCCCCATGGCTTCGGCCGCTCTGAACCTGTTCTACTTTGCCGGTCTCAGAGGTTAGACGATTGGCTTTCAAAGGACGAACAAATAATTACGCAACTCAAAATGAACATTTCTCCCCTCTTGACTGATCCTTCAGGCAGACTCGCGTGGGCAGTGACCATATTGACTCTATCAAAACCTGGTAGGCCATGTGGGTTATTACTCAGTCTTGCTCCTTCCGACACTACGTTCCCAACGATAAGCTCAAGACGAGAAAGCAACAGTCTTTGTATTGCTTGTGCGTGGCAGGATCAAAAGAGTGGCTAGCCCAAATCTCAGAGAATGCTGAGGGAAGAAATTGATAACCATGTTGATCATAGTACTTGCCCTGGTCTTTAGACCGACCTCTAAGCCTCCGATAACTTCAATCTGCTTGGTAAAGCGTCTCTTCTTCGGACTCGACGATCTGACTATTGACGCATTCGCTTTTGATCATTGCGGATAGGGAGCATAGTCTCTTGCCCCAGCGACCTTCGTTGGCTCATGTTCGTAGGTCTGGAATCGGTTTTTAATATCTTCGCAGGCAGTCAAGACGGAGAAAAGAACAGAAAGAAGAAAGCGAGCATGAAATGAATTGCTTTGCCTCCGGCCCTCCGCTGCTTTTGCATTGTTTTCAGCTGCTCCGACTGCTCTTCTTCTGTTTTTCTTAGCTCTGTCGGCGAGCCTCGTGGAGTAGGTCGTGCTCATTCCTGGTGACTCCTGATACCATGTTGTGGCGATAGGTGTGTGCTGTAATTCACGCGTCGCGGCGGCTTTCTCGCTTGCCATTTTTGAGGTCATACATCGATTTGGACTTTTGGGGCGTTAGGGTTCTTGCTCGGTGTCTGCTAGGGCTTGTTCCAAACAACAGAGGCAAAGGCTTTGGTAGTGGTGTAGGTCCAGGATGGTTTGACTGAATGCCCAGTGGCCTTTTGGGAGCTGGTGTACTGGACGACGATGGGGCCGTTTCTGGTGTCATAGCCACACTTGGACGAGCGGGACTGCTTTGAAAGGGGGTCCCGCGCAGGTTCTGAGTAGAGCCTGGAATTCCGTCCGTACTCTGGTGGCTTGTCATGACCGATTTCCCTTTTTCTCTCCCTTCTTTCTCGCGACTAGCTTTGACCAGTTGCTCGAACAGTGTCGATTTAGGGTTCTGGTTGATGCCGAAATCTTCAGCAAGCGATGGCAACTGGAGAGATTGATTCGACTGTTCAAAACTTGTGAGCAGCGCTTGATGGCGCATACGCCTGCCGCGAACCAAGTCGGCGTGCACTTTCAAGAAGGGCTTCATGCCTGGCAATGATGCATACCTACGCTGCGAGTGACGAGGACGTGGTATGTTGGAGCGCTCGAGATAAGGGTATGACCAGTGGGCACGGATATCTCCTTGCAAAAGAGGATATCTCTCGGGTCCAATCCTCTTCCAAGGCCCTGTCTCGGCTGGCCACTCGGTCGGTCCAAGGAGTCGGTAGGAACCCTGGTTCCTGTCCGGATCAAGGCTTTGGAGTACCGGCTTTCGACGAAAGTGGAGGTCGAGTCCCTTTTCGTATGCTTTGCGAGTCGTTACCTTGTATATCTTGTCCTGGGCCATCCAGGCAACATAGTCAGGATAGCCGGCGACTTCTCGGAACCAGTGCTTAGGGAACCCTTGTATCACGGTTCTATCGTATTCCTTACCGCACCGCTCCCAATAGTCAGAACCACCACGCGGATTCTGTACCCAGTGGCCTGTCTCATAGAAATGATCACCCAGAATTTTTCTGCTCTTGAAGACCGGTGTTCCGTCCGGTGATGTTACTATCCAGTCGTAACCCATGTCAGCTGTGGCTGGCTGAAGTTGGCCTCGTAGATCACCTCAGTATGTTGTCGGGCGAATGAATGGCTCAATGAAAAAGAGCGCGGGTCCTTTGAGTTACTTATGAATTTACAGAACGTTGGAAGCTGCTTCCCCCTCGTCTCCCACGTGTTTTCTCGCTTCCAAAAAGTTTGCCTTGACTCACACCAAAGACGACTCTTAACAGTAGCAAAAACACCTTCGAGTCGCATCAGATTCCTACCGTACGGACTATCAAACGTGACTAAAAGCCATAAATCATACCACAAGCTCAAGTTCCCGCCAAACACGTATTCAACCATGTTCACCAAAGGTCCGCACTATGAAGAACTCGATATGCGTTCTGAATTAGAGCTTCGCCACATAGCTCCCGAAGGCGATTGGCAACCAAACGCAAACGGTCTGGGATCGGATTTCTGCATATCCCGAGGCTTCCATGATCACTATGCAGTCTATCAAGGGCTTCCACTATATTGGTCTCGGGAGGCCTCTGTCGATTCGGACAAGGTAGTGTGGATGAAGCAAGGTGAGACAATCGGAGTAACCTCTCGCCAGGCCTGGGACCGAGTTATGGATCTCCGTTGCGAGATCCTCGCCCAGGCAGGCCACCATGATTATCACAAAGACCTTGGACTCGACGTAGTCCTTGGACCTTACGACAAACCCCAATCGAGGGGGCCTTGGAAGCGACAGACGAGGGAGATGATGAGCAGCCCGAAGAAACAAGTACCTTCACGGATACCAAGGCCGCTACTCAAGACAACACGCAAATACCAGCACTTCCTGGTCAATAGTAACCGTATGTTGTTAAGCAAACCTCGAAGGCGTGGATTAGGAGGTTTTGTACTTAAGGTTCATGGTCTTGCCTCCATGGGGTGGAAAATATCTGGTGCGCATCCGGCCTTTGCGCAAATCTATAAGGAAGAAAGATCTACATATGGTAGCAATCAAGGTGGAACGAGGGTATCGTCTCAGACATCCAACATCCCTTGATTGAGAACACAAGACTGCTGAAAATCGTATCCCGTGCTCTCCCTAGACGGACCCATCAACTTTCACGCCCAGTTCCCCGATTCGCGGCCATCCTGCAGCAGGACGTCCATACCCTGAAAAAGCTCAAGAGGACAAAATATATCGGCGATCAACGAAAAACGAGTGGTGATGGTCATGTGAGTGGACGACACTCTATTAAATCTCACCAAGAATGCCTTGCCTATCTAAAACACTATGAATTGAACACTTTACGCGCCATGTCAGTCGCAAGAAATTCCAAGCTTATCTATCTCCCAAGGAAACCTGTCTTGCTATTCATTGAAATCTCAAAGTTCTTCAGTTGTGGTTCAATGGTGTAAATAGCTTCTAGAACTCTACGAAGTGACGAGTCAATGGATGTGCTTGAAGTCAGGCAGGTTGCCCAGTACGAGCTTACAGAGGAGTCAAGACAGCAGGCGTACAACGTGGTGGTGAATGGCATATCTATTGATATTGTGGTAGGATTTAAATACCTCTCTATTCGGAGAGCGGCAAATGTACAGACTCTCTGTGGACATTCATCTCATTACAAAAAGCATTTCGCCTTCTGACAAGTATTCTAATCAGCGCTGTACCTCTGAGAAACTGAAGTGAAATCTCCATCACGACAACCTGACCTCCTATTCCTTCACTTGAACATGACTATATATTTGAATTAGTTGACACACTTTCCCTCCTTCGCAGGGGATCTACCACCCACGGACTTAGTCCGGTGGCACAGTTAAGCGCTTAACTTGAGACCTGGGAGTAAGTGATTGCCATGGTACCACGATTCGAATCGGGCGCGTCGCCAATTAGAAAGCAAAACTACCACCGGTTGGCAAGTTGTGTTTACCCTTCAACTGCGCAGAAGGGATTTGTTTTGCTAAGTTGTGGTGGTGAATTGGTTTTCTTTTTTGCTTTCTTGGCTTGTGTTGTTGATGAGATTTGTGCAGTCTTTGCTTCTTACATCTTGTGTATCACTGCTTGAAAGTTGAGGGCTCATTGTTTCATGATTACTGTGCACACATTTCTACATCATGCTAATGATCGAAGTTGATTTATAGTTCAGATGCATGTCTGGTGTGTTGTTATGCCTTGTCCTCATCCCTGAATCTTTCACAACCTGCACCGTTCCTTAGCTTCTCCTTTGATACACTGGCTGCTGGCAGTGCAGCTTCAACATCGACAGCTTGCATATCTCATCTCCCTAATCGCCACCTCTCAGCCTCTTCATCTCTCTTTGCTTCTTAGTGACCTTACTCTTTCCTGATCTTGACGAATTCAAGTCTCTCTACCTGATCCTTCTGCCAATGCTCTTCGGTTCTAGCTTCTAGGGAGATCCCAGGAGCAGATTCGATGAACACACGCTGCTTGCTCGTTCAAACTATCTCATGTTGCAAAACTGAGAAGCCGTCTAGATGACGTGGCAGCTAAGAGCTTTCTTGATTGATTGCTCGGTTTTGAACCTTGTTGCCGAGTCAGACCCGTACACGATCGCTCCTCCTCTTTGCATTCTGCGGGTTTCGAGATGAGTGACTTGCGATTGCTCCCGCGAACCGGGCTCGGTATCTTCGAATGTCGTCGATATAGCCAATCATTCGAACCTGGCAGCTCTTCGATCGACGGTCTGATGATTTTTGGTACTTCCAACTTCCAAGGTCCCTCTTGTTCTGGCCTCTCCAAAGGCCCAAGGAGTCTATATTGTTTCCGATCAGGATCGCCGACGCGAAGCCTTTCGTCGGCGGCGTAAACACGATCTACAGCGATCTGCCAGTTCTCACGAGAAATCACCGCCGACAGCTCGTTGAACTCCATACACGCAACGTGATTTGGGTAGCCAGCAACTTCTCTGAACCACAGGGTTGGACATCCCTCGATGACTGTCCTGACGTCTCCGTTCATCGTAGGGCTGTAGAGATCAGAACCTCCATAGTAGTTCTTGACCCACATGGCCTTGGGTCGTAGTTTGCGCAGTCGGTCCATGTAACCCGTGTCCATGCCATATTCATTGTAGATTATATCGGGACGAGAACTCATGGCTGCGATCTGGAGCGGGCGTCACGAGATTCGAGACTTGGTACTTGGTGAGAGATAAGACTGTTTTAAGGATGTATTGATGGCGTAGTGTTCCAGAAGGAAAATGCCCGAGAGAGATAGAGGTACTGGAGGTGATGAGTGAGTTAGTCAAAGTCCAGCGGTATGACCAACACGGTCACTTACTTGACGGCGATGATTCAGAAAATGACGTCTTCCGCTGGATGCTCATACTTTGTTAGTTGGGGACAAGCGTGACTGCAGTTTGAAATAGTCTAATGTGATCAAATAACACCTTGTGAGCTACTTGGTGGAAGGAGACTTATGTCCTTCATGATATGGGAAGAGTACGCCGCAGAGGAGTGTTCTTGTTATCTCTGATAAGAGATACTTATCTTTCGCTCAATCAACAACAACCCAGTCTTCGCCGTCGTCAGTACCTTCCTCTGCGAGATCCATGTATCCATCCTGATCAGCAACGTCCTGCATCTGAGCCTGTGTCTCCAAGATATCCTGCTTCACCTCTGTAACCTTCTCCTCGGCAGCTTGTGCGATAGACATATCCTTCATGCCCTGTGTCAACTCCGAGATATCATTGCCTTCCTCTTCATCACACTTCTTCTGATCATCCCTTTGTTGCTTGTAGAATTGCTGGTGATATTCAGCATATTCATTGTCGATTCTCTGCAACAACTTCGTTCTGGTTTCATTGGAGTGACCAGATTGGCAGTCTTTGATGTGCATTTTGAACTTCTGGCCATAGAATTGCTCCCAGCTGATGGGTGGACAGACGAGCTGTTGGCGATTGTGGTTTGCGTCTTCGTTCATCTGTTGTTTGGCAGCTTCTCGCTGTTGCAGCTTCTTGGCTTCTCTTGTTCTCCGCATGTTGGCTAATCTTTGTGCCTGTGTTGTCACCTTTCGCTGTTCCTGCATCGCTTCCTGCATCGGGTTCTGCATCATAGTGGAGTTCTCCGCTAGTTCATACTTCTTCGTCCTCACCGTCTGCTTCATAACCGGTAGTCTTGGTTGCTGCGTGACGATGTTCTTTCTTTCATAACTTTCCGCGGCTGCCCGCATCTCCTCCCATCGCCGGGCTGGGAGTTTTCTATAATACTGTATCTGGTATTCCTGACGTTGTTGCAGACGTTGCTGTTTGGCGGTCTCGTGCTGTTGTTCAACAGACAAGGCTGCGATTTTGGCTTCGGCTTGAGACGGGGCAACAAGCCCTTGTGGGAGTAGGTATGGCGTGGATATGGTGGATGGACAAGGGTGATCCAGACCTTGGGATGAGTCTTCCGACATCGTAGTCATAACTGCAGAGTGTGGATCGGTGGGGTGGTATATGGCTGTGAGTTATCGAAGCCTGAAGTTACGAAGTTTGGGGTTTGCGAGAGATTTGTTGGAAGTAGAGGAAGAAAGTGGAAGTCGATAAAGAGAAGCTCCCGCATTGCTTGTCGAAGTTCCAAACTATCATGAGTCAGTAGGTTCGAATTTATGACAGATATCTTCACGTGGTGTTGCGATGGTAGGAGGTCATTAGCGTTTGATTTCATATTTCATTTCGTAGAGAAAAAGCGAACTTGAGCCCCAATCATGCATAACTTCCAATCATGTTTTTTGTGCCAGCGACAAAGTTCCAGGTCTAGCATCGACTAGTCACCACTCTTGTGGTATGCTTAGTAGCTGCGACCGAACATGACCCACTTCTCGGCCTTGCGCTCACACTTGGGGTTGGTGCACTTGGTCTCACCCTGGACGAGACCCTCGGCGGGCTGCTCGAAGGGAATGCACAAGGACTTGGCACCCATGGAGGGAGCACGGGCGTCAACCTCCTGGCCCTCAATCTTGCCTGAGCTGAGCTCCTTGATCTGGTCCTCACAGTCGGGAACCAAGCAGTGGGGGATGAGACAGGTGTTCTTTGCGTTGAGAGCGGGGACGAAATCGTCCCATGAGGTGATGGTCTTGCGGTGGTCGCGGAACTCGTCCGAGGCCTTGCGGAACATGTCGCTCTGGATGGTCTCGAGCAGAGCAGGGACGTCCTTTCCGAGGTCAGCGATGGGGATCTCGCTCTTGCCGGCAGCAAGCTGGTCACGGCGGGCGACGGTGACAACGTGCTTAGCGCTGTCCTTGGGGCCGAACTCGATACGGAGGGGAACACCCTTCAACTCCCAATGGTTGAATTTCCAGCCAGGGCTCTGGTCATCACGCATGTCGGTCTCAGCGCGAACACCAGCCTCGAGAAGAACCTCCTTGATGGCGTTGGTCTCGGCGTAGTGCTTCTCGCGGTCCTCGGGGGTGGTCTTTGCGGTGATGCCAACGGGGACAATGATGGCCTGGATCTCAGCGACGCGGGGAGGAATGACCAGACCCTTGTTGTCACCGTGGGTGAGAATCATGATACCGATGGAACGAGTGGTGAGACCCCATGAGTTTTGCCAGACGTGGAGCTTCTCCTTCTTCTCTCCCTCCTTGGCGTGAGGGTCCTCGATGGTGATGTCGAACATCTTGGCGAAGTGCTGGCCCAGACAGTGAGAAGTACCGGCTTGGATACCACGGCCGGTAGCCGGGATGAATCCCTCAACGGTAGTGGTGTAGTGGGCACCGGGGAACTGCTCGGCGACAGTCTTGCGGCCCTTGACAACGGGAACTGCCAACAACTCGTGGTAAATAGCCTCGTAGTAGTCGAGAATTTGGAGGACCTCCTTGCCGGCGTCCTCCTCGGTCAAGTGAGCGGTGTGGCCCTCCTGCCACAAGAACTCGCGCGAACGGATGAAGGGCATGGGGTGCTTGAACTCCCAACGGACGACGTTGTTCCACTGGTTGAGCTTGAGGGGAAGATCGCGGTGAGAGCGGATCTTCTTTGAGAAGTAGCCGTACATGGCGGTCTCTGATGTGGGACGGACGGCGAGTTTCTTCTCCAGCTTGTTCTTTCCACCATGGGTGACCCAGGCGACTTCGGCAGCGAAGCCCTCGATGTGGTCCTTCTCGCGCTGCAAGTTGGCCTCGGAGATGAACAGGGGGAAGTAGCAGTTGCGCACGCCCATCTTTCTGATGCGCTGGTTGAAGAAGTCCTGGATGCGCTCGTAGATGCCGTATGAGCCGGGCTCGTAGATGTAGCAGCCGGGAACGTCGGTGAACTCGAGCATCTCACCCTTGGTGATGACCTGCTGGTACCACTCGGAGAGGTCGTCCTCCTTGGCCACGTCGATACCGATCAGAGCAGCGCCCTCCATCTTCTTCTTTCCGGGACCTTGGGCAACCTTAGGTTCCTTCTTTTGCTTGGCCTGAGACTTCTGTGCCTTCTTCTGGTCCTTTTGCTCTGTGGGATTGCCATGTCAGCAGCTGGAAACGCGACACAGAAGCGCCTGCGCGTAGGCTTACCCTTTGCATCGGCAGCGGGCTTCTGCTGGGGCTGGGCGCCCTCGACTGTGCCGTCGGACATTGTTGTTGTTGCTAGCTAGCGTTCGTGTGAGGATGGCGTGCGTCGCGTTGTGTTGGAGAAAGATGCGGTGGTGAGCACGGCGCTGAGGTGCGCTTGAGAGTTGCGGTCGAGTGTAATTGTTTGCGACAGCAAGGTGTAACGAAACAACTTCTTGACTCACTTTTCGTGCCGTCTCGTCCAGCTGCCCCACCTCCACCCTGTCCACCGCCAAGCCTCAATTCTCGCCGCATCCCTTCTCCGTTCACCGCTCTGCTCTTCACTTTTGTCTTCCAATACCACCTATACTGCAATGCTGGCTGGCCATTCGGACTTCAAGCGTGATCAACATACATCACTTTGCACAGAACGTGGAAGATAAAACGAGAAGAATTTTGTATTCGTCAATTTTGTCAATGGCCTTCTGGAGCTATGCATCCATACACACTTCACACTTGCATAGCTCCGCAAGTCAACAGCAATGCTCATCGAGTGAGCCACCACGGATAGCCGGTCGCAGAGGGTAGCTCCGTTTCATGGGATCTGTATGGTGCTCTGCCCCAGAAATGCACCGTAGGATAACTGTCCGCGCTGAAAACTGGTGTCTGTCGTCACGCTTCGTCAGATTCATCGTCGTCAACGATATTTTGGAGTACTAACCTTTTCCCACTGTCGATAACCTAGACTGAAGAGACAAGGGTCTTTCCAGGCCGGAATATTCTTCCCGTCCCTACTGGTGAACAGCTGGCATCCAGGCTGATGGCAACGACCGGGCCAGACACTTTCAACGCGGGAGTCGGCGCGCATCAAGGGCAAAGATATTCTTTCATATTCTTCGGACCTGAACCTAATGGTATGTCTGTTGTACCTGAATGGATTCAAGGAAACGTACGAACTCGAACTCGAACTGACAGTGACCGAATGTGGGTCGAATTGAGTTATGACGTTGATGTGTTCGTCGATGTTGTAGCCCTTTTCTAGCTGGACCACCCATTCCAGGGGTTCTCTTCTGTTACAGCGCTTTGTTAGTCTTGTCTTCACTGACTTGGTGCAGCGTACTTACCTTCCGATCCCTTGAAGGTCGAAGGCCTCTGGATCTTCCCTCTCCAGCTAGTACCAATAATAGCTCGGCCACGACATGCGATCGACCATCTCATCAATTTCTTCAGCGAGGAACTCAGCGAGAAAATCTTCATCATTTTCATAGCCCCATGATTCTGCAGCCATAGTGAAGTGGTTATCATAGTCACCGTTTCGTGCACCTGCAACAAACTTCTCGTGCTTGTGGAAGTAGTTCTGGGATACCTTGACCACGAAGCCGACACTAGGGTCGCTGCGAATTGCTTCGATGAGTTCTGTATCATTCTCTGAGACGGAGACGGTGTATCCGGGGATTTCAGGTCTGTTTTCGATGCTGAGAATTGGTCGGCCAATGAGGGTGAGATGATCATCGACTGTCTGGTTCTCTTTGAGTCCGACGACCCACATTGAAGGGCGACATGAGTGAGCCAAGGAGATCAGACCGAGCATGCAGAGTAAGATGGTCGTGAAATTGATCTGATGCATTCTTTTTGTGTGTTGTGGAGTTTGGAGAAAGCTGGATGCCTGAAAGCAGAACGCGATGTTGAGCTTGCGCTTCTATTGACGTCGCACGATGGAATCTCGAGCTGCCTCGGAAGTGGTGGTGGATCGTTTATCTGTGCAACAGATTCAAATCAAGAAACAAGTGAGCCGTGCTACAGACAGTGAGTCGCACTTTCCATTTCTAGGTGAAAGGACAGATTCTCAGTCCACGTGGTCTTGTGAACTCAATCACAACCGTCTCCTACCCTTTTTGTTTCCTCCAGCAGCAGTCCTTCGAATCAACTCCCACAGACTCAACTGCCTTCCACTATGGCGACCTTCAGGAACTGGCCGCTTCTGGTCATTCTGGTATTCCAACTTTTCTGCACCAACATGTTCGCTTGCGCACTTCTCACTACCACAACGGCAACCACCCACAGCACTACATCTGATGTCAAGTTCTCAAAGTCCAGCGTCATTGACTCTGACTGGCAGTAAGTTTGTGTTGTTGCACACTTCTGCACTCTCCAAAAGCTCTGCAGACTCGGACTCTGCATTTCCTACATTTCTCAGTCAATATTAACACTTACATAGCCCGGTTCCTCATGAGTTCGGAGTCTATTTCCATGATGGCCACACACTGGAAAAGCACTGGAAGCACATTGGCAGAGAGCTGCCAATATTCCGCTATCCCACGGTTCTTACCGGCTACAAGATCAAGTTCGGCAGTGCAGACACAAGAAACCCCATCTCGTCCGAGACAGAGATTCTCGCCCTGATTCGCAGTGATCCCGGCGTTGAGCTAGTTGCGCAGAATTTCTGGCAGCAGCTCGACCTTGGTGATGGGACCCCTCTTCCTTACCAACCTAGCCGTATTCCCCTGTTATTCAGTTGCAAGCCTGGATACCGGGAGCTGAAATGCCTGGAAAACGCTTCGCCGTATGATGTCAGGCCAGAGCCATCATGCAGAGTATACTGAGACCATGAAGAACGTCGGAAAAGAATGAGAGACATGACCAAAGCATATACCTTAACGAAACGAGAACATTTGAACTTGATATCTTGATCGCATGCGTCCACTCACAACCGTGAAATATACCATATAATCGCGGAGTGTTTTCTGAGAAGGAAGACGTGTCCGTCGAAAGGCGTTCAAGCAGGTGCTCTCACTGGACAGGTTACAAATTATGAAAAACACCCTGCATTTTGATGGTTACGACTGACTGTGCTCGATAGCTGGAGAGACCTTATTGCATGTCATCCTTCGTCTTAAACCTTACCTTTCATCTAGTCGTCAAACTGCACAATCTCTTTCGGAGATAAAGATATGCTCGCTCAAATCGCATCGTTGATGAGCTCTCACTAGACGTTCTCTTAGGTGTAAAACGTATCTTGCGTTTCGATAGCTAAAATCACTGTGCATGGAGGCTGGAGGGCGGAAAGAATATGCACAAGACTATCTGAGGAAAACTGAGGCTATCCCCCACCCTCCCAGCACCGGCGTTATGCAACTATCAAGATGCACAGTGCTTTTTGTGTTCGAAGCTGAGTCCAGTGAGAGAACCATGACTAGCTACTCTCAGCCGACATCCTCTCGGACTGCAAAAGCATCGTGCATTTTGATGACAAGAACAGGCTTGTACAAATAGGGGAGCTGGAGAGGAGTGAACAAGCGAGACAATGCAACTTGACTGGCAAGCGTCCCGATATGTGGTGGTTGGAGATTGAATCACAGGCACATTATTGACAGGAAGACTTTTCAATCCCACACATCAATACAAGACATTATTTAACAACCAAAGAAACAAGAAAGATCCGAGGGGTATATCGTTCGCAAACTTTCCTTAGCAAGAACAATAAAAGACAAACACAAAGCCATCCACCATAAATGTCATCAGTGACAGAAGTCTAGGTCTAAGCCTGCTTCTCGATCTCGGTCAACTCGACATCGGTGGCGGGCCAGAAATGGCTGAGGTCGCCGACGGGGAAGTTGATACCGAGACGCATCTCAGCAGCCATGATGACGAAAGTGATGTACCAGCCCAAGATTGCGACGACGAAGAGAAGAGCACCACCAGCCTGTGACAAATGTTAGTATCAAAGCCATGCCACGAGAGCTGAATGGGAGAGACATACGATTTGAAGGTTACCAGCCATGGCGTAATCACCAGTGGCGACGTGGAAGTAAGCACCGGCAAGGATGTAGACGGCAATGGCAGCAAAACCAAAGATACCAGCGAAGATAGCATTAGTCTTGAGGGAGAAGATGAAGTAGGTGACGAAGGCGAAACCCCAGACGATGAGGTAGAGACCGATGGCGTTGTTGTAGTCAGGGCTGGCAGCACCCTCGGCAGCGTTACCGGTGGGAGAGTAAGAGGCAGCAATGCCGAGGGAGGGAAGTTGAATCATGCCGAAAGAAAGCCAGAAGACGCAGAAGAGCGAGAGAGAGTTCATCTACGCGGTGCGTTAGTACTTTCAAAACATGTCGCAGGTAGAATGCAAGCTTACAGTGAAGAAGTTGCCCATGATCCATTCAAAGATAGCAGCGAGACCAAGGAGGACGGGACCGGTAAAAAAGAAGATACCAACAACACCAGCAAGACTGCTAGTACCAGCGAAGCCCATGAGGATCATGGAGAAGGTGAAGGTCGAGATGACGAAACCAGTGAAGCCCATAGGCACAGCATTGGCGAAACGCTTGACGTTGTTGCCATGACGGGGAGTCTTGGGAGTGAGATAAAGCTTCTCGAAAAGCTCTGGTGAGATGGTCATGCCATTGTGAGAAGAAGTGATGTTGAGGTTGTGGTTGTGCGACTTCTCGAAGACAGCATCTGCCGAAGGGCGGTTCACGTCAGTAGCGGTGGAAGACATGGTTCCTGGTGATGAGTGATATTGCGAAAAAGTTGAGCTTGACGCAGGACTGGCAACGGGATTCACACTCTCTTTTATAAATCCCATTCGGCACCTACATTACCTACCCATTGACTGGTTCAATGTTCGAGAGGTTTTAGAACCCACACCGATCTGCAGTCAATTTTCCTCATTGCTCGTCGGACTCTGAGCTTGATTAAGCGCGAAGGTCGGTTTGGTTTAGCTGATATCTGAATAGTAGTATAGTCTCTCTAAAAAATATGCTAGCGGTCCAGATGCTCGGGATGTAACAAGTTCGCTGACCCCAATGGTCTTGGCCGCTCCACTTACCGCGACCGGCAGTAGAGACCGAAACTCGGTCCAATATGGCGTTATGAGGGTGAACAACTGGCCTTCCTCAAGAGGTGTGGGTTGATAAGGACCCTACCTCAACACCATGTGGTCGAGGATCCACATGAGCGCGTGGTCAGATGCATGAGGATCAAAAAAGTTTTGCTCCCTCTTAGGACGAGTAGAGTGAACTGCCACACCTATCCGTTCGAGACTGTCTCCGCGTAGCCCTCTCCATTCTGCGGTGTGTAGAGTATGTTTTCTTGGACGACCGCAAGCCCACGAGCCCCGTCCACAATCATCGTCTTCCTCTCGTCTCAACAACAACCGAGCCATACGCTACAAGGCGCGTTGGTAGCGAGGTGCGAGTCAAGGGTCGCGAGTCGCGACTCAGTGATCGACAGGCTATATAGTGCTTGTTAAGTTCTTAGCCATGGGGCAACGATATCAGGTGAATGATCGATTTGGCAGTGCATGGTAACACTTCGACAAGAACAAGACCTTGGATATCTGAGAACGCCAATTCCGAGAGTGGTGTGACAAACATGCAATGGTAGACAAGCGTGTAGCATGAGCTCGAAGACCTTTGATCTACAGGGACCAGTATCCTCCTTTAGGCTCAAGCGACAGAGCGGACGAGAATGGATGAAAATCAGCTGCCGTCCTTCTCGACGAGAGGAGAGTCATATGAGCGCGGAGCTGAATGGACGAGACGCGCCATCATGTTTAACAAACCACTGACCAGAGCTTGTTGCCGTGTTTGCAGCCGTGCGTGTCGTCGAATCGAGAGGTGATTTGCAGTCCGCAAGACACACGGGTGAGACACGAGTCGATCAGGTCGGCTGCAACTTGCAAAGGGGAAGTCGACTGAGGGCTCTAACGGAAACAAGACTGATAAAGCAGCGGAGGACGGTTCCTTTGCAGCGAAAGTTCGTCGAGAGCTCCGTGCTCGGTAGTTGACGGCGTCGGTCATTCTTAGCCGAGAGCACTGACATTGTCAGTTGACAAGGGTCCATATTGCTCCAATGTCCATTCGTCCACACAGAGTGTTGAATGAGGACGGAAATTGGATTGTGTTTGATCCATATACTTGACCCGAAGTTTGAGTCGAGGTAGCACCTTAGATTCGAGTGGAGAAGTGAGGAGGAAAGAACGAGCGCCTAGGTCCAATCCTCGGCAGAACCTCCACCGCCTACTCAATTCAGTAGATCTGATTGATAAGATTGACGAGCCGCCCAGCGGCCCCACTTGTGAAACTTGATGTCCGAGGGTCCTGAGGCTGCCGTGTTCCTTTGATGCCAACTACATAACATGGAGACGTTGCACTGCGGATGTCGTACAGCTTAAGGAGCTCATTGGCGCTACTGTGATTCGACCCTCCGAAGGACTGTCCAGGTCGGACTTTGTCTTCCATGAACGGGAGTGGAGCAGCACAACGTACCGGCATGCTCAACAGTTTCATCTTCCATGAATGTTCGGCCTAGGGTTATCATCGAGCACAGAGTCCGTTGCTACATCTGGAGACCTGCCAGTGAGAGGCTGGCTAATTCGACCAATTCGATGCGGTAGCTTTGTGCTCCGGCCATTCGGTCGCTTGAGTGTGGTCTTGACGAACACGGGTCTCTCTGAAGGAGCGCATCAGCACGTCCTGGTGGATCTACTCCATGCATGTCATGGAGGCATCTCTTCGTTGTTCAAATCGAGCTCTCTGTTGACGATATCTACTTGTCAGAGGAGACGTTCAATGGTTACGTCGATGACGAGATGTACGATGTGCTCCAAGGACGGCCCGGCGCTGGCCATCTAGGTCTTGAGTCTCCCAAATGCACGCGATCGGGATTTGGTCCGGGATAACAGTCTTGGAACTGGGTAGATGCTGACTTCCTTGCACAAAGTAAGCAAGACTGCTACATACAACCCGCATGCTGTCAGCGGCGTTTGCTTGGCGAAAGCTTTCCATGTAACTTCACCTCGAACTCCTGGAGACGTCTCGCTACAACTCTTGTAGGCTGCCTAGCTCGATAGATCATGTCGCCCTTGACATATCGGATCGTTAGATACATGTAAACCCAGGTCCTCGCGTGCGTATGGCTGAGATCGGAGCTGGAAAGTTGCTTGTTATCTGGATACAACGATCAGTAGCTTCTGGCTTCAATCATGACCAGGATGATCTTTCAATCTTGTGGTCAAGTCAAGTAAAACAGGAGTTGACCATGTAGTGCATGCCACTGCATAACAAGCGGTTGAGTAACCTCTGTGTTGCAGCTACTTGCTTGGCCCATAGGTGGAAGAGACGAATTAAAATCGCCAAAATGCTGAAGGCCGGTCATTCAGATGCATGGAGTAGTAAATTTGGTCCAATCGACTGCTCTCCATGCAGGAGGTAAATTCGAGTGAAGACAATCCCAGTAACAAACTCGTCATTTCGCGGCAGGAGCGAAGTTGTCGTTTAACTTGCTCACCTCTTCCACAAACGCGGCTTCGCACCTTTCGACTTCTCCAAAACTACAACAACTCGACAAACACCAACAGTTCATCAATCATGGCTTCTTTCTTCGACCGCATCCGTAATGATCATGTCTTCCAGAAGGTTATGCGCGTGATCCAGTTCCTGTCCGCCATCATGTAAGCAAACGGCGCGTCTGAAAACATGAAAATCTCTTGCTAATTGCTCCAGCTCTCTCGGACTGTTCTCGTCCCGCATGTACAAGGTCTATCGCCTCGTCCGCAGCGTGCGCAACTCATCCGGTGCTGTCGAGGGTATCCTCGCTGCTGCAACCCTCTACACCATTATCACTCTCCTTATCAATCTCTGCTTGAAGAGAGGAGCACCAAAATTCCTGCGCTGGTTGTTGATCTTCCTTGATCTGGTGTTTGTCGTCGGTTTCATCGTCGTGGCTGTCTTGACCAGACCCCATGGAGGTCTCAGCAGCCTTTGCGCCACTTCGAGACAGAGAAACGATCCCAACAACCGCGACAACGCTCTGTGCAAACTGCCACTCGCAACCTTCGGTCTGGCCATCTTCAGCACGTAAGTACTCAAGTCGAAATCCAAAGAAGATCCATCTGGCCATGTATCACCACTGACTGGTAGAACAGTATCCTCCACTTCATCACCGCCGTCTTCCACGAGGCCCGCGACCACCACAGAAACAAGAGAGCCTCCCAGTCCGCCGAGGAAGAGATGAAGCGCTCTCAGGATGGCCTGCGCAACTAGGTCAGCCTCTCAAACATCACTCTTCGAAGGACGCGCTTCGGGATGTTCTGGAGCACTTTCCCGAGCCAGGGGTTTTGCGCTTTCGCGGTCATGTTTCCATCCATGACAATACGGACGGATTTGTGGATTAGTCGTAGGACTAACTGATTATGAAAACCTAATGAACTTGCTGTTATTCTCATCTTCTACACACTTTCGCATTCGTTATCTCTAGCTGTCCCAATCCTAGAACCTGCTCAGCGGTACATACATGGTTGATGAGTCTCTGGTTGAATTGCTTAGATGAGCCACATTTCAAGATGAGATTATTGTGGACTCGGCCAGTCATGGTCGGCGTTTGGCAAATCGCGACAGAGCTCTTTGGCCAGTCATCGCAGTTCTCAGTCCTTTGTGGGAATCTAAAATCTCGGATCCATAGTGGTAGATAGATCATGGGCTCAGAACACTTTGTGGAATGGTGTCCAGTTGTGTAGACCCAAGCCTATTCGGAAGTGGGCGGGGTGTACTCGCATAACTTATGCAAGATCTCCACAACCGTGAAGGCAACGGGCTTCGAGTAATCTTGTTGGGAACGTACACCAATACTAATACCAAAACTCTAGCTATATGTCTTATTCTCTTTGCCGAATGACTATTCACTTGAAGATACACTACCTGTCAAATACTATGACATCCTAGATATCTTGACGAGTATATATTTCTACACTTGATTCTGTTGCGTGCAATGCGCATCATTCGCGCGCTGTGCTTCATCATCCAGGCGATGTGAAAATCAATCTACAAGATGCTTTAAGTCTATGGCCCAAAATCACACGGTCCAGAGTACTCCAAATATTTACGGATATATCTAGTGACGGAGTAGAAGGGCTCCTCATGTTATACAAAGACGGGTACGAGTAGGCCATTGTTTTTAGACAGCGGATGCTGGTCAGGGTCATACCAGTTACAAGCCAAGAAGTCACGGTGAGACGCGTGCTCGCGTCCAAATTTTCATGACGTGGCAGTGTCTTCCAGGTGCTTCCTATGCCTGACTCTACAAGAACTATCCCAGACGTAGATGCGAGCGAGTATGAGAGAACGAGCCTGAAAGTCATTTGCGAGTCGGGTCATGGACCGCCCATGTCTCTTGCAGCGCCAATGGCCTCGATGGCAGCTCAACAAGACGGGCACAGCATGTCCTGCCTTTACCTGATCGGACGACAAGGACCAGGACAGTCGTGAATGAAGCCGATCACAACCTAGCGATAGGTCGCCTAGGTGTGTTTTCTTTTGCCGTTGATTGTCCAATTACCATTGGCAAGTAAACTGCGTCTAAAGGCCGACCGGGCGAGGACCAGGACTTCCCTGACGACTTGGCCCAATCAAGTTCACTTGTCTGTTCGAAAGAGGCTCATGGAATGGTTAAAGGATGGAAAGATCATCCAGAACTTACGTCCGTAGTTCCTGGCCAAATCAGATCTTCACACGACCCACTGGAGGGGACATTGGGCCCATCGTTTCCACGAATCCGGGATATTTGAGCTCGGCATTGGATCCGAGGAAGTTGATCTCGCAAGCCAAGAGGAGAGTGATCGGATTCAAAGACATGCCGACGTACAATGAGGGGTATGCGGCGAAGAACCTTGCAGACTCGGTGTGATTCAGATTCTAGTATCCAGCTCAGTTGAAGGCTTGACCGCAGCTTCCTGGTAAGCCCTTTGCACGCATTGGGAACTCACACTTGTCCAAGAACGTCACGTCAACACAATGACTAGAGAACATGCAAACGACTCGGTTGTCTTATGTTCAGCAAGGCCAATGCCGCGATGGCCACTTTGAAGAACAAGGATGCTGTTTCCGGTCAACGTCCATGCAGATTTTGTGCACAACCTCTTTTGGGAGGTGGACCCACGCTTCCCCAGATTTCGAACTGCTTTAGGACGAAACTACTGCACCAGTTGCATAGAATCGTAACTCGCAAATCGCGATGCGATGCGGACAATGCCTCTCGATGAGCCGTGAAGAAGCGTTTCTTGCTGAGAAAGAACGCAAGAAGAACGGAATCGAATACTGGGAAGACAATGTTATTATACATCGCATAACAACCCCTGGATCGTACAGGTACGCCCCTTCAACAGATACTTCAAGTATAAGGACGAGCTGATCCTTCCTATATTATGCGCGTTAAGCTTTGGCTATCGCGATCAGCCAGCCCCGCCTGCTACGTACTACGCAGCCTCCTTCGTCCTGCAGCAGAACACCTTGCACCGTCGTACACTTGACAGAATAACCGAATTACTAAAATCAAATCATCGCTTGATGGTGCGTACACTCGTCTGTCGCTGTGTGCTGGTGCATGGCCTGGTTCGGGAACGTCGTAACCACTTGTGATCAGCAACAGACGTCAGAAGCTTTTTGGTGAGATCTCCCCGCCTGGCCCGCTCCGTTCGTACCAGCCGGCAACCACGACAGGCCAAAACCTTCCACAAACTACGACCATCGACCGCGTTAAACACCACAATCCGAAGAAATTAGGATTTCATCAACAATCAACATATGTCACCAGCTCGGGAAAACCTTTTGCTGGCGACCATGGCCCAGATCTCATAATTAGGGGGCCATGAGATGAGGACGTTTCTAAGGATCAAAGAGGTTCGGTAGCAACGTCTGCTCAACGACGTAACTCTTTCCATCACGGGCCGTGCCTCGTGGGTACCGAACAAACCAGAACTGGGGAATTCCACTCCAACCACCTCGATCAGACAGGCAACGCTTCCATGCTAACCCAACTTCGTAGAATGCTCATGAATCAGAACACGAGACAGCGATGTTGCCACCAAGTGGTTCTAACTTCTACGATCAGCAGCGCTGTTCCCGAAAAGAAGTCACCCCTTTTACCTTCTTAGGAAGAAACAGGTACACATTGGAAGGCGACAGTTAGCTGAAGCTGATTGCTCATGCATAATACGCGTTTGGTACGCCCCTGCGTCATACAAAAGTCCCCCAGGGCCCCAGAATGGACTGCCATGAGGAACAAGTTCAGCTACCAGCTAGCTGGCCGTTACAAGCTATGATGAAGCTCACAAGGAGTCCCCACCTCCCTAAATGAAACTCTCGTCGATCTCGAAGATGATCAGAACCAGAGTGGTCAAGCATATATCCAATCCGGATCCACCCCGCTCTCTCTTTTTGTCCGTCGATGATGTCGTATGCCACGTCAGAGTAGGTCCCGTTCTCTATTTGAACAGGGTTCTTGTTGCTGCTGCTGCAGTTGCTTCCCTCTATTCCACTACCTCTGGAGCATGCTCGGTCTACGAACAAATCCTCTTAGTACGTGTCTGAGTACCTTCCTTGATAGCTGCGTTCAAGCAATCTTGAGCTGACTGATTTTCTTCCATCAGACCGCGTCCCTAGCTTTTCTTCCGGACTACCAACAGAAACCCCCTCTGATCATTACATCAACATGGAGCACCAATACCAATCACCGGCTATTGATAGCCTCTTGGTTGCGAAGAAACGTAAAGACTCCGCAGCGGATGAGCCATCTCCGCAGACACCTACAGGCAGCGGTTTCCTCAATCGCCGACTCGATTCAAGCTCGATGGCTCACAGATCCTTTTCGAACCATAGATCTCCTACACGCAACCAGGACAGTCATGCTATGCACATGGAGTCAAGAATAGTCAAGGAATTTGACACAATCGATGCCACGCTCATGAGCAACATGACTATTGAGATCTTCTCAGACTACATTGCGCGAGAACGTCTCAGCTCAATGCCTCACAGGGGTAGTCTCTGGGATCGAGTGCTACGATGGGCCGAGTTTTACGCTCTTCAGATTGATGCTTACGCTAAGAAGATCGGATCATTCGTCCCCGAAAGCCATTACGCAGCAAGACAGATCTACACCTTGCTTCGCTCGCTGCTTGAGCTCGGAGAAGTCAACGCTGGCGCTCTCAACACGACCTTCGGCATATTTTACAAACTTGGCCTCTCGTTGTCGTTCTTGTCTTCTCACGAGGCACAGCTCAGTCTGAGCACCGATATCCGAGAGGATGTCAGCAGAGCCTTCCGCGACATTCACCTATTGGTGTTCGATGTTGCGTCTTACTACCAAGGATCTGTTCGCGGTCTCTCGCGCGGCTCTGTCACTATCGACTTCACTTTCCTCTTCCGAGAGCACCTCAATAACTTCAACAACCGCAAGAACCGGTATGTATACCTTTGATGTCTTGACAAGAGTTCGCATCGCTAATGGTATTCAGTATTATGAACCACATCTGGAGCCACGCTCTAGGAGGCGATGCTTCCAGGGACGTACATGAGATCCGTAAATGGCTGGATCAAAGAGCCTTTCTCTTGCGAAGCATCTCTGCTGAATCTCTGACTTACGCATCCCAATACGACGAGTACACTTGCGAGTGGTTCCAGAGACACTTGCTTGAGTTCACTCGCAGTGATCAAGATATCCTCGCCATCACCGGTCCACCCGGAAGTGGTAAATCAGTGCTCTCTAGCTGGATCCAGGAGAGGTTGCAGCGCCCCCTAGATCGTAAAACTCACAGCACCGTGATGTTCTCATTTGACTCCGACATCCCAAGCGAAACCACTTCGCTTGCACTGGCCAAGAGCCTGACGCTACAGCTCATGGACATTCGTCTTGGTAACGTTCGTATGTTCCAAGCTGTTGTCGAGGCCTACAATAGCAACAGCTCTGTTGATATGGAGAACCACCTTTGGGCTGCTATCGATGCTGCCTTCTCCGACTTCGCCGAACCTACCATGATCATCATCGATGGCCTGGATCAACTCCGCGACAACAAGAAGCAGGTCTGTGAACGTATGGCGAGACTCTCGAGCGCTCACCATACCCTCAGATCTGTCATTCTCTCCAGACCCAATACTCTTCCCGAGAGTGACAAGACATGGAGAACGTTCGAGATCAAGCCCGATCACGTTTATGAAGACGTCCAACACGTCGCAAAGACTCAGCTCCAGAGCTGCACAGCTCTCCATAAGAAGAAAGAGACTGAGAGACACGCAATCCTTGAACGCCTAGTCAAGACTGCCAATGGCTCTTTCCTCTGGCTTAAGCTGGCAATTGACGTTCTCAATCTATCCAAGCTGCCCGAGGATCTAGACAAGAACTTGGAAAAGCTTCCAAAGACGCTTGACGAAATCATCAAGCAGCGCGCTGGTTTCGTCGATTTCACGGACAGTGACGTGAAGCTCTTGATCTCATACATGATGGTGACCGAGAGACCCTTGTCTATCAACGAGCTTTATGACGTTCTACAGGTCGACCTCCAGAAGAAAATCAACACGCACCGCGACATTGATCTCAAGAGCAAGTTCGAAAAGACATATGGATTGCTGCGTCCCAACAACAACGGTCTTGTGAAGTTCTTGCATCCTGCGATCAGAGAACACTTCATCGCTGTTCAGATCAAGGGGGAGAAGCTCTTGCCCCACAAGGAGGCCCACACCGATCTCACCCTTAGACTGCTCACTTACAGCAAGGCTTGTCTGACCAAGCCTCATGATATCTCTCTTGAGCCTCTTCCTCATGGTGAAGTCGAACGTCTGTTCATCGAACACGATCTCTTGGAATACGCTGTTCGTAACTGGACCACCCACTTCCGTCAGTCCACTTTGTTCAAGCCATCAGGAGCCTTTGGCTTCTCGTCCGAGATCAAGGCTGCCTTCCCAACCTCCCCTTCTATGCCGTTGCTGGAGTGGACTTGTTGGGATGCCCAGTTCCCTACAAACGAACTTCTGCCCGTCCATGATCTCTCCCAACGTATTCGCTCTGAGGTCTTCCAGGAGAAACACGTCGTTACGTTGCAGAGTCTTGTTGCTTGCGCTTACGTGTACCACATGTACTCGTCTCCTACTTCAGCAGCACCATACTTTGTTCGTGCTTCGCGTGTCAGTCAGCATGTCTTGCCTAAGTGGAACAGGATCACGGTGACTTTGACTGAGACCTTCCTGACCATCACAGACTCGATGAAGTTTACAAGCCGTACTGAGCTTATGACCTTCAGAGAGGAGATGCTCAAGTTCATCGTCACAGCCTACAAGCATACCCATGGTGATACCAGTGATGTGGTCATACGCTTCACCAAGACACTGGCCGAACTATACACTGCCATCCACGAAGAGGAACATGCCACACAGTGCTGGAAGGAACTCCATACAGTCATCACCAACAAGCACGGTGAAGGCTCTGATTTCGAGAGAGAAATCAGCGGCAAATTGATGGTCGTTCTCAAGGGCGATGAAGACTTTGAAGTCGGAAGATACCGTCGCGATATCTTCGCTGTTGGCGATGAAAGTACCGTTGTTTGGGATACCGCCCGAATCCAGATGTTCTTGAAGCTGGCACAGGCCTGTGAGCACCGCAAGGAGCTGCACGAAGCCGAGGAGCTCTACGTTACACTATGGACTCGCCTTCTTGAGCTTTGCAGACATGAAAGCTCTCACTCAGTCGAGGTCCGCATCAGCATGCTCCAGATCGCTGTCGAGTACGTCCATTTCCTCCGCAGACAACAACGTACGGAAGAGGCGAAGAATGTCCTTATCGTCATCTGGACCGAACACAAGCATTATGGATGCGAGTCTGAAGCCTTCTATCAGGAATTGACCGCCATCGCTAAGCTTATGAGGACTCTTGAGCTTCACAGTCTATCTATCTCTGTCCTTGAGCGCGTCTCGAACTTTTATAAGGCGGTAGGCAAGCACGAGAGCAGCTACGCGCGCGAGTGCGAAGCAACTATGATCGAAGTCTTCCAGGAGAGTACAGAGAAACACTCTTCTTCAACCTCCCGGAGCGAGACTAGCGATGAGATGGAGACGGTCGTCCGCAGGATGTTCAGCTCATCGACCACTTTGTCCACTGAGACGATCAAGATCGCTAGATCAGCGGTTCACATGCATATGAGACAGGAGCGTTGGTCTGAGGCAATCAGTTTGCTGACCCGAACTCTGGACCTCATGAAGTTTACGGGTTCTTGGGGAGGCGAGGTTTGCTTGCCTAACGACTACGCCGACGAGTCCATCGAATTTGCCCTCGACCTTGGAAAATGCTATATGAGAAGCAAGCGCCATCAGGAGAGCTTGGCAGTCTACCTGCAGCTCTGGCAAGCGGTCCGCAGCTCTTGCGGCATCGATGACAAGCGCAGAACGGTCATTCTTGACGTCTTGGTGCAGAACTACACCGAGCACAAGAGATGGAGAGCTCTGGTCGAGCTCCAGAAAGACCTGTTGCTTGAATACCGTAGACACCTTGGCAAGTCGCATGAACGCATCATTGGTCTCCTGTATTACCTTGGTGATTTGACCCTCGAGCATGGTCATGGATACCCCGAAGACTACTATCGCGAGATTGTTGACATTATTGGGACATCCAACACGAAGCTGTCTTTCAGGGCCTACAAGAGATTAAGCCAAATCTACTACGATGAGAGCAATTGGGTCGAACTTAGAATTGTTTGCGACGTCCTCTGGACCCTGCTTACCACCCAGACCAAGGAGCACGACTACGACGAGAATTACGTAGAGCTGTTGTACATCAGATACGCCTATGTTCTCAAGCACCACAACAGAGGAAACGGTAAGTTGGATCACAAGCACTTGGCCATCGTCGCACAGCAATACCGCGATATTTGCGTCACAAAGTTCGGCTCTTCGTCTGCTGTTGCTATTCGTGCCAGAATCGAGTATGCTTCGGTACTTATGGAGGACGAATCAACCAAGGTCGAGGCAGTCAATGCTTACGAGGAGATCATCACGACCACCAAGAACAGCAAGGCCACTATTGACGAGACAACCATGTCAATGGTCAAGAGCCGTATGACAGAAGCCTACGTGCACGTCCACCGTAAGGGCATATCCTCTGCTGCAACAACCGAAAAGGCCATTGCCGTACTTCAGGAACGTTTCCAACAACTGAAGAGTTCTCATGGAGTCGCTCATTCGGAGGCCTTGTCTGTCCTCAACGAGCTCATCTCGATGCGCTACAAGACGAAGAAGACGGACGAGGATGAGCAAAGTATTGTTCGCCTCTTGCAAGAGCACACACTTGAAATCCTTACCAAGGAGAAACAGTCTCAGGTTCTATTCGAGGCAGCAAACGCCATCAGTGCCATTTACATCACTTGCGGTTATCATGCTCAAGGTCTCGAACTCGTGCAAGCTGCCAGACGCCAGATCATCTCGGGTCACTCAGAGACTAAGAGCGGCTTCAAGCTCGATAAGTCAGTTGGCCGCATCGCTTTCGTGTTCCTTGTCACGTTCGAGCTGGCGCTCAGAGGATCTTCTCACAACTATTCCGAGGTTATGGCAGATTGGCTGACCGAGGCTGTGCTGTACGACAACTACTCTCGTAGTCTGACCACTCAATCAAAAACAGAGCTTCTGCTCCTGCGCAGTGCTCATCTCAGATCCTTCTGGGTCGTTCGCTCTCGCTACGAGGAGATTGAGGTGTTGGACTCGCGCGTCTTCGACATCTTCAACAAGCAGTTCGGCAACGCTCTCAAGACTAGACCTGAGATGATCAAGGTCTTCCTGACAGCACTCCTTGTTCACATTGGATCTGGAGATGCCTACGACATTCATGTCGTCAAAGCTGCTTCTATTGCGGGCAACAACAAGGTCGAAGAGTTGATTCAGAAGGGCAAGTACCAGGAAGCCGCAGAGGTCGGCTACTGTACATTCCAATTTGTAATGACCCAGGGCGGGTACCAGCAAGCTGGAATGATCGGCTACGGCTTCAAACTCGCCAAGTACATGACCGCCAGAGGCAACCTTCCTGCCGAGATGCACACAAAGATGCTGCAAGCCAGCAGGGAAGTCATGGCCGAGGTATTGAACGCTTGCAAGGCTCTCAATGTCAACTTCATGCAGTTGCACGACCACGAGCTCAACGATCTTGTCGAGCTTCTCGGTGAGCAGGAGAACTACAAGGAGCTTGAGATCATTCTTGAGTCCCTGTGGAAGTCTCGTCATGGCCAGAAGCACTGGTGCGAAGACACCCTCATCAACCTTGGTGTCCGTCTCGTTATCTCGCGCCATCTCGCCTCTAGCCATGGCCACTCTCACGGTGCAATCCACCTTGCTGAGGATATCACCTACAACTTGCGTCGCGTGCTCGGTGGCCTTCACCCTCACACCCTCAAGATGTCGACTTTGCTTTCGCAGCTCTACACTAGTGCCAAGTTGTACAGTGACGCTCTCAACGTACATGAAGAGATCATTCAACTCATTGTTTCCGGAGATGATGGTGACGACCGTACCATCGATGTTGTTTCCGCCTCCGCCGCTCGCCAACAAGTCGATCTCCTCAAGGCTGCATATCAACGCAACGGCGGTTGGGTCAAGTCCCCCGACTTCTACAGAAAGCTCATCAACAACCTCACAAAGATGTTCTCGAAATCCTCCGAGTTCAAGAACATCCAACCCGTTCAAGAATGGCAAGCAAAGCCTGACAACAGCACTGTCAGCATTGGTATCTTTGAGAAGCCTCAGCAGTGGATGTTTGTCGTCCAAGACGATATTTTGCCTCTGGAGGGTGGAAAACAAATTCAAGGCACGACTGCCGAGGATGGATTTTCGCGTGCACCTTTGCCTATGAAGAAGATCAAGCAGTCCGGTTGGAGTTTGAGACGTATCTCTGATCTCTGGGGTATGAAGCAGCAGCCGAGTGTTGGAAATCTGCATGCTGAGATTACGTATTGATTGATGAGATGATGATGGGATATGTTTCATTTGTTGGAGTTTGATACTTTTTGGTTCCGCTCGTAATGACTCTGTAGTGTTTACTTTTATTCTTATGCATTCATGATTTCCATTCTTATGTCAATGCTCTTACGTCCAGTGGTTTCGCAATTACTTTGAGCCCATCCACGTGTCCAATCCAATTGACAGGGCCTGCGACGGGAGCTCGAGAATTCATAGCTCTCAGCTGCTGGAAAATTCAAGCCTCGAGCACTCTGAGCGGCTTCACGACTCAAGGCCCAACGGAAAGTGCGACCAATAAGTTCTTAATCCATCTGTAATTTCATCATGCAAGACAATCATGCCTCTTTCCCAATCTGCTGATGTGTTGTACAGTACATGTAACCAAACACTTCTGTCAAACAATCACCCTCGAACGCTCTTCTCACTCACAGTCCACTTCGCCGGACTCTTCAACCCCGCCCTCTCAGCCTGCCCTTCTGTCTCCTTAGCCTTCTGATTCACCGAATCCATCTCAAAGCCCGCGATTAATTTATACTGCTTGCCCACACCTTCCAATTCCTCCCTTGGAATAACATCAAAGATGTTTTTGAATCCATCTGGCGCTCTTTCGTGAGCGAGTTGCAGAACATGGTCGGGTCCATTGGCTCTGTTTGCCATGACGATTTTGGCGGTGGGTGGGAGGCGGATGGCTTGGTATTGTTGGAGGGCGAGGGAGATGTCGGCGGGGTTGTTGGAGAGGCAGGCGGTTAGTGCTTCGGCGTCGATAATGGCTTGGGAAGCGCCGTTGCTGCCGATTGGGCTTTTCGATGTTTGTCAGTGAAAGTCCTGAGAAAGTGGGCTTGAGGTCAGAACTTACTACATAGCATGAGCAGCATCTCCAAGTAGAGTAAGCCTTCCAAAACTCCAGCGATCAACAGGGTCACGATCGCTCATGGGGAACTCATAGACCTTATCAGTGTCATCAATCAACTGCTTCATACTCAATCCACCACACTGCCAGTCTTGGAATGGCCCCTCGAATTTGGACTTGGGAACCACATTAGTCCAATCCACAGGCGGAGGTGTAAGATCAGGGTCGTCCTTGTCCCTGACCCGCAGCTCGGCAATCCAATTTACCAAACTCTTGCCTTTGCGCATGGAAGTGCCAGAGATAGGATAGGCGATGAACTTCTGATCTGCATGACCTGCCCAGACCATTGATGCTCCTGTCAAGTAGGGCTCTTGCTCGTGGCAGCCTCGCCATAGGATACGACCTGAAAAGCGTGGCGGGCCTTCGTCTGGGTAAAGCAATTTACGCGCTACACTGTTGATACCATCGGCTGCAATCAACACGTCTCCAGTCATTTCCGGGATCTCTGGTTGCAGGGCCAGGTCACTTTTTCGTACGAAGCGAGCGGTGATTGTGTCTTTAGGGCTGTCTCCCAGCATGTTTTCATCCTGCTCGAAACTTGCGAGTGCGTGACTTAGATGAACACGATCGGAGCCTAGACGTTCTTTGACAGTGTCCAGAAGCAGGATTTGGAATTCGCCGCGGTGGATACTGAATTGAGGTACAGCGTAGCCTGCACTTTCACCCCTGGGTTCACTCAAAATGGCATCTCCATGACGGTTGTAAAAGTTGAGCTCCTGGGTCTCAATGGCAGTTGACTTTAGTGCGGGCAGAAGACCGAGGTTTCTCAAGATGAGAACTGCTGAGGGTTGGACATTGATGCCTACACCGAGTGTTGTGAGGTTCGACGCAGCCTCGAAGATATGGATGTCTGTGAAGCCTGCTGCATGGAGAGACAATGCTGTAGTAAGACCTCCAATACCAGCACCAGCGATGATGATCCTGGGCTGTTTGTCCGGAAGAAAAGGCATGATTATGTCGTTTCCTCCACGCGAGCAGAGAATAAGTTGGTGACTTTCGGCCTTCCGATTGATGTGTTCGTGAGACGTCGATTCTTAGTATGCTGTAGGAAGAGTTCTATTCAGCAATTGAGTTTCCAGGATTCAGAGGTCACTGCCCCGTGATATATTAGGTACGTCTCGATTTACCGTCGTCGTCCATCCCACGTCCCGGTTTTGGCTATTTCGATTGCCGAGGTTTGGAGTTGATGGTGAGAACTCCGGGGTCGGAGACGAACCAACAAGCCACGACTTGGAGAGTCTGGGCCTTTGTCCGTACATTACTCTATGGGAAAGAGAGAGCTGCTTCTCATCTCAAGGGACTTGTCGAGAATACTGTCGTTCTGGCATGAACGGATTCCTGCTACATTGCCATCGTAGAGAGATGTTGGTCGGAAGAGCATATGGACGTCGCTATCAGGCAGCTGGTCTGTGTCAACGTTACTAACAGACTTGTGCTTCGAACGGGCGTGTTTCCAACATCAAAGGAACGAGTGCCGAATCCTAGGGCCTCTCTGCCCACCGGGGCTACCATCACTCGCTATTGGAATGCACAATGTGTTGAAAGTAGATCTAGGCCAGAGAGGGAACGTTAAAGTGGCTTTCTGCTCGAATTTGCACACTGCGCTCTCGGCAAATCTTGTTTCTCCATGACTGTCGCAAGGCATGCTGCTTGCCAGTTCACATAGTCACGAAAAAGTCACTGCACAGGGATGTGATTCGTGTGGTTGAAGGTCGTGAATTCGTCATAATCATGGCTATCGCAGTGGTGGTATCATCCCAAAAATCATCCATCCCATTCTATCCCATGTTGCCGATTGTCGGTCTTGTTGGCTTCGTGTAGCGGATGCACATCGCAAGACGCTTAAGCTCTGGCCTGCTTGTCGAGGTCGGCCTCAACACCACGCTGCTGAGTCTTGCCCTCGTCGTGCTTGGCCTCGTACTTGGCCTTGTCAGCCTGGTTGCCAGTAACGCTGGCGACGGCACCACCGACGGTACCAGAGACGCGGTCGGCAATACCGGAGCCGAGATCGTTGAGTTGTCCCTTGGCCTCCTGCTCCTTGCCCTCGGCGTTCTGCTGAACTCCCTGCTTCTTCAAAGACTCGTTGCCGACGAGGTTGCCAAGGGCCTCCTTGCCAGAGCCGACGGTCTGGTTCCAGGAACCCTCGCTGCGGTTGGGATCGTTTTGGGCGATGCCAGAGGCGGAGACGCTGTAGCCGCCGACGTTGGCACCGGCGTGCGAAGCATCGTGCTTGATCTCGGCCTCGGCCTTCTTGTTCTCGCCAGCATTCTGTGGTGTGTTAGCTTGGACCTGGTGCTGAGGAATGGAAAAGAGGATAGATCATACCTTGTCGGCGTTGCTACCGATGAGAGAGCCAAGGGCGGACTGAGCGGCGCCAGAGGCAGAGTCGATGTACGACTGGAGAGTGGAGGTTTGCTTGTCAGACATGTTGATGTTGTTGTGAGAAGGTAGGGTTGTGGTTGTGGTTGTGGTTGGATATGAAGCTCGAACTTGCAGCTTTGATGAGATGATGAGTAAAAGTCCTTTACAAGAAGAAGATGAAGGCTTATATAAATATTTCTCGAGTTGTTATGATGGTCCAACTTTCACTTGGAAGCGTGTTTGCATGTGAAGCCAATGACTTCATTGTGGCTGAAAGCTGCTTGGACCCTGTTTTAACGAGTGGCTAGGACCATATGACTTCACTGACTCCTTTGACAGCCATGATAGACCATTCTAGAACTCGTCACTTGCTGGCTGGATATTCGTGGAATGGTGTGCTGTCTTGAAAGTGCATGTGGTCATCTTAGTAGGTGTTACCACCAAATCATGCTGCTCGTCTCACTCCTGATCTATATCCACATCTCTGCATAATGCCGCCAATAGGGCACCAGCTTCAGAGCCTCCTGACCGAAAAGAAGATCCTCTTCGTTCCCTCCTTGTGCCATGATACCTTGTTTCTAACAAGAGGCCAGTCTTCCAGAGTAGCATTCACGTCCCATTGCGTGCCGGTTTCCTCTCCAATCTCCTCCCACATCTGCTTCCATGACTCCACGTTTTGCAGGAACATGTTGCCGCTTCCACTAGCCGATGATTCTTCCTCGTGAGCTCTGACATTGCCCACTTGACGCCCGACTAGTAGTGAGTCCTTTTGTGGCTTGAGAAGCTGGACTACGCGTCTCGCAATCTTCTTCTGTCCTTCATAGCCGAACAGATGGAAGAACGACGACGTGTGAAGGATGTCGATTTTGCCTGCTAAAGGCGTAAGGGCAGATTGTGATTCGAAGACATCTGCCGCGATGAATTTGCTATTCAGCTTGTCCTTGTCTTTGAAGAGATCGTATCCGAGATCCAAAAACCCTTGGTGAAGGTCACTGCCGATCAAAACACTGCCAGGAACTCCATCATTTACAAGACGACGAATGTCTTGACCAAAGCAGCATCCCAGATCGAGATACTTCTCGTTGCCAGACTTGAGTCTCTGGAGAATTTCCGGATATTCATGGAAACCTCCCAAGGGCATATCCAGGAAGCGAAACTGGCCGATGCAGGGGTACGGGAAGACTTCCCATGCTGTGTCTCTCTTGCTGGATGTCAGCATCAAATTGTCGCATAGGGATTCAATCAAGCGTGGTTGTGATTGAATACTTCCGCCTGATCATTACAGCCGCTACACTTACAATTCTTAGGACATGCGGAACGACTTGATCAGAAGGTATGTTGCTGTATGTCTCAAGGACCGACCTAGCTTGAGCATTAACATCTTCCAGCTCGGGCTGGAACCAGTCGACACTCTTGTCTTTCGTACCAACAGCTGTCATGTTGTTTGAGTAAAGGGAGAAGGTGAGGTGATGATGGACATGAAGCTTCGTGCTTTAACACAGGCATGGATAAACGGCAGCTGACAATTACAGTAACTGTCGCCACGCTCTCGTGGGGAGCTTGGACGATCAATGTGAAATCATACAACTGTCATTCCACAGATGGTCCTCGTTACGGAGAGTGTGCTTGGTAACGTATCACAGTGATGATGATAGCTCCCTCCTGAAATTGTGGCTTCAAAGCAATAAAGTTGTGTTGCATCGGCGCGTACAGATGGGTCCAAGTTTGCGGAGAAGCGACATTGTTGCCTTTAGGCGACACTGGTGCCTATTTTGACTGTCGCTGAACATTACCCATGACAATCAGGCATTTCTTATCTGTTCGCGACAAACATGCGACCTCCAAAAGCATTCATTGGCGTTGATGGAGGGGAATCATCCCAAAAGGGAAGAAAAAGGGAGAAAAATGATATAAATTTGCTCAGGTCCCCCGTGCCCCCGCAATGGCCAAGCACGGGCAGGAGCGGGCGCAGAAAAATTGGACCAACAACATCTCTAGACAATCAGACTCATCATTGCTTCACGTATTGCTCACATCGCTAGTAGACGACTACCAGCGTATTCACGACTCTCGAAAGCCCCTATTCCTATCCTTTCGAAACTCCCCTCCGCAACAATGAGCGAAATCACTCACCCCACCATCAAGGGTAGCTAAAGCTCCACATAATGCAGTTGAAAGAGAATGGAGGCTCATACACAAGGCAGATGGCTGGTTCCGCGAGATCTCCAACATGTGGCCCGGCCAGGCCATGACCCTCAAGGTCAACCAGGTCGTCCACCACGAGAAGTCCAAGTACCAGGATGTCCTCATCTTCGAGTCGACCGACTACGGCATGGTCCTCGTCCTCGACAATGTCATCCAGTGCACCGAGCGCGACGAGTTCTCGTACCAGGAGATGATCACCCACCTGGCCATGAACTCCCACCCCAACCCCAAGAAGGTCCTCGTCATCGGTGGTGGTGACGGTGGTGTCCTACGTGAGGTCGTCAAGCACGAGTGTGTCGAGGAGGCCGTCCTCTGCGACATTGACGAGGCCGTCATCCGTCTCTCCAAGAAGTACCTCCCCGGTATGGCTGTTGGCTACCAGCACCCCAACGTCACGACCCACGTCGGTGACGGCTTCAAGTTCCTCGACGACAAGAAGGGCGAGTTCGATGTTATCATCACTGACAGCTCCGACCCGGAGGGCCCCGCCGAGGCTCTGTTCCAGAAGCCTTACTTCGAGCTGTTGAAGGGTGCCCTGAGAGAGGGCGGTGTCATTTCTACCCAAGGTTGTAAGCACCCTTTCCTTGTCCCCTGACTTATCTTCGATCACTCTTCGCTTCGTCAACCCCCACCCGAGACCAGAAGTTGCTGACTTTTAGAAAAGCCGAGAACCAGTGGCTCCACCTTCCCTTGATCACCAAGCTCAAGCAGGACTGCAAGCAGGTCTTCCCCAACGTCGAGTACGCCTACACCACCATCCCCACCTACCCCTCTGGTCAGATCGGCTTCATGGTCTGCTGCCTTGACGCCAACCGCAACCTCAAGAAGCCTGTGCGCCAGTGGTCCGAGGCCGAGGAGGACAAGCTCTGCAAGTACTACAACAAGGAGATCCACGAGGCTGCCTTTGTTCTGCCCAACTTCGCCAAGAAGGCCCTCAAGTAGATGGATGATTTACGACACAAAATGGTCGATCAAGACGCTGTGCTTTAGACGTTTTCACAAGATACCAATGACATTACCTGCACTCCTTGCGGCCTTTCTACTCAATACATGATGATTACAGATGTACCTACCTGTGACGGGAAAGTCAAGTCCAGGTTGAAGTGCTCGGGGTGCTTATGTGATGGTTGAACACTGGTACGAGTAGCTGTACCTTGCTCGCTTCGCTTGTCACGACCAATGCCCAAGCCAGGCGATTACCAAGACGCAAAAGTGCCCGATCTGTAAACAGTGGCTTTGCTGACTCTTGAAGCCCTCCTCATTGCAAGCGCCGAGATGCGCCTGCCGACGTGCAAGCAGTCCCACCCGAATCATGGTGGAGTGGAGCCTTGTTATGGTCATGAGGATACATGCTGCAAAGTCTCTTTCTCACAACCGTGCCGTCTTCTTGCAAGAGCCGGCGTCAATACAACTGGCCGAGTCGTGTCCGATGTACGCGACAACGTGATGAAGGGTCGGTGACCAGACCGCGATACTCTTTCTATGCATCAAGTCAAGCGACCGAAAGGCGGAGGATAATTCGGCTGGGGATACACGGGACGAAATGCATGCATATGCACCTCTCTATTGGTCCATTTGTCCGAATTTTCGAGTGCAGCAGGGCTCTTTTTGCTGAGCAATTCTTGCATTTGCCATTTCCCTTCTCTTTTGACAGCCACCTGTTTCTTTGCCTCGAGCAAGGGCGAGCGGGTTGAAGCGCCTCATGATGGCAGGTGCCGCAGGTGCATTGTCGACATGATTGACTGCATGACAGATCCAGATCATGAGCCTTCTGACGACTTGATTTCGACGACGCGCAATCGCGGGTTTAAGATTCCTCGGAGGACAGTTGTGAGGAGAGCATTGGCTATAATTCTCCGAACAGGCAGTAGATTTTTCTTCTAGTCTTGACGCTGGGTGGAGCAACAAAGGGCGAGGGCGAAAACCAACGAGTCGACTAGAGCAGGACAGGTGAAGTGATGGTTCTTTTCAGCTCCCCAATGTTTGCCGCGTAGCAAGGTACAGCAGGAGTAGCAGGGGAGGAACAGGGATAGCGTGTTTCGAAATGCGCCCTTGCTGGCCTTGTTCCTGCGCTAGCCACGCCATCCCCATGCTGACACGTTTGGTACCTTGAATCTTAACACCACACACATCAAGAAAAGCTGCCGTCGCCGGTAAACTTGAGATGCAGGTCAGCAGCCGGAAGCTCAACCTCGAGGACAACTTTGGCGACGTGAGAGAGGCGAAAGCTGTTGCCTCTCGGCTTACTCGTGCTGTGCCCTCGTCCATCGACGCCTCTCCTGAGGTGTGCGCAAGTGAAGCCGTCTTGACTCGGCCAGATTAAGCTCATTCGGTTGATCTTCCGTGGATCTGGCCGTGCGGCCGCGTACAGATACCTGAATCCTGACAGTCGTGATGGAGGTGGGGAGCTTCATCTCTCAAAGATCCACTGTGAAGCAAAATTCAGCTCGCCAACAGCGAAGGAAAGAAGGCAATTCCGCGCGATGAACGACACGCAGGCCGGGTCCCCGGGCTTGCATGGACTCTGCAGCATCTCGAGTGCGGTCGATGGCAGTTGCGATGGGAAATGAAGAACCAGAAAAGCAGACTGCGGCAGCAAGCCGAACTCCCCACTCCCGGCTTCTTGCTGGTTCGCGAACGGTTGCATATTCTCCTTTGGTTGCTGTGCCCCTATTTCTCCAAAACAACCAACACAACAATTTCAGCTTGTTGGTTTTATGAGAGCAAACTGTTTCGAACGACATGGCGCAATTGTGAAACAATCACCTGGTCAAGTTGGAGCCAGCGCCAAACTACAGTTTCTGGTTCTCGGAAGCGCGGCGGCTCTCCAGTCACACTGATGGATGCATCTTTCAAGGTGGGTACTCTGCAGCGGGAATGGCGCTGCTGGCGCTCTGGACTCCCTGCAATCTCTGGGATCCACGCTGTCACTTTTTTCCCGCCGCATGGCTTTCCTCACCTTCCCTGTAGGGGCACGGATCAAGGCCTTGAAACTCAAAGTGCGCCTTTCTCACCTACCTTTACTCCTATATGTATCAAGCCATGTTCCCCCAGTCTTGAATTCATCTATTCCGATCATCCTTTCTTCGTTGCTCCTTCTAGGTCTGTGACCTATTCTTTCTTTAACCAAAAGTCCTTGCTAGGGCTAGTCATTCATTCACCACTTACATTCATTCGCTCTTTCGACCTCTCCCCTTTCAGGATTTGACATCCTCGCTTTACCTCTTCAATTCCAGCTTCTATATCCAACTTCACCATGTACACTTCTACCAAAGTTCTCGGCCTGGCTGCCGCCCTCGCTGCGCCTGCTGCTGCATTCTTCCGTATGCCCTGCCCTGGACGTATTGTTACTGAGCGTGCCGACCCTATTGTCTCTCCGGGCCAGGTTGCCGGCCACGTTCACACCATCTCCGGAGGCAATGGCTTCAAATTCGAGATGGACTACGCCGATGCTCGTGCCTCGGACTGCTCGTCTTGCCCCATCAAGCAGGATCTTTCCAACTACTGGACCCCTGCTCTGTACTTCCAGCACCAAAATGGATCTTTCGAGAACGTACACCAGTCCGGTGACGGTACCGGTGTCTATGGTGGCATGACTGTCTACTACCTTCAGCGTGGCGGTCCCAACAACGATGAGCTCAAGGCCTTCCCCGAAGGTTTCCGCATGCTCGCTGGTAACCCCTTCAAGCGTAACCACACCGACGATTTTGCTTCCGAGGCTGTCAGCTTTGTCTGCCTCGACTACAGCGGCGGCTCCAGCACTACTGACGGTCTTCCCGACAAGAAGTGTCCCGATGGTCTCCGCGCCCAGGTCTTCTTCCCTTCGTGCTGGGATGGTGTCAACCTTGATTCTGCTGATCACATGTCCCACATGTCCTACCCCGTTGGTGGTAGCTACGACAGCGGCAAGTGCCCTGACACTCACCCCGTCCATCTGATCTCCATCTTCTACGAGGTTAACTACAACACTGGCGACTTCGACGACGAGTGGTACGGTAGCGGTCAGCCTTTCGTCTTTGCTCAAGGTGACCCCACTGGTTACGGATTCCACGGCGACTTTGTCAACGGTTGGGACGTTCCTACTCTCCAAAAGGCCATCGATGAGTGCACCAACGACAGCGGCCTTCTCTCCGACTGCCCTGTCTTCGACTTGTTCACCACCAAGGAAAGTCAAGCTTGCATAATTCCTCCTCAGGTTGACGAGCAGGTCACCGGTATGCTCAGCGCTCTTCCCGGATGCAACCCTGTGCAGCAGGGCCCCGGCCTTGCCTCTGTCCAGAGCTGTCTTAACACCAACAGCAAGGTCGCAACTGTCGGTGCCTACCAACAGTACTACAAGGACGTCACTTCTTCTCTCAACTGGCAGTATGTTGGTTGCGGTACTGACAGCCTCAGCGGCCGTACCTTGAACTCTGCATCGACCAGCAGTGGCTCCATGACTGTCGAGACCTGCATTGCCTTCTGTGAGGGCAAGGGCTACAGCTATGCAGGCCTCGAATACGCTTCTCAGTGCTACTGTGGTAACTCTGTCGCTTCTGATCGCGCCCCTGTGACCGGTGTTCTTGGTAACTGCTTCTCGCCTTGCGCTGGTGACAGCACCGAGTACTGTGGCGGTGGTAGCGCTCTCTCCCTCTACCAGAGCTGTAAGGGCACTTCCAGCTGCAAGAACAACGACTACACCGGTCCTGCCGGCGCTGCCGTCTCTGTCGCCTCTTCTGTTGTCGCTGCCTCTTCTTCCACCAGCCAGACCAGCTCAAAGACCAGCTCCGTTTCCACCTCAACCACCAAGACCAACTCTGTTTCCACCTCTGCCTCCACTTCTGGCACCAAGCAAGCAACCACCCTCGCCACCTCGAGCAAGCCCGCGTCCTCTTCATCTTCAAAGACATCAACCACCACTGCCACCTCCACAGCAAAGAAGCACCGCAAGCAAAAGAACCCCGCTTCCGCAACCAAGAACGCCCGCTTCGCCGCCGCTGTCGCTGACAAGGAACACGCTGACCGTCAAGCCGCCGAGGTCAAAGCCAAGCTCGCCGCTTCAAAGGTCCGTCGCCACCTTGCCGAGCTCAAGGCTGGTCGTCATCATTAAACCTCTACTTCTGTAGAGGTTGCTTTTAACGAAAAATTCATGTGGTTGTATGACGGGTTTTTGGGGATGATATGGTATGGATATGGACGAACATGGATTGGATATATAGAAGGAGGTTTTTTTCTTTTTCATTTCTCTACTTTCGCTTCTTTGACAAAGACAGCTTTTTGATGAGGGAGGTTTGAAGATTTGCATTCTGGTTCACGGAACAGGATGGTTACTCTGGACATGGTTTTAAGAAATCAGATCAAAATATACGAAACCTTTTTTTTATTTTGACGTGCCATCTTTCTATGCCAAATTGCGTGACCGGGTTGGTGAGTAAACAGTTCTCTGTGGCTATAAAATTCTATCCATTGCAGTCCGAAAGTTGTGTATCTGTAGCATAGAAAGCAAGGTCCTTTCATGTGTTTTGGCTACCGGACTAGTAAATAATTGTCATCGTTTGATCAAGCCTGTCATTTGTGCATGTCATCCATCCATCCATCTACTCCTCCCTGAGTTTCTTGTTTGCATCTTGCTGTTCAACATCAATCCTCTGTCTCTTGACTCCTGATCCTGCGCCCAAAGCCCTTCCTTCTGGAAGTGGAGGTCCGCCGGGCGGCAGGGGTGGCATTAGAGCTCCATTGTCGAGCGTCCAACCCTCTCTTTGCAATCGCTTGAGTCTCTGTCCCGCAGCATATCTGACTAGGTCGCCAGTTGCACGGGCATCTTCGAGAGAGTCGTGGCCAAGAGCACCTCCCATTTGAATGTCGCGACCAAGGTGGCGCTTGGTAAGCATTTTGAGGCCGAAACGGTAGGGTAGACCGCGTGGGTGAGGGAATAGGATGATAGTGTCGATAATGGTAGGATGGCAGAGTCGGACAACATTCAGATCGTTTTCGATTCCATGACCGATCAGAGGGGTAGATGGTGTAAGGAACGAGCACAAGAGGTCGCGTGCTGCAACTGGACTTGAGACGATTGGTAGTGGATCACTGGCAGTGTCCTTTAATGGCGTAGAGTCACGAGTGCCGGGTAATGGAGGAACGTCGCTGCCGGGTGGTGGAGGAGGTAATAATGCATCCATGGCTGCCTTCTCCTCGTATGGTACAGCATTACTGTACATCTCCGGTGTCACACCAGACCAGCGAGTATTGAGGTCCAAGATGGTACCTTGAGGCCGGACGAGAACGTCAACCAGGCAATGACCTTCTGGCCAGGAGACTGCAGTGAGGCGAATGAGCTCAAAGCCACTTGTACTGTATCCCATTTCACAATCGAAAGTGACAGCGTCCAGTGTCTTACCATTGGGTCCTTTGGCAGGCCTTGGGTTGTGCGGTGTGTTGATGAAAGGCATGACGGATGCAAGCCTCTTGCCATCGCTGACTTTGAAGACGTGCGTTTCGCACTGTGTGCAGCCTGGCGATTCAAGCAATTCCTGGCAACAGGGATAGATGGCCTGTTTCGGACCTTTGATAGCGTCTGTCTTCTCACGTCTGGCCGTGAAAGGCTTTGCCCAGTGGTACCTGCAGGGCCCGTTTGTCGTCAAAGCGCCATCCTCCTCCCTACGTTCATCGAAGACTCGGAAGCGAGACTTGCATCGATCGCATACCTCGTAATTGAGGGAAGCAGCAACAGCAGCTTTGGCTTCGACAATGTCATCTTCAGTTGGCGGTATTGGTACGTAGCCGTGTTTGGCTAGATTTGTCTGATCGGTGATCAAGTGAGGAAGAACGATATGCTCCTGGTCAAGTGGCAAGCCAGTGTCAATCGGAGGAACGACGTTGCCTTGATCTTCTTGTTGGTCAATTCGGATAGTAGCAATGACATGAGTGATCCAATCCTCGACTGCCATCTTCTTGAGTGCTGCAACACGCATCTTGATGACGTTGGCGTAGACTTTGTGGTTCTCACGTGCCGTCTTTTCTTCTTCGTCCAGGGCAGCTTTGATCAGTTCGTCGCTTGTCAATGTCAAGACGGCTCTCTTAGGATGAGCGCCCTTGGCTATTTGATTGTTCAAGCGTTCCATTTCACCATGAAGATGCTTGAGGAACAGGGTACGCTTTCCATGGCCAGCAGGATCATGAGGTATCATGCGAGGATTCAGGGTTTCTTTGATGGCGGGTTTCGTAGGTGCTGTCTTGGATGATGCGGTTGGTGGCTTGGGTGGAGGGCTCACCGGTCTTTGTAGTGTCTTAAGAATTTTGAGGGGGGCAGGTGTCGTTACGGCTGGCTTTGGCTGGTTGACAGTAGTGAAGCCATTGGTGGCGAAGCCCTTGTTCGCGTTGCCAGACTTGACAGTGACAGGATTGGCAGTCGCTTTGGTGGCTGCATCAAGATCTTGGTCAAGTTTGCGCTTCTTTGCTGCGGGCTCCTCTGGGGCGTCAAGATTGACTTGTGGTCGTAACTCATGGGAAAAGATGCAATGAATTATTGTGCATCGTTCTCCTTCAGGGCATGGAATACCTTTGAAAAGACCAGTCGTTGAAAACATGGTGATTCAGTTGGCGAGATGAAGAGGGAGGGTGGCTTGACAAAGCGAAAAAAGCTTTAGTGCCTTGAACACGTTGGATGGGCTCGCTCATACAAGTTTACCTGATTGGAACGAGAGTGAGATGATTCAGGTTGAGAGCATACTAAGGAAGTGCTTGACGCTCGGCAAAGGATGTGTTTGTTCGAGGAAAAGATCATGAGCCAAGTGAAGCAGTCAGTTGTGAGTGCTCGACGGTTGAAATGGCGATCTGGTTCCAGAAATTGGTCGCAGGCGGCAGGAGCTCTCGACACAAATCACAGCCGTCTGAGAAGCGAGGAGACTCCTGTCACTCTGGGATTGAACAATATAGGGCAGCTGGTCCCTGGGCGAATAGAGTTATCGGAGGGGAGAGGTAAAGAATGGCCGTCGGGGTTTCGAAAGTGCCGAAACGTGCGATCAAGGCACGTCATCATCCAAGGGGAATCCACCAGTCGAGGCAGCCGAATTGTTTCTTCCATCCATCTCAACTTATATATGTCTCTTGAGTCGTTCAAAGATCATGGACACACAGCATTCGTAACAGTATCTGAAGAATTACAGTCTCGTTGGAACGGCAAAGTCGCGCAGAATTTGGCTAGAGAAACAGGTATGGCCGACCATCTCTGTATCTTAATTCACGGGTAAGGCTACACCGTGTCGCTGCGTGTACCACCATATCCCCCCTCTCTTCCTGTCCATTTCGTGTCATATGTAGAGTTTCGCTAACTCCAAGGTTCTGCAGGCTCTGGGGCAAGCCGAAACACTTGAAGAATCTCGCGACATCGTTACAAGCCGAATACCCGCAAGACAAGCTACACGTCCTCGTCACCAAGAGCAACTCGAACAGCTTCACCTATGATGGCATAGAATTGGGCGGCGAACGTACTGCCAATGAAGTCGAGGAAGAGATCAAGAAACTTGAGGAGGGCGGCAACAAGATCACAAAGATAAGCATTGTTGGATATTCGCTGGGTGGCCTGGTCGCGCGTTATGTTGTCGGCCTGCTGTACTCGAAAGGCTATTTCGACCGGATAAAGCCCGTCAACTTTACCACTTTTGCGACACCACATTTAGGCGTGCGATCGCCTCTGCTAGGCCCACACAACTACCTCTGGAATGTGCTCGGGGCTCGCACTCTGAGTACTTCGGGTCGCCAACTCTTCACCGTCGACTCGTTCCGTGATACAGGTCGCCCCCTCTTGACTATCCTCGCGGATCCGAATAGTGTCTTTATCCGTGGACTCGCCCAGTTCAAACACCGTACCCTCTATTCTAACATTGTCAACGACCGCAGTGTTGTCTACTACACCAGTTGTATCACCTACAAGGATCCCTTTGTCAACATCGACGCTGTCGATTTACAACCTCTTGCTGGCTATGATGGTGTTCTGTTGCGGCCCGACGAACCTGTTCGTCCCAAGCCTCGAGTACCGCTCGGCTTTTGGGCTCGAGTAAGATCTACCGGCTGGTCCACCCTTACCGCCGTCCCGTTGTATCTACTCTTGGCCGTCCTCATCCCTGTTGGTAGTATGCTCTTCCTCATCAACAGTGGTTATCAAACGATTCGCTCTGCTCAGCGTGTTCGCTTGCACGAGTCCGGTGGTGCCAACTTTGGAATCGAGCGGTATCGGTCAAACCCACTCCTTGAGGAGGCCCAGAATCTTGAGGAGCGCGTGTTTGATCGTCTCAATGCCAATCAAGGACAAGACTACCTGCCAACTCCGCCATCTGAAGACGAGGAACGCTTCTCAAAATCCGAACATTCTGGTAGCAAGTTCAAGGGCCAGGAGAAGTTTCCCACGCTTGCTCTTACATCGGATCAATTTTATATGATTGAGGGGCTGGATGGTGTGGGCTTTACGAAGTACCCTGTACACATCAGCAAGGTTCGCCATACACATGCAGCCATCATTGTGCGGACCAATCGTTGGGGTTTTGACGAGGGCAAGGTCGTTGTTGGACATTGGGTCAAGCATTTCGAGGTATAGAGGTTATATTCTTTTCTAGCGGATCATCATAGAACGCGTGCTTTTGTAATCCAAGAATACCTCTAAGCATTTCGCGTGTCCCATGGAGCGATTCGAAGCTCGAAGAACCACACGAGGCTTGATGTCATAATGCTCGGGAGCAGTGGGATTAGGGCGAGATCAACCTCCGCATCCCGATCCAGCGGTTTCAACTTGGGGGAAATGTCAGTGACATGGATCAGGACATGTTCCACTTGGCCAGGGTCATCCGCTAGACCGCAAGACCGATAGATGGTCCAAACAGGTGTTTCGTGAGCAGATATCCTCGTGTAAACTATTAGTGACCACGGAACATGTCGATCTCGCATGGGGGGATGCAGTTGTTCACGTCCTGGCTCGCCGCTCAAGCTCAGGGCACACGAGTGAAAACAATCCAGCGTTCGAAGGCCAGGTCGAAATCACCAGGCCGAGATGAAGTTGAGCTGACGCCGATAGGCGGTCAGCGCTTTAGCGTAGGTGTGCCAACAATTCCAATCTTCGAGATGGAAGATCTTTGCATCGAACAATTCAACAAATACGCGCTCGAAGATGACCGGAAGAATGATCGACAAGAGCATGCGGAGGCAGACCGAGGTGGCATTGATAAGATATGCTGTTGCCAACGCCGCTAACGCCTATCAGACTAGCGCCTCGGGCCGGGCCGCGCTGTTGACAGAAAGGCCCAAGCGTATGCCCTTGCCAGTGACACCCGAGCGTCAGAGATCCCTATCGCCAACATCTTCTCAGTCTGAAGACGAGAGCGATAGCGATTCAGAGATCGAGCAAACCGACTCGGAGTGGAGCCCTGTTATGGATCGGTACTCGTCGGCTGACTATGATCCTGCACTCTATGCGACGTCCGAAGTAGACGACGCGGAGGACTTCTACGATGCTGACCCATCTCAGCCAGCAGTCACGGCAGGCGCTGTGAGCACTTATCTTTCTTTTCCTCGTGCTCTCTCTTCGTTCCTGTTCCTGTTTCTCTTCCTCTTCCCGGTCCTCTTCAGCACAAGTGAAAAGGCAATGTCGTTTGCTAATCTCTTTCCTTTCCCACAGCAACACCAGACGTCCTCTTCGTCGATGGGCAATAACGTTGGCACGCTCCAATCAGGCGCAAACACGCCCGTCGACGCTGCTTTGGTCAGCAAGATCAACGCCGAGAAGCTCCAGGAACTGCGTGCGAAGCTGCTCGCTAACCGTCAAGCCACCCCAGTGAAGGACTTCTCGACAGCTGCTGCTGCTGCGAAGAACGGTACTCTCGCGTCGATCAAGACCGAATCACAGTCACTTTCTCGACCTCCGAGCCCCGCACACACGCCCAAGACCGTCGTCGTCAACAAGAACAAGCAGTCTGCACACAACAGACCAACCGCTGCATCAATGCTCAGCCAGTCAAACTCAATCGATGCTCTCCTGGCCGAGAGTCACGCATCCGTCATGTCGCAAGGCGCCAACACCCCCCAACAGAAGACTGCTCCAATCAAGCAGCAATACACAACAGCTCCCACCCCCAAGTCGACCACTACTACTGAAAAGGCCACTACTCCTAAGCTGGCTCGTTCGCCTGCTCCGTCTTATAAACAAACCAACACTGCTGAAAAGATGAACACCAACAACGACGAGTCTTCGTCGACTGCCAAGTCACCTGAAACACCCAATCAACAGATCAACAGAACTAACAATCTGCACATGGAGAAGGCCAATACTACCTCTCCTGGTCCTGCCGAAAGATTCCCCAAACACAAGACGGACCACCATGCCAATGCAATCAAGTCTGCCAATCCCTTGTCCAGAGGTCCTCTTCAGAAGACGAGCCTTAGCTTGAACACCAAGTCTGCCAAACAACAGGATGATGACTACTTCAAGGACGTCGATCTTTGGTTGACCATTACTGGCTTCCACGACAAGACGTTTCGTGAACAGAAGCTCAAGACGTACAAGATGCGTGCTGCGCTTGAAGAAAAGAAACGTGCCTTGGAACACGAATTTGCCGAACTTGAACGTCAAGAGGCTGCTACGGCTAACGACCCTAGTTCCAAGGATTTCATGCGTGGTGCTTCAGCTGCTTACATGCCTCCTCCAGCCCTTCCTGCCTCGACCTCCAACTCGTTCGATGGTCAGAGCGCTTCTTTGACCAAGGCCAACCCTATCCCTACTCAGCCTGCATCGGCTGGTGTCAAGCGTCCCCGCTCACCCTCTGTTCCTGTGAACGACTACCCTGAAAAACTGCACCGTCTCAACACTTCTGGCCGTGCTGTGCGCAGAGATGATCTCTTCGACAAGCCTCTGTCTGCCACCGCTTCCAGACGCGGCTCCGATCAGAGGTAATTTGGTTTGAGCGCCGCCTGACCCGCTTGAACCCACGTTCAGGTCCAATCGAACGAGCACAACAGGCTAACTACTTGACAGATCTCACTACATCAATGACAGATTTGACAGACCCGAAAGAGTTGACAGATCCGAGAGAGTTGACAAACCTGAAAGATCTGCCTACCACCAGCGTGCTGACTATGACACTTCTCCGACTTCTCACTCCATCTCCGTCAGAGGTCAGGCCTACCGCCCCAATGACGGTGCCTTTGGTCGTCGCGATTCTTGGAACGCTCCCAGATCTCCTGAATGGTCTGCACGCCCTCAGGGATGGACCTCCACTGCCTTCTCGGACGTGAACGAGGCCCCTCTTGGAGGTAGCTTCTCCGGTAACAACAAAAGTGGGTACACGCCTTCCAACCCCAGAGCCAAGTACAACAGATAAGCTTGTTCTTCGTTTCGCTCTTACACAAGTACACACTCGAATTGATTACTCGGGGTACATTTGGAAGATATAGAAGGCCTTCCACCATGATTAGCATTTTTGATAGCAAGGCGTCTTGGGGATTTTCAACACATGCCCGACACGACACAAAATGAATGCTTTTCTGTTTATCCACTCTTCTTTCCAACATATAATATCCCACTTTGTCTCTTTCCACACAGAACGCATACGTGCATTCAGAGCATACTCGCTAACGTCTCCGACTCTTTCAGCAGCCCCACCAGCGAGATTCTTCATCATCAAAAGCTGGAATATGCAAAATGTTATCGAAGCGCAACGCGATGGAGTCTGGGCCACTCAGGAGAAAAATACAGAAATGTTTGCCGAGGCTTTCCACAGCTGTCGCTCTGTCGTGCTGCTATTCAGCGTCAACAAAAGCATGGCATTCCAGGGCGCTGTAAGCACTCCCTTCCTACCCGACCTCCCGCTATACACGTACTGACAGCTCTTCGCCAGGCCGTGATGACGAGTCCGCCGTCTGCTACAGTCCCGCAACCAGCTTTCTGCAAAAAGCTAAAATGGCCCACCTCACCACCCTTTCGTATCCGTTGGATCTGTACAACATCTGTCCACTTCAAGTTCGTCGGACATCTGAGAAACATGTATAACCCCAACGATGACGGCGAGCCGCATGCTGTACTTGTTGGCAAAGACGGACAGGAGGTCAGTACCTCTGCTGGAGAGGGTGTCGTTGAGATCTTGAGGGCCAGAGATGGCGAGGCAAGGGGCGAGGGAGATAGACCTTGAGAGGCGTGTGGATGAGTCCGGAGAGGTTGAAGTGAAGATGTACATATGTGTGTAAGTTGCTTTCGAAAGCTCAAATGAGTGTTGAGTTGATACTCGAGGTATGTGTAATACGGCATTGCGATATAGTTTGCAGAATCATAGACATGTTGCTGAACATTTGCTATTCCCTGCTCTCCAGCCGCACTTTCCACACAGTGATAGTGATAAGTTTGAAGTATCATGTGAACGTTCGTCACTACCAACTATCGAAAGAAGGATCAAGCTCCCACAGTCCATATAAACCTCCTCCGCCCAGAACTCAAATCGTCACACATCGTTCCCAGTCGTACTCGATTGGCACTGAACAGCGAGCACCTCGACCATTGCTGCCGGAGCGCGTGCAACCACATTGCCTCGATCTCTACACCACGTGCTTGACCGAGCAGGCTAGCGTAGCGGTCCGCCGTGTATAGCAACCAAGTGACGGCTCAATAGCGCACGTGCAATCGCATGCACGCGGCAGATGTAGTCTCCGTTCATACTCCGATGGGAGATGGAAAGAGGGGCCCGTTTGGCGTACCTGCCCCTTGAATAAAGGGTGGAAATACAGAATGGTTTCTGTTTCAGGCGCGCTGGACGGCGGGAGACTCCATCGAATTAGCGCGGGGTATGAACCCCCTAGTGTCCGCAAGGAGGGAGTGACGACGAACCACGCTGTAGACACGCGCTTAGCCCCCAAAGGAATCATAAAAAGGCAGGGACCTTTCTGCTACGAAGACCAAGACAGCTATAATAGACATCGAAGTGGCGCGCAACGCTAGGGATGTCGTGGCGGACTGTGGATGGAGTGGTAGGGCGGTAATCCCCAACACGCGTGCCTGCCATCAAAAGGGGGGCCGTAAAAAGGCACGATACATCTCAATATCGTATATCCTGCCATTGAGATGTTGACGCGATCCAAGTCAGAAAGGTTTTCACAGCTTGACGGTGTCCTTCTGCAAAGCCTCTACTTCTCTTTTCAAGGCTTCTCTGATATTCTGGGCTAATGCAACCGCTTCCTCTTCGTCCAGCTCTTCTCTCTGACCTCTACCAAACATCTTCCAGCTCTTGACTTCGAAGGTGTCACCCTTGGACTTCTTTGATGGCGGTTTGCGGCCATCAGGATATCTAGGGATGAAGTGGAAATGCACATGCGGGACGACCTGCGAGGCACGAGCGCCATTGTTTTGTACGACGTTCCAGTCCTCAATATCCAGTGTTTTGGCAAGTGCGCGCGACATTAGTGGCATCCAGTATCCCAGGGCCTGGGCGGTTGGCCCGATGGGCACCTCACTGAGTTTCTCGTGGTGTACGCGCGTAGTGAGTAGAACATGGCCTGTTGTCATAGGTAGGATGTCCAAGAATGCAAGGATATGGTCAGAGGACAGGATGACGAAGGCATTGGGATCCACAAGAGTCGGGTCGGGGGCCGAGGGGATGGGAGAGCCAGATGATGAAGGATAGGCTTCGCTTATACGACAGAATGGACAATCGGAAGGGTAATGTGATTCTAGTGACATGGTTGCCGTTCCTTTTTGAAGATGCAGCTGCGACTATGCTGGCTCTCTGTGTGAACCCTTGTCCTCTGGAGTTCGAGGGTGGCCAGAAGTCGCTCTCTAGCATTGCCAAGACTCCTCCGCATCACCGTCATACTCGAGTAGTCTCCTAACACTTTAAATGCGGTAAACTTCCGTCGCAATGTGAAGCAGCAAGCCACCATCGCATCCAATATGAGGGAGATTACTTGTGACGAGATAGGACATCGTATGTGAATCAAATAGAGGAGTACCCTTCTGCTCATCGTAGACTCATACGGATCATGTCCAAGTCGAGCTGCTAAATCTCATAGAAACAGTAGGTAGTAAGCGGGTTGCTTCCGCAGTCGCTCAAGAAAGAACCTCGGTCGTTTCTGCTTGACTTCTCTCATGCCGAGCGAGCAGCCCGCAAGGTCTATCGCAAGGCACAAATTTCTAGTGACAGATGTACCTGTACATGGCTACCGAACGTTGGACTCAAATCCTTCCTGTTGAGACTCATATTTACCGAGTTGACCTTGCGCTTTGCGATAAGCTACGAGTACAGCTCGCGGTCGTGCTGCTGTCGAGTTAGTGCACTTGATACCCACAAGAACACTGACTCTGTGTCCCCGCGAGTTCCTTTCTCATGACCTGTCTGACTCGCTGCGTAGACATGACTACTGCGATTGGAGAATACACTCAATGGTTGTTCCAAAGCTGTTCACCATCGTCTTTTCCCTCGTTCTCGCTATGATTCAGATTCCTCCTGCAAGCTGCTGACACAATAATACGAATAGCGTGGAACTGTCTTGCCAAGATCCCGCGAAATCATCAATCTCTTCCGCTAAAATCGTGCCCTCAGCGACGGTGGACCTGCTCAATTCGAAACCTGTGCCGACACGGTGGGATCCGCAAATCGCGTCCCAGCGCTCATGCGGTCGACGCCGATCAGTGTTCTTCTAATTTCGAAGCCGCGCGAGTCGCGGTACGTCTAAGACTTCCATCCTTCCCACCTGCCAGCATCAGGGTCGTGATGCAGTGCCGTTGTGTTGTTGGAAATTGGTCACGCAGGTCATGTTAATCCAACTACCCAGTAGACTCGACTTGCAAGGCTGCAATCTAGAATTCTATCTCGTGGCAGGGGGCCATAATGGCGCCATACAGCTGGCACGGTCGCCCTTCAGGGCCCTCAAGTTCAGAACTGCACGCTCTCATCCTCAGCTTTGCGGCCGTTAGGGGGACAAATGTACTTGCCTGATATGTCGACTCAAGCTAGTCAATACGCCACACAACAGCAACCCTTCCTCAAGGCCGAAACAGCTGAATGCAAGACGGTAACAACGTCTCCATTCAGTAAGCGAATGTTCTCAACAAAGTCATCCCGCACGCGGGTCAACTCAATCTACAGCAAGACTTCTGACGCAACAGTTTCAATGGCACCGCCATCTCTGCACCATCTCTGTGAGCAAAGTCTATTCATCCTATTGCTCTGTATGTTCGTTCCGCCATGAACCTGGTTGGCAGTTGTTGCCATTCTTCCGAACGAACTGTGCACGAACCGTTTGCCCGTCGAGCCCCGTAACTTTACCATTCCATAAATGGCAACACAACTCGAAGATCATGTTACCTCGGACTCACCACACAGGTCCACACTTGCTTGAAAACTGACGCTGGCGTGGGTCAAGCACGCCGTGGATCCCGATATGGAGTTGATCCTTCCAACGTCGATCTCCTCGTGGTACGTGGGTGGTGCCTGCATATGCAGCAATATGTACTTCTCAATTCCCTAGGGGTTCCCCTACATCTTTTGCGTTCTTCTTCGTTTTATCTATCTGTCGGTACTGTTCAGGAGCCGTGTCCAGAATCCCGGTTTCTATCTGTCGCTCTCTCAATCTCAAACGCTTTTTCTCGCACTGTTATTACCTCCAGCTTTCACACTTCACTCCTTATTGTTTTCTGGATTACCTTCTTGCCAAACTTCTGGAACAACTCAAGTTTATCAAGAGAGGCAACCGGCCTCCAAAATGGCTACTGACCACGCGGACCATGGATCGAGAGGATCTACTGGTGTTATAGTAGCTGCCGTCTCAACCTCTATCGCATTTGTCGCCTTGAGTCTAAGGTTGATGACAAGAGCATTCATTATTCGCAATGTTGGACCTGAAGACTATGTTGTGCTTGTTGCGTTCGCGCTATCAGTTGCACTCACAGCTCTCATCTGTGTTGAGGTGCAACATGGACAAGGCCGTCACTACTCGACAGTGTCCCCTGAAGAGTTGGAACAGCTGAACAAGGTGAGTCTTCCCGAACGGTTCCCTGGAAGCTTACTGACCTATCTCAAGGCATTCTGGGCCAGTGTTCCTGTCTACCAAGCCAGCTTGACGTTGACTAAGATCTCCATCCTGCTACAATATCGCCGCGTGTTCGTCGGCACTGGCATACAACGTTTCATTCTTGGCTCTATCGGTGTTATCATCATATATGGATTATGGTCGGTATTGTCGACCGCGTTCATGTGCTCGCCGGTGTCCTACTTTTGGGATCGAAGCATCAGTGGCCACTGCCTAAGCCGCCTAGGGGTCTGGTTCTCAAATTCCGCGCTCAACATCATCACCGACATTGTGATATGTGTGATGCCCTTCCCAGTGCTGAACAAGCTTCATCTTCCTCGCAAACAAAAGTACGCACTCATGGCTGTTTTCGGTCTGGGCCTATTCGTTTGCCTGACGTCCATCCTCCGACTCAAATCTCTCTACGACATATCTGTCTCTGACGACATCACTTGGGACAACACACCCGCGGCTTACTGGTCTAGTCTGGAGGTCAATTTTGCAGTGATCGCCGCCTGCCTACCGACGCTCCGCAAAACAATCTCTCGATTCTTCCCTCGCTTCTTCTCCTCATACTCCAACTCGGACTCGAACCACCGCTACCTGCCTTCTCGCAAGACAAAGACAAAGTCACGCGCCGACACAAACGGCTTCTCAAAATTCGCCATCACATCTCACGCCGCCCAAACCGATTGGGTACAAGGATTGACATCTCAAAATGTCACTGCAAAGGGCTTATCATCAGAGATGGACGACTTGAAGAAAAAGCCAAGCTTAAGCACATGCAACAGCGATGATGGTATCACAGTTGTCGGGGCTGAGCCAGAAGACGGTCGGATCCGTGTCATGACTACCATAGTCACACATGAGCTCACACCGTCACCTTCGGAACTGGATGTATCCGTTGGTCCGAGTTCAACAGCGTCAAGTCCGAAGGAGAGACATCTTGTATAAGTGCTCTATCTTTCCATCTATCAGGCTCGTTTGGCTAGGGTTTCATGTCTTTCGTTCACTTGTTGTATACCCCCCTTCTTTATCTACTAAAGTAGTTTCCTTTTCTGTAATGACATATTTGACGATCGCAATTATTCTGCAATTCTGTTCGCCTCGTCTGAAAGTGGTTTGACAGCTTTCGAATAAGCAACCACATCAAAGCAAAACCTCCTGACAGCTCCTTCCACATCCTCGAATGATCAGATCTCTACAGTATCACACCTTCCCACCACCTCGGAACCTTTCGGCCTCGAGCAATATCCCTGCCTCCCATCGTTCCTTCCATCCGTGGAAATCGTTTGATCTCGTGACTCGAATTTAAGCAAATGTCTTAAGCATTGTCAGAGCAGCGGTAACAGCGCCTCCCGTCGATCATCCCAACCTGTCAAACACGTCGATCAAATGCTATCTCTCCTCGACCCATGGGATTTTTAATCTTTGATAGGTGTCTCTAGAAAGGCAAAAAGAGTCATGTGGGCGAGTCAGAGGCCCCCTGTCAGAGCACGAGTCAAGGAGAACGCACGGACGAGACGTGTATCTCCTGTGGGTAAGTGGAGTTGCGGTGATCTTCATGAGTGGATGCAGAGAGAGCAGAGACAGTTGAGCACGTGGCTGTGGGAGAGACATCAAGGTCGTGGGATTGATCGGCTTGTCATGGCTTCGAGACACTTGACGGTGAGGATGGTTGGATTTCTGCTGCTCCACAACATGGATATCAAGATCGGGCTTAAAGACAGGGTTGAGGACAGTGGGTGTCATGAAGAAAGGAGGAGTATATGAACTACCTAGCTCATGGTGTATTACTGCTGGAGGCTCAGTACCTTTTGAACGATGTTGAGAATCGTCACAAAATCGACGTGTGGCCTGGCAACGCCTTGGAGCAAGCAACGGCTTTGATAAGAACCTTATCACCATCACCATTTAGGTGTCCTGACGTCCCAGCGTCTGCTCATAGCGCACTTCTTGCCAGTAACCCTGGATAGGCCTGGATGAACATTCTTCCAAGCCGAGGGAAGCGGGCAAAGTCTGCTTCGATGCTCTGGATGGGCGGACGACGAGCGAACACATTGAGTATCCTTGCTGCCGAACCTTCCTGGACGAGGGCCAAATCATTCCCTCAGCTTCATCTATCAGGTGAGTCGATTGAACACCAGAACGAGATACACCTCCAACCTAGTGAGAGACGTCGTACCTGAGTAACGTTCTCGACCACGATGCCAGATTGCTTGGTACTCTGATCGCTCTGTGACTCACAGAATCCACACTGGTGCCCTGAAAAGTCTGGTGGGGAGACTTGGGCCCGAAAGTTCTAAAACCTTGTGCGTTCACGGTTCACAGGCCAGCAAACATAGAAGGCTTATCGCTCAATCAGAGCTCTGTAAACGAACAGAAAGAAAGGACGATCGGGGCATCGAGACGAAGTTTGACGCAGAGGCATCTCAGACGAGCCTCTTCGATCAAAATTCTTACTGCTTTGATTCGGGTCGGACAGCCAATCGCAGTGATTCAACAGAGATACCCTTACTGTTCCCCGCACCTTACAGACCTTGCCCCTCCCTTTCCCACTCATACCAGATGCAATATTTGGCTTGGGCGAGACCCTCGTAAAGGCGCATTTCATTGCGACCCGGGGAGTATCTGGAAGCGCAGCTGCATACACGATATCTGAGCTCTTTAGGAAAAGAGTTGGAGAGCTCCGCTCACGGCAGCAGACCGGCCCCGGGATTGGCAACCTCCCCGAAGATGGTTGGCAGGCTTCCAACTCCACTCATGAAGACCCAGCTGCGACCAGCTTTGCGGAGGCATGCCAATGCCTTGCAGTGGTTCTGATACCTCAAGCAAAACTTGCAAGAAATCGCACTCTCGGTGAGGATGAAGGGGCGCTGGTACCGCAGCCCTTGACCATCAATTTCGACTTGTCCCGTCTTGTATGGGCTGTGCTTCCCGGGAGATTCGACGCCGAAAACTGTAAGCAGCAGCGCCTCAAGAGCGACATTTAGAGAGTCGAAAGCTAGGAACTGACTAGCCCATAACTGTCTGCCAGCCATTCTCATGCATGACATCAAGCCAGAATACTTCACTGTCGCCAATGTCGAACCGCCGCCAGACCTCCTTGACGAGCTTGATGAGGATGAACACAGGCTTGGAAGGCAACCGTGCAGAAAGTTGATCGAGTCTAGTCATAGCAAGATCTCGAGCGCGTGCAACATCCATGTCATACGGCACTTCGTCGTTCAATCCCGAAGGAGATACAGCAGATCCAGACAGACGAAGCTCGGCAGCTGCTGTCACTATTATTAGGAGCTGTAGTGGCCGTGTGTTGGAAGTCGGCGGCACGTTGCCAATAAGATCGAGCAAGATATGCCGTGCGAGTGACGTCAACCAAGCTGTCGGGTCATGAGGATCAGGATGGAGATGTGTTCCGCAGAAAGGAAAAAAGAACTGGCTGGACGTTCCAGTAGTGCTAGCATTTCCAGTCAACCCGAGCATTCGGTTACATAGAATGTTGGGGAAGACTCGATAAATCTCCAGCAATGCCGAGCAGCGTGTGGCTTCTGCGACCATGATGAAATCGAGCTTACCAGTACTTTGATCTTGGACGTCGATAAGATCGTCTACAGCCGGCCATCGGATACCAAGCAACTCTTCTTCAAAGGCTGTGGCTGCTGAAATGATGTCCGCAATATTTACATGCTCAGCCGTGGTGCCATAGGATAGTGGGCATGATATAGCTCGATAAGTACGAACGAGTCGGCCAACTTCGGCAAACAGAACCTGTGCTCGAGGCCCTACTCCAGTCCAAGGATGTGGCATGACTTTGGTACCTATCGTTCGGGCCTCGTTGTAGTCTGTCCTACCGGTTGACTTCTCTCGGCTTGGCGTATGTGGCTCTTTGTGTACAAAAGCAACGCACATCTCCCAGTATATGAGTGCCTCTGCGAAGAATTGGTCGTTGCGGGCCATTTCCTCTGTCTGGTTTCCGTCTTCTCGGAGTAGTCGAGGGTATATGAGTCCTCTGGCAGCATTCAGGTGCGCCATTCCAAGATCTCCAGCCTCATGCCATGGTGAACTCATTCCCAGAAGCAACACTGTAAGCAGGAGTCTATCATCCACTTGTTGGTTGACATGTGCAAGTTGCAGCTCCTGTTGGAGACATTCGTATGCCTTACGTTGCATCTGCAGTCCCTGAACTCCCATTCCTATGTTGTGGTTTGCCAAGTGTGCTGCAGCCATGCTCTGAATGGCGTAGAAAATCGAATTTGAGCTGTCCCAAAGCTTCGCTATTACAGTACGGAAAGGATTTAGCTTCGAGTCGAATGACGAGTACAGGACGCAAACATCTCGGAAGTAGTGTTCGACCAGTCTTGTCGTATCGTTTTGGAGTGATCTTGACATGGAAGGAGCCGCCATACGATAATAAGCTCGAAGTAGCGATTTCCATTGGCTCATTTCCTCCGGGCTATTGCTTCGATGCTGATGAAAGGTTTGGATCTCGTTATTGGCTCTTCGGCTTCCATCGACCTGCTGTATCAATGTGTTTGGTGTGTTGAGGAATATGGCGTTCTGTTGGTCTGGATCAGGGTAGCCCGGCCATTGCTCTGGCCAGGGACAGTAAGGGCCCGAGGCTTCCATTCCTACAGCTTTTTGGACAGGTGGTGTGTGTATCGCGACTGCAGAATGAGTGCGCTCCTCAGAAACATCTCGATGTCCAGCGGCGCTTCCAGGTATCTCCTCGTTTTGGTAAGTGGCTGTCTGTCCAAAGGCTACTGGATCGATCGAAGAGAAGTGGTACTCGACAGAAGGATGGAATGTCTTTTGGTTATCGGTTTCATCGGGCTGCAGAACTTCGTACTTGGTCGACCACTTGAGGGCTTTTTTGTAACCAGGACAATCGTAGCCACGCTTGGTGCAATTATCGCAAGCCTTGTAAAAGTATTAGAAGGGTTCAGAGTGATCAGTGGGCGTCATGATGGAATTCGCGAATACGCATTCAGGCCGATTCTTGGACAAGACCTGGATAGCTGTGTGCGATGACAATTCATGACATCTGTATTCTGACAAAAACTCACCGGCCGTGTTTCGTCACATTTTAACTATTGATAACATGTTAGTCTAACCACGAGAGCAAAGAACCCCATCAAGTACAATGACACGATAAGCTATCCAATGAACTTACTCTCTTGACTTTGCACACTTGACAGCCGTTACGACTCTTTGCTGTTCTCCTAGGGTTCTTCTCCACGCCTCCAGATCCGGAGGCGGTGGCCGCTGTCACCTTCACCTGTGGCATCCGCGACGGCCTGGTCTTCTTAGTCAATCCAGTGTTGAGAACGTAGAGAAAAATTCGAAAATTGTTGGCGTACGAGAAACAATTACAAGGCTGGCTCGTCCAGGGCTTCCCCAGATATGCTGAGGCATTTCAAAGCACCTTGTTAGGACACGGGCGAGACCTAGGTTGATGGGGGACGTCCGGGCTGCTTTTGAGGGTCGAGACGCTTTTTCTCGGCCCGTCCGCGCTAGAGGTCATCGGCAGCAGACAGCCGGTGCGAGTGGGGAATTATTACACATGATTCGGCATACAACGTTGATCATCCTTCGGCTTGTCCGAGATACCTAGGCAATCGCAAAAAGGACGTTATCGAATAGGGATTTCTGCTTAAGAAGGACAGCCCCGTTTTACGGCAACTACAGGTTGATCAAGAGGGCATTGTGAGGAGGATGTCTATTCACAGTGTTGAAGACGAATGAAATGCTTATCTGAAGATAGAATGTGTCACGTCAATACTTTTTGAGGTATCTCTCCACTGCAACACTACGGGTATCGTTGCAGGCAGCCACCGTTGCGAAACGCATACAAGCTCGCTTGGGGCTCAGAGGACGATGCTGAGTTTGCAGAGGGAACAGAGATACGCCGAGTTGCTTATCTCATGCGAAGTATCTGTCGAGTCTGAGGAGCCGTGTATAAGCGAGCAGGTTGACGCATGCTATCGCATAGCTCATTGTGATGGAAGAATTCAATACGTGTTGGTGCTCAATGAGTAGCCTCCAGGCTAGGCAGAACAAATTGCTTGTTTCGTTAGAGGCAATGCGCGATCTACTCCTCGATGGTCTTGACGCAGTCCCATCCTCCCTTGAGACTCTCTTTCCATAGGCTGACTCTGTTGTCACCGCCGCTGACGGCCAAAACGTTACCGCTCAGACTCCAGCTAACACGCCAGACGACAGCGTCAAACTTGAGTTCTGTGCTTTGCCAGCTCGACGAGTTGGCGGGATCGGCGTTTGCCTGGCACGTCCAGATGCGTACAGTTCTGTCTTGCGATGCCGAGGCAATGTATGACTTTGAAAGAGGAGTTGGCGACCAAGCGACGTCGCGCACCCAGTCTGAGTGTCCAGTAAGAGTGCAGATGTTGTTGTATGATTGGGTTTGAGGGTTGAAGTCCCAGAGCTTGACCAGATTATCGCTACCACCAGTAACGAAACGGCGCAGGGGCTGTGGTTGAGATTGGGGTGTTTGGGCAGCAGCTAGCTGTGCAGGGAGAAGCGACGGGCTCCAAGAGACGGCGTTCACGCCCATAGCGTGCGCGGGGAAGATGGAGTGGGAGAAGGAGTTGTCGCTGAAAGTGATGACAGAGACGGAGCCATCAGACGAGGCGCAGGCCAGGTGGCAGCCAGGCTCCGGCGGCGACCATGCGATGAGGTTGACACTGGCGGTGTGAAGGGTGAAGTCGTAGATGCGCTGCCATTGGTTGTTTTGCTCGCGCCAGACAAACACTTTGCCGTCGTAGGAGGAGGAAGCGAGGATGGTGCCGTACTTGGGGTGTGCCTGAGTCGGGAGTATGTTAGTTTGAGTCGTCGAACAAGGCCATACAAGAGTCGCATACCCATGATACACACCACACGGCTCCGTCATGTCTGTAGAAAGCGGTTAGAATGGCAAGGGAGCTCTCTGCTAATAGACACGTACCCCTTGAGTGTGTCTACCAGGCGGTGTGAGTCGCCTTCAACCTCGAAGATCTTGATGGTCTTGTCAGATGAGCAGGTTGCCAGGCGACGTCCGTAGTAGTCGAGGACAGCATCGTGCTAGTTGCAAGTCAATGGGTGCGAGCTTGCGCCAGGAGGTGTTTGGCAGCATACAATCATGTCATCGTGACCGGAATTCGAGATTACTTGAGCCTGTGGGGATCGTGGTCAGCATTTTGGTCATGATAGCTTCTTGGAGGCAGAAATACCATGTCGGCGGTGCTGTGTGTGAAATATGACTATGTTATTATGGTCGCGGTATTGCCAGCTACGTAGATGCGATGAATCTCCGCCAAGTGTACTTTCCAGGTCGGCGGAGGAAGCAGCGGGCTGCCAAGGCCTCTCCGCGGCGGATCGCTACTTCCGAGTGCTTCTTATCGCCGAGGCCGAAAGCTTCCCCGGCTTCCACCTCGGTTGCCGCACGCGCCCATGATGATTTGCATGTGCATGTGCTTCATCTTCGACCAAGACGACATGAAATTATTAACTACAACCCTGACATCTCCCTTTCTTTCTTCACACGTATCTCTAGGACGTCATGTCGGACGCTCTCTGTGGGCCGTCAAATGCGGTGCAGAATCTGGCTAAGCACTCGTCGGTTGACCGAACTTTGCAGCAAGACCGCTTAGTGTCACGGCAATCGCCCTCTCAAGTATCCTGAAGAAACACTTGCACTGTCTCGATTCAAGTCTAATACCGTGTCTCTAGGGCTTTCGCTCACACGATCCCAACGTCGCATCACTCGACCCAGAGTTCGAAGCATTCCAGAATGGGCACGCACTTGGACCCGGACCTGCTTTCGCTGGACCGTCTTGGTCTTCTTCATCCTTCTCGAACTTGCACTCGCAAACACCACTTCAAGCAGCCTCCTCTGCTCCGCCAACTGCGTGGACTCGAGATTTCCAACGACTGAGTATTACCTCTCCACAACAAGCACTACCTCAAGCTGCCCCCCAAGCATGGCACAATCATTTTGGCCAACATGCACAGCCCTCTGCTCCTCTACACGCACCTGCTTCCCAAATGCAGTTCCCTTCTGCCCGCTTCCAATCTCCTCTGGCCTTCAATTCCATGCACGCCACTCCGCAGTACGCTTCGCAATCTCAATACACTCAGCAACAGCAAGGCCTCCCTCAAGATCAATTTGATGAAGCTGCTTTTGAGGCGGCTTTTGACGCTGCTCTACAAGATGCTTCTATGGATCAAGATGCTACTATGCAAGACAACGACCAGTTGGAGGACTTCAACTTCGAGCCCTTCGCTCCAGACTTATATCCACACCTTCCTCTGTTCCGTCTGGCTTTGGCCGATGCTTTGGTAACAAATACGGACGAATCGCTCCATAAAGCTGCAAAGGTTGTCGCCGCACTCATACAGCATCCTCGGTCCATGGATCCTATTCAGGCTATGCTCTTCCGCCCTCTGTTGTCCGCTCTGAATGATCCCAAGCGCACCTTGTTCGCTCAGCGCTATGGGTACGAGCCTGCCCTACATGAAATGCTCGATGCTCTTGCTCAACAGACCGAGAACACTCGTCTGAACATAGACGCGACTACTGAGCGCCTGCTAGCCTCTTATGCCGACCTGCTTTGGCAGAGAACCGAGTCAAACCATCTCAATCCCACAGACTCGCCCCGTACTGCCGATAACGCCCACTGGCTTGGCCAGTTCTTCCGAGACCAGGATTCCATGACTGCCCAGAATATCACGCAGAAGTCTGCAAATCTCCTAACGGGAACTTTTCAGCGACACGTCATATCAGATCCAACCTCACAGGCGTTGAGTAGGGTGCTGGATTTGGAGCATGAGCTTTACTCTGAGCGACCGGCCCTCTCGTCGACTTCTATGCCGCTAAAACAGGGGCGTGAAGCCATGCTGTTTGATATGATGGAACGCGTTTTGTCACTTCCAGAGACCCTTGAGGCCTTGGAAGCTTCTGATGCACCACAGCAATCTTTTCAGGATTCTCTACAGAAGCAATCGATAGGTGACAGTCACGCGCTTGAAGACTATCAACATCAACTACGACTCTTGGAGCAGCAAAATGCAAAACGACACTGGCTCAATGCTTCGCTAGCACAAGGACAAGAACACACTCAGGATGGTGCTATCCAGCCTTCGGGTGAGCTTTATGGCAGGTCAGGCGATCTACATGAGCAATCATTGGACGAGCAGTCCTTGGAAGACGTACCAAGTCAACAGACAGAACAGGAACGTCAAGAACAGCGGGACCTGGATCGTCAAAACGATGACGAGCTGGCACAGACTGCAGCCAATCTGCTCGAACGTGTTTCCGATAATCAATCGTCTAAGTTCAAAAACAGTGCCTTCCTTGGACTTATGAGACAACTCGCGGATCGAGAAGTCAGAGTCGAGGGCGACAAAATGGTTCCGGTAAGCCCAGGCCAACAGTCCAACTAATTCTGTGTTTCAGCTCGGTTCTAACAGAGCACTTTCAGACAAATGGATCAAGTAACGCTCTCAACAGTGACAGTCATCGATCTACGATGGCAGCACAGGACGGTCAGGAGGTTGTGGACCTTCTGAAACAGCCCAACAGCATGACAGATCAAGGTAAGCGTTAGTGTTGCTCTATGCAACTTCAGAAGTGTATCTGACGTCCTCAAGATCATCAATTCATGATGACCAGTCCTTTCGCAACTGCCGATGACTACTGAATAATGCTCTGACGACTTGAATTCTCTTCGACGCAGACAACATCAAGGTGGATCACCAGATATACCCAACTTTGAGTTACAGTGCTGGATGCTTTTTCAAGAAAGACATGCAGCTGGAGGGCCTTGCATGATGTTGTCTAAACCCGAAGAGCGAACGCCAAATAGGCACTCCCTACGAATGACGTGGTCATACTCAAAACCATCGCACAACCTGGTGGATGCATTACTTTGTGGCGGTGCGACGAGAGAGAGAGTCGATGTCACGAAATCAAGTACATGGTAAGGATGTTGTGACACGGTCAGTTTCGTGCACTCGGGTCAACTGAGACCGAAACAGATTCGGTTTCTGGTGACTCCAGGATTCGAAGCTTTCTCCACAATTTGCACACCAAGAAATCCGCAGCGTCTGTTTAGCCGGCCTGATGATTGAGCAAGTCAATACAGATAATTATCTTGATGACTTACAAGCTGGTTCTGCAAGTCCAAGGTAATCTAGACAAATTTATTCCGGACGTAAAGCATCACATATTAGATCATAAAATATACTCACTTATCCTTTGGACTGATCACCAATCTATCTCTCCGCACTTCACTCCGCTCGCTATCAACCGGCGGTATCGGCGACGTCGGTATGAGCAATCAGTCATAATAGCAGACTGCTCCAACACTTCGATCTAGTAGCACCAAACCTATTCCAAAAACAAAATCATGTCTAAGCCTAAGGTCCTTCAGCTCGGTGAAATTGTTCTGTACTGCAGCCCTCAAGTCACAGTGGTGTACACAACTAATACCCAAACAGCGCGCACGAAAAGTGGGAACAACTGTCCGAAGTTGCAGAAATAATCACTCCGAATGCCACAAACAGAGAAGAATTCATCGCCGAGTGCAAGAGCGGCCGCTTCGATGATGTAGTCGCCGCGTACAGGACTTTCCCCTCTGTCAGCATCACGGGCATCTTCGACGAAGAATTAGTGCAAGCTACACCCAAGAACTGGAAGTTTCTAGCACACAATGGTGCTGGATATGATCAAGTAGATGCACAGGCCTGCGCTGCTAGAGACCCTCCTCTACTTGTTTCCAACATTCCTACTATCGCCGATGACAGCACTGCTGATACTGCTGTCTTCCTTATCCTGGGTGCTCTGCGCAATCTCAACCCTTCTATGCAAGCTTTGCGTGAGGGTAAGTGGAAGGGATCTCCTCCTCCTGCCCTTGGCCATGACCCTCAGGGCAAGACCTTGGGTATCCTGGGTATGGGCGGTATTGGCAGAAATTTGAAGGTCAAGATGGATGTGTTTGGCATGAAGGCTATCTATCATAACAGAAGAAGACTCAGCGAGGAAGATGCCGCTGGAGCTGAGTATGTGAGCTTTGACGAGCTGTTGGAGAGATCTGATGTTTTGAGCTTGAACCTCCCTTTGAACGTGAGTTTCAATCCCTGGTGAAGGCGATGCTAGGGATGAGATGCTAACACTGAGAACAGCCCAAGACTCGCCACATCATCTCGACTGCTGAGTTCAAGAAGATGAAGAAAGGTGTTGTCATAGTCAACACAGCTCGTGGACCAGTCATGGACGAAGATGCACTTGTCAAGGCTCTAGACTCCGGTCATGTGGCTTCCTGTGGTCTCGATGTCTTCGAGGAGGAGCCCAAAGTGCACGACGGTCTTATCCGCAATCCCAACTGCGTCTTAGTGCCGCACATGGGTACCTGGTGTGTAGAGACACAGACCAGAATGGAAGAGTGGACGATTGGAAATGTGAGGGAAGCCGTCACCAAGGGAAAGCTAGTCAGCCCAGTCCCAGAGCATGCAGGACTGTAGTATAATCTACATACAAGGTAGACAAAGTTCATACGTATCAACATCAGCATTGCATGATGCCGACCATCCAGGTTCGCTAAACAGAGAGGCCTCGGTCGGGAAATGCCGAGCGAGCGAGACCAGACCCCGGATTGCGAGTTTCAGCCTCCAGGCGGGTTCAAGGCGAAACGGGAAAGTTGGACCGTGTTTTTGTTTACTTTTGTCAAAATTGTTTCAAGGAAAAACTTCTGGAAGGTCGGCGTTGGCTCTACCTTCCCTTTGCCATGTCGCAGTCTGTCAAAGCAACACACAGGATACAAGAGTCTCAAAAAGGAATGACGATCCCGACAAGGCACTCCCAGACTACGGGTGCATGACGCCGTTGCGCAATTCGTTTGATTAGATGCATGAAGATAGTGGCCCGTGCCTCAATTGATTGGATGCAGAGCAGCTGGTCGAGTGCGGCGGCTTGAGATGGTGGGGAAAGTCGAACGAAAGACATCGCAAGAAATGGCTTGGATCTGTCTAGCATTGCGACATTTTGCAGCCAGGTGGTCATGAGAATGTGGTGAAGAATCGATCGACGTGCCAGCCTCCAAGGTACTCTAGATACAGTGCCAGGCCTCCCGCCGTTGCTTCACCGCTGCCACAAGTTGGCGAGACTATCCCCCCGCAGTGCTGCCATGGCTCATGGTCCTTTCGCTCGTGACTAAGTAGCGCATACTATTTCTAATGTCTGCATTCTGAGCCGTCCTCTTGCTCCTTGTTACCCTCCCAAGGCTCTTCCTCTCGACAGGCGGCCGTCATGCTGTCGACGCTCCTAAGGCCTCGCAAGAGGCGCGCCGACAAGTCGCCCTTTTCGAGCCCCTTTAACAGTTCGCCTCTAGCCGTACGAAACGACTATGACCGGATTGACGACAATGAGGACGCGGATGATTATGACGAGGATGACGGCGGCGAAGACGACTTGGACACACCGCTGCTGCCCATCTTCTCGGCGGCGCATTTGGGTGAGTGAGGACGACTTGCTTTGGGGGCACAGGCGCTAATCTCGGGAAACAGACAAGCTGCCCCTGTACAACATAACCCACTCGTGTCGCATACTGATAGTGCAGAAGTGCGAGACGACTCTTACATGGGACCAACTACGATCGCCACAAGTGTCTCAATTCCTGGTCAAACCCATCCAGTCGCAAATCCTCAAGGACCACTTCAACCGAGCGACGATATGCGCTCTCATTGCGAACTGCTTGCAGTTCCAGAAAGAGGCACAGCAAGATGCGGGAAACGCTGGTGTGAGCAAGACCAGGGCTATGGTGTCGGAGCTGCTGGCCATCCGCTTGTTAAAGGAGTTTTCCCTTCGCGAGTTGATCGATGCGCTGAGCTACGACTTCAACCCTCTTGAAGGACTGGACGCTACTGAAGGAGTCGTCCAGCTGAGACAGAACAACAGGAATGCGCGTATCTCGACTGTAGAGATTGCCATTCGGGCTCAGGCCAAGCGTTTCCTCGCCCATCCACTGGTTGTACAGCAGCTTGAAGCCATTTGGGCAGGCAGCATCGTCTTCCACTCGGCCGCCGACAATCTTCACCGCAAGCCGCCTACGCCTCCGCCAACCAGGGGCCGTAATGGTTATGGTACAATTGCCAACAACCCTGCCCCTCAACCCGCCCCCGTCAACAACTCACAACCTAACATCAGACGAAGCGTCACTCTCTATAACCCCAAAGATGCTTCTCTCTTCAAGCTATCTCGCTTGAGAGTACCTCGCTACAGACAGCTCTTTTCTACCCTTTCTTTCGCCGTCATGCTGGGTTTGTTCTTGGCTGTCCTGGTCGACCGCTCTACTGAGATTACTCCACTTGAGATTATCTTCTGGTTTTGGAGTGCTGGATACATGCTTGACGAGCTTGTAGGTTTCTCAGAGCAAGGCTTTGGTCTCTACATCATGAGTGTGTGGAACGCCTTTGACCTGGGTATCTTGATCTGCTTCTTCGCCTACTATGTACTGCGCCTTTACGGTATTCTGATACCTGCTGCACGCAAGCATTATACTGCGCATTTGGCTTACGATGTTCTGGCATCTACTGCCGTGCTTCTCTTCCCGCGTGCATTCAACGTCCTGGATCATTACAAGTACTTTTCTCAGTTACTCATTGCCTTCCGCCTTATGGTTCAAGACATGATTGCCATTCTAGTACTCATCGTTATTGCCTGTAGTGGTTTCTTCGTTGCCTTTACCTTGTCTTTCAGCGAGGAGAAGGCTGAGGCCTCCAAGGTCGCTTATGCTCTGTAAGTTGTACGTTATGAAACACGATTGCAATTTCTGACAGGAACAGGTTCCAATTAACCATGGGTTTTACCCCTGCCGCTTGGGATCTATGGCCTAAGTACAATCTACTAGGAAAAGCCGTTTTGGTTGGCTTCCTGTTCCTCTGTCACTTCCTCATCGTTACCATCCTCATCACAGTTTTGACCAACTCTTTCATGGCGATTGTTCAAAACGCGAATGAGGAGCATCAGTTCTTGTTTGCTGTCAATACTATCTCCATGGTCAAGTCGGATGCTCTCTTCTCGTACATTCCACCTACGAATCTGTTCGGCTGGGTTGCATCACCATTGCGCTACCTCATCCCCTTCCGCAAATTCGTGAGATTCAACCGGACCATCATCAAGATTACACATCTTCCGATGCTCTTCACCATCTTCACGTATGAGCGTTTGTTCCTGATGCGCAATGCGTACACGCCTATGGACCTGGTCGAGCAGAAAGCTCCTAGCAGGGGTCGCCTTCCGGCTTTCACCATGAAAAACGCTGGTCCCTTCAGTCCCGGTACTCGCCTCCGCGAACCATCCATTGTCTCGTTCCACAAGGATCGCGCTCTAGAAGAGGTTTTCCGCCGACCTTTCGACATGACAACACGGACTATTTCTCAGCACTCTAATCCTGACCAACGGAAAGCGACTGTCGTTGACAACTGGATGCAGGATATGGGTGACGAGGGGGGTGCTAGCCCTCCTATGGAACAGCCACGCTCTGTTTTGGAGAGATTGGAGAATCGTAGGCCCGGCATGAGACGTGCGCAGACATCTGCCAACAGGTTCGCTACGGTCAAGCGCGACTTCTCCACAGCTTCCAGGTCTGTTGTATCTGATCCTGAGGATCTTGCTTCTACGATCTTCCCCAGGCCAACACCAATGCGTATTGAGGAAGAGACGGATCTGGACCTGGAGCGTGAGGACATGCCCCAGGAAACTGACGCAGATGGCGATGATGAACTTCTGACCAACGATGGCGACAACGTTACGGCCACTGGCTACGATAGGACGCCGACAGGAACACCGGATCTGGTTGAAAGGAAAGAGCCCTCCCCCGCCAAGCCTACAGCAAAGGACTACTTTGAGGGAGCAGACTTCCAGACAGCAAGTTCGGTGCCCAATGCTACAAGAGCACGCCTTATGAGCGGAGAGCACAAACGTGAGCCTCACCAACGTACCGTATCGCACAGTACCATGGTTTTTTCGCCTATCTTGGAGCAGGGATACAACTCTTCGGCCTCAGAGCATGGCCCGAAACCATCTCGACCCACCACAGCAAAACAAAACAGCGGTGGCTCGACGCCATTGCCTCAGTCAGCGCCCCAATCGAGTGGTCGTAGGACGCCACGCTCGAGTAACCCTAGCCGCCCTCGTCCTAACATGCCCAACCGGCTTTCGCAATACACGGCTCCAAACATTCGCTTCGACCGATTCGGTGACTCGACACGTCGCGCAAACAGACAGCCATCTTTCAACGCTCTTGCCCTTGACTTGGCATCCGACTTTGGCGACCACCGTCGTGATTTGACTCCAGAGCCCCTGTCCCCAGGCTACCAACCTAGCATTCCGGCCAGCTTTAGCGAACAAATGCTTCGCGAACGCGAGGTGGCTTTGGACAAGGAACGACGTCGCCAGGAGCAGCGGCGTCGTAGTCAAGAGGAGGAAAAGGGCATGGTGGGCAGAATCATGCTGACCCGCATGAACACGCTCGAGGAGGGCTTCAGAGAGATTCTGCGCGAGGTACGCGATCTCGCACATACCTCGCGTGGAACCAGTGAAGCGGGCATGCTCAACTCTAGATCATCCTTGGTGGTTCCGGCGTCATCGGACGCTGGCGCGCTTTCCAGGCCTAAGACGCCTGTCAGCAGAATGGGAGGTTCGAGCGAGAGAGCTAGGAGCCCTAAGAAGGGCAAAGGGAAGAACAAGAGCAAGGGCAGAAACTCCATCAACAGCAGTAGCGAGGCTGATCCTATCAGTCCTTTGACTGTTCAGGAGAGCGCTTCTCAGGCTGTGAGCCCATCGACGGTCAACTTGCCTGAAACACCTGCCACAGTCAGAGCGTTGTCGACGCATGCCGAAGAGGGGGCACAAAACAGTCAAACTGATACTGAGAAAGAGTAGACAAAAAGAGCTCTCCTTTCTAGATATACATCCTATTTGGTCTAGAGGAGAAGAATCGGTTGGAAAGATAAGAAAGGAAGGTAGAGGAAGAATTTGTTGATGCTAGATGGTCGCATACTGGTTACATGTTTGCATACAAATATCTTAATGAATCATGGCGAAAGGCATATTGCATATTGTATATTCGATTGTTCCTGCCGCGGCGACGAAATCGAGGATCAAGTGTATGACTCTCTGTGCACGAGGCGGGCGTGTTCTCTCGTCCTTGTCTTCGGAAGAAGCCCCTCAATCGCATCACGGCCATGTTGACCGAGATCCTTGTAGACGTGTTGACTATTTTGAAGAACCCCCATGTGGTGCTACTCATCGCCCACCTAGCCCAAAGCAGTGGTCTTGTGGTCATCAAGCTGGACTGCTTCCGTATTAGAGACGTCTTGTACACGCGAACCATCGATATCTAGGGTAGTAGCGTGGTTGGCCGATGTATGTAGAGCAACGACGGACGAAATGTATGCGGTATCATTGAATGTCGAGATACTGATCGCTGAGTGTCGCACGCAGTTCAATAACACATCTGTAGCAAATTATGGTTTCTTGTTATACCACATGTCGTCCAGAGGTGTTGCATAGTCTTTGCTATGAGATGACCTTGATGGAGAACTTTCTTGTTGCGTACAGAGGAGCTGGATCAAAAGCTGCCACTGCCTTGTCAGATGTGCAACGTGATTACATCACTAAGACTGGAGACGGGATGCCAACTGCACCTGGCACGAGCGGACTGGACTAGGATAAGGAGAAAAGGTTGAGAATGTGGTCAACTCAAGGCCAGGGTCATACTGGTAACATGATTGTCTGACCGGCAAAATGAACGATGGGACAATCCGCTGGTTCTCTCGTACAGCTACAAGCGCAAGAACAGGCGGAAAGTGCATTCTGACAGGATGGTGACACGGCAGCTCGTGTGGCACATTTGGGTGATTAGCTAACGCAAGAGATGGCTAGATTTGGGCATCGCCATCGTTGACAGCTAACGGACGCGGCACTGGACCCAGGTAAAAAACATGCTGCATGCTAGATTGAATAGATGCAGATATGTACACGGGCATGTAGACGGTGAGAGGTGTCTGCCAGATGAGGGGTGAGTCGAATGGCATCTGATGCCAAGGCTTGATGTGCAGCTTGATGGCAGGAGGCTTTCAGAGAGCAAAAAGCGGGACTTGTCGCGTCTCGCTTCTCCCTTCTGGAAGGCTCGCTTACTCCCATCCTTTTGACCATCGCCGCTTCCTCCCCCAAAGTCCTTGGTCGAGCAGCTGTCTTTCGTGTTAAGCGAGCAACCTGCCAAGCCGCATCATTGGCCCGAGGCTTGCGGCGCAACTGACGTGCGCCTTGTTGATTGATTGTTGAATAGATTCGGCTCGGCTGAGTTGATTGGAGGCGTAGGTAGCCCTCGAGGGAGGAATTGAGGAGAGATGGACAGGGGAGACGACCACCACACGGATCCCGTGCTGCACTTGCAGTCACATCCGTCGCTACCACCACCGCCGCCGCCGCCGGCCAAAGACGACGCGCATCCGGAACGCGACCACACATCGACGCCGCATACCAGCGATAACCACGTTGAATCGCTGCCGACACGCCCGGTCAACGCGTCGGAGCATCAACAAAGCCAGCAGCAAGAAGACAGGCATCCTTCGGCCGTGCTAGCGCAGGACGCGTCGGGCGCGTCTGACCCGGCGCAAAGTTACCTCTCGCAGCAGTCGACTCCCACTCTGCCACCCATGAACTTTCAACACCAACCGCCGGCGCATACTCCGGCTCCCATTGCTGCTCCAGCTCCAGCTCCTGCTCATGCTTCTGCGCCAGTGCATGCTCAGAATGGCCACATCCCGCAACATCAACACCAACATCACCAACCCCCACCACCGCAACACCACCCTCACCCACCTCCGGCGCATAACACCAATGGCACACCCACACAATACCCTCCGCATGGCCATGCGCCTCCGCCGCCGAATTACACATATCCTTCTGAAGCAGGTATGCAACAAGGTCTGCCTGGCATGCAGACCAATGGCGGACCTGTCAATGGCTATGCTCCACATATGGGCTACCAGATGCCGCTTGGAGCTCCGCACATGAACACAAACCAGGTACCAGGAACCCGTCACAAGAAGGAGATCAAGCGCCGAACAAAAACCGGTTGTCTGACATGCCGGAAGCGCCGAATAAAATGTGATGAAGCTCATCCCCATTGTCGCAACTGTCAGAAGAGCAAGCGAGAATGTCTGGGATATGACCCTATCTTCAAATCCCAGTCATCGCCGCAGACGATACAACCTGCTCCGGGAACTTTCCCTCCGCCGCAACCCCAACAACACCAGCAGCAGCCTCCTCCTCAGCAGCAACAGCACCAACACCAACAACAACATCAGGTCAAGCAAGAGACACAAATGGGACCCGAGCCCCAGCGTTATTCAAATGTTCCGCAGGGATATATGCCCGCTGCCAGCGCAGGTTATTCCCCTGCTACGGCCATGCAACCATCAGTCGACTTTGGTCCACAAATTGATCCTGCTCTGGGTCCTGTCAACTCGGCAATTGCTCCCCCACCTGTACAGCCACCGCCGCCAGCGGAAGAATACACTACCAGTCTACACCCTCAACGAAATGGTACCTTGCATCGTACTCGGACACTGCTTTCAGTTTGCTAACATGCCTCAGTACGCCTTGTAAATATGGACTCATTGTACAGCCTTGACAACGTCCCACCGGCGTTCCCGCCACACGGCTCGAATCCTCTTCCCGCGCATGAGATTGACATGATTCGCGGTATGTACCTTGCAGAGTATGCCATTGGACTGGATCGCTTCTTCGAGACTACCTGGTACACGGATCACGGTTTTAATCAACTCCTGGCGAACCATGACTTGCTGCATTACTTTTCACACTGCGTTGAGCGTTTCCGCCAGGGCCAGAATGGTACCAACACTCACGGCCTGACCTCTCTCGAGGCTCGCCTTATATGGCAACTCGGCTGCCTCCCTCGTGCTTTCCCCTCAAACCCGCCCCCTCAATACATTGTTGTTCTTTTGCAACGGCTGGCCATAGTAGAAAACCTACTATGTGGCACTTTCCTGGATTTCAACATGGTTCCCGCATCACCTCCAGCAAGCCCTCCAGACCCAAAACTTGTCGAACAATACACCCAATATCTGCAAGATGCTTTCTGGCACCAATTGGGCCGCTTCGTCAGTATCCATGACGATGTCATCTCCCCTGACGCCGCCCAGCAGATTGCTGCGGCTCTTGCTGCTATGCGCAACATATTGTCCATGCTTGAGAACCGCGATGTTCTATATTCAATGGCAATCGCTCGTCATTTCGGCGGTCGTATGGTTGACTACAATGAGGGCAAAACGCTTGTATCTAAAAGTGCAGAGCCAGACGACCCCATTGCAAAGCTCGCAGTTGCTATGACTTTCATCCGTGACGAGGACTCGAATGGTACGACGCAGGTTGTACAGAGGTTATGCGGTATGTGCAGGAGGAGTTGGCAGCTGCAACGGCAAACCATCCCGTCTGCATAGACATAAGCCTTGGCCAGAGCTTGTGCGCCGGATGAGGTGGACTGCCGTGTTTTGTTCATTTGCTTTTCATGATACCATGCCTCTGCGATACAGGCCAGTAGGCTTCTGCTGTTATTACCAACCATTACATCACACTCTATTTTTCCCAATCATTCCCGACTCAGTCACGTTCTGTTCTTCAACTATTCATATGTATTTCAAAAGTTGCATTACCGTGTAGCATCTATCAGTCTGGAGTGGCGTTGCCGGTGGCTTTGCGCTTCCTATCTTCCAGCCTAAGTTGATGCCCCAAGAGAATTACAAAGGCCCATACTATGAGTTCATAATCAGTCGTGTGTCAAAGCTGAGATAACACTGGTCTCGTGTACAATGTCATTGAAGGTTGAACTGTCGGCACGGTCAATTAACCGGTGGCTTGCCGGTCAAGGCCGAGCAGGTGGCTTGCTGATAGAACAACAGGGTTTGCTTGTTTGACACATGGTCAAACAAATAAGACTGGTGGTATGCGTTTTACCTAGTATTGGTCTTGCTTCCATATGCAGTCATAGGGTTTCGTGAAGAGAAGAGTCACCGGGTGGGTCATACAGACGGAAATTTTGTCGTCGTCGTCGTCGTCCTCGCCTCCTCCTGATGAGAGCATAGGATGCGATTCTCGTATCCATGGACAACCGTCGCGGCCCTTGATGGTACATCCTCCGAGGTCACAAGTTGGCTCGGAAATGAACGAGTGTCGAATGGTCGAGAATCAAGTGACTGTTTGACGGCCCAGAGCCAAGCTGTGGGTCAATGCGAATCCTCTCCCTTCACGGTTCAGAGACTAGACACCTCGTTCCCCTTTCCCCCGCATGAACGTCGAGTCAACAACCAAATATTATGAGCGTCCAGGGAGATGATCGCGACTCGACAGGCCGTCAAAGATGTCATGATGCATGTTGAAGATGCTTCTCGTGCTGCAATAGTGCATCGGCCAGGATAGCTTGAGCGGAAACAAGAACGACGGCGCGCATTGTCCCTCCGCGCTTGCCGAAGCAAGAAACTCGCAGTGCTGGCCCTGATGGAACGCAACGGTTGCATGTTTGTATGATATTAGACCGTTGCAGCTATGAAGAGCCTCTGGACGAGTTGGGGGTGTGCTCGAGCCAAGACGAGGGTTCTCCACGTTACTGTAGGTCTTGCGCTATCCAGTCCGCCATGCAGACTTTGATATGGGCATTTTCTACAACCACAACATTCATGAAGTGTAGTCAGATGTGTGTTTACAACAGAAACAAAGAAACGTCTGCAAATCTCCATCCTTCGAAACCAGATGGATGCTGATGCACCAGTCACCAGGCACTCCAACGTCTCGCTTCGTTTAGCGTCAGGAGAACTCATCCCGGATTGGCCGTCACTTCAACGTCTCCGATGTTTGGCATCATGGGGGAAGGTCAATCCTTTCACCCTTTGACACCATCAATCCACAGCACGCGAGAGTTCAACCGTCTAGCCTGCTATGGATATGCTTGTTTTCATGCTATCGTTGCAAGATGAGCAAGTCAACGGCGTTGCTGCCCGGTAGGGAGGAGATTGCTCTAACAGAGGCAACTGCACCGTTGACAGCAAAGGCAATAGAGTACGTGGAGGGAAAGTTGCCTCCCCAAAGGAGGAAAAAGCTGTATATAAGGTACTATCACCTCCCAGCCATCCAATTCTTTTTCATCATCACAGCAAATCAGAAAGACAACAGCTCCTCACCAGCCTCTCCAGTCACCTAATATTATAATAATCAGGCTTCAGCCGTCCATTCATTCAGCAACACAACACTCGCTACCAATAATATCCTAATTATTACCCCCCTCAAATCAACAAAAATGCCTTCCTTCAACAACATCGTCGCCGCCATGGCCTTCTCCGCCGGCATTGCCCAGGCCATCCCCCAGTACCAGAACGTCAGCTCGTCTGCCGCTCCCTCTGTCAAGACCAACGCCACCTCTTCCGGTGCTGCTTCCAGAACCTCCTCCGCTGGTGGCATGGCTACTCTCCCCGCTCTCGCCGAGTCTGCCTACTGCCCTGGCCTTAACGGCGCCCTTGTCGGTGACTACCTCATCCAGTGCGGTGTTACCCACTTCGGCACCATCCTCCAGGTCGGTAACGGCACTGTCGCCGTCGCCAAGCGTGCCGTCTACACCTCTCTCGGTGACTGCATCAACGTCTGCGAGGCCACCACCAGCTGTGTCGGTACCGCTTTCGACACTGCTGCCCGCACTTGCACCCTCTACTCTGAGGTCGGCGCTGAGGTTGCTGCTGCCGGCATTGACTTCGCCGTCCTGACCAACCCCACTGGTTCCGTCGTTCCCTCCGGCGGTGTTGCTACCTCCACCATCTTCAGCACCCAGGTTGTTACCATCTCTTCGTGCGCTCCTACCGTCACCAACTGCCCCCTCAAGAGCGGTCAGGCCTCCGCCGTCATCACCCAGGTTGTCCCCGTTAGCACTACCGGTAAGTTTTCCTCATACCTCTTTATCATATCAGCTGCTGACCACATTGCAAGTTTACGTTTGCCCCTCTGCCGTTACCATCCCTGCCTCTGCTGTTGCCTGTGGATGTGCCGCTACCCCCATCACCGTCACCCAGTACGCTCCTTCTTCCGGCTCCATGGTCCCTGTCCAGACTGTCGTAGTTAACAGCCCTGTTCCCACTGCCACTGTTGTAAGTTCCAGATTTACTTGTATCTCGATCTCAACGACAGCAAACTGACATCCGGCAGCTCACCACCACCGTCTGCACCTCGTGCGCCAAGCCCACTGCCAACATGAACAACGGTGGCAACAACGGCAACGGTGTTACCTCCACTGTCACTGCCTGCAACGGAAACTGCCCCACTGGCACCGCCACTGGCTCCAAGACCGGCTCCACCATGGCCGTCTACACCGGTGCCGCTGACTCTGTCAAGGCTGGTATGGGTTTCGCCGCCTTCGTTGCCGGTGCCGCCGTTCTCCTCTAAGCATTTTCACCTTTTTCTGAGGTCCGACAATGATTCGATATTATACTAATCAACATAAAACACGACAAAAAGAACAAAAAAATCTGGCCTTTCTGGCTGATGACCATCCTGGAGTAACACTACTCTCTTATTATAATATATTGGGTACCTTTTACACAGGACTGGACTGATGGGGAGCTGTAAATGATGACAAGAAATAGTCTCTTTCTGATTTACGCTGCTGTTTGATCTCTTTTGCGAAGGAGATACAGGGGACGAGTCTGGCGGTTTGGTGGTTGTTTGTCTGAATTTTTGATTCTTTCTTGATTTTACTGCAATCTACAAAAACTTTTGTTCACAAAACTCTTCCTACAATCCATCACATTCTCAAGTGTTGATTTTGTCTTCTGCCTTGTCGGCTTTCACTTCTTCATCGGGCTGTATTTGTCCTGTGAGAGGATGGTACTTTCGAGCCTTCAGCGGATCTTTCGTCAAGCTCAAAATTTTTGATGCATTCTGATGGATGATTGAATCGATGTCGTCGGTCGTTGGGCCAACGTGCTCTGCACAACAGTAAGGTAACCTGACAGCAAGTTCGTTAGGTCAATGTTTCTCGACGGACGCTTATCTATCTTAATGACAATTTCTAACGAGTATTTATCTATCAAAATGCAAGAAACTTCTCGGCGTCTTGGATCGCACGCATACTTGACACCACCACACTTCGTGAGTGTGGTAGGCCAGATTATTTGACAACTTCGGAGACACCATCGGTTTTTTTTTTGAATTCTGGAAAGGTATATTACCTCCCCGTGTGCTAAACTTTGTCACGCGTACAGATGTAGAGATGTACAATCATTTTTGATATCGATGCTAGGTCCAAAGAGAGAGCTTTTGGGAGTCGCCCTCTGTGGTTGAAGCGATTCTAGTCAAGATTATCGTGCATGCGGGCAGGGTTTCATCGTGTATCCCTACGGCAAGAGAGTTGATGTGACAAAATTTTGCACACGGGGAGGTACGAGTAGGAAGCTGCTTGGAAGCTGAAGCCTCAACCCCAGCAAGAAGCAACGAACGTCACCAGTCGGATGCTGGCCCATGCGTCAATTCCATCCACATCTCGACTCCCTCGTCCACCAATGTGCAAACTTCAACAACATGCCTTGATGGTCTTTGAAAAGCCACGTCACACTCTGCTCTCGAGCTCCATCGGGGCCTGTAGATCTGCATTCTTAAACTTGATGGACAATTCTTGTGTTGGGACAGTTTTGGAATCTGACTCTAGGTCCGACTACTATTCCTTAACCACATCTCTTGCTATGAACGCCTAAACAACGATGATTTCCATAGTATTTGGGAGCCACCATTCCGCTCCTAACACATCATCTTCCCAACGACTGACTGCTCGGTCCCTTATTTCCTAAGCATTCTGGCGACATCCGTTACTTCTCGGCATTCGAACCCCTCTTGCTGCGGCCGCTCATCTTTTTGAAGAATCGCCAATGAGTCTTCTCCTTAAGCCTGCTCCTCAGAGAGCCTCCCCAAGAATTGCTGGTCGAGCTCTCGGTCTTTTCTGTAAGCTCTGGCATGAAAGGGGCCATCGAGAATGAGGAAGGGGATCTTGGCATAGCTTGGTCAGTGACACATCCCAGGCCAGCGGTGGTAGAGGATGTCAAGAACCGCTCGAGCGGGATGTGGCGATTACTCTTGGTAGGAGATCTGGATGAGGCGGCATCGTCGTTTGCCGAAACAATTTTCTCCTCTTTGGGCTGGTCGATCCTGGACGAGGACAACACATGGTTCTTAATGGAGCCATAATCGCTGGTGTCGGATGCTTTGTCAGACTGTTTCATGTTTCGTGGTCTGAAAACAGAGGATGTGTTGTCCTCGTCAGATTCATGATTGTCTGACTGCTTCGACTTAGTGTCTTGAAAGTCTTCGCTGTGGTCCTGTCGGAAGAGGCCGCTTTCCTCTCTCTGAGTTCCGTCTTTCTCCTCCTTCTTCACAATCTCTTGGTCGTTTCCGGTAGGTTCGCCCGACATATCTTCCTCGTTGTCTACGAATTCGACTTCAGACTTCTTGAAACGGACCTCGCATTGGCTGGCGGGTTTGGTTGCTTCCATGTCTTCCTTCAGATCGTCAAGCATGCCTCTGAGTTGGAGGAATGCGTGATTCTTTCGCTCGCCGGCAGTCTCAACAGGCCAGACAAAACGCATGTGCGACCACATGTTCTCTGCACATTCTTGATGTTGCTGCACGCGTGTTAGAGGATACTTGTTAATGGCTTGATCCACTTACCTTGCCCTCCGACCAGTTTCCGACGCATGTGGCGAGGATGACCAGACACTGTACGTGGTAGTATTGTGGTAGCTCCGGATACGCGAGCAGAGCGCGCACTTCAACCTCACAGAGGTTATAGCGCTCCTCGTTGAAGAGCTCCATGGCGGCTCTCACGCGTGCGGCCCAGTCTGTTCTTGTTGTAAGCGTCATGTTTGGTTCAATCATGGCGTGGTGACTTTGGGCAAGAGGTAAGTGGTGTTGCGAGAGGCGAAGTTTGGAAGTGAGAGACGTGTAAACACTAGCTGCAATTGTAGAGAGCTTTACAACGCAGCTGCTTTCACCCTCGTTTCACCGAGAACTTCGAGCCTGCTGATTCGTCTTCTACTTCGCCTTGGAAGTCTTTGCCCAAGCTTGACGACAAGCCTTCTCCGTAACTAGAAGCTATCGATGCGTCTGGTTCATGACTAACAAGAACAACTCTGGTCATGCGAAATAGGTCCAACACGCAAGTTCAACGTTGTTGTCCATAAATCCCAAGGTCAACATGTTTCGATGATCATGGCTATACTCAAAGCGCCGCCTGCTATACAAACATAACTCAGCAATTCCACCAACTATAGGTATACCTGGCTCGGACTCAAGAAACGCCTTTGCATCAAGCATCCAAACTTCGGGAAGTCACAATAGTCATGGAGACATTTTTGAGAAAACTGGATCTTTAAGCTGATACTCATGCAAAACTTCACCTCTATGAGGAAGCTATCGTCTACAGAGACAACTGGTTGGCAGCTGGGTCGTCATGGTCAGAGACACCGACGAACCAAAGGTTCTTGAGATGTCCCCTTGCCATGTCCCATCCGATTATAGACGTGTTGCTCCCCTCCAGCGTTGCCCTCATCGAACAAGGACGGACACTTACGTGACCACATGGACAATGAATCGCACGACGGTCAGTTCATTGACAGGTTGCTTGATCTTGACAATTCTGCTAATCTCGGAAGATACGATCAGTTCCAAAAGATTTAAACCACACACGGCTGCCGATGAAGGCATGAGGACATAGATATCTTATCACTAGCGCTCCTCGGAGCAAATGCACGTCAAAATGCACAATGTATTTCGAGCTTGGTGGAATTGCCAGTGATAGAGGTCACTGTTTGCGCTCTTTCTAGGCACTTACCGTGGGTTGGGAATTACCTTGCCTTTTCATGGCTACGAATCAATGTCAGCCAGGGAACAGGAGCTCACATTTCCTTGAGTCTGTCATTCTGCTCTGTCGACGGACACACAAAAGCGAGGTCGCTGAGCATTGCGACGTCTTTCTTCCCTCTCCAAGCCACCAATAAATCCTCCGCTGCAATAATGCAAGCCACAAAGTCTCGCGTGTTTTGACCTCAACTTCGTTGGAGAGAACCGTTTGTATCAAATATCATGTTTCAACGTCCGTGGTCAGACGTTCGGATGGTGGTTCGAGTATAATTCGAGTCATGACCCAGGGCACGGTACTTCAAACACCGATGGGACGATAAACAAGGATACTGTTGACGACTGTGACAGGTAGGTAAGTGTTTGTGTTGTGGGAATTGTGCTGTCCACTTCCCATAGCGTTCACGGAGTCAAGGTTGTCACAAGGCACAACGATTTTGCTACCTGTAGCTACCACCAGTGAGGGCATGTCAAACAGTTCCATGCTCAACAATCCAGTTGACTCCTCGAAGCACTGCGTCTTGTGTCGATTTTCTCAGAGAATCGATCAGTATCTTGGATGGATAAGCAGGGTCACCCCTAGCAGAGCGCCAAGCCAGATGTTATTGCGTTATCGGAGTGGCTCTGAATAAGCAGCTCTTAGCGCACAAGTTATATAACCAAGGCTCTTGTACGTAGCACAAAAATTAAGTTCTTTTTAGCAATTACATCTAGTAGCTAAGCTCTTAGACGGCCTTCTCGGCTAGAGGTACCCTTTATAGCCCTCGAAGAGAGAACCCTCTATAACTACCGACTCCGCTATAACTAGCCGATGTTTACCCGACCGACATCGCTATTTACAATAGTAGACCATTATAACATAGGACCTATAGATAATATTAAAGTCTACTATAAGATTAAGAATTAAAGTAACGCTTACGCGTTATTATAACACTTAGTTACGAAGTAAGTAGTATAACTTACGTATGCATTGCAAGTCCTTACGTTAAGGGTCTATAGCGATAAGAAATGGTTTAATCTATTAGCTATACCATTATAACGCAATGTAGAGAAAGACTTAGTTAGTTGTAAGGTCGATCTAAGTAATCCTTTTACTAGAAGGAGCTTTAAACTATATAAGAAGGGCTCGCCCTTCTATAATAAGAGGACTAGAGATAATAAGTTACACTAACACTACACTACCGCTTCTACCTTCTTTATCGTTTATTAACCCGCTTCTTATTCGTTATAGATACCCGTATAGATAGCCCTAGCTCCTACCGCTCTAACTAGTAAGCTAATAAGGCCGCCGAGTTCTTCCTAGGATAGCTAGGAGAGGTTACTAGTGCAACCGCTTAATCTAATTATAATCCTCCTACTATTATAGACGAGGATAGGTATATCCCTACTTGTAAGGAAAGAGAACACCTAGTTATGTTCTAACTTAGATAGATGCAATATAATATAGACTTATAATAGCGAGAGTTAGAGCGTCTTAACAACCGCGCTATCTCTTAAGGTATAGCTCTACCTACTAGAAACACTTACTAGTAAGCTATAACTATCCTAGGCCCCTCTAGTAAGCTTAATTTTTATAAACCTCCTATCTTAGACGACCGTTCTAAGAATAAGGAAGTTAAGAACTAGATCGGACTAATCTATAACTAGCTCTATCTTACTAAGATGTTTACCTTTAGAGGACGAGTTCTTACCGATTCGGAAAAGAACTACCTTATCTCTACCTATCTTAAGGGAGATCCCTTTAAGACCTAGTAGAGAGGAGCCGATTTTAACACCTTTAAGCGTTAAATCGACATAATCTAGAAACGTCATATTAATCTAGACTAGATAGAGACGAAGAAGCAACGTTTTAAGTCTATAAGGTAAAGGAATTTAGCTAGGGCCTTTATAAGAGACTTATAAACTCTTACATATAAGCTTAACCCTATCCCTTCCGATAAGCAATTTAACTGCCGCTTCTAAGACGGCCTAAAAGCAAATGTTAGAGAAGCTATAGATACTTAACTTATTTGCCCTACTAATATCTCCTCTAAAACCTATATAGTTCGTACTATAGCATACGACGAGGTTTTCTTTAAATAACACTATCGTTACGAGGAAGAAAAGCTAAATACTATGCCTACTACATAACTAAACGCTATAAACAATAAGAAGGGTAAGGGTAAGGCTAGTTAAGGTAAAGGTAAGAAAGGTAAAGGAACTAGAAATAAAGACTAATCTAAAGTTACTTACTATAGTTACAACTAGACTAGCTACTATAAGAACGAGTGCCCGTTAAAAAAATAGAGGGTAAAGGTGCTCTAGAGGCATCTCCCTTACCTATTAAAGCCTCGAACGAAGAAGGAAGCCTAGTTGCAAGTCTAGATAAGGCTATAACTACGGATTCTTCGGACGTCGAGAGTATAGACTACTTAAACGCTCTAGATAGTAGTCTTCTTAAACTATACGGTACTGTCGGACCCCTAAACAATGTTCAAAAGGCTCGATTTACACTTAATACCGCTACATCTAGAGTCTATATCTTATCTTCGAAAGCTAAATCCTTCTATAGTTCTTATCTTATAAAGATGAACCCTACAACTATTAATCTACCTAACAGGCAGATAATGGTCTTAAGGGAAGGCCTAGCAATACCTTATGCTATTAGCAACTAGAGAGACTTTATAGAGGCTCGAGTTGTAGACTTATAAGGATACGATGTTATCCTTAGCCTCTCCTAGTTTATAAGACACAATCCGGTCATTAACTAGCAAATTAGAGCTATTACTCTTCGTAACGAAGACACCCTTATACTATACTTCTTTAAATCTCATTCGAAGATCTTTTAATTAAAAGAATCGTAAGAGGACGATAGCGTTATAGCTCTTATAGAGCTTATAACACCTTCTACCGTAATAAAGGGAGAAGCGTAACGTAGACATCTAGATGCAATACCGCTATATCTAGCAGCATTAAGGATGACAGATTTGTCACCTCTAGATAAGAAGTAGCCTAATCTAGACCCCTTATTTAAGAAGGTCCTCGCTAAGTTCCCTTCTATTTTTAGAGAGGAACTACCTATCGGACTCCTAAAGAAATAGGATATTATGCATACAATTAAGACTAGGGACGTAAAGCTAATTAACATATAGGCTTACTAGCTTAATCCGTAACAGTTGCAAGAACAGCAGAAATAGATTAATATGCTATTATAACATGGTCTTATCTAGGAATCTTTATTACCCTAGGGAAGTCTAGTTCTCTTCGTACCTAAACCTAGTAATAAGTAGAGAATGTATATCGATTTTCGAGCACTAAACTAAGTAACGAAGAAGAATGGCTACCCCTTACCCCGTATTTAAGACTACTTAGATGCTATAAGAGTATAAAGGTATATAGCAACGTATAAAGTCCCGCTAGTAATATAGTTACTAATAGTAAAGACTAATCGATGCCCCGAGTATCGGTATCTTCGAAAGTAAAGATATACTTATATATGCTAAGCCTCGCTTAGAGGCTTAGGCTTCGTCGTAGAGGCTACCCTAGCCTCTCTAGTAACAATTATCCCCTCCTCTATACGGTTATCTATAACCGAGAGGCTAATAGTTATTATACTGCATGCGGCTAGCGTATAGTGCGTAATGCGTGCTTTATTTATAGTTACCTCGTATATAGCTCGTAGGGGGCTCGTATAGGGGGAGTAGTATCTACTTTACTTACTCCTAAATCTGGCGTCGCGTCGCGTACGGCTAGAATTCGTAAAATTGTCGCGTCGTATATACGTTACGTACGGGCTCGCTTCGCGTCGTATATACGTCGCATACGGGCTCGCTTCCCTAGGCTTTACTAGAGTACGCCCCGGCGTCGTAATAATAACGCTATTGTCTTAGTAGTCTATACTATAGCATAATATATAGAATTTCGAATTGCGCTAGCAATTCTTCCTCCTATTAGCTTTATAACATCTACTTAGTAGCCCTAACACTTCTAGTAAGTAACCCTTCCTAATGCCGCTTATCCTTTCTAATATATGCGCCGCT